ATTTTTGGTGATACTAGCGCCGAGCTTCTACCGAAGAGTGATGCAACAACGCCTCTCATCGTCATACAGGTGTTGCAAAATGAATCCCGTCCTCTTACCACTTGCTTCTCAAAAAGTTACCTGTATGGATTAACTTGCCTCTTCCACTGTTCCAATCGATCAAGTGGCCAGCGACAGTACCCCACGTCTCAATTCAAATAGCCACTTTGATTGACCGAGGGGACATTGATGAACAACGTCGAACATTGTCAACTGCATACACTGAAGCATGATGGAATACAGACAATGAAATTGATGCTGTAGTGTCTATACAGGTGTCCGAGCGACCCTCCGATATTCTACAAATCCCGCATCCTCCCAATAACCCAGTATCGTGCCCACGCTGCGAGTGACTGCGTCTAGGGCTTGTTCTTCTTTGTCTGCCAGACTGTAGTGAGAGTATGGTTAGATGTATATTCACGGCAGGTGGGATTGAATCAGGTGCCTCACCAGCAAGGAGGAATGGCAGGGAGAATCCGGTTGCTGCGACTGTTAGCCTGGACCTGGCATTGCGACGCGCCAAAGCTCACCCATGAATCCCCAGTACTTGAAGGCAAAGCCCCTCTTCAATGGGTCGAATGGCAAGTTGCTGCGCGGGCCCTCGGGGTAGTGGTATGGGCTGGCGAACTGGGCGCGGGTGGACTGGAAGCCGCGGCGGGCAACGAGAGTTGGGGCCGAGGCGGCGCGGAAGGTAGCACGGGCGAGCATCTTGGGAGGTCAGCGTAGATCGCAATTGGCGTCGAGTTGCAGCGTACTTTGGCGGTGTTGTAGAGTGGAGAGGTTGCGGAGTTCTGGTCGCGGTGGTTCGATGAGTTGCAGCTTCCACGGCCATGTCTTGGCGATGATCCGCTTAGTCAGGATCATCAGTGAAACTTTCTTGATCTCGGTCGCGCTTGCATACCATAATCTTTCGCGACAGGTCAAAACCGCCTGTCTGACCCGCCAGCCACACCCGTGAGATAATAGCATCCAACTGCGAATAGAGCGAAACACAACCACCCACCATGGACGACGACATGTTCGACGTCTTCGAGGGCGGCCCTTCCAAGGACACCGCGCCCAAGAAGAGCAAGAAGCGCCAGGCGAATGGCACTGTCAAGTCACCCGAGCCGGTTCAGGACACCGCTATGGCCGATGCACCCGCAGAGACGACCGAGACGACGAATGAGAACGGCAATGCGCAGACTCTGAAGAAGAAGCAGAAGCGCGATGCAGAGCCCGAGCCCATCGTTACCGACGACTTCGAGACTGAGCAGTCGCGCGAGGTCGCCGCCGCCGCCGGGCTACAAGCGCAGTCGCAAGAAGGCCAGGCAGTGGTGCTCTCGCATCAAGTCCGCCATCAGGTCGCTCTCCCACCAGACTACGACTATGTTCCCATCTCCGAGCACAAAGCCCCAGCCGAGCCCGCGCGCACATGGCCTTTCACCCTAGATCCTTTCCAGCAGGTCTCTATCGCATCGATACAGCGAAACGAGAGTGTTCTAGTGTCTGCGCATACCTCGGCCGGAAAGACAGTTGTGGCAGAATACGCCATCGCACAATGTCTCAAGAACAATCAGCGAGTCATCTACACCAGCCCGATCAAGGCGCTCAGTAACCAAAAGTACCGAGAATTCATGGCCGAGTTTGGCGACGTCGGCCTTATGACTGGTGATGTCACCATCAACCCCACCGCGACTTGTCTGGTTATGACGACTGAGGTATGTATCGAAAGAGCTTGCCAATGGTATCCACTAATATCTGCAGATTCTCCGCTCTATGTTGTACAGAGGTTCTGAGATTATGCGCGAAGTAGCTTGGGTCGTATTTGACGAGGTCCACTACCTGCGCGACAAATCGAGAGGTGTTGTCTGGGAAGAGACCATCATTCTGCTTCCCGATAAGGTCCGCTACGTCTTCCTCTCCGCCACCATTCCCAATGCCATGCAGTTCGCAGAATGGATCACGAAAACCCATAGCCAACCGTGCCACGTCGTTTACACCGATTTCCGTCCGACGCCCCTGCAACACTATTTCTTCCCTGCTGGTGCCGAGGGTATACATCTGGTGGTAGACGAAAAGGGTGTGTTCCGTGAAGAGAACTTCCAGAAGGCCATGTCGTCTATTGCGGACAAGGGTGGAAGTGAGGCTAAGGACTTTATGGCGAAACGTAAAGGCAAAGGCAAAGACAAAAAAACCAACACGGGCGGCAACAAGGATCAGACGGATATCTACAAGATTGTTAAGATGATCATGATCAAAAGCTACAACCCGGTCATTGTTTTCAGTTTCAGTAAGAGGGAATGCGAGAATTACGCACTCTCCATGAGCTCGCTAGCGTTCAACGACGACTCGGAAAAGGCCATGGTCACAAAGGTCTTTAACAGCGCCATCGAGATGCTCTCAGAGGAGGACCGCCAACTACCCCAGATTCAACACATCCTTCCCCTACTCCGAAGGGGTATTGGTGTTCATCACTCTGGACTGCTACCTATCCTGAAGGAGACTATCGAGATTTTGTTCCAGGAGGGGCTGATCAAGGTGCTTTTCGCTACTGAGACATTCTCTATTGGATTGAACATGCCGGCTAAGACAGTCGTGTTTACCAGTGTGCGCAAATTCGATGGAGTATCGCAGCGATGGGTTACGCCTTCCGAATTCATCCAGATGTCTGGTCGAGCCGGTCGTCGTGGTCTCGATGACCGTGGTATTGTCATCATGATGATCGGCGAGCAGATGGAGCCGGCTGTGGCGAAGGAAATCGTCCGCGGTCAACAGGACAATCTCAACTCCGCTTTCCACTTGGGTTACAACATGATTCTCAACCTTATGCGAGTTGAGGGCATATCTCCCGAGTTTATGCTGGAGAGGTGTTTCTTCCAGTTCCAGAGCACAGCGGGTGTCTCCAATCTTGAGAAACGTAAGTTTGTGTCTGTGATATCTAGGTACAACTACTAACAGTATCGTAGAACTTGAAGAGCTTGAGCAAGAGAAGGCGAACACGAACATTGTTGACGAGCCTGCAATCAAAGACTACTACAATCTGCGGCAGCAGCTGGATACACACACTAAAGACATGCGCGATGTGATCATGCAGCCCAACTACTGCTTGCAATTCTTGCAAGGTGGTCGGTTGGTAAAGATCAAGTTCAAAGACTACGACTTCGGCTGGGGCGCTGTTGTAGCGTACACTGCTCGCAAGGCTAACAAGGGAGAAGTCCTGCAACCTCAAGAGTCGTACATTGTTGACGTGCTACTGCCCGTCAGCAGCGATACCAAGTTTGTTCCTGCGGTCAACGATGGTCTGCCACCCGGTGTGCGACCACCTGCGGCCGGAGACAAAGGCAAGATGGAGGTTGTGCCTGTAGTCCTGAACTGCATTGAATCGATTGGCCATCTCCGAGTATTCCTGCCCAACGAACTCAAGTCGACTGAGCAAAGGAACAACGTTCGCAAAGCGCTGAGCGAGGTCAAGAAGCGCTTCCCCGACGGAATTGCCATTCTAGATCCCATTGAGAACATGAACATCAAGGACGACAGTTTTAAGAGACTCTTAAGGGTAAGCTTTGCCATCATACACATATGTCTCTCCCTAACACAACGCAGAAAATCGAAGTTCTAGAGTCCCGCCTGCTCTCGAATCCTCTGCACAACTCGCCTAGATTACCCGAACTATACAGCCAATACGCGCAGAAGATTGCGATCGGTGAGAAGATCAAGAACATCAGGAAGGAGATTGCGAGCGCCCTGTCAGTCATCCAACTGGACGAGCTGAAGAGCAGGAAACGTGTGTTGCGACGACTTGGCTTCATTGACGATGCGGACGTCGTCCAGCTCAAAGCCCGTGTTGCTTGCGAGATCAGCACTGGAGATGAGCTTGTGCTTAGCGAGCTGCTCTTCAATCGTTTCTTCAACGAGCTCACGCCAGAGCAATGTGCTGCTTGTCTCAGTTGTTTCATCTTTGAGGAGAAGACGCAGGAAGTGCCGGCGCTCAAGGAAGAGCTTGCCAAACCGTATCGCGAGATCCAGCAGCAGGCTAGGGTGATTGCGAAGATGTCACAAGAGAGCAAGCTGACTGTCAACGAAGAGGAGTACCTCAAGTCATTCAAGTATGAGCTGATGGAGGTCGTTTACGCGTGGTCCAAGGGTGCGACGTTCGCAGAGATTTGGTATGTTGCTTCGGTCGATCCGCATTGAACAACGACTAACGTTTGCAGCAAAATGACCGACGTGTACGAGGGAAGTCTCATCCGTCTCTTCAGGCGACTGGAAGAACTGCTCCGACAAATAGCTCAAGCGTCCAAAGTTATGGGCAGCGAAGAGCTTGAACAAAAGTTCACGGCAGCACTGGAGCTTGTCCGTAGGGATCTGGTCGCAGCCCAGTCCCTGTATCTATAATGTGTGGAGCACGTTTTGTATATTACGGTGTTGGTGGGAGTCTTTGATAGCATCATTGTTCGAGCAGGTAAGTGTGGCACTCGCATGGCGTTCTCCTTTATGCGGTTGAATCAAAGCGCCACCGGACATGCCCATGTCTCAGGCGCACGCAGGGAGCCTTGGGCGCTATGCATCTCAGAAGAGAAGCAAGGCGTGAGTGCGTCCTGGATAGAAATTCACTAGATCTGATACTGTGGGCTTGCACCACGGTGGAGGATCCCCCACGTACATACATTCTCTCTGATATGCATGGTGATATGTGATGTGATGTGATGTAGCTAGTGCCGCCGTAGCCGCTGCCCTTGCTTTTCCAACAGGCAACCACGCGATGTCAAAACGTGAATGGGCAACTTTTAGGATGAAGCAAAAGTGGCGAGAAGATACAACCTCAACTCCAGATGAGAGCGAAAGTGCTGCGCTGGATATCTGTGACATGTGACGTGATTGGCTGTGTGCACGGACATAGCTGTTAGCATATTCTTGGGCCTTCGTATGGCTCTGCTGTCTCCACCACGGCAACAACAACACACCTGACACCGCTCTACGGCCGACCCAACGAGAGCCTCGCCCTCTGCATCATCCTCAAGACATCGCTATCCGGCTCCCAACAAAGCAGGCGTGCGATTTCACTGCGTTTGCGGGCCCTTCCTCGTCATGAGCGTACAGTACCAGACCTTCACGCCCCCTCATCTCTTGAACAACAACCGCCGCTCTCCCACCCGCAACCGTAAGTCCGCTCGCTGCTCTCAACAACCCAACCCCATGTCGGCTACTGACTTGACACCCTTTGCAGTCTTCGCCCCCACGCCCGCAATGACAGGCCGCAAGCGGAAAGCCGAGGACGATGGCAGCGCCGGAGACGACGACCGCATGAGTGCATCGCCATCCACATCGCCCGCCGTACTCCCACGACCTGCGCCGCGAGGCATGAAGCGCATGCGAACCAACATCTCAGGCCGACCCCTCCCCCTGCCTCGCCTCCTCGAGACCCTGAGCCCCGACGAGATGCGCAACCTCCTGCAGTCCATCTGCCAGCGCCACCCTGACATCGGCAACGAGGTTGTCACCACCGCGCCGCGGCCAAGCATACAGTCAACATTGGAGGTTCTGTCAAAGTACGAGGCGGCGTTTCAGGCTGCCTTCCCCTTTGGCGGCCGTGCGTCGTCCGACTACGCATACAACCGGGTGCGGCAACAGCTTGACGAATTGCTCGACTCGCTCAAAGACTTCACACCTCACTTCCTTCCACCCCACGAACATCAACCCGCTACATCACTCGCCTTCCTTGACGGCGCCACTGAGATCATCCATCGCTTACCCAACTGGGACACCTATCAACACAACCGACACAAGCAGGAGGCATACGAGGAAATGGCAAAAGCGTGGGCGATAGTCATCCAGGAGGCAGCGAAGAAGGCGGGCGGCATACAGCTCCAATATGGCGGATGGGACCAGAAGATTGCGAAGCACAATGAGATTTCGGGCGGAAAGATGCAGGAAGCAGTCAACGAGCTACGTGGAGGTCTCGGCTGGATGGGCACAGAGACGCCCAACCCTGCTGCAGGCGGGTCCAACGATGCCATGTCCATTCGCCAACAGTTGTTGAGTGGAAACTATGGGACCGGCTCTCCCGCAAGCATAGGTGCATGGTAGATCGACAACTACCAGGCACTAGCTGTGCCGACAGCGAAGTGAACCCAGGCTTCTCTCCCTGAACACATGGCTGCTTCTCTGGCATCTAGCAACGCCTTACCCGACCATCGACCGCGATCGCCCTCCCCACATTACCTCGCATCCATCACAGCATTACTACCATGGCGATCTTCCAACAATTACGGCCTAATCCATAACCGCGAATGATACCATTGCATGGAGGCATATTCCCATGATAACGACTGCATAGCGTTTCCTTCGGTTTTTGTTAACGTACAACAGCATCTGGCGGGCGGATATCATTGCACTGGCGTACCGGCTGCGAATCATTTTCAGACCCAAACCTTGATCTTTGTGCCCTGTTTCGCCACTTGGCGTAATGTTTTGACATTATTACAAATCATGTACCCGGCTTGGGCTACTGTTCGACGGATTGCACTCTTTTTTTTTTACTTTGTTTCGGAGGAAGGGATGGTGTTCTGTATTGCAAGAGCATCTGGAAGCGGACGGTATATGTACAGGCGGAAACCCTTATTGGAGTATGGAGAAGAATAGACTTTTTGTATATACGCTGACCGAGTTTCTGCATGTGACTTTTTGAAGACTTTGAAAATGCTCACTGTATCATCTAGGCTAATTGTGGAGCCATTCCACGATAGTTTGCGTTCGACCCAGAACTGTCGAGCTTTCGGAAGCCCTTTCCGTGAGGTTCAGTATTTGGACCGCTCGCGCGGCAGCGCGCTTTCGCGCCTCGTCTCAGAGATACAGTGGTAATCACGTAACGATAGACGTTGGTGTAACCCCAGTACTCGTGTAACCCCAATAACCCTTATCCTGGAGACTCACTTCCACACTTTCATCATTCACTCATCTTCTCACGCTCACGCTCACGCTCACGCTCACACCTTCCGTACTCCCAACACGCTTGAGCTTGTTCCTGTCAGATTTTCCGTTATCAAGCTCTGTGCTATCAAGCAAGTATTATGGCGATCACTACAGACTACCCTGGAATCAAGGTCGAAGTTCGTGTTGCTGAAGCCGTCCTACAGGAATATGACGACGATGAGGCGGAGAGCTCGACGAATGCGGCGACGAAATACATCGAGGCCACTTCCGGGTCGACCTTCGACATTCGCTTTGAGATGACTCCAAAATGGCCAGACAACCCAGTCTTATTTCGAACTTATGTAGATGGGCGGCACGTTCGAGATCGTATCGCAAAGCAGGAGGACTTCAGAGGTACTAGCTACAGGATGTTGGTTGAAGGCTCAGCTTATACAGAAAACGAGCGGTGGTTCACAACCAAATTTGCTTCCTCTGCCCTCCAAATTGGTATTCTGGCTGAACATTGATATATCGCTAGATCTGACTTCTTCCCAGATGATCCTGACGTCCGTTCCGCTGCAGACCAGCTTATGAAAGACATGAAAGAGATGGGAGAGATTGAGGTCCATGTTTTCTTCGTCAAGAACGTTCGCAATTCCAGCAAGCTGGAGTTATCTGCAATGAGTACCTCGGACTTTGGCAACATACCGGAGAAGGCTCTGAAGGGCAGAGCCTTGTCCCATCAAACAATGTAAAGAGGGATAGGCATAGGAGGCTTGCAATATAGACTAACCAATTATAGTCTGCGTGCTCCAGAAGTTATACCGAAGACTACGCAGCTGACATGCCGATACATGAACAATGATCGCAAGTCCTTCATCACTTTCAAATTCAAGTACCGGTCTAAGGGTAAGTGAATCTAATTCTAGACTCCGTAAATCATGCATCTAACGTATATACAGCTGCCCTTCAGTCTCTTCTCATCATCCCCCGCAATCCTAGTCCAGTACCGCTCGAAGATCGTGACGTCGATACCCTTACTCTAAAGGAGTCCCATGAAGTACTTCGGCGTCATCGTGAACGAGAAGACGCCGCGCCGAGTGTCAAGCGAGAAAGGTTCAAGCGAGAACGAAGCAGTACCGCTGTCATGGAGGACCAGGATGATGGCAACGTCTCTTTTGTATCTGCTAAGCGCAGGAGGCTTCCCATTACTCTAAACGAGGACGGTATCGAGATTGTTGATTTGACTTCGGCTACAGCCTGAAGATATAGCCTGACAAGAGTGATTTACTAGAGGCATTTCTGACGCTTGCGAATCTTTTATGTTTCTAAAACATATTCTCTTCTCAACATCTTATTTAGTCTGCATCTTTCCTGTCAGTACAGACTTCGCTCACTTGCTTAATCAGCTCGAAAATCTCAGGTGACTGCAACTCGTCTAATCGTCGTTTTAACTTTTACCTTCTGTCTGGACTCTTTTGCACTTCGCACTCACGAATACCATGGCTATCACAACCGGCATCCCAGGCCTTGAGGTCACTATCGAGGTTGACGCAATAGCGCTACCAGAACACGAACATGCTGGTGTCGAGGACGGCGAGGTTACGACTTCAATTACCAAATACATCGAAGCGCCACCAGCTACCGACTTCTCTATCCGCTATCTTTATCGTCCACCATTCACGCCTCCTTCAGCAATCCAAATGGATATACTTCTGGATGGCAATTACGTGCAAGCTCCGTTCATTGAGTGGGGTGGTAAAGAAGGCTGCGAGGGATACTTATGCTCGAGATCTACTTCGTCCGCTGGTGGACGTAGCTTTACTCAAGGCTTCCAATTCGCCGAGCTAAAGACTAGTGAGCTCTTGTTCATCGGCATCTTCCTTGGTATTAGCTAACTACGAAAAGACGAGAACAATACCCCGGTCACCAAAGAGGTTGCTGACCGGCTGTCAACTACCGGTCGTATCGTGCTTTACTTCTACTTGATTGAGCATCTAGAGGCAGTGAAGCCAGCCGAAGTACCTCAGCTTGCGAACAACGAGTTTGACTCTCTCAGTGAAAAGGCGCTGCACAAAACAGCTGCAGCACAGGGCGATGCATTGTCTCACCAAACTAGGTATATTTGTTACACCCATGAAAAGCGTCGGCACTGACATGCCCAATAGCCTCACTATACCAGTACAGCGCGATAGCATCACTTTTAACGAAGTGGCAACAACAGGAAATGAGCCTTTTGCGACCTTCACTTTTCTCTATAGGTCAATTGGTCAGTTGTAAGTATGTCAGGCCAAGTCATTCCGTCCGCTAATGACCGTGCAGATGCGCTCAAGTCTATTGGTGTTATCCCGCGTACTCCAAGCCCATCACAGCAGTCAGAGGATGAGGATGAGGACAAAGATCCGGAAGACATGACCGAGGAAGAGATGAGGGCGGAGCTCAAGCGCGTGCGCGTAAGCGATAGGACACCGCAGAAACGATCATACACTTATGACTGACTGGTCACAGGAAAAGAGGCAAGACGCGATCAGAATCAAGCGCGAACGCGAAGAAGAAAGCCAGGCCGGTGATACCACCCTCCTAGGCGACGACGAAGTTCAGTGGACTAGGAGTCAGCCGAAGAAGGTATGCCGTGGCCCTAGGGCTAAAGATGAGGTGGTAGCTTTGGACTGTTGAGCGCTTCAAGTAATCAGGTCGATGGATACTGGCCAACATGGCGGGTTTGGTGCTTGTGATGGTGCGCAAGCGTCAGAGTTGGGGTATTGTCAGTGACATGGTCGGTCGATTTTCCTCACTTCATTTTTCTCACATTTCTCAAATGTCCCACCGCGTTCTGCTTCCCTTCATCCTACTTTTCGTTGAGTGGGGCCTGTGGTCTTCGCACTAAGGCCGAGGTCGCTAGAAAGGAAGCATCGAGGAATCCAGCATGCCCAAATTACATCTTATGGCTATGGACGCGCGATTCAGTGACGCGTCGGAGATGAGAACTTTCAGAATTACCGTCTCTCACCTGCCGATAATCACCTTCACCTCACGTTCCATCCGCCAATGCCTCCATCCTCATTTGAGGTGAAGGCTCTTCCACAGCAAACACCTTCAATATATCTTTGGCAACGTTACCACTCCCAAGGACATCTTTCTACTATTACTCTTCGTTTCCTTTGTTGCCCTGAATCTGTACCTGGCGCCATGGCAATCGTAGATGAAGTCCCAGGGCTCGAGGTTCAGATCTACGTCCATGGAAACCCACTTCGCGAGTATGTCGACCAGCACGCAGCCGTATCGGAAGCCACTTCGGAAAGCTACATCGAAGTGCATTCAAATTCGGCCTTCGAGATTCACTACTCGTTCAAGGCGCCGTTTCCCGTCGACCGCCCTGTATCTATGATCGTGACAATGGACGGCAAGGACATCGACGAACCTCTTATTCGTCCCTGTGAGCTGTACAACCAAGAAGGTCATGTCAGTTCCGGCCCAATCTCGAACGATGGTAGGAATTGGTCGACAAAGTCATATCGCTTCTCACCACTTGATATCAGTAGGACGTCTTTACTTCTTGCAAAACAGCATATTGATGTATATACAGGGGAATGCAGCGAAAATCCTATACCGGAAGATCTACAAAAGAAGATACGGCTCGTTGGTATTATTACTTGCGAGTTCTACTTCCTCAACAACGCGAGACGCAGTGCAAGGACCAAATTTGTACACAAGGAGCTTGAGAAATTGGACACAGTCAACGAGAAGGCTATCAAGGGCGAGTCGCTGTCGCATCAGGCAATTTCGGTATGATTCGCGCTAAACATCGAGACGGACTAACGTGATTACAGTCTTGGAGAGACGGAGCCTGCGGAAGAGATTGAGTATTACGATGCCGAATATGCCGACGGAGGGGAGCCATTCGCAACATTTCACTTTTACTATCGCTCGCTTGGTAAATTTTGCCCTCAAACTAAAATTTTAGCGGATTGACCATATCATTCGTAGCTGCACTCAAGGATTTACACATTATCGAACGCACGCCCGACCCAGTCGACTTCCTCGATGGTGATAACACGGTTCTCGGACAACTGAATAGGGAACAATTAGAAGCTATTGTGCGGCGCTTCAGGGTAGGTCACCTGTTACCATGTGTCTGTATCTGGCGCGCTGACATGAACTAGGAGCAAGAAGAGACCCGTGTACGCATGAAACGCGAGCTATCCGATACCTCAACCGTAGGAGGCAATGATCACGGATCCAGTGGCCTGAGTGCAACATGCGACGACGACTTCATCGAGATACGTTCGGTCGATCTGCGTAGAAAGAGGAAGCAGCAACGCGTCAGACAGATACCAACTGATGAGACGGAGGTCATAGAACTTGACTGAGCAATATGAAGGAAGAGAATCCACAACGATATGGCAAATATGATGGCGCGTTTGAAGCATCGAAGCTATATTTCACAATGATCTTCTTGAAGATCAGTGTGAACATTGGCTCTTCAATCTTTCACAACTAAACATGTATATTTACCCATCTCTTCATCGGTACTACTGTCTCCCTAAGTATCCAAATAGATTTCCTCAACGCTATAGAAATACTGCGAACTTGCCAGGTCAATATTTCCGTGAGCAGATCTGCAAACACATCAATTCCACCCATCATGACTGCAGGTACCCAAAAAGCTAGCGGATCCACCAAGACCCGTCCAAACATCCTACCTCTCGCCGGTCTCGACAATCTCACGATTCAGACAGCATTCCAAAACCGCCTCTTCACATCGGTTGAGCTGACCTCAGTCTACCTTACCCGTATTCGTGAATTAAACCCCCAGTTTCACGCGGTGGCAGAAGTCAACCCGGACGCCACATCCATGGCCCACCTCCTCGATGTTGAAAGACTAACAAACGGCGCTCGAGGCACGCTACACGGTGTGCCTATTCTCTTGAAGGACAATATGCCCACTCTTGACGCCACGTTCACAACATGTGGCAGTGTTGCCTTGATAGATGCCAGACCGTCTGAGGAAGCTGAGATTGTGAAAACGATACGGAAGGCGGGAGCTATAGTACTGGGCAAAGGAAATATGGCTGAGTGGGCAGGCTTCCGGTCTACGAGTGGATGTTCAGGTTGGAGTGCTAGAGGAGGTCAGACTACAGGCATTTACCACCCAGGCATGAAGGCCAGCGGGAGTTCGGGAGGTTGTGCCGTAGCGGTTGCAGCAGGTATGTGCTTTGCAGCGTTAGGCACGGAAACATGCTACTCCATTGTTTCTTCAACCGAGAAATCAGGGATCGTGGGCTTCAAGCCTACGCGCGGTCTTCTTTCTTCAAAAGGGATAATTTACGCATCCAAAAGACTCGACACTGTTGGGGTACTTACGCGTACTGTGTCTGACGCATCGTTTTTCGTCCTTGGTCTTGTGCAGCAAAGCGATCACATCCCTTCACCAACAAAGCAGAAGCTATTGCAAAATCTGAACAGTGCATGTTCAAGCACTCATCTAAACGGCATTCGCATCGGCGTCCCCCATCATCTCAGCGAACTAGAAAACCTTCCTAGGTGTAGGAAGGAAGCATTTGAAAAGACGCTCACATTATTAGAAAACGCAGGCGCTACCATTATCCACGACTTTCAGATTACTGGTGCTTCGAGTTGGGAAGCTCTTTCACCAGAAGCTAAAAGCATTATTTTGGACACAGATATGAAGGTTGCGATAAACTCATACCTCTCTTCCCTCGAAAAAAATCCTAACGGAATCCAAAATCTCCAAGATCTCATCACCTTTACGAAAGCTCATCCAGCGGAGCAATACCCGCGGCGGAATGCCGAAGGTCTCGAGAGGGCGGAAGCCTCTGATCTGAATGGGCTGCTTTATAGGACCATGTTAGTAAAAGACAACTACTACACAGGCGAAGGTGGCATCGAAACAGCTTTGTGTACAAATTGTTGCGACGTTATGATTCTACCTACCTTGAGTGTCACCATACAGAGTTTTGCTGCGAAAGCAGGAAGTCCGGTGATAAGCGTACCGATGGGGGTGTTTCCCATAGATACGCCCATAGAGAAGGATTCTAGAAACCACCTGGTCAACGTCGCACCTGGAATACCGTTCTCGGCATACATATTCGGAAGAGCGACCAAGGATGAGGATGTACTTAAAGTGGGGCATGTGCTGGAGCACTTGACCAAGGTTATGGATACATTGGTGCCATATGTAGAGATGTGATGAAACGGAGACCATGGTAATGAATTACGAGTCTATCCACGAAGCGACTTTCAGCATGCTATGTTATATTAGTGAGCGTCTTTTCGGTAGATGAGCCTGTCTGTAGCATGCCATACTATCATATTGAACGTTGCTTATGCAAGGATGCTACGTATTCTGCAAATCATGTGCTCTGCCTGCCGTACAACCCCATATCGGATGTACGAAGCCTACTCAGTCCAGCTCGATGACTTCATCTTTGCTGGTTGGGAAGCAACGTCGCTTTGCGGGCCTCTCATTCACCATCTCAACGTCTCCGTCATCACCATCGTCATCGGCACGGTCTCGCTTGCGTGTCTCGGCCTCTTCCTGCTTGAGCTGTCGTATCCGGTAAGTTTCTGTCTAGATAGCAGAGGGTAAAGGAGGCTCACGTAGATTTTATTCACCTCCTCTTCTGAGACCACATCCTTGACTGGTGCTGGACTCGACGATCGGGGGAGAATGGCGAGTGACTTCAGAGCAGCTGCAGAGCGGTATCTGAACTCAATGACGGCGAATGGGCGACCTTCTCCATCGACGTAGTCAGCCTCCATGAACTTGACAGGTGCGATGCGCTCAGGCGGGTCGAGGCTGTCAGGATTGTTAGCGCATGATAGGAAGCCAGCTTTGCAATACGTACGTAGTCTTGTGCGAGACGGATGAGCCTTTCAAAGCCTTCTCAGGGACTTTGTCGTACTGGTACATTGACGGGACATCCTTCCATGCAGCCGCCATGCGTACATTGGTGACTTTGTGGAATGCTATAGAGATGGTACCCGTGTGTGCCAGTTGCTCCTGGAGCTCGTGCTCGATTGCGCTCCTCTCATCGTCTAGACACGTTAGCCATGTGGTAGGAATGCTGACTAGCTACACTCACGAGTATCCAGAGAGGCGAAGCGGAAGCGCTGGCCCATGAAGTTACGGCCCGCTTTTGCGCTGCTGGCATAAATGTGCCTCGAGACACCGTAGTAGTCGTAGTTGCGCTTCTCGAAGATGAATTTGCGCATGTCCACGCCGTCGATGCTGACTATGGCCTTGATGCTATAGTGCTCGAAGAGGTAACCGGGGATGTAGTAGCGGACGCCGAACTGCTCGCCTGCTTCAGACTCGATGTAGACTATCTTGGTGTGGAGATTAGCATCTTCACAGTCATCAAGTTCAACAACAGGGCGATTGTCCACAAGGACAGACGCTTCGAGGTTAGGAAAGAGAGGGTGCGGGGCCATGACGAGGAGGTTCGTGACGATAGAGATTGAGAGCAAATGAGAATTGCTATCTGACGCGCTCTATGTACAAACAACTGCTGTTGTGGGCAGGAGCAGTGTGAGTACGTAAGCAGTCATATGCTTCATGCCAGCGAGGCAGGCACGAGGCAACGGCGACCTCACCGCTCACCTCATTGAGTTCTACAACCCTGGATTCATTTTACGTTACTCATCCTCGCCATCGATATTGAAAGATCCCTTTTTCCATTCTGAACACGCATTTGGTCAAAAACGTGGTGAACGACGTAGGCTGCACGTGCCGCACTCTCAGGGCTGTCTTCGACACAAAATAGGCCCTAGGTATATACAATAGCTATTAGTTTCCAGCATGACAACTCTGATTGTAGCGTATACCTTCAGGCTGCATGTTCGTAGTACGCAGCCCAAAGTGTACTAGCTTCTGTATACTCGAACTTCCGCTTCGAGCGCTGACGTCGCAGGACGCTAAAGACTACAGGCCGACTGTTCTGTCCGTCCAACGCTAGTTGTTGGACTAACAGCAGTCAGATGTTCTACTGGTATTAGTGTTGCAGCCGTTATGACGCCCCATCCGCAGCGAGCCGATCGTCAAAAAGAAAAACGGATGCTGGAATGACCAGATGCATCTGGAATGTAAACAGAGCATTATAGCTGGAGATTTGTCAAGCAATGAACTATGCGCGAGACATTGAGAACCGTTTGATATGAGGCGCGTTAATTGTTGCCTATGAAATCGCTCCCGCTCTTACTTCCAAGGTTTATGACCATGACTCAGCCTGGCAATCATTATTGTAAATTACAGAAAAGTGTTTCTGGCTGTAGCCCAAACTCCGATGATAATGCAATGCTTTGAGTTGAATGAATTCGTGAAAGGAGTGTGTCGTAAAAGTTCGTGAGTATGTCGTAAATATCGTATCGCATCAGGATGTCGCCATCATCATGGTGCCGTCTTTTCCTCCGGTACCGGTTCGTTCAATCGTGCTTCTCGTGACTTTCTTCGGAGGCGTGCTTGGAGGGAGAACATCACCAGTATTATCAGAGCATTCACGATCATGACGATCTGCAACCATTTCACAGTTACCTGATAATATGTCAGTGGGTGATCTGCGACATGACGCGGGCGACTGACCGCTTCGGTGCAAGCTATGCTGGTATTCTCGCGGTCTCCCCTTGGCACGAAGCCTGGTTGATAGTTGCAAGCTGCCATCTCGCGTGTGCAGTACTGATTCGTGTTCAGTTTGCCACTCATCATCAACCTCTCGGAACTGCAGCCCCACTGGTCGTCGCCTCGTTCGGTATAGTGAAGCACGACGGCGGAAAGAGCAGTTGCAGATCCAGCAAGAGTGGTAACAACAATACTAAGCATCCAAAAGCGACGTGTGCTCTGAAGGTGGTCAGTCTTGTCTAATCAAATCGACCTCAAAGATACGTACAATGTTGTACTGCGAGTCCATATCTGGTTTGCGCAACGTACTCCAGGCAATAAGAGCCACAATAGCCGCCGTCAAATTCAGACATCCAGAAACGATAGTCGCATCTGTCGAGGCCTCCTTGAAGTAAACGATTGTGTCGTCTGTCTCGTACTGTTGCAGTCGGTCGTTGAAATTGCTTGTTACTACTTTGAGACCGCGTGGTATGACCCAATCTGTAAGGATCCAGTAATGCGTCGTCAATGCCACCGAGACGAGGGATATGAGGAGGAAGACAATTGACGGCACCAGGGCGAGTTTCAAAATCTTGTCGTATTGAAGCATGTTGACGTTCAGGAGTCGGTCCTACACTGTGGCAGGACGTCGCAAGTGATGGCCAGATTCCAAAAAGCGGAATAGCAGCCCGCAAGTACATGGGCATGACCTACCTAAAATAAGGCGCGACGCTCGTCCGTTTCCTGCTGCGCCGTTCCAACTACCAGGCGGATGTCTAAAAGCTTGTGCGGGTCTCGGCGCGCATCATGACCCGCCTCTACGATCCTCTGCCATGTCAGACATCATTAGGCTGCGCTACGCTTGATCCGCACCATAGACCCGTCACTTTGACGACTGGATGCGATGAGAGTCCCTCTTGTCGTGGAGTTTCATTCAGACACCCGCGCTGTCTGCGCTGTGAGATGCCTGATGTCTTTGCCGTACCGACCTAGATGGGTAGCGTGTCAGCCACGCGCCGCGGGCTTCACCGCATAAACGGCAACGACTCCGAGGCCTTGGTCGACTGGAAAATCGCGCTTGATGTTTGTTTCGCTGGTCGCCTAGCTGGGCGTAAAGAAGATCTGGTTTTGATTGGCAACGTTTGAATGTCATAGCTCTAGTTGGGGTTGAAGAACGTCATCAGGCCCCTGTGAGGAAGCAGCCGGCATCTGTGGATGGTATTGCCAAGACTTACCTACTTGTCGATTTGCCGTCGAACCCGACACCATACCTGTTGCAAGCATACATCATCATTTCGGGTTCGACGCAAAACGCAGGTACAAAGCGGGGAAACTGGGGTGGTTGGTACTGCCAGCCTCGTACAGCGTTCACATTGCTGATTACGTAGCAGGTAAGGCGCTGCTTCGCACCATCCTAAAGCGGCACTGCATCAAAGAACCAACACAGGTTGGTATCATCTTATCGCTTTCGTTTCTTTTGACAACACATGAATAGGACTTGTGCACTTAGCTCCTACATTGGGCCAGCAGCTCACGGCTCCTGCCATCCATTTGCCTCCAGTGACCAGTCTGGCCGAACTCCACATGGAACACAGCCAGGCCAGTACCACTCAGGCTTCCGCCCGCTGACGGAGTTCCGATACCCAAACCACATTCTTTGAATCTCAGGCCACTGGATGAATTGGCCACTTCCACCGCGAAACGTACTCTCCCTTTCTCCGACATCTGCTATGGTGAGGTCGGGGGGATACCTCCTCGTCCATGCAGGAGGATCGGGTTGGGTTGAATTCTGTTGAGTCACCATGCTCCATCCACTTTTCCAGGACGATGACTGCCAGTAGAACTCGTCTATTGTGACACTCCAAAATTTCCACTTTCCATTTTCAGAAACGATTTGGTCCTGGTATATGGCAGAATTGAAGCTGCCCGCTTTGTTGACGGACGTCGAAGGCTGCAACAGTCTCGCTCGCAGGCTTGCCGACCGGCCATCTTCTGAGACGATGATGACAGGCTGCAGACGCCAGTGGAAAGATATGCTAGATCGGAGTGCCGAACGGTTCGTACCATACGATGCCTTCATTGCTCCAGTTATACGTTCGGGGGTATGGAAAAATCCTGCGAATGGCGATGCTTTGTGTCCATTCTTCGCGAACAGCTCGCCCAGCTGCTTCCCTAAAATATCGTCGGCGTAATAGCCGTAAGCATGCGACAAGTTCTCACTACCATCACAGGCTGCACTACGTCGGAGGCGGCGCTTAAGGTCGTTGACTGTCACATTTGTCGAACGTGTCGTACTCCCTTCTGCCACAGGACTGCTAGTGACATTCAAGAATGGCGGGACAACTGCATCTGATGGCTTCAATCCACCTCGTCCCCACCCAATGTAGTAATCAGCAACGATCTGTGGCGCCACCACAATATCCTGGACCTTCCAAACCCCATTCTCTTTGACAATCCGGTTCCTGAAGACATTAAATTCCCATGAGGCAACCTGGCGGTTGACATCACCCAGCATGGCAATTTCGGTACCACGAGCTATAGCCTCTCTACCGTTTTCTTCCACTTCAACAATCATGTCGAAGATCGGATGATCGTTGTTGACCCCTTGCGTCAAGCCCTCTGGACCCATGCGTTTGAGAAATTGCCTGACACCAGTCTTACCTCTTAGTGTGGTTTCGTTGCCAATGCGTACAGTCGTATTTGCAGTATGCAAATCTACGACATCTGACCACATCCTTCGATCAACGTAGTAGCCATGGGCATGCATCAAGTTCCGAACATCGTCTTCATCGTTCAACCTCTGGATCCTAGCTCCTAGTTGCTCGATGGTCCCATTGTACGGTTCAGGGTCTCCCACTGCCGGCGGTATCGGTAGTCCAGACCCTTCGGCCGTGAAATGATACGGAACAATCGAGATGCCCTTGCCGTCAACATTACGCCAACCGTTTTCGTAATCACCCTTGTACATGTCGTAGTAGTGTAGCAACGATATATGCCACCGATTGTCCATCAAGATATATTCGTTTTCGTATACTCCGCCCTGGATTCGCGTTCCACCCTTGCCGTCGCCCTGGAACCAGATGCCGTTCCAGCGTCCTTTCGCGCGCTTTCCGTCAATGCTCAAGCTAACCACAGGGGTCTCGACGATCATTGTACTGAGAGACCCAGAAACCAAGCCGTTCATGTTACCAGAATCGTTGCGCAGCCATGTTTCGATTGACGCCGGACCATGAGCGGTCACGTTGCCCCAGATGAGGGTGCTGTTGATGCTGAAGAGTTGAGAGATGCTATTCCATTGCCCATACTGTGCGAAGTGGGACAACTGCCTTTGGAGGTCTTTGACTCGTCGCACCGATTCGACGCGCGCTACTTCGCGAGCGAGGGTACTTACATCAAGCGCTGCCTCAACGAAGACTGCACTAAGGAGGAAGAAGAGACATAGAAAGATAGAGAACAACATGACGAGCATTACAGTTTTGCATGTTCAGTTGCGGCGTTACACGCCAAAATGAGGGTTAAGTTATATCCTGGAGCCCCACATACTCATGGCAACTTATCAGTACCGCATATGGTCATTGATATTAATGCGCCGGCTATTGTCCGAACATTCAACTACCGTTGAAGCAGGACCGGCATATGAACCTGGCTTTGTATATCCCTCATAAATCCTGAACATCTGAGCTGAGCTTACATCCCGCAGTGGCGAGAAAGTTGTCTCAGTTGGACGCCTTCTATGTAGAAAGATTATAGAGTGACAACGCCACCCGATCCGCGCCTCCAGAATAACTTAATTGGGGATTGGGGAGTGCCCCAATAAACTTTCTGCAGTAATTTGAAGCGCTCCGGGTAACCCCCGCTGTACCCCATCGCATTTGAAACGTACCAGACCAGCTTTGATCCCACTACAATGGCCTCAAAGGATCCCAGTGTAAGAATTGCGGCGGGATCGACAATTGGTTCGAGTGCCCGAAAGTCGAAGGTGATACTAGCAAACATGATCGGCTTGGCTTCGTGCCGGACTTGACGACAGACATGAAGGGCCGTGAAGGGCCATGTCGTGTAACCCTTGATGACCGATCGAGGGACGACACGTGCGATCCGTGGAGCAAAAACTTCTTTGTATATGCGGTTTCGAAGTTCTGCTGGTAGGCGAAGCAGTGGGGAGGAGAGCTGGTTTTGCGCAGCACTTGGGTCGGTGTTAGTGAGTCGATGATAGTGGTCGAAATAGCTTACATTGAATCGCAGTCTCGGTCGGTCACCATGTTGGTGCGTTTGAGCTTATGTCGAATAGTGGGGGTACCCGGGATGTGATAGACGGAGGTGAGTTGCATCAAGAGGCAGGAAGAGAGATTGAATACCCCAAATGGCGGACCGTAGTAGCGCCGCCAGGCAACACACTCGCCACGCGCACATTCCATATCAACTTCGAACAGCACCGATTACGATATGGAAAGCGCAGGTCTTCTGCTCATATAAACACGACGGGCCACGGACTAGCTACCATAATGTCTGCGTCAACTTCTATTGTTTTCTAGCTAGTTCAACGTAGCCAAGTTCGCGGATGCGGAACATTCGGAAAACATCTTCGGACTCGTATCGTTTTCTCCACTCCAGCCTATTACCCATACATATCTTACAAGGTGAAATAGTAATGACATGTGTCATTTCAGACTCTACTCATCAGTATTCTTTTCTCAACTTGAGTGACTCTAAGTACTTTTTCCCTTATACAATGTCGTATCCGAGCGTCTAAGCGGGTAGGTAAATATGAAACTCCGCTGTGTACCGTATTACGTCATTGTTTCTACTACTCACCCTTTCTCCTACGCTTGAAGCTCCCTTTGGCACACACAATGTATTTCGATTTGCGTTATCGGTAGACAAGATGATAACAAGCTGATGTTATCGAAAAAGGTAGCGCAAATAAACGGTTGCTCATAGGGCAGCGTCAAGGGAAGATCTCAATACTCATCATAGTAATGAACTAGAACACTAGAAATTCAGGGACAGAGATTTTCAATGGAGGACAAAAAAATCTCCAATTTAAACGGAATATGTACGAAGTGATAGAATGTATATACAAGAACATATGAAGTTACTCTCCTTTAAGCGATAGCTGATTCCATCAGAGTCGCTTAGATCTTTCCGTAACCAGCGGTCTGCTGGACGTTCTTGGCGCTGGCAGCAGTACCGGCAGCGGCAATGTTCTTGCCCTTCATGCCGGCAATGATGCTGGTGTCAGAGCCAGCCATGGTGCCAGAGCTGCCGTAAGCGTTGGGCTCGCAGTTGCGGCCCATAGCAGACTTGCAGGCAGAGCCGTTGGAGCCAACAGCGAAAACCTTGCCTGGGAGACCAGACTGAGCAGCCTCCTTGACGTTCTGGAAGACGTTACCCTCAGCGATGATCTTGGCACCAGAGTCGGCCTCGAAAGCGTGCTGGGAGTTGGCGTAGAAGTAGTTGTTGACGGCGTGGAGAAGGGTGTTACCAGCGACCTTGGGGGAGCGGCCGGAGGTGTGGTGGATGTAGTTGCCCTTGAGGGTGACCATGTCGGAGCTGCCAGTGAAGTACATGCCCCAGTAGTGGTGGCCATCGCAGGTAGCAGACCAGGCGGTGGCACCGTTGATCTCGTTGTTGGTGATGGAAACGCGACCGGAAGCGCCGTTACCGAGAACAATGTGCTGGCGGGCGATGAGGTCGGTGGTGACGTGATCAATCCAGATCATGTCGGCGCCGTCAACGGTGATGGCATCACCACCCCAGACGTATTGAGGGTTGATCTCGGTGAAACGGACATTCTGAACAATGATGTTCTTGACGTTGCCAGTCATGCGGATACCCTTGCCCTTGATGACACCCTTGCTGCCCTGTCCAATCAAAGACTTGTTGGACTTGACAGTGATTCCGAGCATACCAGCCTTGTCGTAGGTGATGCTGCCAACCTTGGGAGCGTTAGGCTGGTAGTTGTCGCACCAGCCGTCCTTGTTGATGGCGATCTGGCAAGCGGAGCCAGTTCCCCATGGGCGGCAACCGGCAGAGGTAGCCTTACCCTCAGTGCCAGTGAAGTCGAAAGTCTTGGTGAGGACAATGACACGAGGAGAAGAGTCACCGAGGTAGCTGATGAGCTCCGCAGTAGTGGAGGGGTAGACAGGTTTGGCGCTGCCACCACCAGTGACACCTGGACAATGTTAGATTGAAGTCATAAATGGATATGTTGTGAGATATACCCTTAGCAAAACCCTCAGCAGCGCCCTTGACGGCGTCAGCAGCGCTGACACCAGATGCGAAAGCCGCAACAACGGCGGTGAAGAGAGAGTACTTCATAGTGAAAGGTTATCGGATTGAAGATAAAGAATGGCTAGCAAACACAGTTTGCTGAAAAGAATGACAGATGATGAACGAGAGAATGAGTGAGTGATAATAGAAGCTGGATGATATGATCCGGTGGCTGATCTCGCATCTTTATATCTGACAGGATTCTTGGCTGGTGTTTGAACCCACGCCCCACTCACTCTACGGAGATATATTCCCTTCGAGCATCCACCTGGATCCTTTGGCGCCGTTCATCACCGACTGCGGTAGATGTCGGGCATTTCCAGGTGTTACCAGGAGCGCGGCGCTGGACGCCGGCGTCTGGAAGGGGCGGAAAGTAACTTCGACGGACTGAGAGTCATGAACAGGTCAACAGTGCGTAGTTTGGCGTTGATGCGCTCAGGGAAGAGTTGCTTGACCGTTGTTTGCAAACAGGATGGCGTTGCGGATGTAGCTTCCCAAGGAGTCTAGTCCCGACAGTCCCGCTGTTGTTGTTTCATGTCAACATGACAGGGCAGCCGCTAGCTCCACAAAAATCATGCCTGGGTCATAGTTGGAAACATTTTGATTGAGCTTATCCGACATAAGATGAGAGGATTGCCCCTTGTTGGAGGAAGGAGACTTGGCCTGTGGCTCATGAGGCTGTGCTTTGCGATGTTATAGGATTCATTTTTCCGATAGGTGGAATCTACAAGTTCCAAAACAGGCTGGTCCGAGAATGCAAGGCTGACGGGAAAGTGTGATGAACAAGAATGGGACAGATGGTTAATTAAAGAATGCAAAGTGATACAGTCGCTGCTATCGCGCATTTCGTTGCTTGGAGTAGTGATGTACCCAGCTAGTGCTGTTAGCTGTCACCTGTCATCTGTCATATAACGCGCAATAACGCAATCCATCCCACAGCTGTCGGGAAGGTTGAGGCGTAAAGTTTGTAGTTGTTAAGTTTACTTCCCGTAGTACAGAACGGGTGGTGGGAGACAGAATGGCACGGGCAGAAGATGGATGGATGGTGGAGAGGCGTGATAGGATGACAAAACGGTGAGGCAGGGGTCGTGGCGACACTAGCGCGTTTTACCCACGGCTAGAGGACCAACACGTGGTTGTGCATGACGCTTTGCCTACTTTCCAATAGCTAGCCACAACAACGAAATGAAGCAACTTGAGAAGCCCAAGTCTCTCCACTGTCAGACTGCATAACCCAATTACACAGCTCAACGTCGACTAATCGCTGGGCTGCGAGGCCTGCACGCGACTTTCAGCATGAGGCGCCAACCATACAAGAGTAGCCGAAGCTATGAAAGGCAGAGCAACTCCTACCGTGCAGCACCGAGATACAGTAGCCAAGTTCCCTGTGATTACCAGGATACCCATCTTTCATCAGACTGCATCTCCTCGCCCACCGATTCGAGCTCGGACTACATCACCCCACGTCGTGGATCTTATGAAAATTCCCCTCTTAATTATAAGCAATATGTAAATCGGGCCATGGATCACGACTACACTACGCAGACGAGGCGGAGCAGGGATGGGAACGGGTTCTCGCAGCCTCGTCCGGGCTACCAACCGCGACCGACTCGTCGGCCGCATAGGACTCGATCTCAAGATTCAGACTACATAGCACAGGATTCCCAGTCTGACGATGATTACATAGCCTCACCTGAGCTAAAGAGAGATGTATGGAGGGATCGTACATCAAGCTACGACGACCGGTACAGCGACAATTCCTTTAGGGAAGCCTCACCGATCCGTGACTCTTCATCAAGACATCACAGTGAAAGTCCACCTTCAGACTATGCTCAGCATCACGAAAGGCGAAACACGCAGAAAATCAAGGCAGGCTGGGGTAGCAGCGACCTTCACACGCAAAGCCACAGCTTGAATCCTCGAGAGCATGAAAACTATCGTGAAGCAAAGCAATTTCTGGATCGCTACACCAAGCTCCACGCTCATACTGCGGATCGGTCCGACACCGAATCCTACAGTACCGGCGATAGTAGCCCAGCAAATCGCCAAGATGAATCTTACGAGCGATATCCAGGTCCTCAACGAGATGCTGAGGATTACTACGCGCCAAGGCGAGACAATTACCGAGAAAGACACCATGAACAACGTACTCGTTCGCGGCATGCGAATAACCGTTACCACCGGCCCGAGGGGGAGTACGACGAGTACAATCAGCGCAATCGCTATGAATCTCACTCGAGGAATCTAGAACCCCAATTTAGTCGGCCTGGTCCATCCTACCCAGACGCTGAAGACCAGTATACGAGCACCTTTTCAGCTCCTCATCCCTCAAGACATGCAGACCGCTCCTTCAACCGGACCGGCCCCGTATATCCAGACCGCAGAGACAATACTCACGCCACTGCATACTCTGACATAGCTTCTCGACCCAGTACCTCACATTCCGACCGCTTGTCTCGCGTACCCACAGCCGTTGACTCAGAAGACTATCCCTCACCGCCTCCTGCGGTACCTACACCACCTTTGCTTGGGCGGCAGCGGCGGCAGAGCGGTAGTGACTATGGTCTCATGCCTGGCGCATGGGGAAGCAGGAGCAGAAGTAGAAGTAGGAATGGATATGCATCTGGAAGGAGCACAAGGAGTAGGAGTCCCTACACCTCTCCTCCTAGACGGAATAAACATACCAGGAATAGAAGGATGATTGGGAGCTATATGAGTGACAGTGATGATGACGGTTTAGGAGAGGGTGATGACTACCTCCCTAGCGACAGCGACGACGATCGAATCAGTGTGGGTGGTGGAGGGCAGAGTGATATCTGCGAGAAAGATAGTTGGCGCAGTAGAGATGGAGGAGGGTATACGAGTGAAGGGGTTGAGAGTGGTGTTGCTGGAGGTGCATCTTATCGTGGAAGATGGTAGTGAGGATCAAGTGCAAGTAGGCGAAGATGCGGGTTCTGAGTGAAGGACATAGAAGTGTAAAAACTTGATAATATCGTCATCTCACACTCTTTTCTGAGATGCGGTGAGATGGTACCACTACCATTGCATTAACATCTTCATCAAACCGGAAGTATATCGTATGCACAATCGTATGGTAATCCTTGCCCGTATTCAGATAGTTCGAGCCACCTGTCTCTTTGATATGGTACAATGTTCACTTCTTCGTCTCTTCATCTCTGTTCCTATGCACTGGCTGTCGCCTCGGTGGCATCAGGAACGCCCGCCTCGGCTAGAACCTCTGTTGGCTTCAGTTCTGCGGTTGACATGGGCCCAGCAGGCCACGGCTTCCCCCTCGCATCTTGAACGCGGATAATCTGGTTCTTCGGTCCTGGTACGCAGCCTGCATGCGGTGTTAGTATCCAATCACACTGGTTCGCTTCATATTTCTTACCATTGACAACAACAATGCCATTCTGCTCGTCGATCTGTAACACCCTCAAGTTCTTGACAGTCACGCTCTCATTGCCCATGTTTCCCGGCATACGCTTGCCAGGTAGCACACGAGAACCTGAACCTTGGGAACCTCCGGCTGAACCCATACCACGATGCATGAGCGATTGACCGTGGGATGCTGGTTGACCGCCGAAACCGTGTCGTTTCATACCCTGAACACATCAGTTGTCAGTCCCTGTTCCTATTGCAGCTCGTATGCCATGTTGAACTTACACCAGCGAATCCCATTCCCCTGCTTATCGCCTTGACATCCACCCATTGTCCCTTTGTGAACCACCCCGCGCCAACCATCTCCCCGATGCCAACGCCCAGCCCTGCCTCGTCCCTAACCTTGAATTCAACAACCCACCTCTTAGGACTCACGCCCGCACCCGCAAAATGTCCCAGCATGGGCCTGCTGACATTCCGCGCTTCTTTTTGTCCAGCACCGATCTGCACCGCCCAGTATCCATTTTGGTCTCTCCGTTTGTGCGCAACCACTTCATTACGGTCAAGTTGTAAAACGGTGCATGCTGTGCGCTTCCCTGTTTCGGGGTCGTAGATGGATGTCATGCCCTTCTTGAGGGCGAGAAGACCCGTTCGCAGGGGTGTGCTGTGGGCTTTTCGCTCGAGCGCTGCGGTAGATGTGCTGGTGAGGGCTTCTCGGGCGGGATGATGTGCGAAGCGGTCGGGTTTGGGCGTGAAAGTGGATTTTATGGTTCGGATCGATGTGTATGCGATGGCGGGTCTTGAGGATATCTGATGCGCATTTTGCTGGAGGACGGAGCGCGCTGATGAAGGAAGAAGAAAGGATGGTGGTGTGAGACCCCAATTGAGGGGTGCTTTGGGTGGCATTGTGATTATGGTATGGGTACGTGGGATATGCGGCGGTGATTGTTCGCCGCGGATATTTTGACATTCCCGGCTTGAAGCTCAGATTCCTGCACGGACCACATCCCGCACGTGTAGCCGCGTTCACAGTCACGCTTCGAGCTAGGCTCAAAGTATCCTAGCAGCTCATCGTGGGGTATCCGGACCCCCCTCTAAATGAAGTAGGCTTCATCACAAACTCGGATATTGTGAAAGTTTCAAGCAGTGTTGTAGGAGATGTTATGTTTTTGAGCTTTTAGAGCACAGCCATGTCCAGCAGGCAGGGTACCGAGATACAAGGAGACTATACAAGTCAGATACCACCCGTTCTCAACATACAGCTATATACCATCTGCATCTCTCTTTCCCACAAAAGCAAAAAAACTATAGCAATGGGTATCCTCCAGGTTGTAGAAACGCCGTTAACTCCTGCACCACACAGTGGTGCGTAATGTGACATGCAAGACCCATATCAAATAGGTTAAATACCTCGCGAATATCTCGTACATGACGAACTGTTCTGGAAGATTGCGAGAACACAAGGTGATTGTTGTACTGAGTATCTCAGTTAGGTAGGATGATCGCAGGATTTCCATGAGCGACGCAGTTGGGGGGCAAAGACTATACAAGGTCAGTATACGGATATTCAAATCATTGCAGGATTGAGAGCTTACGCGAGACACCACAGAACCCGGACGCACTATGGTATTGGGCCCAATGTGAACTCCTGCCTCGATCACACAATTATCGCCAATGTACACATTTTCCCCAATGTGTACTTCTTGCGCGATCTCGGTACCGTTGCTCCCTTTCAATGACTTGTTATCGGTGGGTGTTTTCAAAGTCTGTATTGTGACCCGAACTCCAATCTTACAGTTCCTTCCGATAGAGATCCTTGCAGAGTCGTGGAGATGGCAATCAGCACCAATGACAACATTTTCGCCCATACTAAGGTGGTAGCCGTAGTCACAAGCAAAAGGCGTAGCGACATGGCAATTGGGACCCATGTGAATCTCAATTTGCTTTCCTTCACGATGACGACTTGCATTCAGAATCTGTTTGAAAAAGTGGTCGACGGTTGTGCTCGACAAAACGTTGGAGGGATTTGCCTTGCTGCTGTTGAAGATGGACTGGGCTTGCGTGCTAAGATGGCGTTCGTGCATTAGGGTCTTGTCAAAGGGGTTAAATGGCTCCCCCGCTAGCATCTTGTCTTTCTCAGATCTATACGTCATTGAGGAGGACTCTGTAAAGCGCGTCGGTGATCGCGTGGGTGGCAAGGATGTTGGCGGTGGAGGAGGCGGCGGACGAGGATGCTGCTGTGCCACATGTAGCTGTTGGACAGGCTTGGCGACCCTGCAGATGTGTAAGCTGATGAAGTTCAAGTACGTTTGTGTTTTGAATACGCATGACAGATACGATCCATTGTCGGCAGCCTTGTCTTTCAACTCGACGTGTTTTCAGCTAAGAGGAAATACTCACATAGTGGTGGCAGGGACAGCAGTGTTGATAGCGAGGTGATTTGTGCTTGGTGGAGCATGGTGATAGCCACGAGAGGTATGGTGAGGCTGCTGTTGCTGTTGAGATACCGGTTGATGATCGTGGGTTGAGGGTCTCTCATAGTGGTTTGCCGCAGGTTGCATATACTGTGCCGGGGGCGGCGGGGCCTCCGGTTGGTAAGCCGCTCGGACTGGTGGAGGTGCAGGATCACTCCAGGATGACTTCCAAGGCTTGCGCTCGGTACTGTTGCCTGGATGCATTTCGGGTGGTGGGTAAGGGGTTTCACTGCTTTGTGGCCCACAGTGGGGCGTGTGCTTTTCTTGACATGTTGGGCACGACGTATAGGCAGCATACTTCTCCTTGGCTAGTATGGCAGGCGGTTTAGCAGGCCCATTCTTTGGCCAAGGTACTTTGTTGGCATAGCCCTCACAAACGAAACCGCCTCGTGTGCAATTATTGCCTGGTAAGGGTCAGACTTTGTCAGACTTGGAACGCATGTTCAAACATACACTCTGGTTTGGCCTCATCGCACTTCTTCTTTCTCCTTCTGCAGGTTCCACAACCAGTCTTAGTGCGGTTGGCAAATTGCTAGAAAAGTTAGTATAGTAAAGGGGGTGGGCCAAAGATACATACCCGTTTCCTCTTCTTGAGCTCGACTTGTACGCCGGCACGCGTGAATTCAGTCTCTTCAATCATGTCGCGCGACTCGGGTGACAAAGCATTGTTGCGGGAAGGCTCTGTAGGACGTGGCTCACGGGGTTGGAAATGATGAGTCGCATGAGGCAGTTCACGGGGCTCGGTCTGCCAGCGGCGTTCAGCATCTGGACGACCTAATGGAGGCAAACTTGGTAATTGAGGGGTCTCCATGCTCATGGTCGTGCTGCGGTTCAGAGGCTGGTAGGGAGGCGGAAGCTGTCTGGGGCCGGCAGTCGTCTGATCAGGGCTGTGCTGACCGTAGGCGCCTTCGTCGGATCCAGAACGCCTCCTCTTGTTTGGGTTCTCGGGAGACGACCTTGTCTTGTCAGAACTATTGGGAGACTTATCTCCACTGCTAACAGTGGACGAGCTCGAATCGCTGTCTGGAGAGTGACGGTTGTGCTCAGGGTCTGGAGAGGTAGGGCTCCAAGTAGAAGATTTAGCGACAACGGATGGCTTTTGCTCGTCGGGTGGACTCAGAGACAAGCGGCCATTGACGGACGTGAAGGCGGGGCCATGGGGAGCGGAATTAAATGCGGGCATATGCAGTACGGTCGACATGTCCAAGGCGGGATATCAGAGGCTGGATGGATGGTTCACGGAATCAAGTCGAATCTACGGTGGAGTGTGGGTAGGGTGTCCAGCCACCATAATCTTGCCGGGCAGTTTTGATGGGCTTGGTGAAGGTGGATGCAAGTGTGCAGTGAAAGATGTCGGGGATGAAGTCGGTGGTTACACTGTAGCGTAGTCGAAGCAAGATGAGTTCAACGGTCAGGCCAGGTACCGTGCGGGAGTCGAGGACGTGTGGCCAGAGCGGAGTCTGTGCTCTGAGGTGTTGTGGTGGTCGAAGGAGGTTCCTGGCGAGCACGGGCGTGTCGTGGTGTTGTCGGGCGATGATGCGATGCCAGCGAAGCCGCCTCTCCACGGCGGGGACTGTATATGGCGGGAAGACTGTATATGGCGCGACGAATGTGGGAGGGGCGACCCGACGACGCCAGACGCTGGCCACGGGTGAGCAACAGGATTCAACGGAGGGCGGCTGTTCGCTCCTTCTGCTGGCGCACACATGGGCTCTACACATCCCGGGCAGGCACCCATGTCGTCCCTTCCTCATTGGCCCGAGCTGCAGGCGGCCCCTGCCCCCCGCGTTTATCTGTCCCACCCGAGCTGCGACAGAACCATCACCGAACACCTCGTAGAAGGACCACAGACGCGGTTCCTTCGACTATCTACATAATAGACCCTGCATTTTGACCGCTGCCACGTTTTTTGGGCGGAAAAGTCGCGTCTACAGCCCTACAGCCGTTTTCTGGGTGTAGAGGAGGGTAGAGTGGGCGGAGAGGCCTCCAGGATGGCACAGACGACTGCGTGCGACGAGCGCTCCCGGCGTGCTGGCATGCGAGGTTGATCGACCAGAAATCGTTAGAAGGATGCAAGCCAACGCGGAAACACCACATTAAAGTGCTGTGTCGTTGTTATTGGCGCTGGCCCAACCTTAGCTTATCCACCTGCTCCATCGCCAAACGCAGTAGCCGCGCTGCACGCCCTCCCTCACCATACACGTCCACCCAACCGCGGCATCAAGCCCGCCAGATAAACCCCCTCTGACACGCAACACGCATCTCTAACCATCGCCCAAAGCCAGCCATGGCTGCTGCGAATCACCACACTCACTCACCACCACCGCTCACCGCGCTGCGTATCGCCCAGCCTCCCGCGCGCTTCCATCAAGGGGTGCCGTCATGGCCCTTCGGCACTGCCTCCTCCTAACCGCCTGCTCAGAGGCCTGCCTGCGCCGGTTTCAAAGCCAGCACCAAACAAGAAGGCGCTCATGGGTCTCGCCGTGTTTCATTTATCAAGATCCACGCCGCACACCACGCCCACCACGCCCACCCGTCTTATGCTCTTAGCATCATCAATATGCTCGCTTGCGGCACTGCTCTGGGCCTGATGCTGCTGCCTCGATCCATTACCATGTTGCGAGTGCGGCTATCCACTGCGTGATGCCCTCCATGGTTGGCTGCCCGGCCCGGCTCGTACACCTTCATCTACGGGCGCTTCGCGTGCAAACTTTTTGCTCGCCAGGAACCCGCACGCTCAAATTGGTCAAACCTCCTCCACTACTTGGAGAGCCGCGATGCTTCTCCTCGGCTAATGTGGCAAGTGAGCAACTTACCCGTCGTATGTTGTATCTGTCTGACTCTCAGGCGTTGCTCGACGATCGGTCATGCGTCTAACCAACCCTTGTACGTCAGCCAATAGCACCTCTCTAGTTTCGCCACGCATTGCACACAAATGACGCCTCGTTAAGCGCGGCCGTTCGTCGGCTGCGACATGTCGTTGTGGTCACTGCAATGTAGTTCATATTATGCGTGCGCATTTCGAGCACAAATCCAACAGTCCGCCGAGCTGGTTCTTGCGGCGCGTTCCGTTCCCGCTAATGATCAGACAAAGACGTGGGACTGCGCCGTACGGCATTTTCCTCGCAACTGTGCCGCTGCATTTCCAGTCCTCTGGTCGCCCAGAATGGCTCACCCCTTGCTTTGGTGCCCAGTCAGCTGACGTCTACTCTGTTCTGAGCCTCGCCTCATCCTTCCGCCATATGACTCGAGTAGCGAACGGGAAGCGCGGAACAGCGCGCTTGTCACCAACGTCCACATGCGCCGCCTACCTCCGTGCTCAATCTCGATTATTCTGTCATATTGATTGTGGAGCAACACATTCCGTGTCCAAGACGACGCGTCTAACCTCCGCTTCTGTTTGGGCTTTATTCAGAACACGTACCCAGTCTCGCCATTGATGTGTTTCCTGAAACTCCAAGGCTTTTGGATCTGGTCGCGCTTACACATCTCCAAATCCTACGGGAACATGCACTGGCTTGAAAATGTTCACCGCGATATTCGCGCTCCTCTTGGCGACGAGATTCGGCATTTCATTAATGCCGGTCACACCGACAGAATCTGAAGGATTGCTCGTCGGCAGTCTGTTGCGGCATTAGTCAGATTTGGTCCAGATCCCAGTGCAGCATGCTGTACTCGAACTTGGCGACCTCACGATCGTAACAAATCTTCTACTGTGAATTCCTTTGCATCATATGTTGTCACTCTGTTGAAATCTTGGACATTGAGTGTACCAACGATACTCTTCGCAAATTCAGCCCATTTGGCCAGCACCAAACGGGTTGAGACGATGCCGGGCTGCGGCACAGTCTGCATTCATCTCCGGTTACGTGTGCGGCGTTGGCAGGATTCAGAGTCGAGACGGATTACCAACGCACCTTCCCGGCGTAAGATTCTTGGGATCGATCAAAATTTCAATGTGTTGGCAAGGGAACTGCTGGTGAACTACTGATGAATAGTCTCCCGACAATTTGGTACCGACGGTTCGCTTCAATGGATTCCGCGTCTCTCGCATTAGACAATGGCTGACTGTAAAAACCTGCGTCTCTAGCAGAATGACAAAGACACTCGGAATATTACTGGTGTATTGTACTTGATGCTGATTGCAGGATGGCGCGCTAGCTACAACACAATTGCTCCGAAGTCCGCCCTTTCGCAACCATACGAACCCTTCCAATCTTTACGCCCGACAGCTGAGAAGCGCGTCCCGAGGAAGACAAGATCTTGTCGATATATGTAAGGGGTGATTTACGCCCTGCCCGTGCCGCATTTACCGAACCGTCGGTATACGCGCTTCTAATCTGGGATTGCTGTAGCATTCACTCTGGCTCCTCAGTTGGTACAACACCATCTTCCTCCACCGATGAACAGGATCTGAACATGAACCGCATTGCTCACTGGGACGAAACGTCATCATCGTATGCATTGCTTAACGTGGAAGAGTAAGCGCTTACCGAAGCGCTTAAGGTTTCACAAACTGCGTATACATACAACTGCCGGTCTCTTTGGGCCGTATCCTCACCCAGGCGACACGCGGTGTGACGAATCTGCATAAGCTCCCTGTGAGATCTCGCCGCCATCCGATCGCCCAATCAAGAAGCAGAAGTCTCCCGACTACACCTATGTACTTTTCTGGCATCGATCGCTGTATCGTCGTCATATTGCGTTCCCAGAGTGCTACTCCAAGGTTGCATTTCTCAGCATGTGACATTTTGCCCCAGTGAAAAGACCCAAGGTGACGTACTTGGCATATAATATTGTTCGGGGATCCCCTTAGAACAGCATGACTGTCCGAGACGTGGCTATATTTATCATAAGCGTACGAGGTATACATAATCGCACTAGCCGACGCCTGCTACATCTGGATAACTACTCCGTTGATAAAAAAAAACTAAAGTTCACTAATAGCGCCGAATCGTTATAAGACTGATGTTGAGGTTTCGCCGCCGATGAATCCGCTACTGGAGTTCATGAATTATGCTCAGGTGTATTCTTAACAGCACCAATCGCAAGTCGTCTTGCCTGAGACCCAATTTATGTCAAGCGTCAACATCGTTCGACTCTCTTGAATCATCTAGCTCGCTGTAGTTTTGGTCAAGACCAGTTGAGCCCGTTTTTAGACCATGTCTCAAGTAAGATTGTTACTATGTATCGGCTGCGCTTGTAGTTTATAATGCCAATTTAAGCTCAAATTGTCAGTCGCAGCCCTACTACAGTTGATTCCATTTATCGGAACATATACTGACTTGGTAGACAACTCTCCGAAGACAACTTGGCGTCCATCCAATGGATATAGCGGTTTCAGAGTATGCCCCGCTTCGATATCCAGTGGTTCACCCAACATCAAAGTCTTAGTCACGAGCCTTACAGCACACGCATATTGGCGACTCGACAAGAGAACAAGCCGCTCAAGTTTGTACAAATGCAAGAATCTGAGTTGATATTCTCATTCGATGCTACTTCCTACTTCCTTTCCTCTCTTGCCGTCCGCATAGTGTACAACTCGAATAACGTTTTCCCACAAAGATCCAAATTTGGGGGGTATCAGAAAAATGCGCGCTTGTTTACTTTGAGGGTAAAAGGACAAAAGAGAAGTGAATCCTCCAACCCTACCATAATCTCCCCTGGCACACTCCTCGTCTGTGTGCATCGTTCTGGATGTGCATATGCTTTGGTATGCTTTCCTCTTCCTCAAATTTGCAGCTTCGACCTCTGCTACCTTCTCTCTCGCTGGTTCCTGCGTCCTTCCGCTCCAATGTATGCAGGTTGAGTGGTTTGCTTGCATCTTCCTTCTGTTCAAGCTCTAATCCGTCTTCCAGTGACTTGTTAATCTGCCGTCGTCATCCGCATTCGAGATCTTCAATTCGATGGCGTATAGCCCCATTGTGATACCAAGATTGATCCATCTCCAGAAGTTACCTCCAGCGTCACCGCCTTGGTTCGTCCACCACTCACCTGTCACGGCACTTCCGTCGCCGCCATTTCCGCTGGCGAAGTGCTGCATGAGCAGGCTGGTGTAGACGGCGATGATAATACTTGGGCTGAACCAGGTCAAGAAGCCTAGAATCTTGGATGTCTCGTCGTCATCGTCGAGACTTGGTTCTTGGGATAGCGCGCGAGCACCGCTTTCGCGAATGGCAGGAATGATGCGCGCCGCAGCGTACATGACGAAAACACGGTAGGCAAGAGAGATGATGACAGAGGGCGTGATAGTCATGACAGCACCGACCATGAGGTTGAAACCGGTATGGGCGATGGTAGGCAAAGAGCCTAGTGCATGGAGAAGGGTGGTGTATGAGGCCATAATGATAGGTGGCAGCGGCGGCAGGGCAGGGTCAGAGGGCGCGCTTGATTCTGCAACAGAGCCTGGTGTTGGCTGGTAGTCGGTGAAGATCTGGTAGATGCACAGAGTAACATAGGCGAACTGCAGGTATTAGTAATGAGGTGTAGCTTCGGAGTGCTTGACTTACCAAAAGCGATGATTCGACCGGATTGCCTCTAGCACTGACGATACCCCATCCACCAAGGAAGATGGCGGTTGTAATAGCGACTCCGATCAGGATGGCGTCGACGTTGCTGATCTCTGGAAAGGTAGTGATGCGCCAAAGGAAGTAGACTGAGGTCGAGATGATGGATGCGGAAGTGATAAGAAGGCCGATCTGGAACTGTTAGTCTACTGTCAAGAGTGGAAGCGAGAGTTCATACCATCCAACTGTCACCACGTTCCTTGTTGACGACCCATCTGGTGATCTGGCCTGCGGCTTGGATGACCAAAAGACTGCAGAAGCCCTCGGCAATCTGGAAGACGGGTGTGCTGTAGCGCAGAGTCTTGTCCCAGGCACCTATCGAGGCACTCTGCAGCAGTCCCTCACTGCCAAAGATCCATTCTTGCACCGTCTGGTAGTCGGCTCTCTTGCCGCCAAAAGTGCGTTGTACCCAGCCCGAATTGGCGTCGGCATCGATGGAGAACTTGTTGAGGCTCCAGATCAAGAGAGTAGGTATGGCCAGCCACTGTGCCCACGCTATTACATTACAGAGGAACCATCTGAAGCGCGAAGAGTCTGGCGTGGCTAGTCGTAGCGTCGAGTAGACAAAGTAGTAGACACTGAGAGACAGGGAGAAGGCCAGTCCACAGGTGCGGCCGCCAATGTCGAATGCGAGGGGTATGGTGAAGATGATGGCGCCGAGGAAGGTTGTCGACGAGACTACCCGTGATGCTGTGGCCCACATGCCCATGCGGACGCCGTCCTCGCCAAGCTCGTGCAGCAACGAGCGTGGCCTCGGTGGTGGGCGGCGACGGAGATTCGAGGAGTTTGAAGCGCGACGGACGCGCAGGCAGCGCGGGAGAGGGTACTGGGAGTCACTCGACGTGTGAGTGGGCGTGCGGGAGACGTGGTTGAAGATTCGCGAGCAACGCCCTGGCTATCGATTATCTTCACGTGTCAATCTCGCTAAGTGGAAAGCTCGAGCGTCGCGGAGAGCGGCTGCACAGTGCTGGGCCGGGTCTGAGGGAGAAGCAGCTCTGGATACCGGCTGGGAGCTAGCTGCAGGGTGAAGAATCGGTGCACGAGGGACTCTGATACTGATATTGCCTGCTCTGTGCGAGTAGGCACGACTTGGGGCTACGGATGGATGCGTGCTCGCGTGCGCAATCTTGGAACAGCGCACGATGATGGCGACGGCACGAGTCTAGGCCTTGACGTCGTCCAGCCGTCGGTGTTCTCCCACCTTCACGACGCTTATGGCGTCTTCCTCTCTGAATGTGACGATCTTGCTGCTTTGCTTTTCTGTGTCCCCTCCACTAGCGCGCCGACACCTGTGCCAAGCCAAGCTGCCCGCCGCTGGACGCTCGTCGTATGTGAAACTTCTACTAGCAGCAATTGCATGTTCAAACTACGACCTTTGTTTGCACAGCCTACGCATAACATTTGGAATACCCACAACGTAGTCAGGCAGCACTTCTTCACAACCTTCACACGTACAATGTCCGCCGAAAGCCCCACCAAGAAGCTCAAGACCGACGTGCCTGTCATTGGCACGCACAATGGCCACTTCCACGCCGACGAGGCCCTTGCCGTTTCCATGCTCAAGGAGCTGCCCACCTACCGCGATGCCCAGCTAGTCCGCACCCGTGACCCTGCCGTCCTCGCCGAGTGCCACACCGTTGTCGACGTAGGCGGCGAGTACGAAGACGACAAGAAGCGCTACGACCACCACCAGCGCGGCTTCGAGGTCGTCTTCCCCGGCCACACCACCAAGCTCTCCTCTGCTGGACTTGTATACATGCACTATGGAAAGGACATCATCACGGCTGTCACTGGTCTGGAGGGCGCCGACCGCGACCTTTTGTACGAGAAGATCTACACCGACTTCATCGAGGCTTTCGACGCCAACGACAACGGCATCAACGTCATTGCGCCCAATGATCTCGACAAGGCGGGACTGCAGAAGAAGTTTGAAGACCGCGGCTTCAGCATCGCCAGTGTAGTCAACCGCTACAACTATGGCCCCAAATCCCCCACTTCAGACGAGACCAAGACAGCAGAGGCCAAACAAATGGAGGAGGACCAGCGCTTCAACAGAGCCTCTCAGTTCGTTGGGGAGCAGTTCCGCTGGGAGCTCGTCGACCGCGCTCGGTCGTGGCTCCCTGCTCGTCACCAGGTCAAGCAGGCGTACGACGCTCGTCTCCAGTACGACCCCCAGGGACGCATCTTAGTCCTCCCCGAAGGCATGCCATGGGCCGACCATCTCTACAACTTCGAGAAGGAGACCCAACAGCCACAGGGTGTCGCACCCCAGGTCCTATATGTCCTTTTCCCTGAAGACCAGCCCGAGGGCAAGTGGCGTATTCGTGCCGTCAGCAAGGAGAATGGCGGCTTCGAGAACCGCAAGGATCTTCCAGATGCATGGAAGGGTGTTCGTGATGAACAGCTCGACCAGGTCTCTGGTATTCCAGGTTGTGTCTTTGTCCACGCTGCTGGCTTCATCGGAGGAAACAAGTCGTTCGATGGTGCGCTTGCCATGGCGAAGAAGGCCCTGGAATTGTAGGTAACTGTGAAGGAGTGATATTAACACTTTGGTTTGAGTGTATGGCATAGAGCGACGAAAGCTGCTCTTCATTTTGCATATGCATGGTCGGCGTTCTGGCGCTTCATACGAAAAGTTATGATACCAACGATAGACTTGGTTGGAAGAATCATGAAATACATGATCAGCCTTTGGCAGACGGCTTGGTTTGGCGTAATTTCCTTGTGAGGTCTCTTAGATAGGTTTCTTCACGAGCCTTTGGGTCTTCATAGTCCTTTGTATCACATCGCTTCGAGAAGCCCATCATAGCGAGCGCGTGAACGTCAACAATCCAAGCAAACCTCTCGAACTGTTCACCTCGTCATTGACCAGTAATGGTATCGTCAATGCACCAATGGCACGGGCCCATGGAACTTGGGCATGTTTGGAGCCCTCGACGTCGGAGATCATCGTTGCACGCCAATGACAGCCTCGCGCACACGACAGCCGGAAGACCCTGATTATTAGCTTGTTGCGCGAGCCAGATACATAATCAGATCTTCAGTGCAAGCTTCAGGTACCCCACGCCCTGCGTCAAGGCTAGATCAAGTCCACCAACGAAACCTGGCCGATTCGGGTATAAGACGTCATGCGGAGAGAGTCGGGATGACTGGCCCAGACGCCGCTGAGGGAAGCACACGACTCGAGCCCACAGTTGTCAGCGCCTCGACTGTGATTGGTCGGAAAAGTCGAAAGGCGGCTGTCCGTGGCAAGAATTTGTAGATCCGAAAGAGTGACTTCGGATAGAAGGCTCTCGTACGCTCGTTTCATATTGCTTTCCTGTCAACAAATCAAACAACCACGACTCCCTTGCTTTTTCCTTTGTGACAGCGCATTATTTCTCCAGCTTTTCACACCGCACATTATCCCGAGACGGCTTTGCGGAGAATCAGAGAAACAAGGCTCGAGCGGTGAAAAGCGTTGAGCACTTCCCGCTTTCCCCGACGATCGTTTATCGCCAGCGCACGGCTTGCTTTTCGGCCTTTGCCCACCCATCTCCAAACCTTTTGCACCCTTCACACTCTACAATCCACCCAAAACCCACTCAAAAGCTATCGCAGCCCATCGACCTATACCGTCGAACCACGACTTTCGAATTGCTGCGACACGTAACATTGCAGCGACAACGTACATCACTCGGATCCACATAATCGCGCACACGATCTCACAATGAAGTATTTCCAGCAGACAGTCGACTTCGACTACTCGTGGGAAGAGGTCTCGACGAGCAACTGGCAGAAATATGGCCCTTGGAACGAGAAGACACCGCATGTCATCGCCGTTGATACCTTAAGTCGCTCTGTCGACCCTGCGACAGGAATCGTGAGTGACTCCTTCTTTCACATGTCAATCCGGCACGCCCCACCACTATCACCGAGCAAAAAAACTAACACAACACAGCTTCGCACAGAGCGTCTCATCACATGTCGGCAATCAGCACCGAAATGGATCCAAAGCATCCTCGGCGCCCAAGACACCTCCATGGTCTATGAGACTTCCTATGTCGACCCTGTTGCCAAGAAGCTCACCCTTTGCTCCATGAACATGACAATGTCCGACCTCCTCAACGTCCGCGAGACCTGCATATACCAGCCTGTCGCATCGTCACCCGACACCAAGACTGCTTTCACCCAGCGCGCTGAAATAACCGCGTTGTGCGGTGGCTGGCAGAAGATCAAGAACAGTATTGAGCAGTTTACTGTTGAGCGCTTCCAGCAGAATGCTGCCAAGGGCAAGGAGGGTTTCGAGATGGTGCTCGAGCGCGCGAGACAGGTGTTCCAGGAGCAAAGGGAGATCCTGGAGCTACGACAGGCGCAGCAGGATAGCAAGATCCTTAAGCAGGCCAAGATTTAAGAGGATCCGACAAAATCCCGCATCGTGGTCCTCAATATCCTCTAGTTAACGGACAGCCCGCAAGTGCTGCGAGCCTACCCGTTCAACATCACCATACGGTCCTTCGGTTATCTCCGCTCGATCTATTCCCATCCATCTCGACTCCTTTACGTCCTTTCGTTTTCTTCTTACAAGCGTTCGCGTTTACTGGGTGGGATATCTTTCTTCAAAAGTCACTTTAACGGCGTTGTCAAAAGCATGGGAAAGGCGCGGATACCCTTTACTTCGCATATTAGACGCCATGATGCATCCCATACACGATAGAGACGAACTATATAAGCATTATTAGAATACCTGAATCATCAAGAAGAATACTACTACTTCGATATTCTTACTATCACTTTGAGCCCTTCATTCTGTGAGTGATGGGAGGTTTCGTTTACTTGTAAATGAACTGCATGTATCTGTGTCACACGTTCACCGATGGTCAGGAACCTCATCTTAAAGATTTCTTCTCTCAACTTCCAATACATCGCAGCAAACATGGAATGCCCACACACGCAACAACGTATATCTAACATCAATGTCCGCCGTACTTAAATCCTCTTTCTAATGTGAATGCCAGGATTGCCTGTTGGCTTACGCCCATCATACCCAGATGGCACATTACCCCCATGTAGCCTTTGGCAATCTATTGGCGTCCTCGACGACGTATCTGATCCTCGTGCTGGAGCCAGTTCCAATCAGATTTTACTCACATTGTTTGTTCACTGTGGGCGAGGTTGACTGCCTTGGGCCACTCAGTCTCGTATAGCTCGTTTTCCTAGCTAAACACAGGCTCTTGGGCTATCTATCGTAGCTATAGACGTCTGAACACTCGATCTAGATGTTCTTACGGTAGATTTGGTGCAAACATCTAGCGATACTTTGATCCTTTTCAGCTGCCTTAGGCAACACTTCTTCGACACTACGGCCATTGTCGGAGGCGTGAAGTGCTTCAATGGACTCTAAAACATCATATGCGGGCACTCCTTGATGTCGAAGCAACGCACCCTGGAGTTTGATCCACTCGAAATAGTGGAGAGGATGATGATGATGCAATCTCATGTGCGAGTGACAAGGTGGGATGCTGCTGCGGGGAAGTTGCGAGCGGCAGCTTATCTCCGAGCGGCACTCTCAGCACTCAACACATGGTTCGATGATTCATGTCCAGCCGAAATATTCAAAAGCATCGAGGAGTCATTAAGCGGTTCCACAAGAGGCAAAATCACACCGTAGTGGTCTCAAACTACAGTGCTTCCCGCGCTGATATTCCAGTTCTGCCTGAGCCAAGTTCCACATACACACTTACATCGACATGAAGCAAGTGGATTCAGAGGGCTCCGGAATGGGTGGCGCATCTGGCGTCACTCTTCCAGAAACATCAGCTGTACTCAATGTAGAAGAATACGCCTCTAAACCACAAAGCCACGGCCGTACAGGATTCCCAAAACAGGACGGACAGTCACTTTCGTATTGGCTACAGCAAGTTCGATGCGATCCGCTACTAGACCACCGCACAACGGATGACCTACCTCACGAAGCTGATACGGTCATCATTGGTTCTGGCATTACGGGAACACTAGTCGCAAAGCATCATTTGGAGACATTTCCTAGCAAGAGTGTCGTCGTCCTCGAGGCACGGGAGTTCTGCTCCGGTGCAACAGGTCGTAACGCGGGTCATTGTAAACCTGATCAGTGGCGACATTATGAGAAGTTTGCCCAAGCGTATGGACAAGACCAAGCCCTCAAGATCATGGACAACGAGCAAGCCACATGGAGAGCGTTGGTAGCGTACGTCAAAGAGAATAATGTGGCATGCGATCTCTGGGTTGGAGAAACCCTAGACGTTCCCCTTGATGACGAAGTCGCGAAGATAGCCAGAGAAGTCTTCGAGAGGTACGTTGAAGCTGGTGGGAAGGTCGAGCACATCGAAGCTATCCACGATCCTATTGAAGCAGCAGAAAAGTCCCGAATCAAGAGTGCGAAAGCATGTTACGCATGGCAGGCGTCAACCTTGCAACCGTGGAAGTTGACGGCGCACATCATGCGCGACAACATCACCAAGGGCGTCAACCTCCAAACCCGCACTACTGCTAAGTCGGTCTCCAGCGGGACGGGGTCCAGAAAATGGGTGGTTCACACGGAGCGAGGTGACATCGCATGTGACACGATTGTGCACGCTACAAACGCCTATAGTGCAGCCCTCGAGCCATCGCTTCGTGGTATCATCACACCTAAACCGCATATGTGCAACAGGGTCGTACCACCACAAGCCTTGAGCGGATCCAAAGCTATTAGGAACTCATATGGCGTTCTGCTACCGGATGGTGCATTGTTTAGTATCAACCCGCGCTCGTCTTCTGATGGTAATATCATGTTTGGCGGCTCCAACCCAGGGCAAAAGGAGCTTGATGCGTGGATTGAGCAGAACCCAGAAAACTGCACCAACGACGGAATCGCAAACCTGGAGAGTGTGACAAAGCATGTCAAGAATTTTGCAGAGGCAGAATTCGAAGGCTGGAATACCACCCCGACAGGCCCAGGGGAAGGGTTCGAGTACAGTTGGAGCGGTATCATTGGGCTGAGCGCGGACGGTGTACCATTCGTCGGACAAATACCCGGAAAGCCTGGACAATATATTTGTGCCGGCCACCACGGGCAGTAAGTTCAATAGCTTGGTGGGGAGTGCAAGGCTAACACCTGGACAGTGGTATGGCGCGAATCTTCACAGCAGCGCCTGGCTTGGTGAAGCTCATGAATGGCGAAGAATGGGGTGCAACGGGGTTGCCAGAGGTGTACCAGATGACGCCTGGAAGACTGGCGAAACTGACGAGTATGGATCCCGCACCTGCTATCGCGGTCATATGAGAAAAGGAGTTTGTGGTTCCAAAGGTGTCAGTCAGTAGTACGCGCGCGAGCTATATCATGACTCGCGCGCGCAGAACTCTTTCTGCTTTCTTTCGCTCAAGCTACCAAAAATAGCATGTTGAACCACGAGACACAAGCAGCGCACAACTCCCGTAGCCATCTCCGGAACGCTTGCGCGACCACAATTTCAACCCCACGGCCTACATTGGTTCACCAGCGTAAGAGGCGGTGAACTGTGACAGTCAGAACCGTGAAATGGCATCCCGCAATCCACACTTTTTCTCTGTACTTTCCTAACACAGTAAATATTCATCTCCCCTTCTGTTCGCCCTCGCATTAGATCGTGGTAGCGAGTCCGCAGCGGTAATTTGCCTGGTGTTGTGCCGCTTCGAGCTATTGGTTTGGGTGTTGTGGAGATTTGACACGGCGGTGTTGTGCTAGGTAGTTGTTGGTGGTGGCGGAAGAATAGGCAATATAACGACAGGGTCGAGCATGTTCGTACGACGATGAGCGCATGGCTCTGAGTAGGAACATCTCTTTATCATTTTTGCAGCCATGTGTTTGCGCTGGCAACAAATCTTCTGACTGCGATGATGGTTCGCGGAAGGTGCGGGGTTCTCTCGGGCCGACATCGTTACGGCTGCGGGCAGGAGTAGTTGTCCCTACGGACTATATATGTCCGCTGATATAAGCCCCAAATGACATTCAGGGTATGAAAACATCGTGAAGACACTAGTTGGACCTCGAATTCGCGCGGACACATATACCAGCAGGATCACGTCATGTCTACCCTGGGAAACAATATCAGTCGGACGCTTGATGTCCTACTTCCAAAGATACGGTCCCGCCGTCAAGAGTCGTCAGAACCTATCGTACTTGGTATCACAGGTCTACAAGGTTCAGGCAAATCGACATGGGCATCGGAGCTTGTCAAGATCCTGTCACAGGATCACGGTCTCTATACGATAACTGTTTCGTTGGACGACTTCTACAAAACCCATGATGAGCTGGTAGCACAACGGGATCGTGATCCCAACAACAAGCTTTACCGTACTCGTGGACAGCCTGGTACACACGACGAGCAGCTAGCCCGAGAGTTCTTCAGCGATTTGAAGAAATACAACGGGAGAGGCAGCGTCAAGATCCCGAGCTTCGATAAGAGCAAGTACAATGGCGAAGGCGACAGAGCGCCCCAATCAGAATGGACGACAATCTTGCAAAAACCGGATGTTGTCATCTTTGAAGGATGGTGCGTGGGCTTCCAGCCCGTTCCTCAGTCTTCCATAGAAGAAAGATATACGCTGGCAAAAGCCGGGAAGCTCACAGTCAATACCCCTGCGAATCACCAACTTCCGCATTTGTTCGAGGTGAACGAGAATCTCGAGCGCTACTGTGATGCATTTATGGGACCCAAGCAATTTGACTTCTTCATCCATATCGATACGGACGACCTGAGAAATGTGTACATATGGCGTCTGCAGCAAGAGCATAAGATGATTGAGGCGAAAGGATCAGGGATGTCAGATGAGCAGGTTCGTGCGTTCATCGATGGTTATATGCCGAGCTATGAGATATACCTGGAGCGGCTGCGCGAGGGATTGTTTGACGACAGAGGTAGGATGGTGAGGGTGGTACTGAATAGAGAAAGAGGGGTTGAGAGGATTGAGGAGCTGTGATGAAGCAAGTGTCTTCTTTGCTGAGCTCCGATAGCGTTGAGACGATAGCAAAGGCGCGCAATGAAGAGAAACGACAGACTAGCGAGTGGGGGATAATGAGCCGCATTTGTAACAATGACAAAAGTACATTTGCTACCTGTCGTTTCAAAGCTTGCGCTATGCCTAGCACACTGACTTTCGTATTCGCCTTCACCTTCACTGCGCGTATATCCATGTCTCGGTCAAGGTCTCTACGACACAAGATCATTTGCCATATGGTTCTCTCCACCTGAGATTCCTTCCAGTTCTTCTCCGCATTTAGCTATGTCTTTCCCAGCAAACCATTATCAGATCCTTGGTGTAGACATCCAAGCTGACGACGCTGCGATTAAGAAAGCCTACAAGAAGCTTGCGCTGGAGAACCACCCCGACAAAACTTTGCACCTATCAGCAGCACTAGTCGAGAGGCGGACAAAGATATTCAAGCTAGCGACTACAGCTTACGAGATCCTACTCGACCCTGTACAGCGAGCGAAACACGACAAGACTCTAGCGCAGTCAGTGAGGCCTTCATATACGAAAACAGAACAACCTTTCCACCGACCGGGTACAGGAGGTACGGGACCCTTTCAGCACCAGTATCAGCAACGTCCAAACCCCCCCAAAGTTCCATCCTTTCGGTGCACCCCCGCCAAATACCTCAGCACCACAACCCCCAAGAAGACACCCCTTCACATCTGGCACTCCCCCCGGACCTATAGGCACCACACCATCTCCCTGGTTCTATGCGCCCGTCTCGGAAAGTCCCATTCGCACGAACCTTTCCTTCTTAAACCACGCTGGTTGGCACTTCAGGATCGAAGTGTCCAAAAAGTACAAATGGATACTTCGGCCTGTTTTGCCCCTCCTGAATGCCGACACAGAAGGCGACATCATGGTAAGAATATCTGTACAACGTAACACCTACTCCGCCACTGTCAACGCTCTGAAAGATGTCGTTATAGACGTCAAAGCCACACCCGGGAACAAGAGTACGGCATTGAGTTCCGTCTTCAAGGAAACCAGACAGGGTATAGAACTTTGTGTAACAATCGGGACCCTGCCTGTCACTGCCACTGCCCCACTTCCACCGATGCCAGCATGGAGTTGGTCCTTTGATGTTGATTTAGGTTTCTTGATACCGTTTTACAAGGAACTGCGGGTTAGCCATCTCATGTTTTACCCCCATTACCCTTCACATGCTGTAGGGAAGGATGGGGCAGTGCCGGCGAAAGAGCCGTTTCCTATGGGGTCGCCTCAGGCTGAATTGGTGAGTTTGTTTGAGGGGATACAGTTTGTGGCGATGTCCAAGGGATTCTATTGTGAAGAAGTGGGGTGGGCAGGAAGGAAACGTTGGCGGCTTGCTGCTGTGGGCTCCGTATGAGATATACAACAGAAATGCTGTATTGGAGATACAGTACTGGCGCTGTCGCGGTCAGCATAGAAAAGGTCGTCTTTGATTCAAAGACAGGATGTGAATTCGTGCAGTCCGCCTGTTGGTAACCATGTAATCGTTCTTGATTCTATACTCTATGAAATCAGGCCGCTCAAACGCCTTGAATGCAAACGACCCAGGGATAGCCTATAACACACCAGGAATAGGGCCCTTCTTTTCGTTCGAGCCCAGCTCTTCCTCGTTCCACCCACTCCCAGCACCGACCTTGCGTCCACCCTCCTCTCTCTTGACCCTGCACCAAAGGCTGATGTCCTTGTCCCAGATGAACTGCCACAAAACGTACACCCAGCTCTTGTGTTGTGGCAAGTCTTTGTAGAAGTCGTGCGCGATGCGGTTCAAGGTGTGTAGGCGCGTCCAAGGGATGGCAGGGAAGTCGTGGTGCTCGTTGTGCAGGCCAACGTTGTAGGTGAAGAAATTCAGAGGTCCGTAGTACGAGTATGTTTCCGGGAGCGGAATCTTGTTGGCGGGATTCGCAACGTCTTTGTTGGGCTTCTCGAAAACGTAATGTTCGGCGATGAAGTGGCCGGCGCAGGGGTGGAGAGAGCCGGCGAGGAAGCTGCTCATGATCAAGTATCCCAAGGCCCTTCCTCCTGCGAATCGAACGAGTGCGTAATCGAAGGCTAGCTGTACGACGACGTTGAAGAGGTGGATCTTGGTCATTGGCAGGGCGTAGACGAACATGGGTCGCAGGGCGTAGAAGAGGATCTGGAAGGTCGCGAAGAAAGCCTTGCCGGCGACCGAGTCGAGGAAGATGGCTTCAAAGGCGGTGGGCAGATCTGTGTCGAGACCATTAACACCCAGCGACTTGTGGTGTGTCAGGTGGTAGGGCCTGAACGAGGCGCTGTACGGGATGCCAATTGGCAGGTTCGCAAAGACGGCGAAGACCCTGTTTGCCAATGGCGATCGGAAGGCCAGATTGTGTGAGATCTCGTGGATGGCGAGAAAGAGATTCTGGTTGGCCGTAGCACCAATGACGTATGCGGTGAGGAAGAAGGGCCATGATACAACGGGTGTATTGCGCAGAGCGTATGCACATAGGACTTGGATAGATACGACGAACAGGACAACGTATTTGGTAAGAGGCTCAGGGCCACAGAGCTTCGTCACCTGCGTTGAATGAGCATGTGATTGACTGAATTAATTTGGCATCGATGATACCTCTGGGTGTGCCTTGATGATAGCCATGCGCCGTGTTCTGTGCGGCTCCTCGGTGTATGTCCAGAAAAAGTGGTCGTGTTCATTCTCGACCATTGGCTCTTCCTGCTTCTCTGCCCTGACCGTGAAACCTCGGGGCACAGGCTCCTTGGACGGCACCGTCGCTGTAGAGACTGAAGACCGCATATTGGGCAGTCGTGGGAAACAATTGCAGAAAGTGTGTGGGTGGAAAGAGCGGAGGGGTTGAGCTCTGAGAGTTTGTGGAGTACTTGACCCTGAGCTCGGCGCTAGTCGGAGGCGGTGGGGCCATCTCGTCCCATGGTTGGCTGATAACCACGTTCCGCTCGCCACCCCGCTAGCGCAGGAACGTTGGGCCCGTCTTCTAGAACGCTTCCGTTGACGCGTTTTTACTCACTTCAATTCTACATGCCGGACACTATGATAACTATTTCGCATATCAAGCTACTCCAGTACTCATTCTTCGCGACCTCACCATCTACGGATTAGGGCAGTTTTTCTCTAGTCAACCAGTCCTACTCAAAACACGCGTTATAAAGTACGCCATTACAGTGCCATTCTATTTCAGTATCACATACAATATACTAGTAAAGGATTATGATATTTTGCTACCTTTCACGTCACTCCTAATCTCCCTCCCAATGCCTTTCCAGTTCCCCACTTCGTCATCGCTCCTCTTCCTCCTTGTGAAGCTTGACTGCCTAACCTCCACAAACCAAACAATACCCCAGTAAACAACCGATAAAGATACGAGAAGCCATGCTAGCCACACGATCAAAAGTACTGATGTACCTTGAACGACGTCCGTGCCAGCGACGTCGACGATCTCGCCAGCCAGTAGAAAGACGCCAGAAATAACTACCGTCAGCAAGATGGCGGCGACAAAGGCGAATGCGCTCGCAAGGACTGGCCAAAACATGTTGAAGTAGGCGAGGAGTTTCGAGTGTGGGAAGAAGATGGCAGGAATAGCAGAGACGGCGGAGAACCCAGCACCGACAAGCGAGATGAGTAAGGAAGCAAAGATCGCTTGTCGCACGCCGGCCAGTATGGTGACCATGGTATTGAGGAGCGTAGAAACTAGGAATATTGGGGATAATGAGTCTCTAGATCCAACAGCAGGCGTTGTCAGTGTCGACAGGCCTACGAACGTCCGGTCAGCTGAGGCACGACCACATTGCAGATTTGGTTCACTTACGATCGCTGGCTGTGCTGTAGCTTTCACATCGTTCTACAATGACGACGTCAGAAGCGTCGTCTGGAGAGTTCGAAATGGACCCAGAGCACACTGTCCTTAGATGAAGATAGTAGACGTCTGCGAGCGCTTCTTCATTTACACCTTCCGATCGCGTTGATGGCGCGTCTGGCTGTCTGCCTTCTTGGGTAACCGCAGAGCTGTTCAGCTGCTTTCCGTAAGCACTTGACCTCCTCAATGTTTAGCTAAATACCTACAGCCACCATGTACTGCCCACCGAAAGTGTGTTCGTCGCTTCCTGCGAGCACCAGCACCAGCGTAAGCACGAAGCTCGCAACAGCAAATGCGATTGGGAAGAAGGCAGAGAAGCGATACTTCATCAACACCCTCTTCGGCGTCTTGGGAGGCGCAGGTAGAGCCTTGTCGGTGGACTTTCGCAAATCTCCAAGATCAGGCTCGATTGCAATTTCTTTCTCCAAGTAAAAGGTCCCTTCTATGTGATCCATTCTTTCCGTCTAGAGGTAGTGTGGCGGACAGGCGCTAGGAGTAAGACCGACAGTATTGACGGTTGTCAATACATAAGAATAGGTGTATGCTGTCCATAACAGGAGACATATAGGCGAGTCAGAGGAAAGATAAGTAGATCGCCTGGACATGTGCGCAGTATGACGCAACTGCTTCCGCTATCGCGTAACCCAATCTCGATGTTTGACCTGCATGAATGCACGTGGTAGGCTTGTTGCATGATTATAGTGTTGCATGACGGACTTGCTATATTCTGTCGCGGATACGGCACTTGCAGCCTCGTGTGTGGACAAACCGGTGGTTTCAAACATCATTTTAGTTGCCGGATCGAGATTGATGTGCGGATTTGGCGATCGACGTTCCTGTTTCGTCGCTGCGAGACATGGCCCAAGCGTCGCATTGGTGAGCGTCCGAGGATATTAACCGGCTCCAAGTGCATTGGATTCGGATTGGTTCGTCAACATCTGGAAAATTCGAACTTGTTCGTTGTGGGTGTTGAGCCGATTTAGGAGCAGTCAGATTTTTTGCACATGTGAGGTCGCGGTTTGCGCAGAAACGAGAAGCGCTTCACTAGTGCAACTGAAACACTATACCGACGATCGCAGCTTCTCAGCATCTTAGTGAGTAATTTAGAGTTGCTCATTGGCGCTTGTCAAATTTTCCTAGCCGTCCACTATAGATGAAGACTTGATACGGACTATGGCTAGCTACCCTGCTACTAGAAAAGCGAGCGTGGTGGATATTCACCGTAAGGCTGCGTCTGAATATCGGAAAACACATCATTCTGATAGTAAGTCAGTCTTGAAGTTTTAAAAACAAAAGCCAGCTAACTTACCCAATCAAAAGGTAAGTTAGGCTGGTCTAAATCCATGGGCATATAGCCAAAGTCGAACGGATGTCCGAAAGCACCATTGCCCATACCAAAAGGAACTGGCGCGGTAACAGCAGATTCAGGGTCGCTGAAGTCGAAAGATGGTGCTGGAGAAGTAATGTTGAACTGTGCACAAGAGACAGTAGCTGTTCGATCAAATCAATTTACATGAACAGAGAGTGGAGCAAATAAACTTACTCTGTGCAGAGTCCGCAACCTGTTCCTTCGTATTGCAGGCTCTAGAGAGGACAATTTTTACGGCTGTGGCTACCTTACGCGCCTCTTGAGACCTCTTACTGGCTCTAGACCAAATGCGGTACGCCGACCGTAATGATGCTACAATTTCCTCGCGTGTAGGAGGTGCATGATCTAGTCTCATCTCGCTTTGCGTGGACTCAGGGGCCTGTAGAACAGGAGGGATGGGGTCTGCGTCTAGTTCGAGGACTAGGACAGTAGTTGCGAGAAGAAAGTCTTGTGCAACGACCGAAGACATGTACCAACTCACGGTAGAAAGCCGCCACCCTGGAGTAAACAATTTGCCTCCTGGTTGAACCTCGGCATCAATCTTGTTCTGAAAGTCAAGCATTTCTATGGAGGCATTTAGACATACTCTTCGAGAGTATGTATATCTGGCATCTGTTCGTCCGAGTACAAGGTAAGGTCTGTGCAACATAAGCTCAGCTTTCAGGAACGCCAAGTCTAAATACAAGTGGCGCATAGAGGTTGGTGACAGAGCGCTACCAAAATCCTCGACGGTGCTGGCTATGGAGGATTGTGGTACCCCATCGAAGACTCGTCTTAGAGCAATATCGATATCGTTGATCTCTCGGTATGGTGGCTGAGAAGTAGTATTGACTAGGTCCAAGATTCGTGCCTGGAGATGCCGCACTCTTGTGAGAATGATGGAGTAGAGCAGCTGCGTCAACTCAGTTTCTGGCCTTGACGGTGGCAGTTCTAGCATGTCTTCGTGGAGGTCGTCTTCGTCCAGGTTGCGAGGCTCTTGAGTGTCGTACATGAATGGCATGATCATTCTCGGCAATCCGGCCTGAGCAGAAGTAATGAGATCGAGTGACATGACTACAAGCCACTTGCGACGTCGCAGCTCGCCTCTATAAGGTGATATGTTCGGGAATCTCGATGGATCTCTGTGGTAACCCATGCGGAAACAAAGGCGTACGATCATACCTACAAGCATGTATACGCTGAATTGGCTGTCTACTGAGCGAACGAACTCTGTACCAAAATAGAGCAGAAATGCCTCGATCGTATATGGTGGGGTCTTGGTATAGTTCGCGAGGATCATGCCTGAGAATCAACGTGTCAGTCATATTCACGTGCAGCTCGTACGGTTTACCACCTACATTGTACAGCCTTTTCGCGGTAAAAGTTCATGCGCACTGAATCAGTAGCTAGATCGGAACTACTGGGTTGAGAAGCGTCCATTGCGGCTTGGAACCGAAAGCCGAGCGCGAACGCGGCATATAGCACGCCCAACCACATGGTGGGGGCTTCGAATGGCCGTATCCAGAGCTCGTTGTACTGTACTCTTATTAGTATTTCGTGAATATAAGTCGTCTTTTGTCTCACCCGCTTGAGAAAGGTTGGTTTGTGTATCAAGGCTAGAGGCGTTAGTTGGTGACTTATAAGCGGAGTAACGAGCTTACTCGGGTGTGTTTCCATTGATACGAAGAACGTATTCACGAAGCGATCTGCTTCTGATCGCGGAGGGAGAGCGGCGAGTAGTTCTTCTTTGGTCGCATGCGGATAACGTCCAAACAGCAGCTCTGGTCCCGGTACATCATCCAGTACTTCATCTCTAGGAATGGTTGACGTGGGGATTTGATCAAGGTGTTCGCGCAACTCTGAGATCTGGGATGGCGTTAGGGAAGTAAGAGTCACTGCTTGAGGATCACCTACACTATCAAGAATGCTTGTCCAATGACCCCCGTTAGTGTAACTTGTGGTGTCGCCGCTGATCCTCACGCGATCCGGAGTTCCAGGAAGTTCAGGGTTTGTTTGTTCGTCATGATGCTGCTCCTGTGCTGGACTAGACAGCACGGGATTAACAAGATCAGCTGCGTTGCCGCCGATAAGATTGGTGACAAGCTTCTCGAGTTGATCAATCCTGTCATGAACGCTGGTAGGGACTTTGGGTTCTCTTGGCGTCGGGGTGCTACGAACATATGTGCACGACAATGAGAGTCCGCGATCGACGCATGTCTTGCATGGTTGTTGCCGGTCACATTTCAACCTCCAGTGTATTAGCATGCGATTCCTTAGGGCAGGTAGGCCAAGTTTCGAAGCCGCTCACTTTCGTCGACGACAGAGGGTGCAGCTCAAGATAGGCTTGTCTCTTCGCCGGCTGGGAGGTACAACTCTCGACGTCTGGCCATCTGCGCTCATGTTTAGCAGTGATTCTGCGACAAGTCAAAACGGCTGCGTTGAGTAAGAGCTGCTCAAGTCTTGGTGTGGCTAAACACGCGTTCGGGGTTGACCGTCAATGTCGGCCATCAATGTTGCCCGATACCGAGGCTAACCGCTTCGGCCGAACGCCCCCCGCATTCGCTTGCAGCTACCTTGCACGATAATTCAAACTCTCTGGTACGGTCCCGACCCTCCACTCTCTATCTAGGTAATGCAAGGTTCCTGTGTCCTCCTCGCACAAAGGCTCGAGCTCTCCCACCGACTTGGCTATCGCTTACGCCCTCAGTCATGTCCTCATCATGTACACAGACAAATTACTCGGCCCAAAATTCCACTTCTAGATCAATTCGCCAGAAGTTGTGATGCAGACCAGCCGCCTAGTAACTACGTCGCGACTCGGTCACAACATGCAATAGGTCTATATGCTCAATGAAATTTGGGGGCACGTTCGGGAAAAAGAAGAGTAGACAGAGAGACCTGGATTCAATCGAGTTAATCATTCAGTGTTGTGGCGTGGAAAACATATTTTCAAGATCTCGAAGCCTTCCAACGACTCGGAGGTTGAACATGGATAGGTAATAGGAGAGAGGAGTCGCTCCAGCACGAACTTATCTGCGTGTGAGGAGGAGGACAGAAGGCTTGTAATCGAAGACTACTGTACCGTGATTCGTGGCTTAGGCCAACTCGACTATGGTAATGAGACAGACGTGTTCGTATGTGCTGTTGCACAAGTCGTCAGGAGCTGGAGAAGAGGCAAGGTAAGTTGATCTGTCTGCGTACTAACGTCGTGTCGATCAGTTGTCTCTCGAACGGAATACAGTGCAGTACCCGGAGAAGAAGCCAGACAGATTGCGGGCTTACATCTATTCGCTCTCTCCGGTCGAAAGACAGGTCGGACCGAGATCATGTTCCATGGTGTATTGGCCGCTGCAGCAATACACTCGGTGTTGTTTGACCAAGGAGAGTATCAAACTGTAGAGAGCAGAATATAGTAGGAATATGAGGTGCTGTGCTTAACACGCTGTTGATTTGCTAAAAAAGGCTAGCTCCACATGACGACACATAGAGCGCAGAACCTCCAGTTGTAAGGACTGACACAAGCCGTATGCATCAACACGACCACAACAGCTAGGGACACAAGGTACAGTGAGAATCACGCAGAAAAGTTTTGCACAGTCATTACCGGTTGCACGTCGTTGTGATGTGACCCTTTCACCACCAGCTTCTCAGAATGCCATTCGACCAATGTTGAATCCGGCACTTGCGCGATTCTCCTTTAAGCACTTTATGACTCTGGAATGTAAGCTGCCTTCGGCATCAGTAATTAAGGTTCTTGTAAATTGTATGTTGGCCTTGTCGGGCGCTGAGAGCAGGATCAACGATGCGAACATTCCATATCCTACTGGACAGCCCTCGCAGTCTGTTCGGTGAATGGCTCCATTTCGGGAGTATCCATACAACAAACCGAAGACTATGCATCTGCATCCCGCATAAGATAACGTGGGTAGGCTAAGCGACATGCCACCTTGCATCGAGGCGACCGATCCTGGCACACTTGATCTTCCATTTAAACCCCGCGTAAGAGCTCGCAAACTACCCAACAGCCATACCATCTCCCAAACCCCATAATCGCCATCATGGCACTCATGTCTTTCCCAAGTCTTTTGGTGACTTTGGTCATGTTCAGCATACTGTATGCGTTCCGTTTGTACTCAAGAACAAGAGACGCACGACCCCTGCCCCCGGGACCGAAAGGCCTTCCATTCATCGGGAATATAAACGATATGCCTAAGCCCGGTGTGCTTGAGTGTCATCATTGGTCGCAGCTCAAGAAGACATATGGCCCTATTAGTTCCATCACCGTGCTAGGACAAACGTTCATCATCATCAACGACGCCGAAATTGCTGTCGAGCTGCTGCGCGACCGTTCAGCAATCTACTCCTCAAGACCAATGCAGACATTCAGTTGTGAGATGTAAGTGATAAGCCCGTATTAGGGTGTCTAGGTAAATGACTCAGCGTTTGCTGATCGAGCGATCAGGGTTGGTTGGCGACATGCGACCGCTATGGCTCCGAACGACGCGGAATGGAAACTTCAGCGTAAGAACATTACGAAGATAGTGAGCACAAACACGTCAGTATCAGTAGTTGATCGCGTTCAAGAGATGGAAGCCGCGCGTTTCTTGCTCAACCTTCTTGATTCACCCGACAAGCTTTTCGACCATATAAAAAAAGAGGCTGGCAGTGTCATCCTGAAGATCACGTACGGCTATACTACCATACCGAAAGGCAATGACCCCTTCGTCGATCTAGCTGGTAAGACCATGGAGCAGTTCGCTGATGCTACAGTTCCCGGAAGATGGTCTGTGGATATGTTCCCGTTCTGTGAGTATCACCCCTCGGCGGTGGAACCATTTCTGACCCTGAAAAGTGCGATACCTACCAGAGTGGCTACCAGGAATGGAGTTCAAGCGCACGGCCAGAGAGATGGCGACGCAGCTCCGACAGTGTACTAACCAGCCTTACGAATTCGTCAAGAAGCAAATGAGCGAGAAGAGACACTCGCCATCATTCTTATCGCAAGCAATCGAAGGCACATCCTTGGATGCCGAGATGGAGTTCATCCATAAATGGACGGCACTGACGCTGTACACAGGTGGCGCTGACACTGTAAGTGTCGCATACGAGCGAACTCGCTGAATGAACTTTACTCATTCTTTGCCAGACCGTTTCCGCAATAATGACATTTTTCCTTGCCATGAGCATCTTCCCGGGAGTTCAGAAGAAGGCTCAAGAAGAGTTAGATCGCGTCATTGGCGAAGAACGACTTCCCGGCAGTAAAGACCGGGAGAGCCTTCCTTACATCTACGCCTTGATGAAAGAGACGCATCGCTGGCACCTTGTCTTGCCTATGTGTCTTCCGCATTGCAGCACGGAAGAGGACACTTGCCGCGGATATCGCATTCCGAAGGGTTCCATCCTTCTGGCTAACAACTGGCTTTTCACCCATGACCCTGAGGTCTACCCCGACCCAATGGTCTTCAGACCGGAACGCTTTCTCGAAACACCAACCCACAAAAGTGAGCCTGATCCAAGAAACTTCATCTTCGGTTACGGCCGACGTATATGCCCGGGTCGATATGTTGCAAATAACGCCCTCTTCATCACTATCGCGCAAACTCTCGCTGTTTTCAATGTCACAAAGTCTGTTGACGAGAACGGTCGAATCGTGGAGCCAGAAATTAAGTTCGAGCCGGGTGCGATCAGTCATCCGGTGCCGTTCTGCTGTTCAATCAAGCCGCGATCGGATGCACACGAGCAGTTGATCAAGGCTTCGGAGCAACTATATCCATGGGAAGAGAGTGATTCCAAAGAGCTAGAAAGCATCAAGTGGTAGTAAAAAGACAGACGCCTTTTGGTAGTTCTTGACGAACACAATGGACTTCCTAGTCCTTCGTGTACTACTCGAATGTGGACGGCGTGATGCATGGGATAACAATCAGGTGTACCAGGACATCAGAGCGTCTCTGGTGCATAAGCTAGGACGTTCGCGATGTATATAGAGAATTTGCTAGCCATCATGAGCTTTGTAGTATGTACTACCTACCTGTTTATCGACCAGCCGGACCATCCTCATAATATAGCGTCAAATTCTTGGCTAATGTACGGATTTTATAACAGGTGCTTCCATACAAAACATGTCGGCAGTAGCAATACATGGTCTTGACAAAGGCTCTTGTAGGTTGAGCAAAACCATAGCTGTTCTATAACCATTTCTCGAATGTGTGATGAACGCTGGTCTTCTCACAAGACTATATGCACGCATGTAGCGAATCTCTTTTCTGTGCTAGATATGTCTTGCTATTGTCTCTCCCGTCTCTTCGGCCGTGGGTTGACAAACTTGTCCTCGTAAACCTCTTGGTCCTCGGGCACCACACCGCTTTCCTGTAGTGCTTTCAACGCCTCTGGCCCCACTACCTTCTGGATTTGATGAATCCTCCACGCAGAAGGTTGGGCAGGTCTCAGCCATGTCAAGCGGCCCTCGATTTGCGTGTCGTGGTGATCGTTGACTGCTTTTTCCGCGCCCTCTTTGGTCCTGAAATCGATGAGGCATAGAAAACTCGGCTCATGTGTCTTTCCTCTGTCGAACCTCGACATTCCGCTGACTGACTCGATCCCGTATTTGCCGAATTGTCGCTCAATGATTGTCTCTGCGTTCTGTACCGCCACGGCAAAGCGTTTGTTTGTGGACCATCCGGGTGTCTCGACCGAAAGTACAATGCGGCGACGTTCAAGTAACGGACGCATAGCATCATATGCAGCGGTGCCTTCGTCAATGAAGTAGCGAGAGCCAAAAGGCCCGCCCTTCCGCTGCTCACTTTTCTCCCAGCTGAAGTCAGCGTTCAAGGGCTTAACAACCAGTGATTTGCCCTGTGCCTCGAAGCCGTTAAGCTCCTTAATGGCCTTGGTAGCTTCTGCTTCACTACCAAGCTCGACGAAACATGTGATAGCGTTCATAAAAGTGAAGCGATCAACACGCATCAGTAATCTCTTGCTAATTGGCCGTTAGCTCAAAATTCATACGACGAGATGTATAGCGTAGATGCTTCGTGACACATACATGGTGCATCCCTTAGAACGTAGTATCTGTTCAATGTCCGTTTTTGCCCATCGTTTTGGCACTGTCATCATGACAGCTTCTGATGAAGAGCCCGCGGACGTTGACGGAGCGCGTGCATCAGTAAGTGCGATCTCTGGCCCTCTCGATGGAGTCTGAACAATGTCTTCCCGGCTGCGTTGATTGGCAGTGAAACCTCGCTTTGAAATTGATGTTCTGATCGATGGGATAAGTGATGGAGCGACGCGTATTGACGGTGTCGCCAGGGGAAAGGAACAGCGCCCGCGCGATAGTAACCTTGGTACAGCCATCGTGCAACACAACAAATCCTAGTCTGACAGTTTGTATATTCGGAGTTGATGACAGCAAGTAGTGTTGATTCGAGGTCGCCGCTCGTAACGATCGCACTAAACAGAAAAAGATCCTTGGCGTGTCCCATTCTTATCGATAAGACGGCAACGGGCCACTAGCCCAGGAACACCACTGTCCACGAGTGCGTAGAATTGTCTCTAGATCTTCCTAACGAGGCCTGATTTGTGTAGCAACGGCCATTGGCTTGTACATTGGGAAAACTTGGATTACTCTATGGCTTTGACTTTCTTTCTCACGGTCTATCACAATCCTCACGGCCCGCAACATCAGCAATGGCCTACGATCGGGATGTGGTAGTTTGTTGTTTCAAGCGACATTACGAGCTCTTAGTGAGATCAGCCTACTTCGATTCCGCAGAGATCCGGTACCCTCCAGATGAAGGCTGGAGCGATGAGCAGCTTGCTGTTGACATCATGCGTGCTTTCGGCCGCTCAGAGGAAGTAATCGATCTCCTCCGGCATCTACCTTACATCAAACAGCTCGACGGTGACAGCAAAGACGAAGTATACTTCCAAACCCGACATCTTAGCTATCTACGCGATACCTGGCCGTTCAAATCCTTGACTGTTGAAAAATGCCAAGGGAAACAGCTATTTGACAAACTGTTGATGCCGAGTCCTGAAGACTGGCCAGCTGGTTTCATTGCCTTGACGCAAGACATATATGCAACATGGTGGATAATGGATACTACGAAAGGTTTGGCAATATGACCTATACACGTAGACCACCAGAGGACTAACATTCATGCCAGGCATCTTACATGCAGTGGGTACAGGTTATGTAGAGCCACCAAAGGATGAGCCTTGGCTTTTGGGGTCTGTTCCACATGACATTCGAGAATATTTTGACGAAATCTACAAGGAAATTGAAGGATTGACAATGGTTCCTTGTCCGAAGGGGAACAACTCCTGGAACAGGACAGTACAGCCGTACACATGGGAGATCGGAAGTGTATGTTTTGTCTTGTTGAGATTGATGATGCTTTACTGATGTTTACAAATCAGGTTGTGAGTCAAACGTTACGGAAGCATGGCTGGCCCGATCGTCTGGATCGAGACGGGTATCTCGAGGAGCTCGAGCGGGTACGTCCAGAGGGTTGATTTGGACCGGAGGTATACCATTTCGAAAAGATACTCCACTCTCCAGGTACGAGCAAGCACCCATAATGTCCAAAAACTGAGAAATATGCTTAAGCTTCTGGAGCAATGTTGATGAACAACATCATTGGCGTTAAGTGCAGGCTCCCACGCCGAATATCAAGTTATACCTAGCTCAACAAGTGCTCTTATCTCCAATACCAATGTCAGTGAGTACTGCGACCAAGTGCTATTGCTATGAAACTATGCTCTAGCCCTAAACTGTAGGATTGGTCCGTCCTTCTTGCTTGCGAATACGTCCATGATCTGATATTCAGATGCCCTGGTCCTTCCGACTTCCAAATCTTTGCTTCCAGCACCCAACGTTGTGCCCGGTGCTAGTCTCAAATCATACAAGAAAAGCACTCTTGCGATCGTCACCGTCAGCTCAACATACGCTAGACCCTTGCCAATGCATCCACGGGGACCGATGCTGAAGGGATTGTATGCTGACTGCGCTGCCTGAAGGCTGCTGTGAAGCGGGTTTGCGGAAGGATCAGAAAGCCACCGCTCTGGGATGAAATCGAAAGGTTGAGGGAAGTAATCGGCGTTGTGATGGATCGTGTAGATAGGAACGCCCACGTCGACGCCGGCGGGGATATGATGACCATCAATGTCCATACCACCCGAGAGCACTTCTCGTGGGAGAGCACCAGCGACAGGGGGTGTCATACGCATGGTCTCGTCAATGCAGGCGCGCAGAAATGAGCAGCCGCTGAGCTTGGGTCCAGTCACGATCTCTTCAACATCAGCAAAAGCTTCCCGAATTTCTTTGCAGACCTTTTGCATCGCTGAAGGGTTGTGTGCGAGGTAGAAGAAGGCACCAGACATTGCTGTCGAGGTCGTATCGGAACCCGCGATGATCAGCAGATTTGACTCGCCCCAAAGCTCATCCATGCTGAAGCCCTTGCCGGTTTCCGGATCCTTCGCGTTAAGAAGGTAGTAGAAGAAGTCTTTACGGTCGACATCTACGCCCAACTTCGTGCGCTCCATGGCTTGGCCCTTGCTGTACTGCATGTACTGCGCTCGTTGGCCTGCAATTTTACGGAAGAAGAGCTTGTCCAAATGCCAGTTGTGGATGGTAAGGTGCGTTCCACAGATGAGATGCCTGTGTGCCGCGTTACCAACCAGCTGTGTCGCAAACCGATTGACAGGGCTTTCCAACATGCCGAAAGCTTTGCCAAATACCAAATCACCCATGATGTCGAAAACTAACCACTCGCACCAATGTGCAGCATTCCACGCGTCGTTCCAGCCACCATCTTTCTCGTCGGCTAAGCCCTTCTCAGCGGACCAGTTGTTGCTCTTGCGTCCAAGCAGTTCGCAACCGACACGTACGTTGGCCAGGATGTATTTCTCTAAGCTCTTGATCGCGGAGTCACTGAATGCATGGCTCATGACTCGCCTCTTGCGCGCATGCTGCATTTTGTCGACTGCGCTATGTACGCTAACGGCCTTTGGTGTGCTGGGAAATGCATGGTAGAAAGATGCCTTCTTGACATTTGATCGGAATCCATAGATAGTCTTGAGACCAGTGGCGGTGTTGACGGAAAGCAGATTAGGTCCAAGGCGCACGTAAGGTCCGTATTGCTCGTGTGCGCGGTGGAAAGCAAGGTGCCGGGAACCTTTGTAGGCATAGTATGCTAGATAAATGTCGGTGATCTTTGCAAGGAAGGGTCCTGGGTAGGAGGCGAGGGGATGGAAGGTCAGGCGGTAGACGATGACCCCGAATATCTGGGTGTAATGTTAGTTGAGAGTGAAGCGGATACGCGGAGCAACGTACGTAGAGAAGCAGCACTCCAAAGATGGAAGCCAGCAGGGATAAAATTGCCATATTGGCGATGACTTTGAGCAAGCTGAGTATGCGATGTTATTGATTTGCACCAAAGCTCATTGCCACAAATATTCCCTTGATGGACAACTTGTGTACAACGCTTGACTATCCGCTACAAAGTTGTGCAGATAAGCTCCCTAAGTACTCATTTGCCTTCCACCACCATCCGCAGCTCCCCCAATACCCTCCCTGTTCCCAATCCATCGCGATGACAAAGTGCATCAGCATTGTGGAGTAGTCTCGTGCCCTTTTCATCGCATAATCGGCGAGCGGGTGTCTTGGGTATACGTTCCGGTGTGTCACGGCTAACGTCGGATAGTCGTGCAAATTACACCACTCCAATCACGTGGGACGGATACCTCAGCAAGCGAGGACGCTAACGCGGATACTGGTGCTGTCCCTACTTTTCGCGGCCAGGAAGGGCGCGGATATCCTGCGCGTAAGCATGGGAGGTATAGAGATCGAGCTAGAGTGTGCGGTCAAGATTCATTTCGCATTAGGCGTAGCTATAGATGCATATGCAGGTGCAAGGTTTACAAAGAGTGACTATAGTTGATGAGTTGCGGAACCAAGCATTATACATGTCACCTAGATATGCTAAGATCATGCTCATTACAAGTACAACTGATTCTTTCGCAACGGCGCTGTATTTGTCGTATCACTGAAGGCGATCCTCCCCACTGCACCCTCAGGCCTTATATCTTGGATCTTGACCCATTTGTCTCTCAAGAGCCTCGAACGTTCAGCGCCATCGATACTGCTCGCAGGTGTTTGTACACCGATGTACGGCGAGTCTCTAGTCAGCACCCAGATGTTGCCTAAGAGATCTGGTATGTGCATCAAGCAACGCAGAAGAATGTTGGCCGCAGCGCAAATGATGAGGACGATCGCCGATGTAAGCTAGAGAAGTAACCACGATCTTTGGATGTAGTATGCTGGGGAGGTGAGTGTAGTCCAGGAGCCGGTAGTCTTTGCCCAGAAACTGTCATGATTTTCGAGGGATGCGACATCACTCCCAACCGTGCATACGAGGTTGAAATTCGCGCATAGATACGTGTTCAAAACCATAGCCAGGTGGTCAGAGAAGATATGAAGCGGAAGGTCTTCGTACTACCAATCTAGCGAATCCTGAATCAAGGATCGGAAGGCTAAGGAGGAATCTTTGAACCATTGTTCGAGAAAACTAGATTCCCACGGGTGCAGACTGGCCATCGTAAACGTCATGTGTCGGAGGATTTGGTACATCCTGTCAACGTCAAGCGCTGTGAGATTTGGTCTATTCTCATGGTTACGACGCATTTTGATTGTGTGGCAAGCTGAACGAGGAATCCACATGCGCCAACATATGGGCACGTCACAAGAGATGACTGAAAAGCTGCTCATGTTCGAGAGTTGTAGCGCAAGAGTATGAGCATACTGCGGTGCTGCATAGACGACTTTCGAGTGGTGAATGGTCGACGAATGAGAAGGCACGAGTATCAAAGCGGATAGCGCCGTCTTGGCAGACATCGAGCTTCACGAACATCACCAAGCGTCACTATAGTTTGTCCAAACGCGCAACAGCACGACACCTGCCCATTGACCTATTTCGACCCTTGCAGCCTGCCTGGAAGGACGCGCTCTCGAGATGTCGGTGGCCAAGAATGTGAAGACTACGGTCTTTTCGGTACGGCGCCCATGACCCGATCTCGACGTGCCTTTGCCCTGCCGCCCCTCTCCCGCCATCCACCGCTTCGGGAGGAAATACTAATCGTATGTATACAGAAATACACCGTTCAGCCCACTGGAATCTATGCCGCCATCAACAGGCTCTTCGCGCTCGACCCCAAGCGGTCCACGGGTATCCCCATGAACCCGCAATTCCGCAACCCACCCCCAGGCGGTCTCGACCCCAACGCGTACGACGACCCTGTTACTGTTCCTGCTGCCGACATCGCCGAGAACCCATACTGGAAGCGCGACGTGCGACGACGATACCCCAGGCTCTCGACTGTCACGCAGTCTGACGCAGTTGCGCTGCTGGAAGTTGGAAGCGCGGCAGCACCCAAGCAGGAGCTGATTGGCGAGGCAGGCACAAAATCGCTGGTAGCTGCGCAAGAGGAAGGTGCCAAGGGACTGGCCGTTGCATTTGAGAAGAACACTGGACTCGCAAAGGATGTACTAGGTCCTGGTGGCATGCCTCCACTACCAAGTGGGCTGCACGTCCACGGTGTTGCTGGACAGAAGCGATATGAGCTGGAGAGCGAGCAGTCGTACGGCACAGCGTAAGTTTTTCGGAAATGGGTTGTCCATGAGTAGTGCTGACTTAGAACAGATACCCATGCCGGACGTTCGCTTAGATTACCAGAGGAACTGTGTAGGTAGTAAAAGACAGTCCAATTTCTGTACATATGAAGACTTCACTTGCATATGGCTTGTGTAGTCACCTGTGATCTTTGTTTTGGTTTCCATCACAAATGCGTGTGAATGTCTGATTCTTGTCTCTCTCCCCCTCTCTCTCTCCTGTCATTTGTACGCCTTGTCAGTTCCTTCGACACGTGCACTTTACCGTTCTCTTGAGTCTTTCACTTCGCCGAGAGTGGCAAGCACGATCTGATGTGTTTGTCTTGGCGTTGTTGACAGCGACTTCCTCGCCCTCACTCCTGCATCTTGACTGCACCTCGCTGTCACATCCCGTGCCACTTCTTTCGCTGCTGCACATATCATCGCAACCAAAACCATGAGCACCGTCTTTGAGAAGGTATCATCGGAGCTGGGTGCTGCTCCCCTCAACTTCATCTACTCCTGCTCCGTATGTTGCGCTTCCTTTGCCGATGTATACGAAGGTCACAAGGAGACCGTTCATGGTCTGTCAGATGGAATCAACCCTAAAGAACGCCTTGTGACACGGCTCTATCTCGCCAGTTGCTGCCATGTCTTCTGCAGCAGTCACCTGGAGGGTGGCGGTAAGTCGCGCGCAACCCAATATGAGGAAGCTGCTAACGCTCGCGATAGGACCACCCTTCCATGCTGCTGGACAGCGACCTAAAGCAAAATGCCCCGTTTGTGTCAAGGAGAAAGGCGAGAGCGAGCCTCAGGATCTCTTCTCGATCCGCGGCTTCAATAAGGACGAGTACGATTCTCAGATCCCGCCTGCATGGTTTACTGCGCCTCCCATCCGGCTCGATGGTAGCGGCAAAGAAATGGAAGCACTGCGCGTATATCGCCCTGCCTGTATAGTCTCTGCTTCTAGCTAAGAATGACTAGTTTCAATATATCGCACTTATACGGTACTGCCAGAACGCACATGCTACCCGCAAGCCCCTCCAGCAGGCCTATACAGAAACGGAGCAGAAACTGGCTAATGCGCAAGAACTCTTTTCGAAGGAGCGCGAAAAAGTCCTCAGTCTCCAGCAGGAGAACGAGCGACTACGGTTGCAGAAGGATCAGTTCGGAGCCATGAAAGCTGAAGTCCGACGACTACAGGGCCTTGACAAAGAGATCGCGCATCTCCGTGATGTTAATCCAAAAGACCTCGAGACCTTTCTGGCCAACAAGTCAGCAATCCGCCACTACTTGAAGCTTGTTCCTATGCTAGTCGAGTAGGCTGATCATGCCGTGCATAAGAGATGATTGCTAACTGGTCTAGTCAAAACGGAAGGATGCAGGAGCGTCTTCGCCAGCTCGGCTTTGCAATGGCACTAGAATCTATACCCAACTTTGAAGGAATCGATCCTCACGCATTTGATAGCGACGAGGCTCTGCCTGAAGACATCGGGCACCCCGGTGCCAAGCTGCGAACGACAGCATCAAGCCATACTGTGGGCAGGTCGGCGCATACAACAGGAAGGATGGGAACAGCATCTTCAGGCTCATTTATCCAGCGGCCTATGAAGCGACAACGCCTCGATTCGCCCCTTCCCAACAACATGCAACTCGATCCTCCTTCAAGTCGTGATGCCATGCCACCTCCACCAAAGCCGATGTCTAGGATGCAGTCCATGCGCAAAATGCTTCCAGGTTTCCGAAAAAAATCTTCCATCGATCGCTCAAATGTCATCGCGGGCGATGTTTTCGAAGACAATAACGACGTTCAGATGTACGACAACGGATATTGGCGAGACACTGGAGCTGATCGACGCCCTGGACACGACGACTTCCGCAGCAAGACGCCCTATATGTCAGGAGCACTTCCTGTAGAACAGTCATTCCATGTCTCTGATCCCCGAGAGTCACAACTCCTTCCTAGTATGGGCTTCTATGACAACCGATCAGACTTTACGTTCCGGGCCTCTTCTCCGGTCAAATTGGACAAGCAAGGCAATAGTGATCGTCCTGTCCATTTACCTACCGAGCGTTCATACATTCGGCTGATGGATGGGTTGTCAAGCGACAGCGGAGTAGAGCTAGGCTTGAAAGATCCTCGCAAGCAACCGAACACAATTGACCGTGGGAATGGCGAGAATAGGCAAGTGTTGCATGGTTTTCTGAACGAGGATAATCTACAAGGTGTTGATTACGAAAAGCGTTGGGATCTTGGACATCCGTTCATGCACCAATCGCCATTCAGATCTTCCACCTCTACCGATGTCCACGGTTATCTTCCTAGCCACCACCAGACTAACGGGTTTACGAACAGAGTGCACAACGTCTCGGATATTAGTCCCGCCACACCGGCACCTAGATGGCAACAACATCGTGGTCCCAAAATCGAGAGTGTAGTAAGTCCCTATTTCCGGAACGGTCTTGACCAGGCCCAAATTATCTCGTCACCCAGCCGCGCTGAACCTCAGGATAGTTCAAATCGTTCCGGCGGCTATCAGTCGCAAAAGCCAAGGACGAACCATCACAAGATCGGCTGGGTTGAGCCTCGCAGTCTCAACGCACTTTCATTCTTCGATTCACCGGTTGATTCTAGAAATGAGCCTATCGAAGTGGACCACCGGCGCAAGTTGGTAGGATTAGTACCGACGCCTTCAGCACAGCAGTATCAGAGATGCCGTCTTGATTCGCGTGGCTCCATTGCGCCACAGGAATCGAGACGTTTATCATACACCAACGACACCGCCTATGACTTTTCCAATGATCGGACATTTTACAATACAAAAGCGCCTATACATACGCAAGCTGCGATCAATGTAGCGTCTGCGAATCGTCTCTCACATTCCCACATCGGTAAAGTGCCCTCTGCTATGCCTTCGGTCATTGCAAGCCGCCCATTCACTCGTACGCAACCTCAATGGGAGAACCTGCAACGAGCAGGTGTGAGGAGTAGCCGCAACGCTTTGAATAGTGCTGCTAGAGGTAATCATGCGGTGCCATCGAGGGATGTATTCCCTAGCGCTAGTCGGCGTAGCGTTAGACGTTGAGGGGAAGTACAGAACTTTATTGTGCCCCAGCGTCTACGTTGAGTTACGCGGTTCATAGCCTTGAAGAAAACTCTTCCCATGTCGGGATCCAATGTATGCATCATCAGGAAACCAACCCATAGGGTCTTCAATATTGCAAATCATAATATGCCTATCTGTGTACTAGCGTCGCGATAGATGTTCCGGGTTCGATTTACCTCAAGCTTGTATCTAGATTCCCGTGCTGACAGCTTTTGAACACCACGACCGCAGCATGCGACATGGAGATTCGCACCACATTCCACAGATCGTCCCGTGCGATGATCGGAAACCTCTTACCGTGAACGGATTTGTTAATTCGCATCACGTTCAATCAAGAGTTTGCCCTGTGATGCTTAGCGTGCTCGAGCGTTGCCCTTCTCGACACGGAGCTTGTGTGCTCACCTCACATGTAGGTAGACTACAAGGAGATGAGAAACTAGCGCGAATATGGTAAGGACCAAGGAGAATTAATATGCGACGAATATGCAACGAAGCTTCCTCGGCATGCAAGGGCCGTTACCGGCCGCCCATGACGTCTTCATTGGCGGACTATCATGCGCAATTCGACGTTTCATACACACACCTGAAATCTCCTTGTCGACGTTGAAGATCTGAACAGCTGGCGCGATGTTTCAACTCGACGGTTTTCCTTTGTTTCCGGTCTCCCCACGAATGGTGACCCCTGCATCCCCGCAAAAGCCACTGCGCATGACCCACGTTCCTGGTCATTCAAGCTTCCTTTAATATACCTAAGCAATTTATCCCGCACCACGGCTCCCAGGCTTCAGAACCATGATGCCACATTCGGCCTTTTCATATTGGCATCAGATGAAGACCCGCTCATTGCCGTGGGAGGAACGGAGGGGATGGCCCGTTCAGCTGTGGGGCGTTTAGTTATTGCAATGCGAACTATATACGGTATAAGAACGATGCTTGCTCAGTACGTGAATTGTAGGATCATACGAGCATACTCCAACTCTCCACACCATGCTTTTCAACAGTCTTTTGGCGGCTGCCGCTTTGGCCAGCACCGCTTTCGCGGCCCCAGCTGAGGAACGCCAAACCTCCGCGCGCAAGATGAAGTGGTTTGGTATCAATGAGTCTGGTGCGGAGTTTGGTGAGAAGAACTTCACAGGTGTTTACGGAAAGGAGTACACATGGTACGATCTGAACACAATCGACAAGTTCATGGCAGAAGGGATGAACATGTTCCGTTTGAACTTCCGTAAGCTATCCTATCTTGATACCCAATATCACAATCGTTCCAAAATGTGAGACTAACAACATCCAGTAATGGAGCGCCTAACTCCCAACTCCCTCACGGCCGAGTTTGACCCTCTCTACCTAGGCAACCTGACCCAACAAGTAAACCATATCACCTCAAAAGGCTCCTACGCCATGATCCAACCGCACAACTACGGTCGCTTTCTCGGCAACATCATCACCGACACAGCCGCCTTCAAGACATGGTGGACAAACGTCGCCGCAGAATACAAAGACAACGAACTCGTCGTCTTCGACACAAACAACGAAGTAAGTTGTGCCTACACGAACTGCATGTGAAACATACACTGACTTCGTATTTTCAAATCTGCAGTACCACGACATGGACCAGCAGCTCGTCTTCGATCTCAACCAAGCTGCCATCGATGGTGTACGTGCCGCCGGTGCAACCAAACAATACATTACCCCTGAGGGAAACAGCTGGACTGGTGCATGGACATGGATTAGCTCTGGCAACGGTGCTAGTCTGGTCAACTTGAAGGACCCGCAGAACAAGCTTGTTTACCAAATGCACCAGTACCTCGATACCGATGGGTCTGGTACCTCTGCCAACTGCGTCAGCGCTACGATTTTCAAGGAGAGGCTTCAGGCGGCGACGAAATGGCTCAAGGATAACAAGAAGCAAGGTCTTATCGGCGAGTTTGCGGGTGGCAATAATGCGCAGTGTATTTCTGCGCTGCAGGATGGACTGAAGTACATGGGTGCTAACAGTGATGTTTGGCTTGGAGGTATTTGGTGGGCTGCTGGTCCATGGTGGGGTGATTACATTTACAACATGGAGCCCACCACTGGTGTGGCTTGGACGGGGATTTTGCCGAAGATCAAGAGCTACTTCTTGTAGATGAGATAACTGAAGAGGTTGAACCTTGAAGCGCTGTATGTACTTGAGCTTCGTTTCTTGTAAATATTCTTATACAAAAACATTCCTCATCCTCCACTCTTGCAGATGCTCAGCCTACGGCTTACCTTCCCAAGCTTTGGTCAGATACTCCTCCGCGCCCATGAACTTGTAGTCTGGGAACCGCTGATTGAACTCGTCACTAACAACCCAGCCACCACTGCTAATCGCCTCAAAGAACATGAGGACAAACTGCTTGCTAAACGCCTCTCTCACATCATCTCCAACCGTGGGATGACTAATTAGCGGCAGCCAGCTTGCCTTCAACTCTCCCTTGGCAATATCCTCACTCTTCACGTACTCGACCTTCCAGTCTCCTCCCCTAATCTTCTTGCCCAGAGCGAGCAGTTCGTTGATGGTAGTGCGATAGCCTGTGATACCACCGACCTTGGGCCACGGACGCGTGTCATCGAGGGCGCGAGCGAGGATCTCAGCATCGTCTTGAATGGCAGTAATGACAAGGGGTTGGTTTCCGTCATCAAGAACCATAGCACGTCGGTTTTCGAAGTCGAGGAAGAAGGGCCAGGTGATGAGATCGCGTTCGAGCGGGTATGGATGCGCAAAGTAGTCCATGAAGATGGATGGCTGGAAGAGACAGTATTGCATGGATCCCAGTTCACCTTTGCTGTCAAGGTCTTCGAGATACTTTCTGATGAAGTCTTTGTTCTCGTAACTTGGGACGCCGCTGTAGTTTGCGATACCCCACTCGCTAGGTGCAAAGCGTGAGACGCCTGCCGCAATTGATGCATGGATTAGGTTCTTCTGGGCTACGTTGTCTACGTCTAAGTGGACAACGAAGAAAGATAGGACCGTATGGAAGCCCGCGAGAGCACTAGTGAGGGCATCGCGATCCTTGTAGTCTACTTGCTTGTAGGTGACCTTAGAAGATGGGTGAGGTTTTGTTGGGGCGGAGCGAGTGAAGATGGTGATGTCGTGATTGCCGGACGCGATTGCAGTTTTGAGAAAAACAGTTGCGACGTCTGTGAGATGTGTCAGTACGGGATAGGAGGGTTTGATTTAGAGCTAATGACAGCTTTCGTATGGTGCTGATATCAAGGTGGGGTAGGTATGAATGGAAAGAAGAGGAAGCCATACTTCCAGTGCCACCTGCTACCGCGATTCTGACCATGATGGCTCAATCTTGGCAAAATTGCGTACTATTGACTTTGACGCAAATGAGTCAGCTGTAGAGAGTTCAGGCGTTGAGCCTCTTCCTTTGTATCGTCGCATTCTATGGGTCCGCTTTTGGTCCGCAGTTTTAGGCGTGTCTTCGGCAGATGACGGCATCGGTCATGACTCGTGCCACAAACTTTCAACTTTCGAAGCCATAATAGCGATTGTTGACACCCTCAATGCTTGTTCAGTCGGCGACTGCCTCAATCCAAGGTAGATGTGTGATAAGCTGCCCCTTGGTATAGCGGAGTTGTACGGAGTTTGGCGGGGATAAGCAGTTTGCACCAGTTGCAGACAGGGCGTAATATTGCAAGGCTTGATGTTTAGCTGATGATTGTCAATCAAGAAATTTCAATGGTGCGCATAGCAAGAGTTCCTGAAACGTCTTTGTAGGATGCTGCGAGGCAGATTGTTCATAGTTCAGCTGATTCGACCTTTCTTGGCAGCCTTTGAGCAAATGAGGTGGAAGAGGCGAGTGAAAGACGAACATGGCAAATTGCGTGACGGAAAGATATCCGGTAGGAAGGAGCTAAGAAATGCCAACCGAATGTCAAGCCCTCAAGCATCGATCAATGGAACCTCTGGTAAAGGTTTCTCGGGTAGCGGTTTGCTTGGCAGCGGCTTCAACGCATCCGTATACGCCGGTGGTCTCGAGGAGCTGCCTTCCTCCGGGTCGTCTCTATACGCGCCATGTGCATCCAGAAGAGCGCCCTCTTCTTCAGCCACCCTCTCCCTCCTCATGTTCTCCCAGACATCCTCCATGCCATCCCACTTCATGAGCTCACGCTGCGCGACGATCCACCAGTAAAGCTTCCAGAAAAGGAACAGGGCAAGCAAGCCGCCAACAACACTGCTGGAGATGATCCAGAACAAAGGCCAGTCCCTCCAGTGGACAAACTCGCCGAACATGTCGCGAAGAGTTCCTTTCTTGCCGTAGTAGCCCCATTCTTCTTTGCGATAGAGAAAGCGACTACCCTCTATGTCCCAGACGTCGGTTCCAAGGAAGTGCCCTATCCTACCCCAGATGGTCAAGGGCTTCTTGGCGGGAAAGGTGTAGGCTCGGGCGACCAAGCGCATGTCAACAATTTGATACTCATAGATGTTGTCGTCGGTAATGGCCTGCCCGAAAGGGTCTGCGACCTTGGTTGGTCCTCCTTTGCCACCTCTCTTCAGTAGGGTTCCCTTGATGAGCATCCATAGCATTTTCTGATCCGGACTGTCAAACTTCCAAAGCGGGCCGCTGTCCTCAGAGTATCGTGATTTTCCAATCACATCCAACGCAACGTCCCAGTACTCGGCGTCTGTGTCGTCGCCTCCATGGCTATCGCTCGGGTTCGCAATGTATAGGTAATCGAATGCCATGCGCCAGGAGGACGTCAAGGGTACTGTGCGGCACCATTCTCCAGATCCGCCATTCCCGTTCTTCAGACAATATGGGTCTTCCGACTTCAGGCCAGCGTACAGTTCTGCATGTGAGAGGTTGGAGCGGTATCGCGTGACGTCGAAGGCAGGGGGTGTGGGTATTGTAGGCAAGGGATGTAGCGGGCGATTGTTGAGGAGGACTGTGCGGTCATCGTGGGTGAGGGTTACGTTGAGGAGCTGTAGCGCGCGGTGGTTAGCATGGCCTTAGACACATTTGCGGTTAGGCCTCTTGCTTATACATACAAGTACATGATCACGGTTTACAACCTCGTCGTCTTTGTCGGTATAAGGGCAGTCCTTGCACTCTATCTTTGCAATGTAGGACGATCCGGGTACCACTACTGCAACGGGTGCGATGGGCGCCTCACACTCTTTGGGCGCTTCCCAGTATCTGTCGAGGCTGCAGTCGAGCACCTTGGGGATGTCTGCAGCGCAGGCCGATGCAACGAGGCCGGCAAGCAGCGAGACGCCGGACAGCAGCATGGTGGGCTGGCTCGTGGTAGAATGACCGAAGGCACCTGCCTGGCGATCCGCTCCTCGCCGCTGTCAGGGGCGTAGCGTGCCACAGCGGCAGGGATGGGGCGACTAGCCGGCGATCAAGAAGCAAGAACGATGGTTCCCCCACCAAGCTTCTGATCTATTTCGAGCTCGACATCGATAAAGACCCTGCACGAGGCGTAGAAAAGCAATATCAGAGGTTGCAGCGACTATTCTAGCTCACCTTTCAACAAACTCCATCGACGTGCAATGCCTAGGTTCAGCGACCATTTGCAGGATGCCTCCCTTAGGCAACCCTCATGCGATAGATACTGGAGAATCGATTCACACCTAATAGGCCGCCGAAGTTGTCTCTTCCACGATGTGCTTCACGTTGGGAAGATCGATCAGATGCGAGAGCGGGAATATCACTAGTTGGCCATGTTATACTGGACGTTGGGGTATTAGAGCGTCGCGCGGCTCGAGCCTGCAATGTACTTACATCTACATCTCTCGTTTCAACATTTGCGATGAGACTTGGTGTTATTAATCTGATTGCACAATCTCAGGTGATGTAATCGACTCTGAAGCTTGACAATAGAGAAGTAGTAGGAACTCAATGTGAGTTTGACGCTTGATGACATGGCAGAGTCAGGGGCGCGCATTGTCTCTAACACCAGGTTTCATGCATTCCAGAGTTAGCAGCATTCTAGTTTCCAAGGTCATGTATTTTGTCCGCTATTCAGCGTTCTACTTCCTGAGATCGTTGGAACGCTTTCGCGTTTGAGGTTTCTGCGGAGCGCTGGACCCTATGATGTCATACTATGAGATCACAACGCGTGACACGCGCCAGACTTTAACAACCTACACCCTCGAACCCTTGGCTCTCAAACTTACCAACCTGTACTATCTACAGTCACCCAGAAACCGTGTTACCACAGCTAGATCATTCATCATCTGAACAACAGCCGTCATGTCCAGCTCAACCTTCCAATCATTTTCCACATCCTCGTCCAGCACAACCATCAACGGCCAAACAACCTCGAAATCCGAACAAACCTACACGGACCCCAGTGGTACCCGCACTCAGCGCACACATCAGGCACCAGGTGAAGCGCCTCGTGTCGAGCGATTTGAAACAGATGCTGCAGGCAGACAGCTAGAGGACCCTAGACAAGCGGATGCGAAGCGGATACAGGATGTGACAGAGGAGGAGGATGCCAAGACAAAAGGGAGGCAGTATGAGGAGAGGATGGGGGACGAGTATGCTAAGAGGGAGGGTGGTGCTTGAGTCACGTGCAATGTCAGTTGTCTGTAAGAAGACACGGCATTATGATGGTATTGTCAACCTACAAGCTAATACAGAGCGCCTCTTACTACTTGCAAATACGAACAACTTCCAGCTTTAAAGGACTTATTTGTTTGCTAAAAGAGATATCGTCATCCTTGTGATTCTTACTCAATGGCAAGCTGTCATAGCTATACAGATCTACTGATTAGAACCCTTTCCCTCCTATTTTCCATCTCTTCACGAACACGGTGCAGCTTTCATACAAGTTTAGATACCATTGAATAGCTCTCGTGTTGTTAGCTACATGGCTACTGCCAGCTAACCTCGCAGCGACGCCCACTGTCCAGGATACACTCAACTTGTCTGTAACAAAAGATCACCACGCTCTTGATGCCTCCAGGAGATTACATCAAGTCGCAGCAAAGTTTCATAAACATCACAAAACATCAATGAGGTAAACAGCATAGCAGGGGAGATGCGAGCGCAGTAGCGCAGACAAGCGCGAAGAGTTCAATTGTCGTTATCTATGCGCCGAAGCGCCGATTCCAGTCCCTAAACCCATACCCAAACCCAAAACCCGTCACAATCCAACCTGAAACTAGACCGAAGAGAACACCAAGCCAAGACACCAACGAAAAGGCCCACCGCCGGACGTATCGTCATCCTCATCGTCCGTGGTGATCCAGCCAGAACTCGAAGTGGGCCTGGGATAGGCCGTTGAGAAATCTCGCCAGCTCAGCGCCAGACAGGACGTATAACTGCTCGTACGTGAACACGGGGTCTGCTGGCGGACCAGGAGGACCAGGACCGGGTGGTGGCGGCGGTGGCGGCGGCAGCAGCGAACGAAGCCCACCTGATGGTGGTAGAGGAGGGTGAGGAGGCGGCTCGATAGGCCCGTGTGCGTTGACGGTGGAGAAAGGTCGCTCCATGGCGAATGGTCTTGGTGCCGGTGGTGGTGCCGGTATTTTGTGGTTGTTGTGGTTGTTGTGGTTGTTTTGCTGCTTTGCAGCAGGAGGAGAAGAGGATGAGGAAGGATTTGTGATAATGTATCAAATCTTCTTGTCAGGGGCAATGAGAGTGAGGTTGCCAAAGAGTTCAAGACGTATACAAAAGTCGATTGTTTATGTAGTCCACAAACTCGTGGTCCCAGCGCCTTGCAGAATCCATGCCAAGACGTGAGTGACGGTGACCTGTACTGAACGACCACCGCTTGGTAGAACCCAAAGAGATGATATCAGTGCTCAGTGCCCTTCAAATGCCCAGCTCGTTTACTCACAAACTTCTCTGGAGTGTGCAGCACCCCAATTGACTTCGCGAGTCGCTGTGGTGACGATATGGGTAAACAGCTTTTTCCGGGGTTCTGCCGGCAACTTGCGACTTCTAATACCATATGGGCGAACAGAGTGTGGTTAGAGGGATCACGAAAATTTTTGGTGTCCATGGCGCAGCATATTGGGTATATATACTGATCAGTCCTCCTTATGATATCCTTCACTGACATCAGAGTTAGCAAGCTTCTAGCCCCCAAGCCATCTGCCCCTGCAGCGCCTAGTCCCAAGCTTCCCAGGATACTGCCCATGTTCAGACAAAGCCAATATACGAATGCGACCACAGGTATGAACAAAGGGGTTGGAAAGACAGGGGATAAGACAGGAGAATACGTCGTCGTTGTAGCGAGAAGGCAAGAGAGGCAGTAGGAAACGAAGATGAATGCGTACTACGGCGGAGGGAGGAGGAGGATGGCAAGATGGACTGCTGAGATGGTACGACGACGCCGTATAGAAAGACATGGAGGATAGTAGCAGTATGTATCCAGCATACGGTGGCTGACGGTGGGCAAAACAGCCACAATCGGATTTCAAGGCATTCATTCCGTATCGTCCATGCTCGATGTCGTATGAAACAATTCCCAAAACACATAGCAGACGCCACGCGTAAGCATGTTTCTATACATATACGCAATAGCAGGGAATTAGGCGCAAGCATAGAGGTCCTATAGAGACGGCTCAAGTGCAACAAGCGTCGTATAATTCTTCTTTTGCCCGCTCCACAAGACGTCTATGCCCTTTGCGACGAATGCCTGATCGAGCGTATATGGCGCAGCTCCTGACTGTGTTGAGAAGATGTATGAACTGAATTTTGTCATATGCAGGAAATTCGTAGGGGCTTGGGTAATAAACTTTTGCTCATGGTGTACAACGCGCGGATTGCATCGTGGTGGGGTTAGGTGAAGTGCTTCGTCTCACTCCGCTGGCGGTCGCCTCAGCCTCGACACCCACGACTTCCACGAAACCAAAACGCTTCTTTCGTGATCGACAACACCCTCGTCGGAGACCTGCGAGTGGTCACCCACATCGGCACCACCACCGAACTTGACGGCACCGTATTTTACAACGGCGGGTTCGATCAGGACCGCGTTCAACCACCCAATGAGTTTGAACCACAAATCTGCGACGTCGTGGACGCACGCAAGGTAAGACCTGGAAAACTTCGGCTGTATCCTCGTGTACGAGACACTGAGCAGGATGACTGTATCACTCGGTGAGGGTGTGGTAAGTGGCTTCTCCTTGACGCAGAGCTGACTTGCCCAGGACGCAGACAGTCAAAGGCATGTGACCTCCCACATAGCCTTTTGCTGAGTTTCGATGAACGTACTGCGTCCGGATTGACAGATAGTAGCGATGCGATACACCCGTGGTCAAAATGCCCGTTCCGGTCAAGGCGTGGCTCCTCCGCAGCGGTCAGACTGAGCTCCGAGAACCCTCCTACCTTGAGGCGGCAACCCAAGACAGCGACTAGAAGACATCTCAAGACCTATGGATGGCTAACAGATGTGGCAGTGATCCAAAACGGACGTCGGAGATAGCTTGGTGCCATTTCGGTTCAATACCCTGCTTACGGACGCTCTCAGCAAAGCCACGAAGTGCTTCCCGACCCACCGATACCACAGACATGCCTCGATGATATACGAAGGACCAGAAGCTGATGAGATTCATAGTCATAGCAAGCGCGTCAACGCACCAGTCTTGACCAGACTGTTGAGATACCGCTTTGGATTGGACAGGTCGGTGAAACGGCTGTGACGGCGCTTCGTGAAGCGTATAATACAGAGAAAAAAAAAGCCATGGACAAGTTCGCGCAATCGATATGCATCGTCTAGCTTACAAAAGCAACTCGTAGACAGATTCCGTGGAGCGCGAGATGTTTGTTTGGATAGCGCCCACCACGATGCACGATCGCCAATCTACAGCTCACGACAAGTGTAGCGACACACACAAAGAGGTCAAAAAACCCTTTGAACGATGTAGTCAGAGGATCAGGGTAGAGCTGCGTATCCCTCGTATATCATAAGGCTCATGCAACGGAGCAGAGACGTCGCCTCTAAGCACGCCCAGTGTTTGGATGCCCAGCGGCTGTCTTGACTCTCCGCCGTGAGAAGCAAGGATCGCCCATTCGACAACGCGTTTGACGAGACGACCTTGCCTTCGCTTTGAGAACATACCGGATATTTAGAAGTAACACTTCTGAGCTCGATGGCCGTAAAGAGTTGCCGACAGATGGCTTCTCGAGGATAGGGCGCTGATGCGTAGAGCAACGGGGATGCGCATGGTCGCATTGGCGACGAAAATGAACACGTCGCAACGAAGGATGCATATGCCGCGAAGTATTGCGCGATCCATGGCTTGGTTTCTGCGGCATCTGACGTCTTCATGTTGGGAGTTCCAAGGACATTCGCGCGTAGCTTCCACGCCGCGTGTCGCAGCAGAATCTTCCCAGCTCTTTCATAACCACAGAACTAATAGTGACCAACAGATGCCTCAGGCTGAGAACCAATGGATAGGCAGCCTTCTCGATAAAGAGGTGAGGTTGGACTGTAAGCATGCCGGCCGAAGTCAGGGAAGGATGACGTGTGGAAGCAAGTGTGGGTCTTCCGCCCAGCCACCCGGATGTTGTGCAGCCGTGAACATCAGTTCTCATCGTCACAGCGAATCTGGCATCTCCGAAACGCTTCAGACCCCTACTCATGGATCAGAGATATGTTGTCGTATGCGACAGAGCATGCGAACGTCAGCAAACAACCGGCGATCAAGAAGAGATACCTACCACTGCGAGCTACGCGGCATACATACGTTCACGACCGCGATGCACGAGACCCGCAGGCTGGATTAGAGTCTGATGATATTGAACATTGAACTTTCTGATGCGCACTCAAACAAGACTCCAGGAAGACTGCCGGCTTTCTCCATCTCCAGTCGCTGCTCGCAACCCTTAAACGTCCACATTATCGGGGTCTCCGACATCTTATAACTATCTCCGCCCTCCAGCTCTTCGGCAATTTTCGACCCTCCAAAAGGTACCAGAATTTGCAACACGGTTCTTCGTCTTCAAATACTTTCATTACCCGATCATCATCCAATCGTTGCTGCCTAGGTGGTAGCTTAGAGTTTGTGGTGTAGATGCTACTGTTGATCGATGTCGCAAAGCTACCTTGACGCGAGGGAGCGCTCGAGCGGTCTACAATAGACTCACTGCGACTCGATACCTTCTCTCCTTGAGATGTACGACCTGAAATTGAGTACTGACGTGCCCGAACGTCCCAGACGCCGTTCAGTTCCGCCCGTAGCAATTCGTTCTCTTCTTGGGCTCTACGATAGTACTCGGCTTCAGATCGCAGACGGAAGATATCTCTTTGTCGGTCCCTGAAGAAGTTAGCGTATGCCTCAAGAGCGGTTTGTATGTGGAAACTGCTTACATGACCGATCGATCACTTCGTTGGATATCCATCGCCGTGATCAACCAAAGCACTCGCATTCTCTTGCAATCCAAGATCATAGCAGGTGAGCTGCTGGAAACAGCAGCCACCAAATCTTTGACTTTGGTGGTCGCGGCGATGGAGATTCGCAACAGAAAGCGTCCTAAAAGTACAATTCTGCGCAAATGCCCAACGTCATTGATGGATAGGGCCCCTACCTCGCCCTATCCAGTCGCCCCCTCCAAGTACCTTGGGGCGTCCTGATGCTCTAATAAAAGCCCGCGAACTAGAAGATGTTAACAACATCCACTGCAGATAAGAATCTTCACACTAACGGATTTCCGATCGGATTCCTGGAACGAAGATACGGCGCTGTTTAAGTCGATGACACGAGATGTATGAGGCGTTACTGTAGGCATTGGCGTAGCCCACGCCAGAGGTATACGGAGAGCTGCCGTTGTACGAAGAGGGCTTCTGGACACCGAAAGACTGACCAGTGTTGGATGTGTAGTTGCGCGAAGCAGCGTATCCTGCGGTGGCAGGCCTCCTCCTAGGACAGACTCACGATGCAGCTGCTGTGGTGTTAGCGGTGGAGCTTGGCATGGTTGTCAATAGGCATACCTCTTCGCACGACTTTGCATCGAGCAGGGTCCCACCCAGCCCGATGAAGGCTCGGAACCTTGATCGGAACGCTTGGTACGGGCAAATGCCCGTGATGTGAAGATTCGGCAAATGCGGTGTGCCTGCCATCTCTGGTATTCAGTGCGGAGATCAAATGTGCGCGAGTGTTGCAGGTAAGGAGGGAGAACGACTGCCTTGTCGCGGGCTTCGCACGGCAGCTGGACATGGAAGCCCAACGACAAGGCCGCCAATGCGAATTCGAGGTTCTTGGGTTGGGGCGATATGTTCGGTGTTGAAGTTTGTGGAACTATCAACAACCCCCGACCCCAAGATTGTCGAGAAGCTCGAGTGCTGGTGCTGAGTTAGTTCGACGAAAAAGTTCAGGGATGTCCGAGAAGAAGCACATATCATGTCGTTCTCCCTCCCACATCATGACGGCCGTGCCGAGGCTACCCAAGTTGTGGGAATCCTATGGCCAAGATAACTGCTTGTCGAGGGCAGCCATCAAAGCACGGCCGTTCATACTCGGTGTGGATTAATTGCATGACTACCCAGCGAGTTAGCAAGTGCTATGATATCACGGGAGCGGTGAGTTGCAAACATACTCCACGCCGATTTGTTGGAAGTTGCGTTTACCGCCGAAGGCTAGCGGACATCCTTGTCTTGTTGAATGCAGCAGCAAACCGGACATGTTTGCGTAGTCGACCGGGGTTCCGGTTTGCAGGAAGATGTCTTTGCCTTCTGCGGCAACGCGCTGTTGTAGCGGATGGAAACGCTATGAGCAACACACGACATCGGCCGGAGTTGAAATCGATCTGAAGCGTCGTGTGTACCATACTAAACGTAATCAGCGTGACATGTATTGGAAGATGATGACGGTGCTTACGCGCTCCACCCACTACGACAGCTCTTTCTGGTCCAGCCCCCCTCCTTAGCAAAGTCGGCGTTGAGTCAAAGCTACTGTGGATCTTGGGATCGTAGACGCTCGACTTGCGCTTGAGAGAAGAGCTGGTACCAGACATGCCAGTGTTGGTGTCGACCTTCAAAGATTAGGTGACTGAGGTCGACACCGACCTGAATAGGCTGAGACCGGCGCTGAAAAGCGTGTCAGTATTCCAAGAATGTACTAAACTTTTACAAGGGGGCATGAGAGAATCTCTGAGCAAGGCTTGAGTTGTTGTCAAAGGCGGGGTCGCCGATGGTGCTCGCAGTGACTCGGTGCGCTCGAGGAAAGGAGGGGAGCATGCGACTTACTAGAGATAGGTATCCATCGTTGACGGGCCCACCAGGCGAACCTGGAAAAGACGAGCCTGAGCTCGAGGATCTTGTAATCCAAATGTTGGTAGTGGGATGTAGAAGAGATGGAGTTGGGGGTCGGTGGGCAAGCTTATATGGCGCCTCTGTCTAGGCTGCCAGCCTTGTCGCTAAGGCTCGCGACCTCGCGCTCACCACAGGTTGACATTACTGGTGGTGCAGGATGCCCCCGAGGTCGTATCAACACTAGGAGAGTTGGACAAGGTTGCTACGGCCTTTACGGAGCTCTTTGTACCGCTTCACGAACCCTGGGGAGGGTGGTTATTGAGTTATCCGCAGGGTTGAGTAAAGGTTCAGTGAGCTGGACCCTGACTGTTTATATCGAGCTAGGGGTGAGGTAGAAAAAAGGTGTGACCGTGCGGCGTGCTTGGGGCTCACCGAAGGGGTGTAAATGTGGAAGTGCAACACCACCACATCGTAACAGGAGCACCGCAACAGTCGCAGGAGGATACCATGAGATCTGCGCTGCTTTTCGTACCGCTCCGAGAGTTTTTGGTCTGGTGGTGGTGGAGATACGACGCGGAGGGTGTAGATTGCTCGAGATCAAACTGCAAAAGCCAGCTGGAGCAGTGAAGGAACACCAACCTCTCCTCTGGCAAGCTGATGAGGTTGGTTTGAAAAGCTTCATACATCATGCCAACAAATGTTCGCAAAGATAGGGAGAGCATGGCAGCAAATCCCTGACCCCTACCTCTATCCTCCAATCTTTTTTGGTCCGAGTCGATAGTGTGGTTATTTAGCAACAGCCTAAATTGGTAGAAGTACAGAGTCTTGGGTGGAAATCACTGCTCGAATGCCTGGGGTGCCTCGAGGTCGCCGCGGAAGAGGCAAATATTTAACCACCAAAGTCACGGCGACGGTCCCCCATCGCGCCACAACCACGAACAGCTACCGAATGTCGAATAATTCCACCCCTGTCAGACTCGAATCTACGAACTCGCGCTTTCTCGGTACAATCGATACCTTCGAGGTACAGCTATCGCCTCGAGCCAATGAACGAGCCACGACAATACACCAAAGACCCAGCTTATTGTAGAGCACGAACACACGAGTGGTTGCGAAACTATGAAGTGGAGACACACTAAATCGTACAAGAAAGCTCTTCAGCATGTGAGCGACACTATGGGCGGACTGCTAGTTGTCGAGGTTTTAGCATTTCGCACGGTTGAAGACTCTCAGCGGTCCTGGGTCTATCATCAAGGCCACAAATAGATACGGCAGGATACCAGGGAATCACAGGATAAGGTGCGAATTTCGCAAGTCCAGGGCAGCAAGGCAGCTCGCGAGCTCTCCAGCGGGTATGGTAGCAACGAGTCAAAGGGTTTACAGGTATGCACCAAATCACGGTCAGTATGAGCGAAAATACAACGCTCGTTGAAGGTGCTCCAAACACTATATAAAACTGTATCGAGATCGACCACCTAACCTGGAAACCACGTTAAGAGGGACGTTGTTGATTGCCTCTATGATTATGACCTTCCGCACTCTCTAGCCTTGCCGTAACCACCGACTTTCCTCTTACACGATCACCAACATTCGAATAAATCCCACCACCACCCCAATCCCTTACGTACCGGGCTGGCCGCGATCGAACTATACCACTTCCGCCCGTCAAACGCGGAAAACCTTTCTATCAACGCTGCTCTTGTCAACAATCTCTGTATCTAACCACATTACAACCTCTAGTAGTAGGAACTTTGACAACCACAAGTTTAAAGAAAACAGGCGGACGCTGTTATCGCTGGGTTCATAAGATGTAGCGGTAGTGTTGTAGACAAAATCTCTTGTGACACGCTTTAGAGTATATATCGGATGCAACAACGAGGTCCATCATCTAAGCATTGAGAGCAAGCATCTATATGGTAACTGTAACCTGATCAGACAAATGAAAAGTTTCAATCCTTTGGTCACAGCTCATGATCCGTGCAGAAAGTGTATGTAACGCGTATAATGATACGCTTCATGTAGTAGATGGCAAGTAGCCGAAGAAGATGCGGTGTGCTATGGATAATAAAGCCCGATTCTACATGGTTGCCGAACGCATCGGGTCAGCTGCATCCAGGATATTGTTCTCAATGCATCTTTTCACGAGTATCAATTTTTATATCATGATTAGACTACAGGAGAAGAGGAAGCTGTCTTTACTCCTAGTCGGCCTTGATCATCAGAGCCCAGACATCGTCATCCCAGATGTCCACATCAGAGTCTTCATCCGCGTTCCGTTTAGCTGTCATATTGTTGTTGGCATCGCTCATCGGAGGAGGGAGGGGATCTTGAGGCTGTTTGTTGTTAGTATGAGTATCCTCCACGTAGATCACCAAGCTTACTTGTGCCTGGGAAACAGCGTTGTCCTCGTCTTTCTTCTCGCTACCACCATTGTCATCTTCAGGCTCGCGAGCCGAACTCTTCTTCTGCGAGACACGAGCAGGCTCAGGCGTAGCGCCACCAGAGACTCCACTTGCATTACTCAAGTCGCTGTCAGACCCTGGATCCGACTTGTCTCCCTCACCCAGCCGAGCTCTGAGGAGCATACGAGTAGTCCAAGTGGGATGCTTGTTCGCAGCGCTGATCTCCTGAATCTTCCGCTCTTGATCTTGCTGCCACTGCTGCTTCTTCATGTCGGTCGCTGTAACATCCGTCATCTCTGCTCCCTCCAGCTTTGCTTCCCTGGCGCACAGTGTCTTCGTCCATTCCAGTTCGACCCACGAGACTGGTTGGCCTTTTTGGCGCCTGTCAAGAATACTACGAGCCTTTTCCAAGTCGGCCTGACACTTTGACTTCTGTGCTTCGTCGACGATCTGGGCGGCCTGAGGGCGAGTAATATCAGTAGTCAATACTGGGGCTCTCGAGGACGCGGCGACTTACGAAGCCGACTGATACGAGTGTCTCTTCTGGCACTGATGAGTTCACGAGAGCTTGACGGTGCTCATGTGTGTTCTGGTTGCGAATGAGCTTCGCCTGGGCGGAAGTAATATCACGGTTTGCGTCGCTGAGGGAGTTTTGTGATTTATGGGCAATGCGCTTCTCGCGGGCCATTTTATCAAAATGAGTTTGTTGAAAGAGATTGATGAACTGTAGAGTTGACCTTGTGTTGGTGGGGTCGGAGAATGGAAAGAATACAGTGGGAAGAGTGTTTTTTCGTTTGTCGTGGAAGTCTTTCATTTTCGCGACTAGAGCGTCTCATAGTACTGCTGTTCGTCTGATCTTGTTCCTATAACCACATATGATGATCGTATATAGTAGGACGGGTAGATCTGCTTTTGCATGAGTTATCGAATTTGGTGGTATCATAACTGTGTAGAATAATGAGATGACGGAAGAACGAATGATATCAGGCAGAAATGCGATGGACATTCAATGCTGAAGTAAACATAACGGGTATTATACAAGCGCTCATAGTAACGTAAGAAAACCGACAACTCCGCGCTTCACATCATTCAGTATCATAACGAAAAGAAACAACGTCCGTATGGGCATCGCCCAAACAACCACTCCACGGCTGCTTTTGAATATGACGGCTGAGGTCAACTTAGACATGGTCGTGTCTTCCAAGCAACTTGCCCTTCTTGCCGAGAGCCTTGGCCTCGCCCTGCTTGATCTTCGCAAGTCTCGCCCTATAACATTGTTAGCGCCATATTCCCTTGATGCAAATCACATAAACTTACTCCTCAGCAGCTTCCCTCTCTAGGCGATGAACATGTTCTCTTGCTTCCCTTACAGCGTTCTTCGCAACGAAAAGCGCGCGGTCAGCATCCCTCTCCGCTGCCTCGGCGTTCATCAAGCTCTGCTTGGCAGTAGCAATGCTAGGGTCTCCGGAGCCACGGCTGAACATGCCAGATGTGCGCTTGGGCGAGGAAGTATGTGTGGTAGTAGTGCGGCTGGTGGAGCTGCTGTGGCGTGTGTCCCGGTATGAAGGGGAGGAAGAGCGGCGCCTGGAGAACATGGAGTGTTTTTGAGGAGGAGCAGGTGGAGGACTGGGCTCGCGCTTGGATCCGAAGAGAGGCATGTTGATGGTTTGGTGTATTGGTACGGAAAGGCTCAAGTTGGAGTTGACACGAGGTTTGGGTAGCTACTATTTGGCTGGAAATTGGAGATGACAGATTCTGGAGGATAGAACAGAGGGTTCGGGAAACAGATGCCGTGCCTTATATGTGAAGTGTCCCTGTCATAGCGCGCTCTTTCGTCGTGTCTCCCAGGTGTCTTTCAAGGTCGTGAAAGCAGGGTTCGGAAACCCGCATCGAGTGACGTCAATGCCCCAAAGCAAGGGGTGATCGGCGCCTCCAACATCACAGAAAGCAGCCGCATCGTCATCGCTCAGGTACGAGATGAAATGATAGCCAGAAAAACGATTGTCGTGAAACATTGATTGCGATGTTGTGAATTGAAGCTTAGCGTGGTGTTCAGGTTTATGTGGGTCTGCAAGTACGCGTTCAGCGGCGGATACTGTGCCGGAGACCTTTGGTGTACCGGACTTGAGCAGAGCTAGTGAGCTTAACTAAACTCCAACTTCAAGGAACTCGCTGCCGTTGCATCCGAGCGAGTTGTTGGAACCATGTCTTAATCTCCATTCTCGTGAACGCAACACTTGACTTTTAGATAAGCTGAAGTCGCGTCATGTCCTGGTGCTCATACGCGGAACGCCATGTCGCGCAAGCGATTGTTGAAGATGCAAGTCCGGGAGAAAAGCAAAGACGCGCCCTGCGTCCAATGCCCCTGAACGATTGGCATGCCTACCATGTGTTTTGTGCATGCAATATCGGGAAGGGACGACATGGTCGCATTACTTATCTACATCTGACCACGACATCAGAGCTAAGCGCCGCATTCCCGCGAAGCATGTACGACGCGCAAGATGATACAACTGGTGATGATATTTATTTTGCTTGACAAGGTCGATCTTGCTAACTCCAGACACTCGTCCGCCATGCATATGCAACGTGTATACCAAAACGCCACCCAATGCTCGCTATGTATATAATACAACATGGTTCAACCACATTTAGCACCTTCGCTGTTGCCCATCATTGTTTTGCTCGTGGTCTTTATAATGCTAATGACCATTACGGTACATCCAAATGCAGCAACAGCCCCCGCCAAGTACGTCTTGGAGCTTCTCTGACTAAGCTTCATGTAGCATAGAGGCGGCAGAATGAACGCCAGTGCACATGCAGATGTTGCGCCGAATAACTCAAATACAATGCCCAGGTCGCAGGTGAGAAGTGAGAGAGTGAGGGCAGAGACGACGAGTGAAGTAGTGAAGATGAGATGGCGGTTCGGATGGTAGGGTTCCTCGGGAAACCAATAGTTGTTCATGACTTCTCGACACACGAAGGCTTCGAGTGGAAGTGTCGTGAGCATGTTGAGGCCGAAACATAACCGCGCAATGTTGACCATGAGATTATCATTGGGAAAGTTGTTGAGCACGTTGCCGAGGGTCTTGTCACCGAACGTCAGGTAGCCTGACAAAGCCATGACAAGACATGCGACCAGGGATATGCTAGTGCTGTAGTGTGTAACGCGTGTAAAACGATCGATGGTAGGCTTCCGCAGCGAGCCGTATATAAGGAGGCTGTTGTGGTGACAGACGAAGGCGAAGGCTATCACACCGATCGCCTCGAAGATACCGGATCGGATGATGAGGGAGCCACGAAGTTGACCCTTGGACTCGGCGGGTACGCGGAAGGCTTGCGTGACTACGGTCACGATGATGATGGTCATGCTAACTAGTGCCAGACCGCTAGCTTTGGCAAGCTACATGTTGTTAGCCCGGTCGGTGTGCTGGGTCACAGTGCATACCTTTGATATATCCCGGTAAAGCGACAGTGGAAAGGATATGCCGAGAATAAGCAGGATCATGATGGCTCTTCTGTTGGTCAGTAGCCAGAGGAACGACATATCGGCCAAAGAAGGGAACATTGAATCCAAGACCCTTGGTATTGTGTCTCCGACTACTACGCAGAACGCGACCATGCCTCCAAAAGCACTGCATGCTGTCAATAACCTGCATTCGGTATGCCGTGGGGTGAACATACAAGACCCATTGCGCGAGAGATATGGCTATCAGTCCTGATTTCCCAAAACAGTGCTGAACCGTGGCTTGGAACGAGTCAGTACCGCTGAGCTTAGAGTTTATGACGATGAGCCGTATAGTCCAGTCTACCACGACGGTAAGGCCGATCAGGAGGGCGGTGCCTGTCAAGAGGCCCGCATTGCGGATGGCGTAGGGTTGGCCAATGATTCCAGCGCCTCTGCTTTGGATTAGCTTCCATGCTTAGATTCCGTGTTGACGGGCATACATTATGCTGTTTGCCATGTTCATAAAGGCGCTCCGCATCCCGCTCCGTGGCTGTGCACTCTCGAGGTGGTCTTCCGGATTGAATGATTGTTCTGCGACAGTGACGCTAGGCGCCTCTATCCCAGTGAGCAGAGGAAGTCGCTGTACTCTTTCCCGCCCATCATCGCCGTCCATGTAGTCATCTCCGTCCATCTCCAGCCAGTCGCCATTGGAGTCTCCGTTCATGCTCCTCCTGGGTTCCTCAAAGCGCACCCGGTTTGGCGTTCTCGGCGTGCCATCGGGCCGGGGCTGTGCGAAAGACGATTGCCGTTTGAAGTTGCCATTTGGTCGTGACCCTGGCGGTGCTGGCGACGCGGATGTGGTTCGTGACGATGAGGGCGATGGAGACAGGTGTCGCGGACTTGCTTTGCGCTCGTGTTCGGGTTCCGAGTCGCTGTCTGAAGGATGCTCATGCAGGAGCCCTTTGCTTTCGCTCATCGTGGCATTGTCGAAATCAAGGGAGGTTTGCAACTCGAGCGCTTGTTAAGGTGTCATTCCCGACTTCTGACATCGGACATTGGACCCCTGTTTCGACACTAGTCCGCTTCTGGCCTGGCTCACTCCTGCGCTTCCGGCTGCGACTTGTGGGGCGAACACGGTCAAGCAGAACGGTGTCATACACTTGAGCATTGAATCTCCCGCTAGAACTACGTACATGCTAGATTGTTCAGCCATCCCGTCTCTTCTTGAGATCGCCCAGATTCAGCCCTCCAACTGCAGTCGATACATCCTCTATCAGAGTTTCCATCGCTGCATCCAATGTACATGAATGGCTGTGGTAGTGCCCTTCAGGAGCCCAGCAAGCAGGGCGTATGCCTCTCACCCGGTTACACAAGTCCTTGAAACTCAAGCTAGGGAACGGAACCTCTGGGCGTGGTTGATATAGGTTCAGACGGGTCAGCTCTTTCATCATATTTCCGAGAAGAAAGGATCCGCACTCGAAGGAATAATTGTCACCATATGGGCACACATAATCGATGGAACGGTACCTCTCGAGACGTTCGTGAAGGGACTCGACAACAAAATCGATGGCCTGGTACCGCGTATTGTCGATTTCGTCTGCAATATGTAAATGGCCACGTATCTCATGAGAGCAAGAAACAAACATACCTGATAATATCGCAGGGATGGGAAGACCCAAGGTACGGAGAGATTCAGTGCTTTGCTTGATAGCTGTGGTGGTGGCTTCCTTGAACTGCTGATCTTTATCGAACAACCATGCTACCCAGATCCATAATACCAGATCTCTGCAGTATACTGTAGGTATAGACACCTTGATGAGTTCTTGGACCCAAATCTCTGTGAACACGTCCAGGGATTCTCCGAAAGTGTAATAGTCCTCGAGGATAGCGATCTTGGCAAGCATATCCAAACTCACTTTTCGTGGCACCTGCTTGTTGCGACCGTGCAAAATTCGGAGAACGATGAGAAACGCTTCTGGATCCCAGTCACTGGCTTGTATATGGAAGAAACCATCGATCTCGTTGCGAACGGATTCGGCGAACCCATCCTTGTTTAGCGCTCGCTTGAACACAGGCGACGCGAGCATTAGGTGGCGTGAGGAAACATGGTAGTGGATCGACTCTTCTTCAGGCTCAACAGGCTCTTTGTGTGTAGTCAGTGAAGGTGCAACTTCGTCCTCAGGAAACGTTTCACTGCTATTAACAGTGAGTCCACCAGGTGCCAAAGGAGGATAATGTTCTGTGTGGCTTAAGCTGTGTCGAGTCAGAACAAGTTTTGTATCAGGTTAGCATTTTGCTTGCCTATCGACTCTCTTTTTGCCCTTTTTCTTCTTCTTCTCCTTCCCGACAGGTGCCACTAGATTCTGTGATTTCTCTTCAGAACCCCAAGGCGCGAAGGTTGTGCAAGGATTTGTGAGAATTAACACTGTATCTGGATCTGGATCGATTGCGTGCACGACGGATGCCATGGCCGATACAGAGGAACATGCATCGATTGTTTGTCTTAAAGGTGTCGAGATTCTTAGGCAAGGACTGAAGCAGGCTGAGGAGAGTACGCATCACTGCGGCGCAATGTTAAACATTCTTTACTTTCACCTGCGGTAAAGTCACCAATGATGGGTGGCCGGCAAGCTATCAGTGCGGAGTCGTGCAGGAACTCATTCGCTGTCAGCGCCAACACGACAGGAAGAACCCATTATTGGTCGCTTGCGTTACACAACGCCGCTGAGCTGCGTCGCTAACAATCGTGGTCTATGAAGTGCATGCGGATCCCGATGCGATGAAACAGATCGTGTAGCAAGACGAGTAAACATCAAAATGTGAGTGTATTACCGCGATGAAAGGCACTATATAGCGGTTCGAGGTTCTAGGATGGTACGTGAAGAGACGCGATGCTGGCGGCTAGCGTTGGACGGGGCCAAGAGGACGTCATTGGCGGAGGCCATCTCTGCGCGAGTAGTCGCATCCCTCTCATCTCCTTTAGTATCAAATCCAAACTTCATTCTAGCTCTACTAAATGCGGGGCACAGTTACGATTTTCACACCATGCAGACGTTATACGATTCAAGATCTTCCGCGGCTCCAGCAGCCGCTACGATGTTGGCGAGCCCACCCACATCGAAGTATACGATACACTTGTTGAGTTCACAAACGCTTAAATCATTCACTTAAAATTTTATTACTGAGCCTGAACACAGACTCATACTTGACTTGCACTTGTGTAGGTCATTACTACGAGAACTTATTTCAAGACCAGTCCCGAATCAATCCTATTGCCCCTGGTATTCTGCAATGCTTATATCCAGCTCTAGGCAAGCCGCAGCATCGCAACGGATCGGAAAAAGAAGGTCTTCAAGTAGACAGCAGTTGGGCAAATCCCATATACCATCAGAGGGAGTTCCTATCTCCTCGATCTCGCAAAGAAGTGAATCAAACCCAATTCCTTCGAAGGGACGTTGACGATGTTCTGAAACGACACCCTGTAGATCTTCTTTCCACAAGGCCCGCTGCAAGAACCCTAACAGCATGCCCGAACATGCCTCCGAACACCCCTCCTTGCCTTGGTACAGCTCTCTGATAAGTTTACGTACACCACCCAGAAGCTTTTCAATAGCGGCACACCGCATGCCATCAAGCTTGTGTACTATGTGAGTCAGCAGGCTCTCACGAAGCAGATAGATAGCTTACCTTGCCCTCCTGGAGGAAAGGGTAGATCCAGAAACTGTATGGGATAGCAAGCTTTCCTTGTCGCAATTAATGCCATGTGGTTAAAAGTCTCCATGTCTTGGAGTTTCACACTCAAGAACATCCAGAGTACAAGCTCCTTACTGTAGGTTATCGGCATCGGTTGCCGCTTCAGTTGGTTCAACCACTCCGTTGTGAATAGTCCCAAGACACCCTCCATCTGGTAATAGTCTGCGATAACGTAGAGCCAAGCGAACGAAGCGAGGCTGACCTTTTTCGGTATGGCTTGAAGTTGGACATGCGCGACATTGAGCACCACGGCAAATGCTTCTGGGTTCCACCCTTGTGCTTGGACATGATATAGATCATCCTCGAAAACCGAAACTGTCTCGCCATAGTTGAATTTGAACATGTTTTCAAAGTAAGGTGATACGATACGCATTTGCCGCGATGACACCAGATACCGAGTTTTGGGTAATTCTCGCTCTAGCGGTGCAACTTCGCTGTTGTTGACTGTCTCAGTCGCTTCAGCTGCTGCCTGAGCGATCGTTTCCTCCAATAAGTCCTTGTCTTCTTTCCACTCCAACAGTGCCGTGTTCGGGTCTTTCAATATGATGAGCATGTCGCCGTTCGGATCGATCGTTACGAGCTCTGATTCCTCAGTCATCCTGGCTGAACGTGTGCGAAGTCAGTCGCGATTAAGGGCGGTAGTCGCGGGAAACACAGAAGCAGGATCAGTAGGAGAGCAAAAAGACAACTGAGCAATGGTGAGAGAGGTGCGTTTGTTTGTCAAGCCCGCTAGCTGCAAGTCGAACCTCCTAGAGACTGATTGCGCACTCGTTGCGGTTAGCATGAAGCGATGGAAGTGACAAAGCGACATGAGCAGTTGCATAGACACGGATGGACCGACGAATACGTTTGGAGACAAGGTTCTTGATAGATTAGTTTTCTGAAAGAATCGTTTGGCCTACAACTAGCAACGCAAACCAAGGACGAGAAACCAGTTGAACGCATGTGAGGCAAAGGAAGAAATAGAGTAACAGTTGTACGTGTTGTACCGACTGTGAATTGCGGCAGCTAGTCTCACCCCGCCTGGAGGTCTGTGGAAGATAAATATATATACATGAATTGGGTGAGAACGATATGGATGATGTTATGACATCTCATAATCCATGATGTTTTTAACGCACAAGAGCAGTAGGCGTGGGCCTGACCCTGGTCTCCAGGGTGCAAGGCTTGCTGCTAGCCTTAACGCCCACAGCACCTCCATGGCCGAAAGCTTCAGAGGGCTTGGAAGGGTAGTGGAAGCCGGCTGTAGGATGGGGGTAACCGTGAGCAGGCCACATACCGGAAGGCCTGGGGCGACCCCAGCCAAAGCTACCATCTGGACGGCTACCATGGAACCAGTCTGGACGGCCAGCACCAGTGGGGCGCGCGATACCGGAGGGGCGCATACCACTGCCAGTGGGGTAGGCGGCTGAGCCTGTACCGATAGGGTAGGGGGGAGCATCTGCCGAAAGAGTGGCGTCAAGGGGTACGCGAGTGCTCTGGGTCTTGCCTTCGGTACATGTTGTTGAAGCTGCGGGTTGAGTCGGTTCGACGGTGGGAGTCACCGCGGGTTGGGAAGGTTCAACGATAGGAGTAGCTGCTGGCTGAGATGGTTCGACAATAGGAGTAGCCTCTGGGTATTCAGGATAAGCTGTAGGCTCGACGGTAGGCTCAGCGACCAAAGAGCTGGGGGTGCTGGAGTATACTGGCTCAAGGGACAGAAGAGGTATCTTAGCACTTTCGGTGAAAGCAGGTGCAAGAGAGGCGATGAAAGACTCAGAAGCCGGAATGAAGATTGACAGGAAGGGCGCGGGAAGGTCGTTGTCGGGAAGGAAGCCTGATGGAATAGCTTCAAGCGCAGATGTGATGACAGAGACGATGGGAGCTATGGGGAGCAGGGACTCGATCGGGTTTGGGGCGGGCGTTGGAGCATACTCAGCAGGTGTTTCAACGGCTGGGGTTTGTTCGGTAGACTCGGCAACCTCGTTTACAGGAGCTGATTCTTTGACAGCCGCAGAAGTAGCGACGGGAGCCTTGGATGAGGGAGCTGGTGTCTTTGAGGCAGCTGGGGCTGAGGCAGCTGGGGCAGAGGAAGCAGGTGCAGCCGACTCGTTGCCACTCAGGCCCATGCATGCGAAGCTGATAGCCTCTACCTTTGCGGGGTTACGCACTGGTGCGTCAAGTGTCCAGTCCATGTCAACGTAAGGCCAGCATACCCGACCATCAGCCATGGTAACCATGTCTCCCGCGACGTAGACGTCCATGGACTTGACCGGCTCGCCAACCTTCTTGCCGTCCTTGACGAGCTGGAAGTAAGAGCCAGTAAAGGCACCCTTGCAGCCCATGGCAACGAACTCGCACGTAGGCTCAGCGATCTCCTCCCAGGTGACGAGAGCGCTGGTGCCATCAAAGGCAGCAACGTGAGCGTTCTGGCAGTCAGCAGAGCCTGTGGTGATCCAGTTGACTTGTGAGTCACCATCGGGGCCAAGTTCAGAGGTAGCTTGCTCGCCAACAATTGTCTTCTTGTCTGAGAAGGTAGCGATGGCAACGTTGCGGTTGACAGTGCGGTTCTCGGAGTGAGTGTAGCCTGCGCCCATCCACTCGTTCTCGGTCAGATCCTTGGCGCCACGCGAAACCCAGGAGAAGATGTAGGAGTCGCTGTCGATGAAGCGTGCAAGACCACTGTAGGATCCGGACATGCCACCCATAGCCTCATTTCCAGCACCATTCTGGACGTTTTCGTTGGAGACCTTGACACCGCTCTTGTCCATTCCAGTACCTCCAGTGTTAAGCCAAATGGCACCCTGGTCCTCGGAACAGATGCTAGGAAACGGAACAGAATCAGCGGCCTCGAATGCGATACCAGTGTTGTGTGAGCATCCCCAGCTTGAACTAGCACCCTGGATCTGCTCGAGCGTGCCGTTCTCGCTAACGTATTGGATGGCGTCACCAAAATGACCCTTGGCATCGCCAGAGTACGCGGTGACGACGAAGTAAGCACCGTACATGCCAGTGGCCTCAGAGAAAGCAAGGTCTCCGTTCATGTCCGGGGACGCCAGTGCGCCCATACCGCCAACGTTGTCAGGGCCGCCCAAAAACGTCTTGAAGGTCTGCTTGCCAGCAGTGTAGCGGTACAAGACAGCTACTGGGGTACTATCAGGCGGCGCGTTGGTGGTGCCTGACGGCATGGCCTCGTTAGTGAGTAAAGCGAAACCGTCATTGTGAGCAACTAGACCACCAGCTTCCTTTCCACCAGTGACGGTCACTGCATCGCCTACGGTCGCAAAGGTAGCAGGGTCGACTTTCTGGATATGTACGTCCGTCTCGGAAGCGTCTAGGTACGCAAGGTATGCTGACTTGCCATCTGGCGAGACAGCAAAGGGAGTGCGGCGATGGTGAGGGAGTCCAGTCCAGTACGCTTCTTTGATCGGATTGAAGGGTGCAGAAAGCTTCAAACTTCCGACGTGGGTCTTCAAGTTGTTTTCGGCAAGCTGAGCAAAGGCCGTGCCCGCAAGCAGGGAGAAAAAGAAAGTTGAACGCATCATGATGCGAACGGACGAGTAGATAAGCGAGTGACGAAATGAATGAACGACCAGCGAACAAGGTCAGTGTCAGTGAGTGACAGAAAAACGAAAGAAATCGATTCAAAAAATCGTAGAAGCGGTAAGGGTCATCGTCATGTTGGAGTCGCTCTCCTATATACCAAGCGCGCTACGAAACAAGCTATTTCCGCCTGGGCCTGAGGCCTGGTCCAAGGATATGGCACCGACGGAGAATCATCTCGGGGACATTTTCAGTGCGCCCCAGTGCGGGGACAATGAGCCTATACCAAGACCAGCTGTGTACTGCGAGTGGTGGGATAGCTGAGGCGCGGACCGTAAGCTTCGTAGCGTAATTGCGGACGTTTCGGATTGTTTCGTCCAAGACCGCGCTAGTGGAAAATCATCGCGCCAACACGTGACGACATCGGGTACGGGATAATCTAGAACGCCATCTCATCATTGTGCGAACTCACGCGACTCAATCGTACATCATCTCATCTATAGTGCTTTGTGTAGGTCAGCATACATTGAAGTGCCACCTTAATCTTACGTTGCCCGTCGCTGTATACTAATCAACATATCCTCCCAAAAGCCTACTCCACCTTTGACGACAAACCTGCCTTTCCGACCTTTATCCATGTCAATCTTGAACGTCCTAAGAAATTGCAACGGCGCCTTGTACAGCTCCATAAGTGCAATATCTTTTCCGAGGCAAACTCTTGCGCCGTAACCAAAGGCCATGTTGTACTTGTTGTAGTCTTTCGCTTTCTCGTCGCTCTCAAGCCAGCGTTCTGGCCGAAACTCGCAGGCATCGGCACCGTAGATCTTCTCGTCACGGTGCACGAGCCACGGGTTGCAAGTTATTTCTGTCCCTGGTGGAGCATATCGACCGTGCAGATGCATGCCCGATGGCCCAACAAGACGAGGGAAGATGTTGGGGGCAGAGGGGCATAAACTGTAGATGTGAGTATGGGGATAACTATTGAAAAGAGACTATAGCCTACCGCATGCTTTCCTTGACACAGGCGACATAGTATGGGCAATGTTCTAGCACTTCGTCGTACTGTGGTGTAGAACTCAAGTTTCCCTCACGAGTGACGCGATCAACCTCTCTCATCAACTTGGTGTACACTTGAGCGTCAGAGGTAATGTATGCAATCATCGCTTGGAACGCAGTGCCTGTGGTATCAGCACCTGCAAGCAGCACCAGAAGGATCTCAGCTTTGATGTAATCCAACTCTAGTGGCGCACCATCTTCCGTCCTTGCATCGAGGAATGTCTGTAGCAGATCGACTCGCTCGATCTTACCGGCCTCAATATCTTCAAGTCGCTGTGCAATGAGCTTATCACGAAAGCGCATGAGCGTGCCGATGCCAGAATCATCTTCCGGTTTCGCGACGAGGTATCTCTCACCAAGCCATGTACCTTTTGCCCACTGTGTAAAGGGCCAAAGTCGAGCCATGAGACCGAAGGGAAGTAAGCCATCGTGGAAGCCTTTAATCAGACCATCAATGTCCGAGCCGCTTTCTATGAAGCCGATAGGCGCGCCAAAGCCAATTTCCGATATGATGTCGTATGCCATGTACACTGCCTACACATCAAAGTATCAGTGCTCCCTATTCTCGTCACGTAATCAGTGTGAAGCATACCCAGGGCGCAAAGTCAAATTTCTTGCCATTACTGAAGAGTTCTTCCAGTCTATCGATCCACTGCTGAATGCGATCATCTACCAGGCCTTCCATTTTCTTAACGTTGCTGAAGCTGTAAGGGCCAGCAGCGATCTTGCGAAAATGCGCATGATGCTTATGCTCGCGCATGTTAAATAGGCTCTCAGTCTTCCCGAAGCTGCCGGTAATATAGTGGTTTGACTTGTTCGATTGACGGTTGTATACCTCAGGTAACTTAGTTGCGTCCGAAACCAAAAGGAGGGTAGGCGTAATTCGAAGCACTGGACCATATTTGCGGTGTAGAGCAAGTTCGAGCTCGCATTCGTCGGCTTTGATATTGTGGTAAGCGATCCATAGACGCGTTACGCTGGCCCAGAAAGGACCAGGAAAGTGTCGTAGCGGATGGAAGAACCGGTAGTAAGTTATCTGGTAAAGGATTTGGACAGTAATATATGCTACGAGTGCTAGCGCGATATTGACAAGTGTAACATACGAAAGGAGTCTCGAACTATAGTCTTGTGTAGACATGATGAAAGAATTGGGAGCATATGAAAAGACTGTATGTGTTCTGTGAGAGATGCCAGTGCCAGCAGGAAGTATGTTGGCCAAGTATCCACTGCTCGGTGGGGATCGTCAAGTACCCATGCTCCCAACAACACTGATACGTCACCCGGAGAACCACCACCAGGCTGTTCTCAGTAATTCACATATATCGTTTTCCTACGATCACACTTCTCTTCCAACTACTCCCAAATAGCGTGGCGGGGTAGCGGACACTAGAATGAATGTCGCGGGGTACCTGCGCAGGTACGGGGATCGTTTTCCGGTCCACATAAAAGAGGCAGAGTGGGGTCGGGTATATGTGTTTCCCATCACGAGATAATCACGTTCAGAGCTCTGATGGTATACAGGGATAATTTGCTGCTTGTTACCTCGCCAACCCACTCTGCGCTAGAAAGAGCGACTTCGTCTCGCGATGGTGATCGTCTCATAATGACGGTAGTTTCCGGCTGTAATGATCACTTCGATGAACTGGATTCAAGAATCCGGTGTCTCAGTTTTTGAGGGCGAATGTCGAGCTTTGTGGTGACGCAGCAAGACATATGACGCTCGTGCGGAAAGATGCTTTGCCAAGCACGTTAGCACCGAGCAAGCCTAGCGCAGGAGCCCCTGGACGCGAGTCGCAGCGCTTCCAGCCGCCAGAGGGGAACGCGCCAGGACCCGAACATCACCCATCCGACCCATCCTTCAGCCTTTTGATTCCACCGCCCTTCCGTGCCAAGCTTACAGCAATATTACCTAGTGCTGTTTTATTGTAGCTGGCGCTAACTGCTGATACAGGGGCGAAGACGTCAATGGCCTACAAACCATGGATGCCTACCTAGGTATTCACAGTCGACTGATAAGGACTATGGCGATTAAGTCCTCAGCCTACTCCGAACGCTATACGATACAACCAATCAATATGCCTTCCTCCTAATGCGAATCAAGCGGATAAAGTGATGTGACACGGGGAGCTGGCGATACGATTGACCTGCTTAAACATCTCTGCTCATCCCCGTTGAATAAGGGCAGTTTGCTTCTCTGAAGGTATGTACCACGTTGCTGCACAGGCTCAACTGGAGGGGCATATACCAGCATAGAGCGAGTGGCATTGATGCGAGTTCTAACGAAGATCGTCGTCTTCCAGTCTGTGTCCCTTCCAACAAGCTCGCCAGAAAACATATCGGTATCACTTGCAACTCCACTGCAACATTGTTTCGAAAAGCCAACCGTTATTACGATTGCCGCGTTTGATACACACAATCACCTCCTCCCATGTCCGAAACGCTACCTTCCGTTTAAATTTCTGTATACTGCTTGTGGCGCCATGGCACAAATTGTTTTTTTTTTCAAATGCCTACTGCGTCGATGACTGCGCATGCATGCATCCTATAGTCGCTAGCAATTGCGGCTTCATCCTCAGCCGTACCTTTTGCAAATGGATTAGTGCTGACTGGAACGGCAGACAAACAGTTTGACCGGTCAGGCATTACCCGAAAAAACGGGCTAGACCCTTTTAGCATCTTATTCTGAGTTGGTGTTGCTCCTTGTAATGGTGAAGTCACGATCGCTAGCGACTATACTTCGCTTGAGACAGTCTGTTGTCAAAGATCTCAGAGGCTGAAAACTGTCGCTCTCGTCACGTCACAAAATCTCACTTACATCAATACCGACTCACCATGTTCTCTTCTCAGTTCTTTTGTTTGAAATGAGGGGATGCTGGTTACTCTTGGTCCACGCGACGAGCTCTGCGTAACAAGGCTAAGGATTGAGGTATTTTTAGGTACTCCAGCATAGAAAGCAAATGGCTTCAAACTCATTAACGGTGAACGAGGTACCGGCATACCGACAAAGGACGCACCCTGGTGTATACAAACTGTCGCCCAGGATGTATCACCCTGTTCAAGTACTCTGGAAGGTTTGATTTCAGGTGAGCTTCGAGTGCTCATGGCATGCAAGACTACAGGCTAGAAGACACATTTGGTTCCTGTATACGATGACACAGCCCGAAAGCCATCGCGGCGGAGTCATACAATCACACCATCATGGCGCTATACTGTGCAAAATTGGGGGGCCAGCTGCGTTCATTGGCAAAGGCGCATGCACGTCGCATGTTGATGGCCGCAAACGGCTCGATCGAATCCTATGTTCGCTTTCCCATGGTCTCCCACCGACTTTCAGTGTGTAAATCTACATCCATTGGAGCTTAGCTTTGATATCCGCATCTTTACGGTAGGCTGAACACATGAACTTAAGTAGAGCAAGATGCTCTGATCGATGGGGTGCAAATTGGACCTGTACTGCTCCAAATCTCTGAGACCCGTCTGCATCAGCTGCAATTTTTCAATTTACTTTCCCTCAATCTCTACACTTCACTCCCCTTGGAAGTACGAACCTCCCGCTGTAGATACCATGCCTTTGTCGACTTTGCAGGGGCTGTTGCTATCTCTTCTACTCTTAGCAAACGTGGCTATCGCTGGCCGCTACAGTTTCATCATCAAGGAAGTGCGCGTTGAGGAGGTCCGTGACGTGAACGAAGATGACCTGCTTCTAGCTATCGCCTCAACGACAGGCAATAATACCATCAAAAGCTCCTGGCTAGTGGGCGAGGTTCATGCAGGCGATATTGTTAAGCCAAACGACACCGTCGAGTTCACACAGGAAATTGACGTTCCTGCCACTGCTTCAAATTTGTCCGTAGCCATCGGGGGCTTGAACACGGATGATGCAGACGAGCAGTTAGCTTTCAGTATGCATCCAGCCAATGTACGTTATGTCACTACTAATGCGTCACCAGGTTTTGTCGAAGGCATAGTCGCCATCGCTGGGGCAATTCCAGGACCGCAAGCCCTGCCGGCGAAACTGCTCAGCATTGTGCTCGGAGCGACCGGAAACTTCTTGAACTGCACTGGTCCAGTCATAATCGGTAATGCCGTGTATACTTCAGACCAATTGAACGATCTCGAGCAGAACCAGGAGGTATGCGAGACCAAGTCATTTGGATACGAAGTTCCGTTTGCTTGCAGCCCCACCCTTGAGAACTCAAGCTACACCGTTGATTACTGCCTCGAGCGACTGGATGCCAAGTCTGCGGCAGCAACGAGCTCACCAGGTCTGGTTCTTCTGTTTACCAGCTTTGCGGTTGCCATCATCTACAGTGGCTTATGAACACTCAGTTGGGATACGGAACTAAACGCTACAGACTGAAGTCTGCTGAGCTCATAGCCGGCTCACTGTCCAGGGTCGTAGCTTCTACAAGGGAGTGGAGAATAATCGCGGACGAGGTGGCCTCTTGGAGGTGTTGGACATTGCATCTTAGCTCTATAGTTTTCTTTTGTAGAAGTCCATCGTCCCTATGGGTTATGAAGAATACACGGTCACTACAATGAAACACTATAAGTCTGGTATCATATGAAGTCAGCCGGCGTTGGGCATATACTGTACATCATCCGTAATAGTTCCGTTAATCTAGCCACCTCGTAGTAACTCTCCTGGCCCGTGCAAACCCCTGTGAAGGTATACACTACCCCTCCAGAAAATCATTCTTCCTATACCCTACAGCAGCCATTCTCCACATCCTAACCGTCTTAAACGTTACACCCATAAGCTTCTCGTCGCCCAATCCACAAAAAGCATTCGCCACCAAACCCTCTTCATTCTTGAGCACATCCTCCAGCGTCTCCTCCACACTCTGCTTATCCACCGTGAAGATCATACACGTACCGCGTTTGCGACCCCAGGCCGCAGGATGACCATTCATATCGAAGTCGAAGCCAAACTTCCAAGGTGGCATGGTATCGGGGCTTTTTCCAGACGGAACGGATGCCATGTAGAGAGTGAGGGTCAAGGAATCCTTCGCTACTTCCTTCAGGACAGTCTGGATATTACCGACAGCTCTCCCTCCATTTGGAATGTATCCTACGCTAACGATGAGTTCTAGAACCTTTGCGTCAGTTGAAAGATAGGTTTTGTTGCGTTGGATGTGGAGTTGAAAAGCAATGGTTCGCGTATCGCTACCGGTAGGGAGCGTAGTAACGGTGTTGAGAAAATGAAACTTTGTAGAGAGGAGGAGGTGAAGATTCCATCCTTTGATCTTGATATCTACATCTGTGGCTGTGCGTGTGAGACCGTAGCGGTACTCTGCTTGCAGCACGCCATCTGATGTTCTTTTGGCAGACGATGTGGGGAAAGAGGTAGACCCTCCAGCATAAGGCCTAGTCTCTTCTTCTTTTGCGTCCGCAAATTCGTGTTCTTCAGCATCGCTAGTAGTTCCTTGGCCGGCGGGCCGACGAGGAGGTACAGGCTCAGGCGCATCGACAGGCGCAACAGGAGGCTCCCACGGCCTCCTCCAAGTTTGGGCGTTACCAAAAGAGCCCCAGATCCCCATTTCGTCATCGTACTTCTTGGCCTTTTTTGGGTCGATAAGTACTTCGTAAGCAGTCTTGCCTGCTCGAAGACGGGCTTCGGCTAAAGTACGTTGAAAAGGGTCCAAATGCTTGATCTTGTCTGGGTGGTTCGCCAGTAAAATGGCACGGTATGCAGCTTCTATATCATCAGTGGAGGCTGCACGGCTGATGCCAAGTATCGAGTAGTGGGTTTCGATGGGCATGGTGGCTGATATAGCGCTGATTAGTTGACTTTCGTTGCGGTTGGAAGGGCAGATATGAGAGAAGAGAATGGTCGAAAGGCCGGGTAAATCAAGCGCAGAAGAAATCAGATGAAGGTTTCACGATGATTTGCTTCACATTTTACTGGGTAGGTATATGCCGATGCATTCACTACGTTATGTATGAATTTTGCCGTATGTAACGATGGAAACGTCAGATAGCCAACGTTCACTGGAGGCAGCATAATCTCTCTTCCAGCCCAGATAGCAATTAGCATGACAGAGGAACACGAATATCTTTCATGGTGTATGACAGTCCTCAAAAACCTACGCACATTGCTTTTGAGTTCATATGGCGCTCTGAAAAGCGATCTACGCGCCTCTTAGCCCAGACCCTATGGAATCCTTGTCTTGCGTTGCGCCTCTGAGTACTATATACGCGTCTTAGGGAGACACTGTATAGTAGAACTGCTGGAGATGTCATGTTTTTGGGAATGCTAACTAAGTCTGTGCAGGATCATCGACCGATAGTCCCACATAGGACAAGATTGTTCTACACAGTTAGATCCGGCATATCTTTGACAAGAACGTTGGAGGCTACGCCATCCCGAGTAGTATTATTGGGATCATCTAGTCCCTGAGCATCGCGTTTGTGCTCCGCAATCCAGGCGTCAATACCATCCAGGGCTTTGATAGGGTCGCCTCGACAGCCTTGGAGGTAGTTCTGCACCTGCGCTGGGGAGAAGATATCATTCGGCATCCTATCCGAAAACTCTGTTGCCCATTGCTCAACCTGTTCCATAGTAAAAGCCGAGTCACGAGCGAGAGCAGATCGTCCAATCAAGCGTTTGAAAATACTCTTCCCAGCGCTAGCGTCCATGTTTCCGAAGTAGACTTTCTTGTCAATGCGACCAGGACGTGTCAAAGCCTCATCCAAAGTATCAGGGGCATTAGAGGTCATTATCAAAAGTCTACCTTCTTGAGAAGCATTTCCATCAATGGCGTTCAACAAACCGCTCAGTGTAACTGTATTGCTTCGGCGGGCAGTACGACTACGTTTCGAAGCTGGCGGTGGAGGCCCCATGGCACCCGAAGAACTATGAATCTCATCGATGGCTGCCTGCGCATGCTGAAGTGCTTCCGTTCGATCATCTGAAGGTCCTTGTTCGCGACCGATACCAGCAGAGTCGATGTCTTCCAACACGACTACACACTTACGTGGAAGACCTAGAAACAGGCGGTGAAGTGTTCCATCGCTGATGCTACCGGTTGACAAGTTGATGTGGTAGATGTCACAGCTGAGATGGCCTGCCAATGCAGCACTGAACGAGCTCTTGCCGGTGCCTGGTGGGCCATGAAAGAGGTAACCTCGCCGGTATGGGATGCCACAGTCGGCGAAGAATGAACGCGACTCATCGCTGTAGTAGTATTCTGCGTCTCTTACTAGATCCGATTTGACTTTTTCATCCATGTCAATGGTGTCGAGCCTTCGAATGGCCTTGGAGACTGACTGCCAGCCGTTACCGTAAGGGTCCGTGCGATCACCCGCAAAATACACTGTCGTGGTACCCGTAAGGTTCTTGATTCTGAAGTCGTGACAAAGCCTAGTAAAATCCCGGAGCGGCTTGAGGCTCCATCCAAGGGTCATGACGGTGAGTGAATTCTGGAGCTGACCGCTGTCGTCGAGTATGTTACCCGTCATACCACTGTTATTTCGGTAACCAAATCCACCTCGACGAGAGAATACATACGGGCGAGGTATCCAACCCAACATAAAGCCAACCCAGAATAGTCGTGTACCAATCGGTGGAAGGCATAGGACTTCTTCGTCAGCTTTGTCCGCTGCAGCCCCAGGGTTGCGAGCAACCATCATACGACGATGGAAATCATCGTTCGGGTCCTGCAAACCTCCTGTGACTAGCATAGCACTCCTTGTATGGCTGTTCAGTATTACCTCCGCCCCCATCCAGGCCAGAACTTCTCTAGCTACTGGATCGGTCTCGGGTATGGTGACTTGAACAGTGAAAGCCCATATGAAGAGGCCTTTCAAATGCTTGTACACAGGTTGCGCAGCTTGGTAGAGGCCGACAAGAGCGAGTATCTTTTCGAGATCGCCAACGCCGCTTGGCTTAAGTCGATATAGTAAACGCTGAATGACTTCCAAGATAGGAAACTGACCCGTCGCAGAACGTTTGAGATGGCGCGGTATCAATCCGGGGGTATCCAAAGGCTCGGGCCAGAGCTGACTAGCCTTCCCTGGTGAAAACGTGAGGTCGGTTGATGGTTCCGACATGGAGGCTGCCATTCGAGGCTGTGGATGCTTTCCAAGTAGTGGATGTAGCGAAGTTTAACAATGGCAGCTGCATGCGTGAAGATTTATCCAGGATATGAACAAAAGAATAATCTCCAGCTCTTAAGGGCTCTGGCACGTGTATGAGGCGCCTGATGGTGGCAGTGCTAAATCACGATCGGTGACATGACATGCGAACAAGAAAGGTCAGATAGAGCAGGAACGATGGAAGGCGCTGAAGGATTCAGCCACACTAGCAGCGGCGCAGTCCCCAAATCGATGGCGCGGACATTCCAAGGTTGGAGCTGAGGCTGAACGGCAGACGCTTTGCACGAGCCCAGATGGGGCAAGAGAACTTGTGGTCCGCGGGCACGAGCGCGAACAGTCTAAGCCGCATTGGGACAGGTGGGCTGTTTATGGCTGTACGTCATAGGCTAAACTACACCAACAGAAGTGCTACGCGTTTTTTACGAACGTCTTACTCTTCGTCTTTACTCTCAATCATCAAAACTATTCGTGTCTTTGAAGTACAACAAAGTTTCCTCCTTTACTCATACCGAAAATCTAGCTTCGAATCACAATGCCTCCTAAAGCAAACACTTCAGATCTTCATGTCGCGAAGCTCTTCTCAGTCAAGGACTATGTGTGCGTAGTGACTGGAGGTGGCTCTGGTATTGGCCTTATGGCTGCTCAAGCACTCGCTGCAAACGGCGCAAAAGTACGTTTCTTATTCTTGTGACTGGGCGCCTCTAACATCTAGCAGGTATACATTACCAGTCGACGCCAAGAGGGTAAGGCCAATTCTTGACCCTTCAATCAGAAGGATGATTATGCTGATTTTTGCTAGCCCTTGATACCGCAGCAAAGTCACACAGCCCGGATCAAGGCGGCCAGATCATACCACTTGCACCTTGCGATGTGACTAAGAAGGACGATTTGGAGCGCATGTATCAGGAGTTGGCGTCCAAGGAGAAATACATCAACCTTCTTATTGCAGCAGCCGGTATCTCAGGCGAGAAGGGTATCCCAGACGCCGACGATGCTACTGATATGAAGAAGAAGCTATTCGACAACGAGACATTCGAGGGCTGGGCTGAGACTTACAACACCGATGTCACGGCCGTATACTTCACCACTGTCGCCCTTCTGCCGCTCCTCCAAGCTGGAACCGAGAGCCACGGCCACCTCTCCGCCTCTGTCATCGTTATCTCTTCCATGTCAGGAATCATGAAGAATGCACAAGGCCACTTCAGCTACAACGCTGCCAAGGTCAGTTCTATAAGGGTCGGTAATTGAAAGAAGATGCTGACACATAGTTTTTGTAGGGCGGAACCGTTCACTTGAGCAAGCTCATGTCGGCTGAGTTCCAACAGCTTCGCATTCGGGTGAACAGCATTGCTCCTGGCTACTTCCCGTCGGAGATGACGGCAAAGGAGAGTGATGAGAACCAGAAGAGCGACCTGCCAGACGAGAAGATCCAGGAGAAGGGCCACGTCCCACATGGGCGGGCGGGAAGCGATGCGGAGATGGCACAGGCCGTCATCTTCCTCACCAAGAACTCATACGTCAACGGCCAGATTTTGACCGTGGATGGTGGTGTGCTCAACGTTGTGAGCTCTTAGGAGGAGAATGGTGGGATGGAATATAAGAGGGGTGACTGAAAGTAGTCTGATGACAAGAACAATGATACCACTATACCTGAATGTCTCATCTTGACTCGCGCACCGGCATTTCCTTTTCGGTAGAGTTTCCACAAGCTGACGGAAGCCGTTTCCCCACATTCCCCGCGATAGGCATGGTTCTTGATTGCGATAGTGGTAGCGATAGTGGTAGCGATAGCCAGCTGTGACGCATGGTGCCTCTAATGCTGACGACCCATGTGTAGACGGGAGAGGAGATGGTGTATGCAAGGGGCTAGCGCACGTGAAGACGCGCAAGTCTTTGAGACTGTTGCGTCTTTGTGACGAGATTTGCCGTTGAGAAAAACAAAAACTCGACGACGCGTCGCGTGGGCTGCATGTACATGTTCACAATTTGGGACCGGGAATTGTACTCGTCGGGTGCAGGATGGGCAGGATGGTGAGTGGACGGTGTGAGGCAGGGCGCATGAAGCGAGCGCCCAACGGCGCGGCCGCTACTGGGTGCAGGTCGAGTACACGGCGACGAGACATTCCCTCATCTCGACAACAGCGGTGCCTAGCCACTCCCCGTCTGCCCCAATCCACCCGGCAGCATCGGGCGACGAGTCTTGACATAACGGCAGCCTCTGGCAGGCGGCAGCGACTCTGAGATTCGCCGGGCTGGTTTAGAGCGTGTTTCGCGGCCAGGATCCCCAACTGATAATTGCTTTGCGCTGGTAACGGGCCCCTCCAACGCATAATACGAGTCGCGCATGGGCAACAACAACAATTGCGACCTTGCCCGTCGACATTGCCGTCTCTCTGGATTTCTGGGTGCTTGTTGTTGGGGACATGCACACCGCACGACGTCCTTCACCGCCGCCGCCCATCTTCCACCACTCACGCCCGCCCTGCGACCAGACACGCCGAGACGCCTAGGCGCCGACTCGAGTACAGCGTAGGACGTGACAGTAGCAGCTGGCTCCGGGGGCCAGACGAGGACAGCCGACATGGTCTCACACCCCTCCCGCCCATCGCATGCGCCCTCCAACTCGCGCTCGTCGCAGGCCTCGACCTCGTCCAACACACCCGGCGGCCACTCCAAGAAGTCGTCGTCCTCGTCCAACCACAACGGCCAACCCCGCGAGCGCGAACAACGGCCAAGCAGAGAAGGGACAGCGCAAAAGGCAGCCCAAGATGTGGCGGGCCTCAAGGACTTCCAGCTGGGCGACTGCCTGGGCAAAGGCGCATTCGGCAGCGTGTACAGGGCACTCAACTGGGGCACGGGCGAGACGGTCGCCATCAAGCAGGTCCGCCTCGAGAACCTGGGCGCCGCAGACCTCAAGAACATGGAGATGGAGATTGACCTGCTCAAGAACCTGAACCATCCGAATATCGTCAAGTACCACGGCTTCGTGAGGAGCTCCGAGAGTCTCTACATCATCCTGGAGTGAGTGGCCGTGGAACCATACACACACACATATACAAGAGCCAGAGCTAATGTCCTGTTAGGTACTGCGAAAACGGATCGCTCCACAGCATCTGCAAGAACTTCGGAAAGTTCCCCGAAAACCTCGTCGCGCTGTACATGTCGCAAGTCCTCCATGGTCTGCTCTACCTCCACGAACAAGGTGTCATACACAGGGATATCAAGGGTGCCAACATCCTTACAACCAAGGAGGGCCTGGTCAAACTCGCCGATTTCGGTGTAGCCACCAAGCAGTCGGGCTTGGACCAGTCGAGCGTCGTGGGCACACCCTACTGGATGGCTCCAGAGGTCATCGAACTGTCGGGAGCTACTACGTCGTCAGACATATGGAGTTTGGGATGCACGGTTATCGAGCTGATTGAAGGAAAGCCGCCCTACCACAAGCTGCAGCCCATGCAAGCCCTGTTTAGAATTGTCAACGATGAGCATCCACCCATACCCGGCAGTGCCTCTCCGGTATGTATAGACGCCAGACCCTATGACTTCAGATACTGACCCTTGTAGCTGCTGCGCGAGTTCCTCATGGAGTGTTTCCAGAAGAATCCCACGCTCCGCATCTCCGCAAAGCGCCTCCTCAAGCACCCATGGATCCTCAGTGCCAAGCGTACTGTCCCTGCAGTACCCACAAAACCTACCGAATATCAGGAAGCAGTCAAGTCCGTGCAGGAATGGAACGAGGCATTAAAGTCGCCCAGCTCCCTTCGCCGGAGTTCTCGTCTTGTGTCGGGATTGCAGAAGGCGTCCCCTGCTGCCGCCAACGGTGCTGGTGCTTCATCTCGTAAGATCCCGGCCAACGTTAATCTCAACATCCCGAAGCACAGACCTACCGCAGAATCGTTCCGCTCGCCGGAATTAGAGCATGACGATAACTGGGATAATGACTTTGCCGAAAGCATATCGCCTCGTGCCCTGCAGATGCCACACCTTAAGCCACAGGACAACTTTGGTGGGCTCTTTTCGAGTGACAGGCTCAAGGCTTTCGCCAGCTTTGAGTCGGTCACGGAGATGCCCGAGTTCGGGGATGGAGAGGCCACAGTGAAGAGCCCGATGAACATGGCACAGTTCCAAAGCTTTCCAAAAGCGTCAGGTCACAGAGCAGCCGAGAGGTCGAGAGGCGCCAATGGTAGACCCAAGACGTCTGCTTCCTCCTCAAACACATCTTCAAGATCGAATTCCAACGCTTCTACGTCAGAGTATGAGGATAGATATGAGCAGCCAAGAACGGCATTCCTACGGGGCACACCAAAGGCTGCGCAGTCCCCAAAGCCAAAGCCTAAAGCGCCAGCACGGCCTAGTCAGCTCTTTCGTGAGGACACTGTCGAAGACTATTCAGATCTCATGCCAGCTGACGAGGGTGCTTTTGAGCGTAAACTGGCGTCCATGCAATACGCGCACCCACCAGCCGCGGCATCAAGACAAGTAGCGGTCACCAATTCCAGCCCGCCCTCTGACACTTTCTCTCCACGCTTATTCCATCCGAGCGACTTGAAAGCAGGACCCAAGTCAACACGCGATCTCAAGTCAAATGGCAACATTCATCAAAGATCGTCAAGCTCAACATCCACGCGAGGAAAGCTACAACGAACGCAGTCGCAGATTGAGATTCAAAAGTATGCCGAGAACGAGAGCGACGATTTCTCTGATGTCTTTGGTGATATCAAGAGTCAACTTGCTAATCCTAGTCGAGCCGAGAGTGATAGTGGTAGTGAGCACAGTAGTCTCGCTATGATCACATCCAAGATGGCCAACTCTTTCATCATAGCGGACGAAGATGACCTCGATCCATTCGCGAACCTCGATGAAGGTCTCGACAACATCAATCTGGAGAACAACGTCGCTCGAGATCGGGACGATCGGCTAACAAAGATGACGGAAAGTCTAGTTGGCTGTTTGAAGACAAGTCAGCCCGACGATGAATTGCTCGACATTGCAGATCAACTGCTACAGGTGCTACACGAGTCGCCAGACAAACGATCAATTATACTGCGAAGCCATGGCATGTTGCCCATCCTGGAGATCCTTGGAACCCGGCCGCACAACGAAGTGGTACTACCTCTTCTCAAGATCATCAATCTGATTATCTTGGAAGACTCCGAATCGCAGGAGAGCCTATCGTTCCTGGGCGGCATTCCGACCATCTGCTACTTTGCTTCCAAGAAGTTTCCCAGTGATATCCGGAAAGAAGCTGCAGCTTTCGTACGGCAGATGTACCAAACAAGCACCCTGACTCTGCAGATGTTTATCGGGTGTGGCGGTATCAATGTGCTAGTTGAGTTCTTGGAGGAGGACATCGACGCTGAGCGCGACCTGGTACTCATCGGTGTCAATGGTGTCTTTGGCGTCTTCGAATTACAAGGACCGACACCCAAGAACGACTTTTGTCGTATCTTTTCGAGATCAAGCGTACTATATCCTCTCAGTCTGGTGCTGAATCGCATGGTTGAGGAGGATGGCGAGGTTGCACGCCTAATTGTGGGCAGGATCGTACAAATCTTCCTTATCTTCTCACAAGCAGAGAGCCATGTCAAGGATCTCGTGGCGGATCGAATGATCTTGAAGCGTAAGTTTCACACCTCCGTCATACGATCTTGACGCAGTAGAAGAAGTCTCGGACATAGCTAACAGTGCACAGGTGTATTGAAAGACCTTCGCAAGATGTCACCACCACATCAGATCACCATGCTCAAGTTTATCAAGAACCTTAGCTCCCTTTCCTCGACCCACGAAGCCCTCCAGAACTCCAATGCAATCGACATCCTTATTGAACTACTCAAGTCAACTCGGCAAAAAGACGCCATGAGCCGCAGCCTGCACCGATCCGCTTCTGACCCAGCTCGACTACCTCCGTTCCACCGCGAGATCTCAAACCAGATCCTCAATACTATGTACAATCTGTGTCGGCACAACAAGAGCAGGCAGGAAGAGGCTGCGCTGTCAGACATCATACCTTTACTGAAAGAGGTTGTGCGCGAGGGCGGCCCGCTCAAGGAGTTTGCGTTGCCAGTGTTGCTTGAGATGGTCAACTCGGGCAAGGTTGCACGGAAGATGCTATGGGATGCGAAGGGTCTGGCATTCTACGTATCGCTACTTGGTGACCGAAATTGGGCGGTGACGGCCCTGGATGCCATATTCGTATGGTACGTATTCCTTCACTTTAACTACCAGGTACAATATGCTAACCAATTCAGGCTTCAGGAAGAGACCGCGCGCGTTGAGCAATACCTCCTTTCTTCGCAATCGAGCTTTACAGTCGCCATCATCTCTGCGTATACCTCCGCCGACCTACCACACTCCACGTTTGAGAACATGCTCGAACCATTGCAGAAACTTGTTCGTCTATCTCCACCAATTGCTGCATCTCTCGCTGTACCTGAGATCTTCAGTCGCACAGAACAGAAGTTGGGGCACAAAGATGCTGTGACGCGTCTCAACTTCCTCCGTATCCTAAGGACAATTTGTGATGCGAAGGATGAAGGCTGCTGGCTCGTACGCGCTTTTGGCTGCTATGATCGTATCAGTTGGCTTATGGAACACGATTCTGCTGTATTGGTACGGCAGATGGCCGAAGAGCTCGTTCGCGCATGCGATGAAGTCGAGCACTCAGGTATCAACAAAGGATCGAATGGCAAGCGAAGCCTTAGTCGTGCTTCAGCTATTGGCATGAATCTGCGCCGTCCAGCTTCGTCCGCTGGTCGTCGAGACGGTTCCGGCTCTAGCACCGGCTCTACACTGGTAGGCAGTGGCATGGGGCTGACACCGCCCACGCCCAACTCACTTAAATCTACGTTTATGCTCCCACCCATGGCCAACACGCCAACGGGCCGCGGTGGCATCACGAGGTCGCAGTCGTCAACAGCAATGTGGGACCTCGCCGAAGATCCCTCCGCTGTTCCTCCATCATCCGGCCGCTCGAAACCACCAGCTCTAGCACGCAGCTCAACCTCTTTTGCAGCCTTGCAATCCAACAACAACACACCAACCGGCCCCCGCACATCTTCACGTCCACCATCTCGCGACGCAGCAACAAGCCTCGCGCGCATAGAAGCGAATAACGCCAACTCAAAGTCGTCTTCACGTCTTCCCAAAGCCCGGGCAGGCCGTCTTGGCGAAGCGGTCATGCGACGACGCCAAAGTACTGTTGGTGGCGAAAACGATGCACCGGGGAGTGCTACTCCCACTCCAACTCCCACCCCTACGACGACTAATGCGCCGCCGCTTCCACGCCTACAGATTGTGAGAAGGAGAAGGGAGACTAGTGGGGGTGAGATGAGTACAGCAGCGAGGAAGGGTGTCGCGCACGATTAGGAATTCGGTGTTAGTAATGCTTCGCCAGAAAGGCGGGCTGGAGATGGGTATTTGACGCAGGTGCGGAGACGGAGAGGATGGACTGGCCTTTGACTTTCCTTACACTTCATAGTGTGGGATATTTGTTTCCTTTGTATATTTCTTCTCTTTTTCTTTCGGCATGGCTGTGGTTATGGATGGCATTGGGTCGAAAGAGGCGTTCATACAAGGCGTTATGACTCGCCTACCTGGCTTTGGCTCTCTGGCTTTGGAACATGGGAAAGCATTGTTAGGGGTACATTGCATAGCATGGCGTTTTTTTCTTGTTTTGGCTTTTACATTAAAGCGGGAGAAGGCATATAGCGTTTGAGGATGAGAGAGTATGGGCGAGAGCGTGAGTATGGATACCAGTTTTCCCTGGATAGAGAATGAGAAGCTAAGTGTTGCTATATACAAGACATACGTGCAGATGAAGGCTGATGGTATTCACTCATATTGTGAAAGTTGGCGAACAGATTACGGGTAAGCGTGCAGGTACTTGCTCAGAGCCAAGACAGTAAGAGGAGGCCGATTAGCATTGTATTGTCGAACTTTCATGGAGATCCAAGAAAATGTCGAGTATTGTGATTTCTCGGCAAAAACCTTTGGTGAGGGGGTTAAAGTTCGAAACGGCGAACATCGACCAACACCGCACAAAAAAAGGTATCACAACGACAGCTGCGGTCACGATGTATGCGAGCGCAAAAAGATGGACTTGCAGGGAATCGAACCCTGGACCACTCCCAAGCTGATCCAGTGCGTTTTACCGCTCAAGAACTGATGCTAAGGGAGTATTATACCACTAAACCACAAGCCCGATTTTCTTGATGTAAAGAAGCCAGAATGGTGGCATTATATTCTGAGTTTCAAGACGCAAGGCTCTCAGGGTGTCGAAGGAGATGCTTTACCTTGCAGGTTGTGGAGTCGAAAATTTGTTGCTGAAACTGGTGGGGCGATGCGGTTAGGGCTAAGTTCGAGCGTTTTGACACACGACCTAAACTGTTAACAGGCTTAATGTTCCGCTAGCTTTACTGACCCTGCATGCGGTATGCTTGCCGCCTGGGCCACTCGTGGGAGTTATTCTGGCTGCGTATTCTTGTCGAGGAAGGTTGCGGGTGAGAGAAGGGAATCCTGGAGTTCTGGAAGAGATAAAACTATAGCACGGACCAAGAGCGTGCGGGGTGAAGACTCACAAAGAAAGAGTCAAACGCTTGGGAATGTCGTCATCGACTGCAGTTTCTCTTGCTTGCATCCAACTACGTCTCCAACTTATTCCCATCTTCTATCACTCGTGTGATGTATACGACGGAATTTCTTTCTCACTCGTGTACAACGGCCTACAACATATCTAATCAGCAAATGACACATGTTTGTGGTGACTCTGCTAAGCTACAAAAGCTCTCAAACTTCCTGCTTCCACTATTGCACTCGATACACATTTCGACCCCATCATGAACAGCCTGCTCAGTCTAATCCGTCCCACGCCACCGCCCCCATCTGATAGCGCACGTTTCACAAATCCAGTGCAACGTCCAAGGCACTTGTGCGGCCCGCGAACCGTTTACGATAGCGTCAAAGATCTCAGTAAACGTGTCGATTTCTACGAAGAAATCACCATATTCGCTTGGCCGTCACGCGGAGGTGTGATCGTACTCGAGAGGCCCTGCCCTGCAGATTTTGACTTTCTCGGCCTCGACCGTGTCGATCCACCGAAGAAGCGTCACACCACTCGACAAGAGGAAGACGACTTTGCTCAGCGCTTACTATTGCTCGGAGGGAAGTGGTGGGACTCTCCCGCTAGACACGCCCTCTTCATTGAACCCGATCACTTGCAAGATGAGGAGGTAATGGCTGCTCAGCCTGAGCCGACGGCGAGGGAAAACGCGTGGGTTGGTGCCGCATGGCCTAGCTCAGGCGGACTTGTCGTAGCTGAGTGGCCGACAATGATGTACCCTGGTGGACGTATGGACGAGGTCGCTCCATGCGATGTGTCGAGATTGTTCTTATGTGTGACAATGGACGAGAAGGCTGCAGTGCTGATGGACAGACTTGGAGGGAAGAGGTGGAAAGGAGTAGAGGATTACGAGGGCAAAGCTTTCATTGGCAGCTGGGGAAACCATCGAGGCGAAGTTGGCAAACTTCAACAGACGTGGCCAAGCGAATCAAGATTTCCTTCACATTCAAATTTCTCTGTTCTTTGACCGACTCTATTTCGCTTCAAAGCTTGTGTTAACCTGATAGTTTCTTTCAGCCATGCCTTCGCGCAAGCTTGCGCTTCTTCCAACAGTCTTCCTGGTCACTCAAACTTCCTGCAATGCTATGCGCACTTCTGAGCGTCGCCCTGGAAACTAAAAACTAATATTGATGTCTCAGCAATGAGAGCAACTGTCAAGCAACATTACATTATCAAGTCTCAAATTCTATTTTCAAGCTTCCAACCGCGAAATTCCTCTGACGCTACCCAATCTTGAACTTTTGCCCACATCGCATCCGCGAGTCTCTTCACTTTTCAATTGCATAGTCATACTACTATATACTTTTCCGTTGAATTATCCAACATCTGGGGCTAGAATATCGTTGTCACTACCCAGGTACCAATTCAACCTACATCTTGTTCAGGGGCTTCACTGTCCGATCTCTCAATCTTTCTTTGATATCAATCCTGAATACGAAAGAAGTACGCTCGAAGCTTTTGATATCGCGCACCCATTACTCGCTAAAATGAACTGAGAGGAATAGACGAGAATAGAGAAAAGGGGACCAGAAAGGTAAATTAGTAGAAACACGATGCTCGTAAACCGGAAGTGAAGGATAAATATGATTACGGCTCCTACGCTGATTTACTATCCAATGTCACCTGCCAGGACGTTAAGATTATCAAAAAACCTCCATAGCGACCATGGAAAGGAAAAACAGATAACAATGACAGATTACAAAGTGTGTGGTCTAAGGACTGGATATGGATTACACCGGCTGCAATGACTGTCAGCCTATCGGAACCTCTGCTACCCACCATGTTTGCCTGCCTCGGTTCGCTCTCTGATCTGCGCGTGGTGTCGTCTGGTGTCTTATGATGCGCTTGAGATATGCTTTAGCCCTATTGCTTCAGTTGTTTGTTGTGCCGAGGCATTCGCTTTCGGAAGTCTTGAGATTCCGAATGATTAGGAATTTGTGGTATGAATGCGTCCGACAACGTGGGAGTTGGCTGTTGATCATGATCTACAGGGTACACGTGACTAGGCCTTTCGGAATCAAGCCTACATAGACACAGAGAGAAGTAACCTTTCTCAACGATAGTGGTCCGAAAGGAGTCAACCGAGCGAGCCCTACCTCGTGCCGCAAGTGACATTACCGTTTGTGGTAAGGTGTGCGCATCACATAGCAAAAGCAACTAAGGATCTGCCTCGGCAAAAAAAGTCGGTGACGTACTAACCGCTCCGCCAACACCAACGAGTGCCAACGACACTCCAATCGCATGGCGGTGAAAGACGGCCGTGAATGAACTAGGTGATGGACGAAAATGTCAGCGGTGGGGTAGAGCGCGCAAGCTGTGGCGTCGCACGATGGGGGTGGAGACACCTCGGAAGTTGAATAAGTTTGGTACAAAGCGTCGATATGCACCGGCTCCCCTTTGCGATTGCCCATCAGCCTCATCACTGACTGCATACCAGAGTCCCTACATTTTGTCGGACTTTACCTTGCACGACTTGTTTTGTTTTCCTCGTCTCAACTAAGCGAAACACTCCACAAACACTCGATCGTATCTGCCACTTCGACCTTCCTACCACGCCGCGTACCTGCGCCGGCACCCTGTCCCCACAGTAAGCACCGTCAGCACAGCCGGCCCACCATGATCGACTCGTACTTTGACGTCTTGATAATCGGCAGCGGCCTCAGTGGTATCAACTCCGCCTACCGCATCCAAGAATCGCTCCCCAAAGCCAAATTTGCCGTTCTTGAAGCGCGCCACGAACTCGGTGGAACATGGTCGCAGTTCAGATACCCCGGCGTGCGATCCGACTCGGATCTGCATACCCTGGGATTCAACTTCTACCCATGGAGGGCGCAGAACCCGATTGCGAGAGGAGAGGCTATCATGGAATACCTGCAAGAAACGGCGCGCACGTTTGATCTGGACAAGAAGATTCGGTATAGACACAAGGTCATCAAGGCGGACTGGAGGAGTGAGGAACAGCGCTGGAGACTGGAAGTGGAAGTCGGCAACGAGGTTGGAAGAGAGCCGCGAACAGTGGTGTATTGGACCAAATGGCTCATCACAGGCACAGGATACTACAACTACGATCAACCTCTGCAAGCAAACATCCCAGGCATCGACAAGTTCCAAGGCAAGATCGTGCACCCGCAGTTCTGGCCCGAGGATCTCAACTACAAGGGCAAGAAGATGATTGTCGTGGGTAGTGGAGCGACAACAATAACGCTGCTTCCGGCGCTGGTGGATGGCGGTGTGGGCAGTGTGACGCAGTTGCAGAGGAGTCCGTCATATATCATGAGCCTTCCTCAGGAAGACAAAGCATGGTTCGAGAAGTGGGCACCAGAGTGGTTCACTCTAAGATACAAACGTACGTCCCCTCTCTTCGACCTCGATACTGATTACTGACAAGTTTGATTAGGCTTCATGTTCACTCTCGTCCCTATCCTCCTCTACAAGTTCTGCATATGGTTCCCTAAACTTGCACAATCCTTCCTCGTCAAGAAGGCCGCAGCACAGCTTCCCCCCGACTTCCCCGTCGATCCTCACTTCAAGCCTGGCTACAATCCCTGGCAACAACGCATGTGTCTCTGTCCCGACGGTGACTACTTCAAGGCTTTCAACTCAGGCAAAGCACATATCGTCACGGATACCATCAAGAGCGTTGTCTCAGACGGCATCGAACTCACCAGCGGGCAAAAGCTAGACGCAGACATCATCGTCACAGCCACAGGCCTCAACATGCGTTTCCTCGGCGGTATAGACGTCAGCGTCGACGGCAAGAAAGTCGACGTGGCATCGCAATACATGTGGCGCAACTCTATGCTCACTTCACTCCCCAACCTTGGCAACATCATCGGGTACTGGAACGCGTCATGGACACTAGGCTCTGATACTGCATCCCGTCTTTTCGTCCGTCTTATCAAGCATCAGGAGCAACATGGGTACACAAGCGTTGTGCCGATCATCGACGAGAAAGACAAGGAGAAGACGGTGTCTGCTAGTCCGCTCAACAGTACCTATGTTAAGAACGCGATGAAGAAGATGCCGAACTGTGCAAATACTGGACCGTGGAAGCCGCGCGATAACTGGTTCTCGGATAACTGGGGTGTAACAAGGGGGAGCTTGGAGGATGGGCTCAAATGGGAGAAAGTAGCCATAGAGTAGGCGGTGGAACGTAGAATGTGTCAGGAGTCTTGCTTGACTGTCTGGCATTCTCGGACTATACTATCTTAACAATGCACGAGGAACGACTATAATTGTCACATTTGAGCCTGATGCTGAGATATAGATGCTAACCACACATAACTCATCGTCTACTCCTTTCCCAAAACAATCATCTCCCCTTCCGCTCCACTGTCACTAGTAACATACATCCGGCCGTACTTGTCCTGCGCAATACTCACGGGTCTGAAGCACTGCGTAGTCGAACAGTGATCCACGTTCGGATTCCAGAAGATATCAGTCCAAGAATGCGTGCTGTTCAAGGCCGCTTTTGGCCCGAATCCATGGGCACCGTTCGCAAAGGGGACTTGTATGATCTTGTATCCAACGGAAGGACTGCGATTCCAGGACCCGTGAATGGTGATGTACATGCTAGTGAAATTCCTATCGAAAGCCGCGTCAAGAGGCGCAGAGTGAGCTGGGAGAGCAAGACGAGGCGGTATACTCCGTATCATACACGTATCATCCGTGAAAGTGGCGTTGGGCTCCAAGACAAATTGATCACCCATTGCAAACTTTTTGTCGGTGATGGATTCTGGGTTGAAGACGGTGTAGCAAGTCGGGTACCCATACCAGTTTGTGTTTTCTTTGGAGGGGTCACCCAGGTAGTTGATCTCATCAGCTGGGTCTAAATCTCGGTGTACGAGATCAGTATCTGTCTCATATGCAGTTCATGCAGGGACACTTACTATCAGTGTGGATGTCCACAGATACCCCATTAATAGTACGATGCAGCTCGTCAGAAGAATTCTCAACGCCCCAAAGCATACCTTCAGCATCAAATGCTAGACCGACTTCATTACGAAGTCCATAACCCATCTGATAGCCGCCGGTTGAATAGTCGTAGCCATTTTCAGGAACAGTGGTGGTATCGAAGACTTTGACGCATGATCGACCGGTCTTCATATCCGCTGAGCCATAGTCGAAGTTGTCGTTTGACCCGTGAGACACGATTAGAAGATTTGGATGTTGTGGTGGGATTGAGAGCGTCCTTGTAACGTGGCCTCTACTGTCCATTCCAGTCAGAATTGTTGTAGAGTTCCCTGATACACTCATGGTATTTGCATCATACGTCCATGAAAACACCGAGGTCGCAGAGCTAGCGTACAGGGTCTTCCCATCGTGGCTAAGCGCGATGCCATGGTTGAGATTCCGCTGAGGGATGAGAGTCTTTGACGAGGTAAGGCAGCCGTTTGGCGTGACCCTGTGAGCCGTAATACCCAAACCGTTTTGTACAACGAGGAGATTACCCAGAGTGTCAAAGATCAGCCCTCTTGGTTGGGTCAGGTCTCCTGCTACCTTTGTAGCTTTCCATCCTTTCGCAGTGCTAATCGGGAATGCAAGTTTGCCAACATCAGGGCAGGATAAGGGTACTCCCGTTGATGTTGGTTCGGACAAGCCCGAAGATGTAGTACTGGTACTCATGGTCGTTGGTCGTAAGCTGATAGTCGAGCTCGGTATCGAGACACTACTTGATACGGGCGGAACATTTTCGACAAGATTTGCAGCGACTAGCTCGTCAAAGTCTGCATTTTGGCCTTGCGTGAGATCGATTCTGTAGTTTCCGAACGAACTATGCACGTTGAAAGTAGACCTATTGTTCGCCGGCTGAGCGGGCGGTTTGCTCGACAAGCCATAAGCAAACTTTTGCGCAGATGCATTTGCATCGATTGAAACCAGATTGCCATCCACGTCGTGCCATTGCGAGCAGCCCTTGCACCGCACGGTCAAAGTCCAGTGAGTTGTGTTGTACCCAGTTCCTTTGATGTACGAGTACTCAGCATCAGCATAGGGCTGTGGTAGACTCAAGCCGAAAGCTATTCGCGAGCTGTAAATGGATGTGTTGGATGCAGTGTTCATCCATCCGACCGTAAGTGGGACATATGGCATTGTTCCACCCCAGCTAAACCCTACCCACCCATTCTTGATAGGTGAAACAATTTGCAAGACGGTATCGAAGGGTGCAGTTTTTGACTCAGGTAAAGCGAGACCGAACGTGATGCCATTAGTACCAGTCCATCCAGAATAGCATATCGACGTTTCCGGATCACAGTAACGCTTGGTCACTTGGCCATGTGCTGCTTTAATGTCACTAACGCAATGTTCATGATAGTATGACTGCACATACCTCTGTTGGCAACAGTAGCAAATCCGAAAGCTAATTTTGCTATCCTCATGGCAGGCGAGATGTAAAGACTATGTTGTCTTTACGATCTGCGGTAGCGGATCTCGCTGTCTTATCAAGGATACGAGCCGCTATAATGGAATATGACATGTGTCTGTGCATCTGTAAATGAATCTCGAATGTAGGCCGGATAGCCGCGAGGCGCTTGATCGACTTGTAACGTGGGCTCCTTCGCCCAATGTCATGAGCCCCACTACATATCATACGATGATCGTACTTTGGCTGGGCGTGATGCCTAGATCCGCTCATGCGATGGAAGCGTGTGATGATATCAGAGCGTCCGGTACTTCGGACTGCAGTACTTTCTGTTGAGCGTGGCATACGCTTCCACATTAGCAATATATTGTTACTGCGTTACGCTTACAGGAAACTGTCTTCACAGTCACGTCTCCATGCTTGGTTAATGATATGTTCTGTTGGCTCATTAAGGGGACTTGAAGTGGCGTGGACGAGGTGTTGACCAAGCCCTGGTTCTCAGTGTTTTGAGCCTCAAGTCAAGCCAGGAACCACGAGGCGTCTCCCTTTCTAACACGACAAATCACCGTGTGCGATATATTGCCACCGTTGGATATAGAACAGCTCGATGTATTGAATGATGCGATGATCTCTTGATAGCGCGGTGCAGTATTGAACATGTCGACGATAAGTTAATGAGAAGGGTGTTTTGACAGGGCTAATAGATGAAGCGACGAATTTAGCCTTCGATCGTCAGCGCCAAGTAGATGGAATCAATTGACATACGAGTGAACTTGTATACATATTTATTTGGATGTTGCTGATAGACTGATAGGCGCATCTTCATCGGTCCGGCCGCCGAAGAGACGGTTTCAGATCTTCGCCTTTGCGGGTGCGGTGACCCTCTTACCATGCACATAGCAGATGCTTCTGATCTTCTCAGCCGCCTCACCCCAAAGCTCGTTTCTGAGCACGCTGTATACGCCCATCTTGGCCCTACCCTGGACTGCCTTTGCTTTCTTCAACGCGGCCTTGAACATCTCTTTGGGCTCTGCAACCTCATCGACAATACCATCCTCATATGCCTCTTTGCCCGTCCAGCGATGCGCTTCGAGCAGCATCTTTCGCGCAATCTGCGGTCGAAGCTTGAGTCGAGGGAGAAAGCCGATGCCAGGGAAGTGCAGGCCGAGGTTGACAGGCGGCATAGAGAAGAAGCCACGCGACGCGTTCATGATGCGATAGTCGTGCGCGAGAGCAAAGGGACAAGCCCCACCGAAGGTATGGCCCGTCAGCAGAGCGATAGTGGGGAACGGGTAGTCGAGTAAGGTCGCTAGTAGCGGGAAGAAGCCATCGCTATTCGCAAATGGGTTTGTATCGCTCTCGTCTAGCTCGAGACCTGTGCACCAGAACTTCTCGTCGTTTCCCTTTGTTATCACACATCCTTCCGCATCGGGGCCTAGTTCTTGCTCAATGTCGCGTAGCGCACGTATTATCTCCTGTGCAAACTTGACGTTTATGCGATTCTCGGGTGCTTTGGCGAGGGTGATGACAAAGACTTGGTCGTGCCGGTCGACGCGTAGGTTTGTGTATTCTCCTAGGGCCATGGCGACTGCGGGTTCACGTATTGCGGTTGCGACGTCGATGCCAATGCGAGGCTCCTCGAGATGACAAGGCAATTGCGAGGGTCTGTCCCGTCAGCTGCAGCGATATCGAAAAGATACATCCTGCTTTGCGGGCTCAAACATGTCAACTATCATGGTGCTGAAGCCTCGGCAGCGAGATGCGGGGAAGGACCCTGGCCAGAGTCGCGCGGTAGTGCCATCTCTATGCTGACTCGCTGTAGACATCAATCTACCTGGACAACAATCGGACAAAGCGACGTAGGTTGTGGCGGGCGCGTATCAACGCCTATGGAACGGACATGTAATAAGTCAGGGCGTGCGGCGTTGCAATTGTGGAGCTCACCCCGATCAGCTCTTCGGCCATCTCGACTTTCCACCTCCTCTCCCGTCGCTACACCAACATAACAAAGAAACATGGTCAGCCACCCGCTCCTTTGCCTGAGCCTGGGTTGCCCTTGCGCTTCTCCCAAAAAAACGCCTGTCTGCGAACTGTACTCTATTGGGTAATGAAAGCCAGCCCCATAATCGTTGTGAGATGAGTGCTAAAAACTCTATTCGATCTTCTGACAGTCTTTGCGTCGCATGAGCGCTATATTCCACCAAATTCCATTTCCGGTGGAGGGCAAGAGCAAGTTCATCTCTCAAAACTGCATCTGGGCCTCTGACTCGCGCGATAAGGACCTCATCCCACTCAGCATGTAATGGAGCGAGTTCCGACGCTGCGGATGCCATTGGCTATACAGCCACAACTACTGAACTCTTGACCGGATTCTGTACAGCCTGAACGCCATCGCAGCTGCGCCGTCACCGCGTCCGACGCAACAACTTCCAGTCCGCGGATTGAGTCGATGCCCAAGGACGGACGATGCTACGTTGTATGCGATGTGCTGTCAGATCATCAGCCATGTTGGCGCTTTTTGAAAGATTGGCATATGCAGACCACGAAAGAACGGAAGATGGCCACCGCCGAACGCCAATGGCAAACAGTCAGTATGGAGCACACTTCCACTTCATTGGAGGGGATGTAGGTTGGTGCTCCTGCGAGGATTCGCAGGACATCCCTTTGTGAGACCCAAACGGTAGCCGGACGGCACATCAATACCCCATCCTTAATTGCAACCTCGTAGCCTTGATCACTATTGAGGTATAAAACGTAAACTAATCTATCACTCATCTTGCGCCTTAAGCCCACTCTTCACATCAACAGTCACTATTTCATTGATTGACGGATTGAGAGCTGCTCATACCATAATCATACCACAAAACTGCCTCCATCTTGGCGACGCCACAATGGCCGAGCCGAAGACCATTGCTCTCCTTGGGTCTACTGGGTTTCTGGGTCCATACATCACAGCCTCTTTACTCCAGAAACACAGTCGCGCCAAGATCCTGTGCCTCAATAGGAGTGAGGATGGAGAACAGCGTACTACATCATCTTTGCAGCGCATCAGCAGCGACAACCTCGCAAGTTCTAGCCGTCTCCACTTTATGACAACCGACATCACACAACCAAACCTTGGACTGGACGATACGCAGTACAAGCAACTCGTATGCGAAGTCGATGAAATCGTCTTCAACGCCTGGAACGCAAACTGGGCCGTACCCCTCGCAAAGTTTGAGCCACTCCTCAATGCCGTACGCAACGTCGTTGAAGCATGTATCGGCAGCCCGAGAAAGGCACGTGTAACATTCGTGTCATCAAACTGCTCAATCATGAACTGGCCAAGCCGTCATCCCGAACAACCACTCATACCCGAAGAACCGGCTTGGGAGTATGCCAGCGCTGCGGACAGCGGGTACGGACAGAGCAAATGCATCGCTGAGCAACTTCTCGCCCGCGCGAACCTAGATTCCGGCGTACGCATCGCCATCGTACGTGCAGGACAAATTGGTGGACCGTCGTCTGCGATTGCTAGTTCGCCAGGCTGGCCAATCCAAGGCTGGCTATGGGTCACTTTCAAGACAAGCCAGCAACTAGGTTGCTGGCCTGTTCACATGAACGCTGTCGACTGGATTCCTGTCGATGCTCTTGCAGAAGGCATCACCAACATTACACTTTCGCAGCCGAGTAACAACGACGTGACCAAAGTATACAACATGATGCATCCTAACCCCGCACCTTGGGTTCTTTTGCACAACGTCTTGACTGAGAAGTTTGGTTTGGCGGTCAAGGGGGTTACGCTCCCGCAATGGCTTGGCCTACTTGATCCCAAAGTGTTTAAGATGCATGGTTTCATGGCAGCAGCGGGCGAGGGGAGGGAGCAAGAGGCTATGGTCTTTCATAATAAGAATGCGCTGGAGATGTTACCCAAGGTTGAGAATCTTACGGCGAAGCAGATTGAGGTATGGCTCAAAGGGTGGAGATTGAGACTCGGCGAGGCAAGGGCCAGGCTTTGAGGGACGAAGCATATGTGTAGTGTGTCAAATTTGGAATGAAGCTTAGTTGCACCACATTTTGAACTACGATGAGACAAAGCTTGAACATGAAATTGAGAATGATCAATTCTTAGCAGTAATTAATATGTAACTGCGCTATACGGTCCTGCCGTCAGATACTCTATGTGTACCGTCTACAAAGTCTGCTTGCCTCTTGTCTCAATTGGCAATATCAGCATACTGAAGAACGCCGCAATGAATAATCCACCGCTGGCGTAGATGGGGGCCTTGGGATTACTGTCACCAGCCTGGATAGCAACAATCGGTGCGCATAGTCCAGCAACGCGGTTCAAGAAACTGCTCATGCCAGTGCCAGTACCACGGATAGGTGCAGGGAAGACCTCAGGTGTGTACGCGTACAGAACACCATACATGATGTTCTGGAAGAATGCTTCAAGACAGGTGAAAGCGAGCTGGAAGTCGGAGTCGGATGAGATGGTGAACAGGAACACGAAGACGCCGGTGATGACGGTTGCGATGGCCATGGTACCCTTGCGACCAACGTACTTGATATCGACGGTGTAGCAAGCGATGATCGATCCAGGAACACCGACGATGGCAGTAATGGCGTAGTTGCGGTACACGGTGCTGGTGTCGTTCTGAACATCACCACCAGAGTTGGCAAGATACTGTGGGAGGAAAGCGTTGAAAAGCGGGTATGCCATACCGATAGTCGTCCATTGGAACCACAAAAGGGCAGTGGTGAGACCGATCTTCTTATCCTGGAACAATGTCTTGAAGCGCTTCATCGAGAATCGGCTGAGGGAGCGCTTGATAATCTCGAACACGCTGAGCTTCGTGTCTTCTTGGGTGACTTCTTGGTCGCCGCCAATTTGGTTGAGGATGTCTTCGGTGAGCCAGGTGTGCGTCTTGTTGTAGTGGGCGATACCGTAGACGGTAGCGACGGCCTCAGCCTGGCGACCACGAGACAACAGGAACTTGGGCGATTCGTAAAGATGGAAGAGGAAGAAGCGGCAGATGAACATGAAGAACGTGATCGCACCGAGGGTCAAGATGAGGTATCGCCAGCCCCAGTTGTCGGCCTTGCTGCACTGCCCAATGGGAGTACCAGAAGGGCATGAGAAGTTGGGAATGAAAGCCCAGGCCAGCAGCGAAGCGATCAAATTACCAACAGGCCAGAAAACGGAAAGTAGCGTCAAGAGGTTTCCGGATGTTTGGGGCAGGAATTCGAGGAACAAAGCGCCATCGACTGGAAGGTTTCCACCAACACCGAGACCGATACATGCGTACAGTGCACATGTGCCAATCCAGTTGGGGCCGCCGCCTGAAGCAAGACCGAAGACACCGGCGAGGAAAAGAGTGAAGTTGAAAGCGAGACGGCGGCCAATAATGTCGGATGCGGTACCCCAGAAAGACGCGCCAATGCAGAGACCGAGGAAGAGCGATAGTGTGGTGTATCTGACTTCCGTTTCGCTGACACCAAACTCAGCGCTAAGTTGAGGCAGTGTTAGAGCGACACCCTATATTATGGTAAGTCCTGCTGACAGTAGACGAGTTTGGCAAACGCACCTGCAGCCACAAGTTGTCGGCCATCCAACCGCCACCACAAAGAGCGAAAAGCTGCCATTGGTAGCGACCCATTCCCATATCTTGCAAAGCTCTGTTGATGACCTTGGACTTGCCTGGAGAGTATTAGTACTAATATTTCATAACGATTACCCAAAACGATAGGAAATGCCACACGACGTACGGTCATATGGCGTGTCTTGGTCTGAGGCGGCGACATCTGCTTCAATCTCTGCCTTTAATGCTGCGACTGTCATGCCATGGTTAACAACACCACTTGATGCATTACTTTCAGGTCGCCTAAGGTCGTTGGGCTCATCCTCTTTGGCTTTCTCTGAATTTCCGAGGGAGGCGCGTGGGTGAGTGGAAGCTACAGAAGCGCGATGGGTTGAATCATCAAGAGGCACATGAACACCCGGGAACTCGTCGACGTGGTGGGCCTTGAAGGGATTCACAAACATAGTTCGAACCATCTTGGCGAAAAGATGGTGGTGGTAGCGCAATGGAAGTTAGGTGTGGTTGTTGCTTGGGGTTGGCGCTATGGTAGTGAGGGTCTGATAACGGAGGTAGTCGCGATTGGGATGATCCTGTTCAGGGTCGTCGGTTCGTCGGGGTCGATGTCGATGTAATCTGATGCTTGGTCGTGTGTTGGAACCGTCACGGCGTCTTCACCCAAGCAGGATGCTAAAGGCTTGTGAGGCTTGGAAAAGCTTGTGTATTGGAGTATGGCAAGCTTCCGCGACAGCAAAGTCGCAGGGAATTTAGATGACAAGAGTTGTATGAGCTCGGTCCCGGAGTAGGACTACGGCCCCTCATATACTCCAGTTCTCCCCAACGCCTGTCAAAAAATCTTTTGGAACGGACAGATGATGTGGAGCAATTGCTGAGGTGCGCCAAGGTAGCGGCTATTAAGGCGCGCAGTGACGTAGTGCTTGGGTGGACCAAGCACCAGCCCAGCACGTTGCTGTGCCGTTCACTGCAAAGATCATCCAACGTCGCTGCTGTGGTTCGCTCGATCTTTTAGGCTTGGCCCTAGTCAAAACCATCGGTCTGGTAAGCTTCTCGCAGTCTCACGTCTTGTGCGGTTGTGCGTCTGCAGGACCTTGCCCCATGCGCAATCATGACAGTCGATTGCATGCTGAGCCCTCGATGAACATGTTAGAATCTGTGCTGGAGACATCGGTCGCCATTGACTGACAATGGTAGTCGTCGTCTTTGTGGCTCGTCTTTGTGGCGAGTGCGTCTGTTCCTCGCGCCGATGGCGAGGCTGCGCGCTATTCGCCTGTCGCGGGTCCAAATTTTGCCGCGTGCCGAAACGCGACTAGCTAGGGATGTGCCGATTACGTTAACGTTTCTCAGGCTTTGCGCACGCGAAATGGCTAATAAAACCGGCCTGAAATTATCTTCAGTCGTTGATCACACCGGCGGTAAGCGGGGAGGCTCGAGTGTTCTCGTTACATGCCTAGATCAGGCATGACGTCCCTGAGATATACGACTCCAGAAGGCGGGACCGCTCCAACCCCAGCACCAATGCGAGATCGACACTTGTGGGATGCGCGGCCTGTGACTGCTCATCTACTAATTGACCGAGACTGAAACGTTCAGGTTGCGAACGATGCATCTGCCGTTAAGTGTGGCAGGTTTTCGGACCCTGACCGGCTCCACAGAAGCAAGACCCTTCAGAAGCCACATACCTGCCCTGGCAAGACGCGCCGAGTAGGTACCATTGTGGGCCCGGCCTAAAGCAAGTCGTATCGACAGGAGGGAATGTCACGCGACGTACTCAATGCTAGGATCCAGGACCTTTGTGTTGAGCTCGTATCGCCTCGGTAGTGCTGCCAAGTACAACTTACGTACGACGACGCTGTTGAGTGGAAACTTGATCAAGATTCCTGGCATACACAGCCCTGCAAAGACATCGACGAAAAATGTCTTTTTTTTTCTGGTGTGTAATCAAGTACCAGAACGCCCCGCGAAGGTATATACCATCGCTCTCTTGATAGACTTTTAACATAGACTCATGTGTATGCTCGGTGTGTAACATAGGGCGAAACTTAGAACAAACGAGCCCCTCAGTGACATCCCAGACATGCGCCTTCCATCCCTCGATCGCTCCGGGGCTGCATTGAAGTTGCCTCGAGGCAAGATACGCTCTCGGTTCTAATGGCAGCATCAACTTCTGCTTCGAGACTGGCCTGGCAGTAACCATCAACAATGGATCTAAGCACCACTCTTACCTTGGGTGACATATTCACGAAACATCAACAGTGCTGTAGACGTCCCCGTTCAATACCCACACTTATTATTCCAATCACCCCTTATCATCAGCAATCATCATGTGCGGCGCGGAACCTCTTGTCAGCCTGAACAGCGCCGAGTCCGTTAAAGCATTCTACAAGCTGCTCGGAGAGCGCGAGCAACTCCCAGTACCCAGACCAATCAACGTCTCACCAAAATGGCCAGCAGCTCGCAATGATCACTACTGCGACCAAAAGGTTTGTCGCCACGCTGTCCTCGACTTATTTCCTCTGTATATGCCGTCGGACAGCGGTAGCGATGTCCAGGCGCCTGACGTCGATATCTCCAATACTCGAAGCAACACCCACAGTCCAATTTGTTCGTGGCCAGCCAATGAGTATGCCGGTGACAATCCTCGGTGAGTTTACACAATATATAAAGTAGCTAGCTCACTAACACAGTATAGATTCAACCACCAGCAATATACTCCACCTTCGTCGCACGATGGTCAAGGTCTCCAAAGTTCTCAGACATTCCCCATAAACTCCGACTTACGCACCCGCGCTCGCGCCCTTCGACAAGAACTCGACAATATACATATTAGCTACGCTAAGTCATATCTTGAGGTCGCGGAACGCTTCATTGACTTGTCTGACCCGTACTGCATCCTGTCATCGGGCTACGACCGTCTGGCCGAAAAGCACGATAGCCTTCGACATACCGTCTACAAGCTTGTTGCACAGCTGGACATCCACACGGAAGCCTTGACGGCTCTAAATGAGTGGAAAATTCGTACTCAGAAGAGCTTCGCTGAAGTAAAGGTTCAAGACCAAGATCCTAAGCTTTTGTATTACGGCACACCGCATTCAGCGTCTACGGTGGATATTGCAACTGAGCAGGTAGAGCCTGACCCCGTAGAAGCGGCGAATCCGACTTCCAAGACGATGATAGACAGGAGAGACTCTGGCGTTGCGGATCTGGAGACGCCTCTCATAACGCCGGCAGTTCCGCTTGGAAAACATGTTGTACGTCCTAAGTTGGTGCTGAGGTTGCCACCTCGACCGGATAACGAAGAGGAACGTGTGAAGCCTACTAGCGGCTTAGTATCGGACCAGTATGCAAGTTCCAAACGAATTAGGAAAACCGCGGACAAGCGAAAGGCAGCTGCATCTCACGTCAAACCAATAGACAAGAGAGCAAAGAAGAGTCACAAATGACCGAGCGCATGTTGTGGAGGTATGTCCTTCGTCTTGTTTTGTTTCTTCTATGCTCATGGAGGTAGCTGGGGTTGTCGGCCAACCGGGGATGAGTTCTCGCAGTGGTATTGAAGAATGACACCTACGTGTAAGCATCCTCGATATTTTGCAAGTAAGCCAAATTTCCATAAGCCAAGTCGGTCCATGGTCTTCGTGCACCCCGCAGATGACGACCTATGTGGCGTTTGTGGCTATGTATGTATCGGGCAGCACAGACAATTTCCGAAGGTTTTCGGGATCGATCCAGGACCTGCAACCTTATCTTTATACACAGCTCACCCGCCCTTCTGAAAGTCCTAAATTCGCTCAATCTTGTGTAAGCATTCCTATCATCTCACACACAAGATTCGCTTGGTTGTAAATACACGGTCAGGGGAAGGAAACAATAGCGAATTCGCTCTGGATGCGAGGGTAAGTACTAGCACCTTAGGGCATGCTTGTTTTATTGGAAGTTAATAGAAAGCTAATGTGTATACAGATATTGAAAGAAAGGCCCGAGAAAGTAAACATGTGGTCTACATGGTACACCGCGCGTGTGATCGGATCCACCACAAGCTAACAAAATCTGCGGTCCAAGATCATTGAACTCATACTGCTTTGTTGGCAGTGTGAGTTCACCTGAATGTACTTATGGCATTGCCATATAGATTTGGAAGCATGCCAGATGCTTGGCGGTGAGTTACAGATCTAATAATCTGCTCCCGTCTACTATCCCAAGGGCTAAGGGTAGCTACACGCGTTCGATTGCACCCATGGTTGGTAAGATGTCAGTCATGGCGCTCATCCCGATCCATTAGTGTTCCAGCCATGTGAATCCCCTTGTGTATAGGAATTCAGGCGCAGATCCTGCCAGTCCCAGATCTGCTCCATGCCGCCCATGTCCACAGCAGATGGATCCCCCACAGTACCAAAGGGGTTTTGGGCGAGGAATTGATCAATATCGAACGAGAGATCATCCGAGATGGTCACTGGATGCAGATCACCGACGGTGGAAGGAGCCGGTGCAGCAACCGGCTCTATAGATGCCACTGGAGGCATGGTCGCTACTGGTGTAGGCTCATGCGCAGGTAGCGGCGGCGTTGACTTGGGTGCCGAAGAAGACGCCTGCCGTTGGCGCTTACAGATCGAAGGATATCGCGAAAGCTCTGGCGTAGCCTGCACAAGCTTAGAAAGGAAGTTGAAAGACGTAGCCCCAAGTTTTGTTGTTCCACTGAGTTGATGCAGCATCTTTAGAGAGCTTTCGATAACGTCCACGATTTCCTCACGATGAGGTAGAGTATGCTTGCGGTCGTGTATGATGGCGGAGCAAAGTAGAGTTGCGGTATCGAAGATGCAGAAGACGACCATGTGAAACTTTGCGTTGATCGGGAACTCATGATCGAAAAGTTTACGCGCGACTTTCAGGAGACGCAACGCGATGTCTATGCCCTTCTTCCGAAACTCGTCATCCTGACCAGCCACTTGGCCTTGACGCTCTCGGGTCAGGTAGGGTTTGAGAAAGTCGAGTTGTGTTAAAAGGATGACACAGTGTAGTTGGCAACGCTGGAAGACAAAGTATGGATGCGTCTCGTCGAAAGATGTATCCGTGTTTTTGAATCGAAATATCGGGGGTAGCTCTTCGGCAAGCTTCTCGCATTCGGACTGTATTGTCAGAACTTGCTTATCCGATAGGTCAGCCTTGGAGTTGGCAGTTCCCATGGCAGTCGCTATCCTACGGCCCAGATTTGCTTGAAGCGCCATGTGAGCGAAAGGTGAAAGTAGGTTTGGCTCTGTGGTTGACTGATCCAGTCGTAGATTGGGGAATTTGAAGCTGAGATCCTTCTGGTCGATGAGGTTTGGACGACCCAACCACGCCGACATCTGCCTGTAGCGGAAATTAGTGAGCATTCTCGTTGTGATGGTCATGTGCTTACCAGTCCCAGATGTACAGCAGCGTCCAGAGACGTCTCCTGATCTCGATGTCGAACTCACATAGGTCCTCGATACCTGCATCTTTGTCGATACCTAGCTCTTGTGCTTCTCGTATGGTGCGTGAAAGCGCATGCCATGATTCTACTATCTTGGACTCCGACTTTAGCCAGGCACCTTTAAGAAATTGTTCTTGCACGCGTTCAATACTTGTTCGCGATGCTTCAAAACTCCGGCTCAGCTCTTCCGCTGCGTCGGAAAACCGTTCGGTCAAGGTTTGACAACTGCAAGCCAGCTCAAACTCAATCATTTTGCGAAGCGAAGGTGTGAGAAATTGCACGGAGTATGCGCAAATTCTCAACAGTAAGCAGGTAAATTCTGGCGAGAGCTGTTTGCCGGCACCACGATCAGTCCACCACTGGACGTATTGTTCAGCTAGTGTTGGCCCGTATATCGCGCTGTATCTGTAGTTGACAACGGTCAGGAAGTGATTAACAAACGCGTCTGTGTGCTGTTAGCAAAAACCCAAGTCTGACGATGGTTGCACTTGCCGGTTATCGATCTGGGTGGGACCGCAGGGAGGACTTTCTCTACGACGCCCGTTGTTCCCGGGGACTCTGCCGGTGAGTCTTTACGCTTGCCGCCCTTGGGTCTGTTAGTTGAGACAGATATTTTACTAGGTCTGCTTACCTCTTCCACCGTGCTGACTTTGTAGTGAACATGGCCGGGCATGTATCCCCACGCTTTTAGCCCGTCCTCGAGGTCTTCTGGCTCGCCATCTTGCGACTGCGATGGAAATTGTGGCTCTGCAGAATCGGGAGCACTCCTTTTTGTGCCCTTGGTGGTGCTGCCAGACGAGTTTTCTCTGCGCCATAGTTGTTACTACCATGTTCCACTAACGGCGGGGTAGACAAGGTGATCAACATACCGAGCAGACTCTGGGGATGACTCCGTTTGCCCTCTTTTGACGGAGAACTGACAGAGATGGGGTACCTTTCGTGCCTGGCAATGATTGCAGGGCCACTCTCGCGAGCACTAGCCTTCCCGTTAGTCAAGGGGTAGACGCAGGGTCGATCTGGGGTGGGGGCTGACCTTTTGCTTCCGGCGCTGACATTCAGTGCAAGATGTTGTCGCGCGACTGTCCTTCTGGGCCTGCATATTTGCTGCTACCCTTCAGGAGGATCAATTAGGATCGTGATAGCTCAGGGTTTATCAACTTGCTAACGGACGAATCCAAAGCTGCCGAGTTGTGGCACCCCGACCCCACTAGCCGCTGCGCCTCACGGGCCGAAGTTGGGGCTGTCCCTGATTTCTCAGCACGTCATGTGATGTGGCAAGTGCCTTCTTTGGGCAAGGTGCTATAGCGTTTGCGAAAAGGTAAACCTTTCATCAGCAAGATCAACGGAACCTCCGACATTGGCACTTGCTGCCCAGGCGGCAGATGCAATTAAATCGCGCGGCGACGCGAAAGCCCGAGACTTCTCAGGGTACAAACTCCGTGGAGAAGCCTTCCATGGCCGCTTCTTGACCGTTCCGTTGGATTCTGCCCCATTTAAGACACTCCAATTGGTGCTACTCTGCAGCGTGTACAGTAAGGGAAGCCAGCCCTACAGATCTGCCGCTCGCTACCTTATCCGAACCGTGCGAGCTCAGACTACTTCCGGAGGTCCTAGCTACTCCGCATCGAAGCCTTGCTGAATTACCGACATGTCTTCTGTACATGATTGCGACAAGATTGATACATCAGCCGGTGTGCCTGTAGCTCTTCTATGCATTCCCGGTCGCTTTGGAGACTCACTAAAGTCGTGTCTCGACTAGCTCATGCATGATGTCATCGCACCTACGTAGGTGGTGCTTGCAGCCTTGCAGCCTAGCAGCTAGTCTCAACACCGCAAAACCGCTGCATAGATGCTAATAGCAATCCGAAAAGGGCTTATAGATTCCACATATAAGTCGGTCGATTTCGAGGAGCCAGTTCTTCACTCCTTCGCGCCACATCAGAAACACAGCTTCTACCGTCATGACAACCCCTTTACCACTTATACCCTGGTCGAAGACTTCGATTCTCACATCTCGTATGCATCTGGATGCCTCGAGAATAGCACAACAGGCTGCACTGGACCTTTTCGTACTAGGATTTGCTGAACAAGCCTTCATGTTACTCGAGACAGTCCATGAGTATGGTATCGACACAAAAACCAAGGACTATTACGGAGCGACTATCTCAAGGCAATTGACAGGAGCTTGGGGAGCTAGCGATTCTTTTCCTTCATGGGCACACGAAGCGGGCGATGAAGACATGGACTGCATATCTACCACGGGCTTACCTAAGGATTTAACAGTGAAAGCCGAAGAGCATGAGTTGAATAAAGAAGATGTCAAGTTCGCATGTGAGCGCCTCAACGCAAAGCCAGATGCTACCTATAGTATTCCGGAAGAATCGATGACGCTTGGTGCTGTCGCACAGGTCGCGCACCTTGCAGGCGAGGAAGATTTAGCCACTAGCTTGATCGAAAAGAATATGAAAGAGTTCTACCAGTACCTGTTAGACAATTTCAATAACCCAGACATAAGTGGGGACGAGACGAGGCAATGGCTAGAGCGTCGCCAGGGCTTGCAGCATTGCGACGTAATATGGGAAACGCTCAGAGAATTAGATCTCGGAGAAGTATTCGGTGTGCGCATATCTGACGTGGAAGACTATGTGAAAGAGGGTTGTGAGAAATATTCCTGTACGAACTGCATGTAAGACATACACTGACTCCGTACACGTACCTTTAGGCACCCTCTTCAAACAGCGCTCTACTGAAGGACCCATGCGCCTATACAGTTCGAAAACGATGGCCGAGCTGGTGCAGATGATCGAAGAAAATGTCCTTGCCGAACGTGCCGATAACGGTGAAGACGAAACATCTCCCGTCCTGAATAGTGGCGCATCAGAAGATCAGATTGCCGCTCTCGAGAAACGTCTGTCGGCATCGCATGCAGAAGGCGGCCTTGATGATACAGATGTCGCGCTGCCGAGTGGAAACCTTCCAGATGAATACAAAGACTTCCTGCGCGCAAGTAACGGGATCGATGAAGACCTTTTCTTTAGTACCGAGGACGTAAACACTGAGGGACGCTGGATGGTCGATCTGGATTATACCCTATTCCCCATCGAAGGCAAGGAGTGTCTCCTATACGGCGCGGATCGCGACTTTGATGAGATAAAACTAGGCGACTATACGTGCATTACTATCGGGACTGGAGACCACGAAGGTAACGTCACGCTTATACCACCTACTTCGGTCCGGCCCATTATCGATAGTTTTGAAAAGGCATATGCAGAGGCGAGCGAAACCAACAAGAAAGTCTATGAGCGCGCCGCTCTGGACATTTATGGAGGCATAGAGGAGCTCAGAGCGTTAGAATGGTTGTGTATCGAGTTCCAGCATTCCGCGTATGAGCAGAGAATCTGGGGTGGACTAAAGCCTTTTCTGGAAGAGTATGTCAAAAGAGAAGTCGATAAGAGGATGGAGGCTGAGAGACGACAAAAGAGAGACGCGAAGGAAAGGGAAAAAAGCAAAGCTAGGAAGAGAAAGAGGGAAGATGACCAGTCTGTTGTTGTTGATGATGATAACAAGTCGGTTCGTACGGCTTGAACTTGATGAACCACATCGCGTGTGGACTCGAATATCTATACACCAGCTCTATGAGACTGAACTTTGAAATAGCATACTCTGATTCGTCATAATTGGCTGATAAATGTTCTGTATAATCTACGCGTTCAACGGAACACTTCCGTGCCGCATTTGCAATCGTCGCTGTCGGTTTACAATCAACGGACGAATACAGATAACGATGTTCGCTCTGCCAATGCAACGCGACGTCGAACGTGCGGACTGGAGCGCTTTCAATCATATCGAGAAGCTACTAGTGTAACCTTCTGTTTCTCGATTGGTTACAGTTCGGTGTTTATGCGGCTACTAGACGATCCGAGGATCCGCGCACTACAACTTGCGGTCCGGAGCTGGCTGCATCTTAGTAATTGTTTCCGCATTTGCAGTCATATTCGGTCCTATCTTGAAACACCAGACTGCTTGGTTGGCAAAGAAGACAGTGGTTGAGGTGTTACTGGAGCGAGTGTGCTGTGCACCGACGACACTTTCAACCACTCCAGCTCTAGCTCCAGCTCCAGCAATCTAGGTAATTTCGTGGTACGTGATTGGAGACTCACCTTCTCTCGTTGGCGGTGCAGACCACGGGAGGTATCGATAAGCTACGACACGATTGAGGTCGGTGCATTAGAGATGGACTAGGGTCGAAAGTCCGCTAGTTTACATATTCTCCGCTAGCACGCATCGACTACCCCTCACAAAGCCCTACAGGTATCATTATTCATGACGGACTGTTGTTGAGATATTATATAGCCCTAGTGTTTCACTACAAGAATTTATCCAAAGCAGTCAAAAAGATTTTGCGACTTTTTGCAAGGTATCAAGATGAGTTCAACTGTCGTTGCAGTAGCTGGAGGTTCTGGTAAGCTTGGGCGTGTTATTGTCGAATCCATCATCAAAGCGGGTGGGTTTACTGTATTCGTGCTCTCCCGAGACGTAAGTTCATACTGCATTGCTATACACCATAAGTACTGACATTTGCATAGGCGACCGGAGATGCAAAACTCCAGGGGACGGACGCGAAGGTAATCGCCGTTGATTACACGAAACCAGATTCCATCGCCAGAACCTTGGAAGAGAATCGTATCGATACAGTGATCTCGACACTTGGATCAATGTCAGGCACCGACCCTGAGATGGCCCTCATCGAGGCTGCCAACAAATCCGGCATCACACAACGCTACATTCCAAGCACATGGGGAATCAAGTACACGCCTGAGTGAGTGAACTACGTATACCACTGATCACTGATCTTATCGTTTTGACAACATACAGGGTTGCTGAAATCTTCTCGATAGCCAAAGGAAAGATTGCTTATCTTGACGCCCTGGAAAAGACGTCATTGCAGTACACATGTGTCATCAACGGCTTTTTCCTGGACTATTATGTAGAGCCATATGTCAAATCATACCTCACAGGTCTGACGCTGGCCATCGATATCGCCAACAAGGCTGCTGCTATTCCAGGGTCGGGTAATGTTCCTGTTGTGTTCACCTACAGTTTCGACATCGGCAGATTCGTGGCTGCTCTTCTTGGCCAAACATCCTGGGAGAAAGAGTCGTACATCATTGGTGACAAGATCACGCTGAACGAATTTCTCGCTATTGCTGAGGAGGCAAGGGGAACAAAGTTCGAGACCACATATGATTCGCTGGAGAAGCTCAGATCATACCAAGTCACCGAGCTGCCTGCTCATCCACCAATGTACCCATACTTTCCGAAGCAGATGCTGCAGGGTATGTGCGCAGTGTTTGGCATCTTGTTTGAGGAGGGCTTCTTCGACTTGAAGCCAGAGAACTCTTTGAATGATCAATTCCCGGAGATAACGACAAGGAAGATTCGAGACCTGGTCAGCGAGGCTTGGAGAGGTAAATAGATGGAGAATAAGGAGATTGTACCAAAGGCTTAATTTCAGGTCGCTAAGCACCCCATGTTAAGATATCCTTTACTATACTGAGAGGCCGGGGCAATACCAAGTCAAGCTATAAGCACATCCCTAGTTCTGTCACTATGCTACTCCCTTAGCGGTTTCAGTGGTGCTAAAGGGCAGTTGTCCTTTGGGTAAACCCGATAGTTTGCCACCATGCCTTTGGTGTTGTGATTCTGTACATGGCAAATGACCTGCCATTGGCCCTCGCCAACTGCCTTCGAGTACAGTGTCTTTCCTACGCCGTCGTTGATACTCTGAGCGTATTCATGGAAGCGCTGATAAACGACGCCATTACCGTGCATATGGAATCTATTTGTATGGAAGAGAATACTGTTAGCTAGTATCCTTTCTACGCACGATTGTGTTTGCACGTATCAAGAGGAAAGAGATGGCATAGTTATAGAGAGTGTAGCAAAGATGAAACTTACACATGGCTAGCCGATCCATACGCATTCGAACCCCAGATTATCTGTTCAGAGAATCAGTATGATAGGTCGGCGATACGAAGTCGAAGAGGTAGATACATACGTTATCGCCCACACACATCTCGAATAATGGATTGTTCGCATACACGAACCCGTTGACAGCGAAGAAAATAGGTGCACCATCAAACTGTCTCCCACTCTCGAAATTCGTCAATTGCGGCTTCCACACTGTCATGTTCGCGTCAGGCAGGCCCGTCGTGTCGAATTGCGGCATGATGTACTGTGCAGAGCCGCCACCTTCAAGCCGAGCTTTGTTTACGCCGGAGAGGAATGACTGATCCTCATCGTAGCTGTTGTACAGAATGGGGAATTCGCGGTACGACGCCACTGTTTCGTTCATCTTACCATTAGCGTAAATAATTGTGGGACCAATAAGGCCTGCGTTGGCGTCTTGCTCGAGAGAGACGTATGAATGGTATGAATGAATCTAGTATCCTTTATTAGATATCTCATAAGTGAATTCAAGAACATTAGTTTGAGATATACCTTTGCCGGAAGCCCATCACTCGGTCCCGCTTCATCGTTCACCATCCATTTGTATACGATACAATCTTCTGGCCCCAGCATCGGCGGCCCGTAGTCTGCTATCGGTAGCGTGTTACCGACGCCGGGCATTGTGTTATTTGGATAGTCTGAGCCCTCGTACGGCTTGGTGTATGCGAGTCCCATGGAATGCATGGTCGCGTAGTGATTTTTCAATTTATTGACAAACAGGATCTCAATCAGATCGCCTACTTCAGCACGGATAGTCGGTCCCTGGCTGCCTTGGAATGGGGGCTGAAGCGTCCTCTCGCTGAAAGAGGCGTTGGTGTATCCGCGATACAGCGCTTTGAGCCATTTGGTGCCATAGTGAGTGTACCCTGAATACTGGGCTTTTGCTGAGAGGTTGAAAGGGACCTAAGTAATGTGAGTCAATATGAAAGGTCTCCACGCATAAGAATTCGATCCATACACCTAACCAGTTATCCCACCCTGTAGGCGCATAGTCCCACTCAAGCTCCTCCGCGGCAATGTAGTACCTCCTTACGTTGCCACTAAAGTGGAAATTCGACGGAGTAAAAGACGGCAACTTGCCATCCAATTGGGAGTAGCATGTTTGCTTCGAGTCCTCGCTCGGTGCAGCAAACACTACGCTAACAAAGAGGGACAAGAGGACAGGGAAACGGCCCATTATGTTGTATGCACAATCTGGAATTTTCGCCAACTTGGGATAGAAACAAGAAGAAACTGTGTGGGTGGAGTGAAATTGAGCAAGTTAATTGAGCACGTTTCCTTCCAGCCTTGATATGTAAACCGCATACATTGAAGCAGTGATCGCTCTGTGCTAACAAACAGAGATAGTGCACATGATATGCTCCCTTTACCTGTCGCTGACCCAAAGCGCGCCGCGACTGCAAGTTGAGACTGAAGATTATTTGATGACGCTATTCGGAATACTGCCCATTGACTGTTATTTGCAAGTCTTCTATTCGAAGCTGGTAAACTATGGTAGTCCACGATTGGGCCCAGGCTATAAGTTCCGAAAGAAACCTTGTTGGAGAAGACGCGTGGAGAGGTTGAGCGTCGCAAGCTTGATGCTGATGCTTCCGACTGGTACCGTGTCGGACGGCGGTGTGCCGGCTCTGCCCCACTAACCACTACTACTACCTAGGTAGCTTTACTACGCTGCTTTTGCCTTCAACAAAGCTTATTAAGGCTACACCTGCAGCTATCAATACCTTGAAAGTAGCCAGTACAAATAGTGCCTTTCGACTTTGCGCTACTTCCGGAGATAAAAATCAGTGCCCTAATAGTGTATTGTAGGTTTGCTCATGGGTGTCTACTGAGCGACCGATTTCGTGCTTGCAAGATAAGCAGAACACAAACGCGGATCTGATATTGTGGTGAGCCTCCCTAGGTAATTACTGGTTGGAGCAAGATGACGCCCAGGTGGTGATTCAAGCACTGCCGCCACTACACAAGCTGGTGGTGTAAATCGATAATCCCAAGGCCCCCGTAAAGTCCTTGCGATTCGATATTTGGATCATGATGCTCACAATTACTTCGATTCCGATCCAGCAGCAGACCGTGACTGACCATGTATGCTTGGCAAAGGCATATACCACGATCGTAGTTCGCTTTCAAGCGATGTTGGCGAGCTCGGCAAAGGTACAGTTGTAATCAACGATACCTGGGTCACGGATGTCCTAGAGTCAGCAATGGAGATGAGCGAATACACGATGTCCTATCGATTGAAGCACTGCTTGTCACGAAACTGCCGGATGCGTTGTATCAGGAGGATGTAATGACGGTTTGCGAAACCGGCTCTTGGTGTTGCGTCAGCTTCTAAGGCAGCTATTTCTTCAAACAGCTATTGAATTGAACTTGTGTCCCAATGTACGGATGTTTCATACACTATATGTTGCAGAAAACTGGATTCGACGAGGACACCTCGAGCGAGTAAGTGAACGCTTTGGGATAGACGAGCTGCTACAGAAGAAGACGGAAAGGTGGTCAAAAAAGTCCAAAAAAACATACAACAGCGGGGATTCGCTAGTGGTCACCCACCTAACTACTAATCCGCCGGTACACTGCTTGTATATGGCTGAGCGGACGGGAAGCCTAATTTTCAGTGTCCTATGGTCGTATGTGCTTAGAATCACTGGTTTTGTAGAATATAACTCTCCAAACGCCAGGTACCTAGGTATCCTCGGGGTTTCGGGCATCAGCGCGCGCGACTCGTACATCGTATTTATTGCCAAACTGGCTCCATCATCAGTGCGCTCCTCGCCAACGCTGGAAAAGGAAATTGGATATCAGCCTCAACAGCTAGTATCCAATCCAAGTGTTGCGCGCGTGGGGCGTCACTCGCAACTTAAGTACAATCCTGATTGGTAGCGCAGAGATGTCATGACGTTCTGTTATGCTAACGGGTGGTTGCGCCGCCTTGGTACCGCACACCGGGATCCTAGACGTCCGTCTCGCGAGCCGCACGCGAAGCCATAGACGCGTTGTGCATGCCTATCGCATCCATCAAATAACACGCGCTCTCTATTACAACGATGCACATACGTCGCTCATGCATCGCCAACGATGGTGGACTACCAAAACGCTCCCTCAATAACTCGCCATAGCTCTGACACCATGGAGGGGACAACAGAAAGACCGTTGGCTGCGATCGACATACCAGACAAGATCGACGCAGAAAAGGCTGCTGCTGTTGACGGCAAAGAATCAAACAGGGACTCAGAGGAAAAAGAGACAGAAGAAGAGAAAGAGGGAAGTCTGAAAGACTACTTCGTAAGTCAGAGATCAGGTCGAATTTGAGGGGTGCAAGCTGATTTGTCTATTCTCACAGCGCATCTTCACATATGCCAGTACTGCGGATCGCGTACTTTATTCTCTTGGACTCACCGGTGCTGTCGTTGTCGGTGCTGCCCTCCCTTTGATGACTCTTGTCTTTGGCCAATCGACAGCAGAATTCAATCAACAGGCAACTGGTCAGGACAGTTCTACTTTTACTAGCAACATCAACACCTTGGTGCTCTACTTTGTATACATATTTGTTGCCCGTTTCGTTATTGGCTACCTAGGTACTCTGTGCATATGCATCGCCGCAGCCAGGACGACATGCGCTTTGCGGGAAGACTTCCTGGACAAGTTGCTCCGTCAAGACGTAGCGCATTTCGACAAGGGCGGCAGTGGATCTGCCGCAACTCAGGTGACTACAAGTAAGAATCTCAATATGAAAGTCGTGGTATTATTGCTGACAGCGCGGCCTAGATGGCAACAGGATTAATCAAGGCATAGCGGAAAAGCTGTTTACCTGCGTCCAAGGCATCTCACTCTTTTTCTCTGGTTTCATCGTAGCACTTGCTGTTCAATGGAAGCTCGCTCTGATCGTGATGAGCATAATACCTGCCATCTTCTTGATCACTGGGGTATGCATAGGCCTAGATGCGCCTATCGAAGCTAGAGTGGTGAGTAGCCACATCTCTTTCGATCTGACGCCTTCAAGTAACAATTGCTGCACAGACCAAAATCTACTCACAAGCTGGTACTCTGGCGCAGGACGCGATCAGCTCGATCCGAACTATCCACGCCTTCGGAGCCCATCAGAAGATTATCGACGGTTACGAGACTTACCTGCAAAAGGCGCACAAGGAAGGTAACAAAAAATCCGTCATCTACGGTGTACTCTTCTCCGGTCAAACCTTCCTGGTCATGTCGGGTACTTCGCTGGCCTTCTGGCAAGGGTTTCGCATGTTTCAAAGTGGGGAGATTGGTGATGTGGGCACAGTGTTCACCGTCGTCCTGAGTGTTGTGCTCGGTGCTACTGCAACATTACTCATCTTCCCCCAATTCCAGGCCTTTACCAACGCTTCCTCAGCGGCGGGCGAATTATTCCTTATCATCGACAGTCCTTCATCCCTTGATCCTCTCTCGACCGAAGGCATGCAGCCACCCAGCTGTAACGGAGAAATCATTGTCAACGATTTGCGTTTTGTGTACCCTACCCGACCAAGCGCCCAAGTTCTGCGGGGTCTCAGCCTCTCGATTCCCGCTGGAAAAACAACGGCTTTGGTTGGACCCAGTGGGTGCGGCAAATCGACCCTAGTCGGTCTACTTGAGCGGTGGTACAAGCCTACTTCTGGCCAGATCTTGCTTGATGGTCGAGATATTTCCGAATACAACACAAAGTGGTTGCGGTCCAATATCCGCCTCATTCAGCAGGAGCCGACCTTGTTTCAAGGCACAATCTTCGAAAACATCGTCAAAGGCCTGATAGGAGACCAAAAAGATCTACCAGCGGAAAAGCAGATGGAGCTCGTACAAGAAGCGTGTAAGAACAGCAATGCACATGACTTCATCGAAGCGCTACCGCAAGGCTACCATACCCAAGTCGGAGAGCGAGCAAGCATGCTCAGCGGCGGTCAACGACAGCGTATTGCTATTGCTCGAAGTATTATTTCCAATCCAAGAATCCTCTTGTTTGACGAAGCAACCAGTGCCTTGGACCCTCGCGCTGAAAAGGTTGTGCAGAGCGCACTCAATCGCGTTTCGATCAACAAGACCACGTTGATTATTGCTCACAAGCTTGCCACTGTGATGGCGGCAGATAATATTGTCGTCATGAAAGATGGTCAAATCTACGAGCAGGGCACACACCATGAACTCATCGAAAGCGATGGTCTCTATGCGGCAATGGTACGCGCGCAAGATCTTGGTACAAAGGCAAACGACGAGGATATTCAAAGAGAACTGCTAGACACAGAGAAGGTGGAAGATAGCCTGGACCGCAAAGCTGCCTTGCAACGAACACAATCGCATTACAACACGACAGAACTTGAGCGCGAAGTCGAGCACCTTGCTGCTGGAACCCTGGGCTACTCTCTTACCAAATGCATCTGGATCATGCTGAAAGAGAATTTCGATCTCTACTACTGGTACGCCGCCACGATCCTTGGTGGAATCATCGGCGGTGGTACGTACCCAGCGCAAGCTATCATCTTCTCCCGTCTCGTCCGAGTCTTCACACTGCAAGGGTCTGAAGCACAAGAGCAAGCCAACTTTTGGGCGCTCATGTTTTTCGTGCTAGCTCTTGCCAATCTCTTCGCATATTTCGCAATTGGCCTTGCATGCAACAGTATTGGACAGACTTTAACTCACAGATATCGCAAAGAAATGATTGAGCGCGTCATCAGCTTCGATCAGGAATTCTTTGACCGTCCGGAAAACTCGTCCGGCGCATTGACCTCAAAGTTGTCGTCTGCGCCTACAGCGCTACAAGAATTGATGTCTGCGAATTTAGGGCTCATGTTCAATATTCTGGTCAACATTACAGCAAGCAGTGCGCTAGGTATAGCTTATGGCTGGAAGCTGGGGCTCACCCTGGTGTTCGGTGGACTGACCATCATTGTGGCTGCCGGCTACTATCGCATACGAATAGATCAAAAGCTTGAGGCTGCTACAGAAGAACAATTCTCAGGCAGTGCCGGACTGGCGACAGAGGCTGTCACATCCATTCGAACGGTCAGCATGCTGACTCTCGAGACCTCGATCATGCGCCAATACAGCGATACACTCCAGGCTATCACAAGAAAGGTCATTAGGAGCCTGACATTCGCGCTCCTCCCGTACGCGCTTTCTCAATCTGCCGACTTCCTAGTCATGGCTCTAGGCTTCTGGTACGGATCACGGCTGATCGCGAGCGGCGAGTACAACACCTCGCAATTCTTTGTGATCTTCATAGCCATTGTCTTTGGTGGACAGGGTGTAGCGCAATTCTTCATGTACAGCACCTCCATCACGAAGGCGGAAGGGGCCGCGAATTACATCTTGTGGCTCCGGACTGTTAAGCCTAACATCCGCGAGTCAGACGAAACTGACGGCAAAGGGCCATCGTCGGACGGAGCCATTGCCATGGAAGACGTTGAGTTCAGATACAAGCAACGCGACGCATCCAGGGTATTAAGGGGCATCTCGATGAGGATTAAGCCTGGCTCGTTTGCCGCCTTCGTTGGCCCCTCAGGTTGTGGCAAAAGTACGGTTGTTTCTTTACTGCTTCGATTCTACGACCCGATATCTGGACGTATCACGTTAGACGACCAAGACATATCACTCATGTCTCCCCAGCTTTATCGGCGATACATGTCGCTTGTCCAACAGGAGCCACCACTTTACCTGGGTTCAGTACGCGACAATATCGCCCTTGGTCTTCAGCATGAACCTTCTGATGCAGAAATCCAGGAAGCCTGTCGTCAAGCTAATGTTCTGGAGTTTGTCGCTTCACTGCCTGAAGGTCTCCAAACCCCTTGTGGGTCCAAGGGCCTGCAATTTTCCGGTGGGCAAAGGCAGCGTATCGCAATTGCTAGAGCCCTGATTCGCCAGCCACGGTTGTTGTTGTTGGATGAAGCAACGTCAGCACTGGACACTCAGAGCGAAAGAGTCGTTCAGAAGGCACTGGACGAGGCTGCGATGACAAGGACAACCATTGCTGTTGCGCATCGGCTGTGAGTACCTTCTAACCCGATACTGAGATAACGGCTCGCTGACATCATATATAGAAGCACGATCCGGCACGCAGATATCATCTTCGTCATGGAAGATGGCACGATCGCTGAGATGGGTACCCACGAGGAGTTGCAAAGATTGAGAGGCAGGTATTTCGCTACATGTTTGGCGCAGTCGCTTGATCAGGCATGATTTTCTGCGGGAAACGTGAGAATTTCAGAAGATAGATCTAATGTGTTGGGCGAAGGTATGGAATTAGGTATACTAGTCTCTACTCAGTCAATTCGTCGTCAAAACCTGCAAATCGAAAGGTTCTACCCATCAACTCCTCTCCATTTGTCATCAGTCTTGCAGCTACAACTTCGTAACTATCACCCTCATATGTTCTTAATGCATCTTCCTGATCGCTCGATCCGCAAATGTATACATGACCACTCACTGTGGCCCCTGGCTCGTCTATCAATGCTCGATATCTGCCTGCCCAAATTTGGATACGTCCATCGAACAAAGTCGCGGGTTGCAAGGGTGGTATTTTAGAGGCAGGTAAATGGAACAGTCGTTCGAGCCGCGCCGAACTAGCTAGTGTACCGTAGAAGAAGTAATGAACAGGGTACTCGGGAACATGGCGTTTATCCTGACTGACTGAGGTATGGGGACGGTGATGAGGAAGTGTAGGATCATGACCAAGCAATGGCGGGTCCCTGAGAGCTTTACGCGCAAGACCAATTCGAACTTTGGTGAACCCTCGGTGTAAGTCGTGCTTCGTGGCCCATGAATCAAGGGCGTTGATGCATGATTGGGAGAGCCGACAAAAGCTCGCTGCACCGTCTTCAGTTGTTCCAAGTTCGAGCTGTGGTACAAAAGAAAGGCCAAGAGCGTTGACTACGTCTCGAGGTGTGGGCAAAGGTTGTTCGAGGCGGAGGAGATACGTAGCCTCTACCCGGCGGCGGCGACGTTTTCGTACAGGAGTAGATGTAGAGCTCGAGGTTTTCGATGAGACGTGTTGCACATCAAAGCCTCCACCTAGTTCTTCAAAAGCCATCAAAGCGGAGTCTTCTAGCTCGAGATAGTCCAGAGCTAATGAGATGACGATGTAAACGTGTATGGTGAGTGGAACTGAAGCTTACGAGAAGACTTTGAGATTCTGAAATGAATGGACGAAGTGAATGAGGCCGGACGCAGAGAATGTAGACAAGGACGATTATTACTGTCAAAAATACCCGAAGATGAAACCTTGGTTGACATATGGCTGCTTAGACTTGTGGCTGATGTAAGTGGCTCGTCTGTCATGCGCTATCGAACTATTAGTGGATGGAGTGGAGGACAACCAAACTATGGCATCACATACTCATCTGTGTGTCAAGGCTGATAAGAAAATGAATACAGCATCCAAGCTCGGTCCGGAGTGGTGCGTGGCCAAACCACGCTCAATCACGTCATCAAGTGTTCTTTGCACGTAAATCTGTACGCAGACAGATAGTCAACATACACATAACAATAAAGTAGCACCTTTGGATGAAGCTTGAGTGAATGGAATTACAGTCTAGGTACTTATGCTACAAAAAGACGGGTATATAGGCAGAAGCCTGGATGAAAAGAAAGAGTGACATGAGAATTGACAAACTCAACTAAGCCTTGAGCTCAGTGGTTCCAGCCTCATCGCTGCTGCGATTGTCCTTGCGTACGGCATGCTCCGCACCAGTGATGGACTCATCGCCCATATCCCAATCTTGCGCAAGGTCTTCTAGAGTTCTGCGTTTGGTCTCCGGAATGAGGAGAGTAGTGAAGATACCAGCGAACATGAAGGCAGAGAAGATCTGCATGACATGGTTCAACCAAGGGTTGGCATTCTCCTTGGTAACATGGCCTCGGGTTCGAAGGGGAGCGATAGCACCTTGAGCGATGATGGAGCCAATCTTTCCTGAACCAGCGGAAATGCCGTGAGAAGTCGAACGGTAGCGGGTGGGGAAGCACTCTCCGGGTACGATGAAGGTGGTAGTGTTGGGACCCCAGTTGAAGAAGAGTTGAATCAGAACATAGATGGCCAACATGGCGTGGTGGCTGAGATGCTTGTAGGCGAAACCCCATACAATAAAGAGGATGGTGAGGATAGTGAAGCCAGCCAGTTGCAGGGTCTTGCGTCCGACGGTATCAATGGTTGCGACCGCCAGCCAGTATCCAGGGATAGCGCCAGCGCAGACCAGAATAGCGTTACCAGCAGCAAGGTTGTACAGCTTCTCGTAGAGGGTTGTACCGCTAGCGTAGCCGATAGCCTGGAGCACAGTTGACGAGTTCAGACCCAATCCGTAGAACGCGACATCGAGCAGGAGCCACGACATGGCAGTACCGAAGAGAATCTTGCCGTTGCGGAGCTTGCCGTAGAACCTAAAGAAGTCCTTGAAAGATGCCTTAGGAACTTCGAGCTGAGCAGTAGTTTGTAGCTGAGCAGCTTGGGTGATCGCATCAGGGTTACCGTTGCCGTGCTTACCAGAAAGGTACTGCTTTGTGTCTTCGTTGGCCTTCTCAACGTCACGGGCGACATCGAAAGTGTAGCGAGGCGTCTCGGGAATGGTGAGGCGATAGTAGAGCGCGATACAAGCTGGGACGATGCCAATTCCGATGAGAGCGCGCCACATCTTGTCGACAGCTACAGCGCATTGACCGTCACAGTCCGCGTAGCCAGTAACTCCCTTAAGGGTGTCCTTAAAACCAGCGACAAGGCAAAGCATGACAAGAGCACCACCGAGCTGACCGAAACCTTGCATAGCAAAGACGGCACCCATCATGGCACCACGCCACTTGGTAGTGGCGAACTCGGAGGTGATAATGGAGGAGAGCGGGTAATCACCACCGATACCTGACAGTCATCAGTAAAACTTCCATGCGGATTCCCAGAGAATGGACTCACCAATTCCCATCAACACACGCCAGAAGATGATCAGACCAACGATTGAAGTTCCGGGACCAGGACCCGTGAGGGACTGAGCGAGCGTGGCGACAATGATGAGAATCAGCTCAAGACCGTACATCTTCTTACGGCCAACGATGTCGGCGAGTGTACCGAAACCGACTTGGCCAAGAACAGTACCAGCTGAGGTCGCAAGCTTGATAGCTGTGTCTTGTTGGGTGTACAAAACACCCTTGTTGTCGTGCTTGTAGACAATACCCAGCATAATCGTCAAGAGAGATACGCAGAAGATGTCATAACTGTCCGTGAAGAAACCAGTACCGGCGACAAGAATGGCGCGTACATGGTACCAGCCAAATGGCGCCTTGTCGATCTCAGCGAGTGCAAGCCGGCGTCGCTCATTAGGATCCTCAATGTGCTGGGACCAGTCAGTATATATGATTTTGGAAGTCTAATCCGTGTCATCCTACCGCAAAGTCGTTGTTGAAGTTGTGGAAAGCGGCGTTACCGCCAGCTGTCTTGTGAGCCATTGCGAAGCTTCGCCGAGACGTGTCAAGAGATTAGACGAGGCTTGAGTCCGGAAATGACGGCTGTGCGAGCTGGAGGTCAGTGGTAAAGGGTGCAGGGCCAAGCTATATACCTGCTGTCAAGCTTACTCCCAAGGCTGAGCATCATGCTTGCATACCAAACAGGCCGCTCCAGGACCCAATGGGAGCACCGCATTCTTGCACGCCCATAGATTTGCAATATTCACTTCGGCCTTTCCGCTATAACAGGCAGACACACGCGTAGGAATGCGCCTTTGCCAGCCCAGGCCGCCACAAGGGCTTGACGGGTCTTGACAGTTATCCCTGTCGCACATCTCGTGTGGTGAAAGTGCGTCTTGGGGGAACTCGAGGAGAAGAGGTTCAACCCAATCATGTAGCCCACGTGCACCGCCAAGACGCTAAGATGAGCACGGCCAGAACACCTCTCCCAACATCGCCCCGAATCACGTCTGGAGGATCGAAGCTTCTTCACGCTCAGCGCGCTCTTGGTATGCTTGTGTGCATAGCTATGATTCTGTGGCGTGTTCATCAGATGCTCCATCAGCATTGGCAGTGACATCAAACGCTTCTGTCGCCGATCTATCTCATCATCTTCATCCGCCTTCACCTTATACGTGCAACACGTGGGAACTGAACATTGTACCGCACCCCACGCCGGAAGCATCTAGCCCAGGACCCCGTCAGCTGGGGTTTCATGCACGGAGTTACTGTCTCCGCTAGCGTGCCATGCGAAACCCGTCTTCTGGACTGTCGGTTGGTCCCGATAGCACTCTGCTTACCAGCACACTGGCATGTTAGCTTCCTCACTAACATCCAACTGGGTATGAACAAGCAAATTCTGACATGGTGAGATGCATGCCTTCCGAGGCTACCCTCGTCTAGGGATGCTGCAATGACCGACGCATGGCTCTATTGGTCTTTCACTAATATCGGTGTTTCACTGCCGAGCAATTCGCGCCCAATCACATCGTCGCACGTGGGAGAGAACCGCAGCGATTGTGCTTAATGGGCTATAAGCGTTTCCGTCGCTGGGCTTGAGCTGCAACTCGTAACACCATCTCGAGCGTCATGTCGAAAGCTTCCGTTCCCAAAGCTAAGCACTCTAGCAGTCCCCCCATGGCCCAGAGCTTTATGAAGATTCATTACTCATCTTCACGGTCACAAACGAGGTTCATTTCATATTGTTAACTGTGTTCGAGTCGAATACCCAGCGGAGAGGTTCCAGAAGTGGGGCACTGCACGACATGCAGGGAAAGATGCAGTACTTGGATCCAGGGGCTTTGTTGGAAGTTCTATGTCAAGATACTGGTTGCTGGCGAGTGTGGATTCACGGCCTCACCGAAGTCTAAAATCCTCGTGTCGAACGGACGACCTCGCCCCTCGCAGCGTCTTAGTCCCAATCTTAGTTCTTTTTCATTACTCTATCTGTCGGCATCTAGTCCGCGGATCTCGCTGGATCGGCTCTTCTACACATTTGTACCACTCAGCTCCCCTAACCACTACACGTTCAGCTCGCATGATATGGTACTACATGCCGTCTATTAGCTTAGACGTGCGTCACACAGCATTACTTTGATGTAAAGCACTGCATATAAGATCTGCTATGCATGCAGCCATCGTAGGCGGTGATCTTCCCGCGGTTACATCACATCTCCATGCTCAATCCCCACTTCTCAACCGACATGAACGCGATTGCGATCGATCGGGCATCTAAATCGAGGTTCGGCTGACAGACTTGCTGAGGCGTGCCGGTTACACCACATCAGGTATATCCTAACCCTTCCAACTGCACATCGCTGGATGATGTTCAAGGTGTATCCTCACAACGCTATAAATGATCAACTAACTAACCAAAAGAGACGAGCGAGACAAACGAATAGCGTCGGCGGCAACTGAGCCACCTCATTCCTGAGCTTACCGACTAGCAATAGCAGCAAGACGATACTAAGGAACTCCCACAACGTCGTCCTCAGAACGGAAATGCCCACACTTCGCCAAATTTACGAAAGTCGCCTTCTCCCGTCCGCAATGTCCGGGTCGTTTTATAACTCTCCAATTTACATCGGCTAGATATTTGGGCTCGCTCTATCTCTTGATACAACACGACTAAGCACAAGATGAGTTGCCTCATAAATCATAGGCTCGCGTGTGGCGACGGATGTCTCCAGGTTGATGGAGAAATGGTATAGCCCTAAATTGGAGAAGGCTTACCTTTGTCTCGACCCTCACCTAAAGAGATGGTGTGGTGCTCCATGAAGAAATTGTTCCAGTGCTTTCTCCAGCTGACCCTACGTTCGTCCTCTGACACCTCTTCCGTGTCTAAATCTCATTTCCGTGGACGCTGTTTCAGCCAAGGCCACGGTGGCTCGGGCCATTGAGTGGATAAGGGTGCTGGGTTGTCTCGCTTCCACTGCTTGAGGATGTCTACCTCGAGGACTGCACTCTTCTCAGCTCTTCTCGACCTTGGATGAGGACCCACTAGTCGCACCTCATGTATTATACAGGGCGATCCCTCTGATTCAGATACTTCATGTTCCTGCTCACGAAGCTTCCTCTTCGGTTGGTGTAAGTGGATAGGCGTTTCCCATCGTGACTCGCACATACGTGGGTATTCTTGCGACGGAGGGTCTTCTTGAGGCGTATCTTGTTCTGGCTTTGGAGGCCATGCTCCCGGTGGCGGAGGTCTCCATTGTGGGAAGAAGGTACCTTCAGGCCATTCTATCCACGAAACCTGCTTCCTCTGTAAAACGCATTCTACGTTTGGACTGCATGGTACGTGAGTAATACTTCCATGAAGAAGCGACAGTAAGGCTGGGTCGCTCAGCATCTCATATGCGCAGTCGATTCTTTCCATGGCTTGTCCTTACCTCGTTCACTTCAAGCCAGGAGTATCGATTTCCAGTTTGGTCGGCTTCTTGATCGCCAATAGCAGAAGGTCTAGAATCGTCTGAGATGGCGATTGCGCGTACCGAGTTTGCGAAACCCCATCTAGTTAACCACTTTGTGCAAGTCATCTCCACGTTCTGGCTTTGTGTTTGAGTAGAAGACACCAAGACAAAGACCTTAATGTACTCCTTTCAGCCTATGCGGTATTATCGTTTGTTGCATTGTCGCATGATAATGGTAAAGAATAAGATGCTAAGTCGACGCGCATTTAGTTGCACAATCGTTGCAGTAAGCTTGGGTAAGCTTTCCGATCGCGGTATTGGTAGGTGATGGGACAAGTAGCACAGTCGAAAGCTAACAGTATTCTTTGCATGGTTTCCTTTTATCGACAACAAGGGCGATCGGTAATGTCAGTGTGTTATCGTCGCAAACCTGACGCGATGTTTACCTCGACATGTGATGCATAGCGCCTGCCTCGGTAGCTATGGTAGGGAAAGTAGAGTGCACCACGAACAGCGCGGTATCTGATTAAAGCTCATCTCGCTTCAAGGGGTTAGAATACACGATAGTAGCAAGGCGTTCAAGCCAGGCTGGAATAAGGAAACAAGGCACCGCGGCCTGTACTGGTGGAAGTTGGCGCCAAGCTGAATCCCCCGTATTTTCCCCGCTGTCCGAGTAGGCGATCTTGCCTTTCAGCCACGCATACACGGGAAAATCTGGGGATGCATACTTCCACCACTCAATACCACAACATCAAGCCACCATTCTACCGTTGCACACTGTGCTCTACCTTTCCTGAGGCGGAACATACGCCCGCCAAGATGGGCCAAGATGAAGTACAGCATCGCCACAGGAGATATTGCATGCACTTGCGCGATTGGGAGATGTTCGAGCCTGTGTGACAATGCGCCATCAGCCATTCTACCGGAAGAATTGCTGAAGTGCTTGCCTGGAAGCCGACTGCATGGCTACATTCTGCCTCCTTGGTTGCCGACGCTTAAGAATGGTAGAATATAAAATGTAAGTGACATCGCTGGTAGATCGGCATCAGATCACTCAATCTCATCTGCATCCTCTCCTACACTTCAAGATGAAGCTCTCAATCCTATCACTCCTTTCCTTGGCTCTTTCTGCGACTGCAGCTCCCGCCGGCTGCGACTTTAGCCTGGTCGGATTCGCCAAGGACAATCCAATTGGACCTACCACTGGCGGTGCTGGCAGGCATGGCAAGAGTGTGACTGTTCGGACAGTGGCCGAGTTCATCAAGGCTGTCAACGGCAGTGAGCCAACAGTTGTGTACGCCAAGGGTAGCTTCAATCTCACATCGCGAGTTCAAGTTGGGTCCAACAAGTCCGTCATTGGAGTCGGCAAGGGAGCTCAGATCACTGGTTCGGGCCTGAACATCTTCAACAAGACCAATGTTATCATCCGCAACATTGGTTTCACGGCCATTGACGATGACGCCATGACTATTCGTAACAGTACCCGCGTGTGGATCGATCACAACGAGTTCACTACTGGCAACTTCCCTGCTCTTGGCCCTGATGCTTACGACGGCCAAGTCGATATCATTCGCGCGGCGGATTGGATCACGGTATCATGGAACTACTTCCACGATCATTGGAAGAGTTCTCTTGTTGGCAACAGCGATGCGCTCAGAGATGTTGACCAGGGTCATTTGCACGTCACCTACCACCACAACTACTGGAGAAACGAGGGTACCCGTGGTCCTGCTGGTCGTTTTGGTCACCAGCACATCTTCAACAACCTCTATGTCGACTTCTTGTACCAAGCCATCCACTCCCGCAGCGATAACCAGGTTCTCGTCGAAGGTAATGTCTTCAAGGGCAAGACACGCGAGGCTCTCAGCACTTACGGACTTGTCATCCCGGAGGACAGCCCCAACACTAGCCCCGATGGCGATTACGAATTGGACGGCTTCGCCAACCTCGGCGCAAAGAACGACTTTGGAAAGGCTGGTGTCAACATCACTCAAGTCGGCAACTTCACCAGGGCGCCTTACAAGTACAAGCTTACTCCACTGAAGCAGGTCGAGAAGATTGTAAAGAGCGGCGCTGGTCTCGGCAAGATCTGAGTGATTGCTCCGCAAACAAAAATGTGTCTAAAGCAGCTATATGCTAATAAGTAATGATAAAATGTTTAGTACCTATCATCTGCCTTTCCTTCGATATCGTGTTTTCATTCATGCCACTGAGCGAACCCAGCCTTCTATCCTTCCAGGATTATCTTTTTGTCTTCCTCTAAAACCCCATAAAATGAAAGATGCAGCATCACTCCTCCATCTCCTCTTCCGAGGATCTACACAAGCAGATGCCACAGGTTAGAAGTCATGAGAAGTACGGAAGGCAGCACTCTCGGCTCGTAACAGCTCATATCCGCGATCACTTCCGGATGCTTGATCCGCCCAATCGTAAACCCACGACTCAATGAAATGTATTTCTATCCTAATCTCCAAAGGAATCGAAAACCAGATCACTGAATTCGTGCAGGCTCGGAAATCTGGCCTATTAGCAGACACTCCGGGTCCGAGAGGCATTCTTCTTCCTAATCTGCGTATGTAGAGCAATTACTGTCGGCTTCGTCTGAACAAGGTACGCTGCGCTGTTTCGTTCATACGTCAGATGCTGTTCCAGGAAAGTCGCTGATTCCTGCAAAGTCTAGAGTAACCTTTCTCGAGTGCCGTTGACCATATGTTATTTTGACAGTGATCTGCGCTTGAGCCTCGACTTGTGCACATACAAGTCTGTCGCTCTTGCAAGATTCTCATTCGTACGTACTAGTTTTTGTACTTGAACGTTACAAAACCCTTCCTTGAATAACACATTTTATTTCTGGAACTGTGGCCCATTCGAATTGGATACATGACGCTGCCACAAGTAACGCTTCGTTTGCTTCCGACACATATATTGACTTTAAATATTGGGCGAACATTGGTCCTTGGCTTCGATGAACCAGAAACTAGAGTATTAGAGGACTGGAAGGATGGTGTCATGGTTTCGTACTCAAAGCTTCACCATGTACGAACGCAGGTCTTTTCGCTGAATCAGGTCATCAACCTACGTACGATGTTGACTATCCCACCTCAATCTCTCCATATAATGTGGCTACTTGAGATCGCATCACTATCGGAAGAGCTTGATGAGCTTTTCGAGCCCAGGGATTGGTATCAATATATATATATATATAGACTGTTAGGGTCCCAAAACACATGGCGATACACAACACGAGATCAAGTTTTGTAACTCAGAAACTCTTTCGTTGTGCTCTATGATCGCCAACTCTTTTGTTGAGGCATAGAACGTATGTGCCCAGAGTCGACCCTTGGACGGGGCTTGTCTCGTAATGCTTGAATTGAATCAATCGTGATGGTATATCTACACGAAATGTACAGTATCAGTACAGATGCCTCCACCTACCCATATCTATTATGGATGCGCCGCTACCCCACCCATGGGCCTCTGCCCTTGTGGGTTATTTGGCACAACGGGTTGCAATTCGTCGACAGCCTGATCGTACTCGGCATTGCTCATATCAGCGCCCGCACCCAGACCCTCTTCCTGCTGCCCACTGAACATTTGCGCACGCATCGACTGCTCATCCTCAATCTGCTTGGTAGCCCAAGCCTTCCAGTTCTCCCATGTGCGGTCTTCAAGCTCCATACCGATCTCGAGGGGACCCTTGCCAAAGTAGGCGCCGACGTGCAGAGCTTCTTCCTTGGCAATGCGTTGACGGATCTCGGAGAGGTGACGGTGTTGGTAGAATTCGCGGCGTGCTTGGTCGTAGGCGGAGGCTTTGGAGAGGGAGGCGTGCTTCATGAGCCACATTTGGCGTTGAACGACACTACATGTGTCAGTATCACGGGGGCGGGCGTAGTGAAAGTGGCTGGTCGTACCTTTCGCCGTCTAACTGCTTCCCTGGCTGGACAATTTTACTCCAGTCGTAGTTCTTGGAATCGTTTCCGCTGTTTTCGATGACCAGCCTCGGCCGTGCCAGTTCCCATGGGTGGTCGCCGAAGAATTCTGAACGCAGCTTGTCTTCTGGGTATTCAATGGGTAGCGGTTTGAATAGTTTGCTGGCTTTCCGCGCCTTCCTCATCTTTGGTATGCGCAGTACTGGGCGTGCGAGGGTCTCGCCTGGCGGTATGTTGCCTACGACATCGTACCATTGGGGCAGGTTGAGGTCTCGTTTTGAGTCGAAAAGGGCTTTCGCAGTCTGGCGCACCCGGAGAGGGCGGAAGTCGTAACGGCCCATGGCAGCAGGTTGGGCGGCGCGATTCGTCGTGTCGTAGATGCTGGGGTTCTTGCCCGCAAAGTCCGCAACTTCGCCAAGACTTCGCGACGCCGAAATCTTTGGATTCGAGCAAGGCGACTCGCCGCAACACCAACAATACCCCCTTCGCCTAGGCAGCTCTTCAATGAGCTCCTTGTAATCAATTGCGGCCCACATCACCAATGGACAACGTCTGAACTGGCTCCCTCTGACACAATGCTCGACTTCTCATGTCCCTCCTCCGCACCCTCGACCGGACCTCTGCTGTCTCGAATACCGCCCATGCACGGCCCTTCCTCACATTCTTGTACCCACGCCACGAGGACACGCCGTCCAAGAGAAGATTCAGCAAGAAGGCGATAGACAATGCTCGGCGACTACCCGAACCGACGACTGCTCGCATGGGCACTTTCTTCGTCAACGCCTTGGTGCGGGCAGCATCATGCCCAAAGCATGCACAGCTCCTACACACTCTGCGCGGGGTAGAAACAGCGCCGCCAAAACATCAGACAACGCGGGGACAGAGCACGTGGTCAAAGTCTGAAGAGGATGGATCCGACCCACGTCCAGAGCGCAAAGGCCCGCTCAAGAAAGTCCAACGCTTCGCCGAGAAGGAACTGCAAGCCTTGATAGACTACTACGGCATGGAGATCGACACGCGGCCCGAGGCAGAGGTTCCAGACGACGGGAACTTGGTGTGGAATGTTGGTGATAGCCATGTGCCCTGGCCCCTCCGCGACCCATCGGACGCTGTGCACATTGACGAGTTGCAGACTCTGCTGAAGAACGAGGAAGCACCGCACCAACATGTCTATGATGCATACAAGAAGCTGCAGTCGCCGGGCGTTGTCTATCTCGATACTCTCACCATCCGGGCGCTGCTGCACCATCTCGCTGTCGTCGAACGCCCCACACCCATCGCAGCCCAACGCTTCCTCTCTATCCTCGACGATATGAAAACCGCACACATACACATAACCCGCTCCGAGTGGACGTCAGCCATACACCTGACTGGTCGCGCCATGGGGACTGTATCCGAAGACGACCTGCAAGCCTCCCTTCGCATCTGGCAGGACATGGAGCGCCGAGCCGGTCTTAAGGGTGGCTACGTGACATTCAACGTACTCTTCAACATCGCTGTCAAAGCGGGGAAATACTCTCTAGCCGAAACCTTTATGAAAGAGATGCAGGACCGAAAAGTGCCCATGCACAGACATTACCGTGTAGCACTTCTCTACTACTACGGCGTGTTACAAAATGGGAATGCTGTAAGGAGAGCATATCTGGACATAGTCTCGGCGGGAGATATTGTAGACACTGTTGTCATGAACGCTGTCATAGCAGCGCTGATGCGCGCTGGTGAGCCCTCAGCCGCAGAACAAGTCTTCGAGCGCATGAAGCGCTTGCACGCCATGAGGACCACCACCGCACCTGGCCACGTATTCTTCAACCGCAAATGGCGCCATGGTCGCCTTCTGGGCTTGCGCTTCAGAGACGAGACACGAAGACTGAAGAGAGAGAGCAAAGACGAGGAGTTGAAGCAATTACAAGACTTTGCGCCCATTGGTCCTGATTCAAGAACATACGGCATCCTGATACGGCATCATGCAGCGGTAGCCGGCAACATCGACCGCGTGAACGAGCTGCTACAAGAGATGAAGTGGAATTCCGTTCCACTCGACGGCACAATATTCATCGTCGTCTTCCAGGGCTTCAACTCCTTCGGCGGCGTCCGCTATACCTCCTGGACCGCCTTTAGATTAGAGAAGATATGGCACCAATATCTGCAATCTCTGAGCCAGAACCTGGAGCGAACCTGGCTCTCTAGTCTCGCTGTCATTGCGGCGCTCAAAGCATTTGGACGATGTACAACCCCGGAAAGGACACTGAAGGCATGGGAGGAGATTCGCGCGCTGTGGCAACCCGACGAACAGGAGCTGGAGGCCGTGATGATGGTCCTCAGGAAGCTGGTGCCGAGTCAGTTGGAGACGACATCCAGTCCAGGATTCTTCGATGGGAAAAGACCATCGTGAGCAGCACTACCAATAGTGCCACGCGGCGTCACTATCATTGTACACGCGTTCTGTATCACTTTTTTGTAAAAATAATATGTGGAGTTATTCCGGTCAGCATGTGTGTATGAATCTGATACGGGAGATTGTGTACCGAATGAATGGCCGCTGTAAAAACATACCGAGGTCCTACAGCACAGTACAGTCATCAGATAGAGAAACAAACAAGTGAAAGAAAGGGTCCAGGGTCGTCTTCCCGTACCAATGATTCATGAATCATGAATCGAATATTATACAAGGGTATACCTTTCTTAGTGACCATCGTCATCTCCGGTTCGTCGGTCAGTACCCGTTCCATTGTGGATGGCTTTGACCCTGTTTGTTGCACGGATTACTGTGCAAGCAATCTTGTCTTCATTTCGGTCCAAGGGATGCAGTCATGGGATTTTGCAATAAGTCGATTTTCCGTGGCATGGAATTGTTGGGGTTGCGTTGAAGGGTCGTTCAGGTCGCGGGCGAGGTTTAAGATGACAAGCCGCAGTGCTAATTTCTAATCGCGGCTTGTATTGTCGAGCTAAATCTCTGGGTTCCGACTTGATACATTACTCAAATGTCGAAACAGTGGTAATGTAGATATCTCACAGAAGCCGGTGGGTCAAGATTGGAAAGTCATGGTTGTGATATGAGTCCCATGTTTGCCCATGTCGATCGATACTGAAGAGTACCGATGCCACCCTTCGTATACCACAAGGCAAAACATGCATCTGGAATTTCGATGTTTTCTTTTGGGAGATTGTGAGACGTCTTGAGGCAGAAGGATGTTGGCATCTCAGATAATTGATATATGGCAAGTCTAGTCAGGTGGAATGCCCATCGATACAGACTTGGCCAGACATTCTCAGTGAACCCGTCTGAGGACCATGGGCTCTGCATGAAGTACAAGATGCGTCTGGTCAAGTGGTTGCCCTCGTCTGGTGCTAGGAGACTTCTGATAGCCCTCAAGAATAGTTCAAGAGGGATTTCGAAGGCGCGAATATCTGTCGGGACCCGGACATCAGATGGAGGAAACACCGAGATTAGAGCAAACGCGCTTGATGAAGGAATCTTGTCTGCAAAGAAATAACATGCCGATGAGGGTTACGAGAGAGTCCGAGCAACTGTTACATAGGTATCGCTGCAATACGTACTCAAACGCCTCGAATGAACCTCGTGCGGGGTGCTATCATGAAGATACTTGAAGTAGGAGAACAAGAGAGTAAGGAGGGCGAACAAGTATTTTGTTCTTCAGCGACCACATATCAGTGCCATATCTCGAAAATTCCTCAGGCCGCAGTAGTGTCCAGGTTTGGGGCTCCCGCCAACGTTTCTGGGCCATAAGCAACGTCCTGCCTGCACGGAGCAACGGTAAAGGGTCAGGTGAACTCGTGCTTCAGCGTCAAGATGCTTTCTGGGTCAATCCTGGTAGTTGGATCGACAACGACGATAGGAACTGTAGGGAGCCGCCGATGCATGCCACTCGCATCTCATCCTACGGATGTCCAACGAAACAAAAAAAAGTAAATGCAAGGCAGGCACTTCCTACATGACCAAGTATTTCAAACATCTGAGGACTGTTTCTCGCCCATCTCATGTTTCGCAATGTCAAAATGTGATGTGAGGGGTCCAAGATCGGAAATCGAGGCCAAGCCGGTGTCTGGCCGTGCCGCACCTCCGATGCCATCATCACCTGGGCGGCCTTGATCTTTTCAGCCGCTCAACCTCAGTGATCCAACTACCCTCGGGTGATGAGCTTTCACGTGAATATTATTTCGCCACTCTTTCTCTTTGAAGCTACGCTGAATCTGCTCGCGTATCGTCCTGACGCATATGGAGACACAATTCGGCAATCTTTCCCGCCAATCGTCGTCACGATTGCGCCGTGACCATGGAACGCTGCGTCCGAGTACCCATTGAAGGAACATGATGTAAGCGTATCACATCGCGAATGCGAGCGTGGGTACCTTATACCATCGTCAAATGGTCGGGATCCTAGCATAAGAGATGAAGCAGAATCCTGCGCCGATCGATTACGATTAGCGCACATCCCAAAGAAGAAAGACAAGATTAATCGACGAGTCATATAGCGTCGAAGACCAACAATTGGGCCGGAAATTTCGCCCACCCCCTGCCTGAGGATCTGTGGCGGTTCTTGTTGCAGAATAAATCTGATGATGATATCAATGGCCAGTGTTCCTGGCATAGGCAAACGCGAAGGATGCAAACGCCAGCCAATCTTCTATTTTTCTAATACAATATTGCGGCTGGCTGTTTAGGATGTACCGGACCCCCGAACCAGCGTTCGTCACGGACGGCATTCGTTTGAATGTCACTCCTTGTACCTGGAGTCAGGGGATACGGCGTGACATCCCAGAATGAGTCCACTCAGGAACGGCGCGGCCGAGCATACCTCGGAGCAAAGACGAACACAACTTTCAGTCCTTTTGAATCAACAACTGCAGTAAGCGGGAGCTGAATGTTGCATGCGAGAAGGTTACCGGATACATGGAAGGTACAAAAGCAATCCCTTGCGCAACGCCCTCACCGCCGTAGTGGAACTTACAATCGTGGCACGCACGAGCAGCATGTGGAGCGGATCCTAAAGGTCGGAAATCGGTCGTGTCCAGGTCGCGTGTCTTTCAACGACACCCCTGCATAGAGTTTGGGCGAGGACCTGTCAAATGCAACCATCCGCTAATCGAAGTTCGCTTATCACCTAGCGTGGAGCCTCCAGCGCGTCTCCACCTGCGTTAGCCCTGTGTGGACGGCATAAAGCTCGTGCTTGGCAACGGCCCTGAATCGTCCACAGTAGCCTCGTGGGAGGCGGCAGACGGTATCCTGTCAGTCATTAGGGCTTGCGGTCCCGCCGTGCGGCGTGGGTCACAGCCCTTATAACAATTCTGCACCTTCCAGAACAGCGCCGGCGCTGGCGTTGACATCAAGACGTTCATCAAGATGGCAACATGGGAGGAAATGTATACGCAGATGCTGCTGGACGCCCCGGACCCAGATGAGCCGCTGCCTTTAGCAAATCACAAGGCGACCATGTTCGGTACTACGCTCACTTTCCTGGTATGATTCTGTGATCGCACTCAATGCTTCGACTACTAACCCCGCAAATAGATCGTGGCATGGTGCGCAGTCATTTTTCGTCTCTGGGTCCGCATCAAGATCGTGAAGGAAGTGGGTTGGGATGATGGCTTCGTTTTACTTGCTCAGGTACGTTTCGACGTGGTTTAATACCAATGACATAAAGTTAATTCGTCTTCTAGTCCCTGAACACTGCAGCGACTGTTGTCATGTGTCTTTCGGTCAATACTGGACTCGGTCACCATATGCTGTACATTGGCTACAACAATCTAGTAGAATACTTGAAGGTGTGTATTTCCCTTGATTGACATGTATGGTTCACTGACCAAGCTAGCTGTACTACATCGAACTAGCCCTATACATCACCAACTGCGCAGTGATCAAGATTGCTCTTCTCCTCCAATACCTCCGCATCTTCAAGTCGGGGCCTATGCGATGGGTTTGCGTTGGCCTCCTTGTCGCTGTGACTCTCTGGGGTATTGGCTTTTCTTTCGCTGGCTGGTTCCCCTGCTTCCCGGTCCGCGGCTATTGGAATCGCATCATTGAGGCAAAGTGCTATGGCTTTGGGCTTGGAGATTTGGATAGCTTTATCGCTATCTACAAAGCGCATTCGGCCACCAACATGATGTTCGACATCTTTATCTTCCTTGCACCTATGGTGTTATTCCGAACACCGCATTTGCGCTACAAGAATGTGTTGGCAATGGCTGGTGTATTCACCTTTGGTGCTGTGTAAGTTGCTCATAACTCAAGGAGCGAGCATTCTATGCTAACTCACACGCAGTGTTGTCGGAACATCAGTATGGCGACTCCATGGCATCGTCGAAACCAAAGGCGCAACCTCCCCCTACGTCGACTACACCTGGTGGTCACCCACTCTCATCATACTCTCCTGTCTCGAGATTGATCTCGCCATAATCTGCGCCTCAATGCCCATCTTCTGGCCCATCATTGAGAAGTCATTCAGCGCCATTTTCGTTAGCTACGAAGTCCAGGTCGTGGAGGAGCGCGTCGATGATTACGGTCTCACATACGAGCTCGAGCACATGAAGGGAGAGGACAGACCATGCAGCATCAAGAGTAATGGGACGAGTACACAAGAGCTGACGAACGAGGACGAGGAGGCACATCCGAGGGCACAAGTATTCACCGTGGGCTTCGATCCGCTGAACGAGGAGCAAAAGGCTAGCGGGCTGAGTACGAATGTCCACTCGAAAGCACAGCCAAAATGGCAGCTCTAAATGATAATGCATATACATGTCGCACACTTTGGTTACGTACATTCGTACTATGTTCACGTTACTCGTTGTGTCAGTCTATAACAGTAATGTCTTCTCAGCACCTTGACCTCCAATTCTGAGCTGCTAGCAACTAATCGACAAAACACTGTAGGCACCTGATACGTCATCTCACGATACAGCTTGGGCCACGACGAAGCTGTTGTCTCACACCCCACACTTGCATATGCATACCATAACTCTAATAAGACCCGCCCTACAATCATGAAACACAAAACCACCGAAAATCCTTGTCGGCACATGCACAATACTGCCTTGTTCTTTCCCATGCAAATGTACCTTACCTAGAGTACGACCGAAAAGCACATTCGCTGTTCGGCCCAAGTTGCAATTGTCGCAAAACCACCGCTTATCATGGACCGCCCTGGACCCATTCGGCTTGTCTCACGCTACTACTCTAGTGGGCATGTACTCCGTGGGGGCAAAATTTCTCCGGGCCTTTAGTGGGGTTGCAGTCTGATGAGGACGACGGCGGAGCGCATGTGGTGATGAAATAGACTTGTGCTGTGGATTCCATGTGAATCCTCGGCATGCGAACAATCGGACGGGAGGGGAAGGGAGGAAGGTGGAAAGTCTAGCGGTTAGGTGGTTGTGGTAAGGTTAGACCATTCGGTCCGATTGGAGGCATATCGATAATGAAGCTGGCTGAGGAAGACGATCTGGTTCTGGGCGAAAAGCCTCAATCAAAGAGGCGTAAGAAAGCTGAGCGAAGATGGTGTCCACGTGGCAGAAGGGTGTGTAGGTTGGTGGTGTGTAAGCTGACAACCATACTTTTTACATCCACGTCTTCGCTGTATTTGTCAAGCCTTTGCTATCAATGGTGTCGTTTGTCGCAGCCTCTTTACTCAAACAGCTCTTGTGTCACTGATTCGTCTGTTTACGCAATCGGAAGTCATTGACCCTGGTACCTCTAAAGATATTTCGGCTTGCTGTTGCCGTCTATCCAGGTTGGTCTCTTACGTGGAGTCAACGATCTTCCAAAGATCTTCAGGTATAGTACTGAAACGCGATTGATAATTTGAAGGCAGGTTGGTTGCCTTATTTCGGCAATTAATGCTACGATAGCCGCGTGCCGGCTCAGTTAGACTTTGCTGGATGGCGCGGTGTTGAGAAGCTAGCGGTTAAATAGATGTGTAGTGGTTTGAGGACGATGCTTTTAGCTTTCGATGCTTTTACGAGGTGCGCTTGCTTTTGCAGATCCGGGTGCGCATCACCCGCCTGACCGATCAGGCACCCAGCAGAGCTTATGTTCCCGGACAGTGCGTTGTGGCGTACACACCTGAGGCAGACCTAGGATAATAGCGTATCCTTATGAGGAGGGTTATAAGTAGGGTTCAGACAGTACGTGCAGTTTGGTAGCGGACTGCACCATTGCATCGAGCGCCGTCCTATCGCATTCTGCTGGAAAGTACTTTTGCAGGTCAAGGTTGGATGAGATGGCAAAGGTGGTGGTGGTTTCCAAAGATAGATGTTGCTGGACGCGTGGGGAGACGCGACTTAGCGCGAATGGATCGGGAAGTGGGGATACAGTACCCTACATGTTTCCACATCTCACATGAGCACACAATACATGACTGACATCACAGAATAAGACAAACTTCGCGATGCTTAATTGATTGTTTAACAGGAATTACGACGGTAATATCACAAACCAAGTCGTTGCATAATGAAACCAGGTGAAAGGCGCGTTGTGGTCAAGTACTGGTGAGAACGAGTTAGCGAGCGCAATAGCGTGTCCGACCAAACATTCTATCGTCTGCTATCAGTTCACGCCTCGTCGCTCAGCTCAACACTGAACTCGAATTACCTTTCAAGCATCGAGAAATTCTTTCGCAGGACGGTTACCAACCTCTCAGCACGTCATGACGTCGCCCTCAAGTGAACGTATCATCATAGCTGACACTGGTGATGTCATCTTCACGCTACGAAATCCAGGTGCACCATTTGCTGTCTGGGATCAGGCTGTCGAAGAAAACAGTGAGATTCAAGATCCAGAAGATGAGCATAAAGACGAGCCGTTGAACGATGCGACTTCCGATACATGTGCAGACGACCTAAACCAACCTGTGCCAAGGCAAGCCGCTCTGCCGGATGTTGTCTACCAGGTCTCATCACAGCACCTGGTATGCGCTTCGCCGAAATTCAAGAGTGAGTTGACATCATGGAGTGAGAGTTTAAAGCGGGATGATGGCCTTTATCATGTCAACACCACAGATTGGGATCCGGAAGCCTTCGGCATATTGTTGAACGTCTTACATCTCCGCTTTCGTCAGGTGCCAAAGTCACTCGGTTTGGAGCTCCTTGCTAAGATCGCCATCTTGGTGGATTACTACAGATGTTGGGAGGCTTTCGATTTGATTGCTGACGTCTGGATAACGCACCTGCGGGCAAAATGCTCAGTTCCGGAAACTTATAGCCGCGATCTGATGTTATGGATACTTATCTCTTGGGTGTTTAAGCTGGAAGGGGAGTTCAATGAATCCACTTTTTGGGCTTCGATAAAGAGCGATGAACCAATTCTACGAAACATGGAGTTGAGCATCCCACCAGCTATCCTTCGTAAGTGATATCCACCAGATAATACTGGCAGGCGCTAACTGTGGTAGGGGGAATAGAGACTTGCAGATCAGAACTGATCGAAGGAGCGATAGATGTCTGCCAAGGGTGGTTCGACAAGTTCTGCAGCGGCTATTGCTGTATTCAAGATGAGAAATGCTCCTTCGAGTGTGGCTCCATGCTTCTTGGCGCCCTCACAAGACAAATGAACAATATGGCCATACTGTCACCGCGACCAACTGCACCTTACGCCGGACTCAGTTTCGCCGAACTTCGGTATGGCATCAAGTCTATTAAAGCGCCAGATTTGCACATCCGTTACGAACGCCGCTCTCGCAGTCCAGAGTATCGAAAACATCCCTGTTCCCTTGATGCAGTCATCCGTGAAGTCAATCAGGTATATAAACGAGCAGACGGACTAAGACTGCGCGAGTTCGTGGACCGTGCTGAGTCTACAACGGACATAGTTTCCCGCCACTCTGAACTTCAGCGATGATCATTGCGCACTGTGCGTCCACGTCTGGCGGTCTTTGGAGAGCCTACGGTGTGTAAGATCAAAATCCAGGAATAGTTTGGCGAACGAACTCAGCGCACACTCTTGAATGTCCAGTAACAAAGAATCTTTGCTCAAACTCTATAACTGAGTGTTTTATCCAGTCTACTAGTTTTCGTTAGACACCCTGCCACCGATCGTGCGTCGTTTTGAGCGCTGGACCATGATATTTCTTCAAATGTGGCACAACAGTCTGACCTTTCGCTTGCTAGGGAACAGAATCCTTTCCAGTAAGGCTGTTTGAACTTGACAGCCCTTGCAATCAGGCTACGTCCACTAGCCCAGTTGTATTAGAAGCTTTCAAGACATTCGATAAGCTTGATATGCCTGTAACTGAGCCTGAGCTACGGAGATCAACGCCTTCGTGAAAGAAAAACCGCAGGTTAAGATACGAAGGCACAGGAATCATGTCGTGCGACTTTGTCATGTTTTTCTGGCGCACATGGGCAGATGATAAAGTCCTCCACTTTGTGTCATTACTCACGATACTCCATGACGGGAGTTCATGCTTAAATCATGAGTCGTATAGTCGACTGATTACCCCTTCTATCGTATTTTGGTCGAGTCCACATCAACCACTGGTACTGCGATGACAAGTTCAAACCCTTGGAACTGCGCTGTGATATAACACAAAGACCTTCGCGCCGTTAAAACAATACAACACGTTGCCACACCTCATATCATATTCTTGACTCGACGCAAACCATCCCTGCACAGTACTACGTATGGGTTGCATGATGTCTTCGTCTTCTGGCGTAGTGCTTCGTCCTAGGTATGCACTTCCCAGTTCAGAACAACGCAATACTGACATTTGCACAGCATGGCGGCGGGCTCAAACACCATTGTCATCAAAGTCGGTCCAAATGGTAAGGAGTACAACCTACATACCGGCCTTCTCATACACCACTTAGGCTACTTTCGTGGAGCACTTTCTGGCGCATTTAGAGAAACCGATGACGGCGTGGTTCCACTCCTCGACGTTGACACCGATGCCTTTGATGTGTTTGTTGATTGGGCGTACCAAGGCACTTTGAGGGAAGACTTGGAATACATCCGACACAGTTACAAGAGTGGCTTGGCCACCGCGTGCCGAGCTTATGTTCTGGCCGACAGACTGCTAGCTCCTGGCCTGAAGTCCGCGCTGATAGATGCTTATTTCGACAAGGATATCCACAACCTGGACAGATGGTACCCTAGTTGCCGTCGTGTCATTCACGCTTACGAACACCTCGCCGAGAACGATCCGTTGTTGCGCCTTTACGTCGACCTTTGGGCTATTAGCAATATTATCTATAAGATGGACGCGTATGACAAGGTTCTAATGCCGGACTTGCCAAAGGCATTTCTCGTTCATTTGCTGCGCAAGATGAATGAAGTGGGTTATAAGCCACTGCTGAGGTCGAAATTGGAACGCAAACACTACAACGAGGTTGTAATGACTCAGAGATAGGAGAATGAACTAGTTCTCAAATATGGAAATCTACTACGTACTGTCTTGAAGCGAGGCTCTATCCAAAGTTGGTCCGCATCCGCCATCTATATTGAGAAAACGCTATTAGTTAGTTACAATAGCCAACGCTTGCTGTACTATGCGCCATACCCTACTCTATTGGTGAATTTCAAACAGCCAATCTGGCTTGATATATCTAGTATCGTATCCCAACTGTCAACCAGCAAAGTGAAGGTAGGAAAAAGACGGTAATTGTCAGATACAAGTGAGAGAGCAAAAGGTCTTACTGGCTATCATTGAAGCTATGGCTATAAGGAGTGATGGTTTCTACAAGTTGCGTCTAGATATCTTTCTAGTTACACAACCTCTACTATCCACCCGAAATATACTTTCAGTCAAGAGCAAGATCTACGCTCGCTAGCATTGGCGGTGTTTAAACATGTCCGATACCCAGAACGGCATCGTGAAGAAAGTCGGAGCACCTCGTGCAAGGCAAGTCACGACTGTCCGGACTCGAAGCACGTTACTCATGTCGAACGGTGCCGCTACCACATCTGACATTGTCGTCATCCTTGTCGAACCCAAGCAGAAGCGTTATATACTACACAAATGAATATTGACTCACCACTTCGTGTTCTTTCGCCTCAGACTCATAGAAGGAGTCAGTCAGTGCAGCGTCCACGATATCCATGCTGACGGGTTTGATGTTTTCGTAGATTGGATCTACGAGAGAACCTTTTACTTCAGCTCATTGTAGACACATTTTGTGTCAACAGCGGCGTGGAAGCAATGATGCTAGAATCTCGCAAGTCTCGAGCAATTGCCAGCAGACTTTCTTGCCCGTGGATTGCAAAAGCTGCACCAACTAAGCAAGCTACCTAAAGCGGACCGGGTCCTTTCACACAAGGATTATGATGTGGCTGTTTGCATGCCGGAAGAGGGTTCAGATGAAAAGTAGCTGGCTTGCAAGCTGCTGGAATGACTGGAAGGAGTGAAAATGACATTCGGGATAAAGAACACAAGTGCGGATGGCCTTTTCATTCGCACAGCATCGGCATGCTTGGCCTCTTGGAAGATTGAGAGTGAAAAGCAGAGTGCGGTCTCTATGATTAAAAGCGTCAACGATTACGTAGTGAAAGGAGAATAAAGAAGGCGTTGGTCTTTGTGTGTCGCAACTGCAAACATGGCCCGTGCTTACATAATAAGTGAGGCTCCGCTGCCTTGTTAGCGGCGCGCTACGAGCTTCCCCAGTGCCATTCGTCATTTCGTATGAGCAACATTACCATCACTTCCGTCAGCTGTCTTCCAACCTACGAACACTGCACTGGTCATCTACACGTCGTCGCATTTGGTGCTCGGTTTAATCCTACTGAGAGTGAAATATTAGCGCCCAACGATCGTAGTTTAATTACCATTCACGGCCCGGAACATTCACGTTAGCCCGGTAAGTCAAGGGCGGCCCGTCAAATGGTTCTTGGTTACTAAGTTTCCTTCCAGACACTCAACCTTTCCTAAGCCACCATGTCCGACGCCGAAATTGAACAGAAGCGCGAGGAGGATGAACGCCTCGATACCGCGGAAGACCCCAACGAAGAGGTACGATACAATCCACATCGACGCGCTTGGGACACTCTTTGGAGAGACGACACTATCAAGTGCTGCGCGCGCATACCGAGTCTGGTCATGAAGGGCAGCATGCTAACAGCGCAATACAGGAAGAGATCTCAGCAATGAGGCGACGCGTACAAGAGATGGAGGAAGAGGCCCAGAAGCTGCGCCAGATGCAGAGCGAGACCGATCTCGAGCGCCACGAAATGCGCGAGAGTAAAGAAGACGTCGACGCGCGAAGTGTCTTTGTTGGCAATGTCGACTACGGCGCGAGCCCCGAAGAGATCCAGGCACACTTCCAGAGCATCGGGAGCATCAACCGTGTCACTATATTGCTGGACAAGTTCACCGGTCATCCTAAAGGGTCAGTACTAAGAGGAGGTTTTCTTTGACGATTTGCGCATGTTCAACTTTTGTTCTCGCCGTTTTAACAGTTCGCGCGCAACTAGTCGCGTAGCGCTGGAGTCACAGTAGTTGCGAAAGTATCTTTCGCTACCTGGCAAGAGTTTGGCAGAAAGATCGGAACGCTAATGAGCGTATGCAGGTATGCGTATGTGGAGTTCACAGAACCACATCTGGTCAATGAGGCCTTGGTCCTCGACAACAGCCAGTTCCGCAGCCGGAATCTAAAGGTACGAGACACAGAACAATCCACACCAAACCTGCGGCATGAAACTAACTGTCGCCCAGGTCGTCCCCAAGCGAACGAACCTCCCCGGTATGACACGAGGCGGACGCGGCGGCCGTGGTGGCCCTCGAGGCGGATACGGCGGTCGCGGTTCACCGTATGGACGTGGCGGATACGGTGGCGGCTACGGCGGCGCTCCACGAGGAGGCGGCTACCGTGGTGGATACCGCGGCGGAAGAGGCGGATCGGCATACCGCCCATACTAGGTGTGACACGAGATTGGCACGCACTATATACCACGAGACTTTGGTCGCCTTTCCTATCACTATCGGGGCTTCAGGCAGGGCAGGCGAGGGACACACAAAATTGGATGGGAATCGTGGTGGAATTTGTAAGACTGAGGCTTGTACTATTAAGGTGATTGTTGGGAACATGTGAGGGAGCAGTAATTAGGCTGCTAGACTTCTTATCACCGGAACTCTGGACGACCAGATGGGTTTAATATATCTTACATCATTCTGTGGCATGGTATCTTCTTTGACTTATGAATATTGCGTTGGTCGAACAAGGCGGTAGCTTTGGTCTCTTACGGATCTCCATCGCTACGGTAATCTCACGTCTCCAGTCTCGAACGCACCGGGATCCTGAGCAACAGTCAACGGAGATGTGTAAATCATAGATATTACTTCGTAGGCAATATGCCAGAGGACTAAGAAGAAGTCAGGTATCATAGCCACATAGGGCTTTTCTCCCCATCTAAGCACCCATGCTATGCTCGGTTGCTGCCCCAAACGCCAGAATCCCCATCGTTCTCGCCAAAAACGTTCTGTCCTAATCGCGCCGAAGCTAAGAAGTTAAAGCAAAGAATGCAGAAGCACACTGCCCTCGCCTAGACAATATCCAAGAGCTTATTGACCTGCCAGACAATCGCTTGTACTTCTCGTTTACTCAATCCGGCCAAAGCGTTTTTGTCAGATTTCCCATCAGCCTTCTCGGGCTGTTTCTTCGTCTTTTCATTGGCATACTACGGCGCTGGGTTTTCCTTGACGATCTGCTTGACCTTTCGCTCGTACGCAGCCTTGTCTTTCTTGAACAGGTTGAATGCGTCGGCTTGCGCTGGGGACTCTGGGTTGGGCTCGTCAAGAAGTGATTGGATGCCGAGAAGGATCTCCTTAATGTTTATCGCGGGCTTCCAGCCTTCTTCCTCGTTTAGGATGGACAGGCAGACGGTGCCGGACGGGTAGACGTTTGGGTGGAATAGCGGGGGTACAAATTTGCCTAGTGTGCGCGTTAGCGACGTTCATGAGGATGTTGTGAGGATTCCGAGAACAGAGGCCGCTCATAAGAGGTCGTGGACGTACACTTCGGAGGCTTTGTCGGGTACTCGTCGGGAAATGCGACCTCAAGCTTGAACAAGCCACCTTCCCATATAGTTTTCTCCTTGCCAGGTACACCGCATTCCCATCGTTTAAGGTCCATCATGCCGTTGGAGCCGCGCATTGGCTTTGCGAAGAAACCGAAGGGGTGATCTCGTCGCCATGACTTTCTGGGGTCTGAGTTAGCAAAAAGATTATTCACTGGAAAGGAATGGCGCGTACCTCTCTTCTGAGAGTCGGTTTACGCAAAGAGACATGGTGAGGCTGTAGGTATAAGCCTGTTGCGCCTCTAGCTTGTCGGGCGGGCTTGTGTAATGGAGTATTGGCGAAGCGAGTGGTCGAGACAGAAGGGTCTGGATGTCGCAAACTGAGATTAACGAGCTGCAAGGTGTGGCGTCGCGCTTGTATGTGTCTTGCGAGTGTGGTGAAGGTGAAGATAAGACACTTTCGAGAGCCAGGTGAAGTCGAGTTACGGTTGCACGTGACTGACAACAATTATCGGGCGCCGCAGCGTTGGGATTCGGGCTAGATCCCGTCGCGAGGTGGAAGGTGCGATGCGCGATCTGCCCCGCGCTAGACTTTGGCCTGTTGCCCCGCTTATGTGAACGAATGCACATTACGGGCCGAGGCTGACATGGCACATGCCTATTCCAAACAGCTACGATCTGCCTCACCTGTTCCTATTCCTGTTACCCATACTTCAAGTAGCCTTTACCTATATCTAGGAGTAGGTCTAAAGCAACATGGCGGACGCAGCCATGAAGAAAGAAGAGCAGGAGCCTGCCAAACCCACAACCACTACCACTGCCCCTCCACCCGAGGTAGCGTCAGATCCCGAAGAAGATGACCTCTCCGACCTTGACGATGTGCTCGATGAGTTCGCCAACACCAAGCTAGACGCCAAAGCTCCTACCGCTTCGTCGATAGAAGCAGCATACCCCAAGTCCAGCAATGCGCCGTCATCCTCCGGGCCCGGAAGGCCACCCTCGGACATCTCTCCTGCCGAACTCATGATGGAAGACCCAGATGCGTTCCAGGAACAGTTGAAGAAAGAAATGGAACAGCTGCTCGGTCAAGGCGACTTCCAGAAACAGTTCGAGGATATCATGAAGGAGATGAGTGAGGAGATGGGTGGCGCGAACCCACTGGCAGATCCCGGACATTTGCATGCACATGCGCAAACTGATGAAGGTGCAAGTGAAACGAAGGAGAAGGCGGCACCCAGTCAGTCCGAAAAGGAAACCGCTGCGAAGGCGGAGAAGAGCTTCCAGGAAACCATCAAGAAGACTATGGAGCGCATGCAGTCTTCCTCCGATACCGCAACCTCCGCAGCCGCATCCTCGTCCCAAGACGACATCCTTGCGCAGATGCTCGCATCCATGGAATCTGGTGGCTTCGGTGGCGCTGGCGAGGGCGGCGACGAAGACTTCAGTAAAGTGCTCATGAGCATGATGGAGCAGCTTACCAACAAGGACATCCTCTACGAGCCCATGAAGGAGCTAGACGACAAGTTCCCAGCGTGGATGGAGAAGAACAAGGAAAAGACAGAGAAGGACGACCTGAAGAGATACGAGGAACAGCAGACTTTGGTTAGGGAGATTGTAGGGAGGTTTGAAAGGAAAGGGTACAGTGACGACAACGCACAGGACAGGGAGTATATTGTGGAGAGGATGCAGAAGGTATTTGATTACTTTCTGACGCATGATGCGAAAAGGTGCTAATGCTATCTAGATGCAAGCCGCTGGCTCTCCCCCACCCGACCTTGTCGGCGATATGAACGCTGCGCAGGAGGCGCTTCAGGATATGGATCAGGGCTGCCCGACTCAGTAATCTCCTTGTGCGATAGCTCGTCTGCTTGATTCTTTCCAGATACCCAATGTATACATGATGCCTTCCCCTAGGTAAATTATCTTGATGACCTGTCAACAATCCTGTCTTACAACATGTACAAAGCCTTCAAGCCGTCATCCCAGGACCAATATTATCAACGTATCGATGTTCCTTTCTTGGACAGCCTTCAGCCGTCGGTCATGTCCATGTCCATCATGTCTTCACCTCCAAACGCGTCTTGTGCGTGTTGCGGTTGCTGCTGATTTTGATCATGCCCCGCCGTCGCGCACTCCATGAATATCGCGTCGTAGTCGTCATCGTCGCTACCGTAATGCTGTGATCGTGCATCCGATTCTTGCTCCATCGACGCGATCAATTGTTCAAGTTCATACTCCTCTTGTGCAGCGACGTAATCGGCTTCGGTCATCTCGGGATCGTGTTGAGGCGCGTAATTCGGGAGTTCAGGAAGCTCCGCATCGTCCAACATGTATTCGATGATGTCATCGTTCTCTTGGGGTGCTTGACGCGCTTTTTGGGCTTCCCATCGTTTGCGCTCAGCCACGAAGTCTAATTGCTGAATCTGCATCGTCAATTAGTATCGCTGCTCTTGAGGTATGTAAATCAATTTCGCGTACCTGTTCGCCCCGTGATTCCCATTTCTTGTCGTCTCGATTGTTCTGCACGCGCTTGAAGAACATGTCCCTCCTTCGCTTTGTGGTGGCGTCGCGCGTCTGCATCACCGGATTGGCCTTGAAGGCGCGTTGCGGCATCGCAGGTTTCTCTTTGAGGGGTGACGACATTGTGAAGTTGAAGGCTCGTGGGCTTGCATTTGCAGAGCGCTCGGAGAGTGGTGATGATCGCGGTGGCGTATATGCAGAGTAGTGCGGCATTTCGTGCGAGAAGAACGATGTTGTCAGCATCATGTTTTTTCGTGTCGTGCTTTTTCAGTGACAGTATAAGGGTAAAAGCTGAGGAAGCGTGCGATGGATGTTGGGATGTGAGGGAGATTTGGGTGGATGTGGTTCGGTGGGAAATGATGATGCAGACGCGAAATGGACGGGAAGGCGCGCTCGCGCGATGGTAGGTGCGTATCGATAAGTCACGTGCCGTTGTGCTGGACTCGACATCGATCTTGTCGCACTCGGCCCAACCTTTAGGCTTCTTTTGCACCATGTATGCTTCGATATCCGCTCAAACAGCGAACAATTGACCAAAGGCCTAGGGTAACACATTTGAATTTCAAGAAGCTACCGAAAATGATACAGCTTCTGCCGGACCACGGCTGATGACACTCATCACTGATCTCGTCCTTTAGGGCTTCGCATCTTCCATCCCTTAGTTTCCAGACCTGATCGACGCGCCACATGCCGCAAATGTGGAGGTAATGGAGTTGGCGGCTGCATTTTCGCGACACGTACGTTCTTCGAGCTTGCAGTAGCCGCGGTGAATCGATGAGAGCTCCCATACATAATGACGAGAAGTTTCAGCTCGCATCCCGATGCGGAACTCTGCTCGACAATTTTTTGCAGATGTCCGAAGAGGCGTTCAATCCAACTGGAGTCATGTTGATAGGCCTTTTGAAGTGCCTCAGTTTCAATGACTATGAAAGCTGTCGGTATCTTGGAAAAGAGGAGGCAGATAAGGTCGACCCACTCGCGATCTGTATGAGCAGCGTTGATCTTCGAGAGGTTCAACTGCTCGGTAAAGTTACTGAACAAATTACTGGACTGTTGGAGTATTTGGAAGATGATGCCTTTGAACAGCGCCACCATGGTGTGCGCACTAGGAGAACTTCGAGTTGATGACAGATCCCAGAAAACGCATTGGCTATTCGGTTTCAGGTTTTCTATCACATTCGTTGCCAGTTCTTTCGCCTGTTTTTGCGCACGGAGGCCCACCTCAACGATCAGGAACGAGGGTGTGTTTCCAGAAGCCCATTCCAGAATCGTCTTTCGTATCCTCTGTCCAGCAAAGCTAGGTAAACTTGGAGTCATGTCACGTCGTACGAAGGACCTAACTTTGAGCAGTGCGATCTCGGGTAATACCTTCGGCTTAAAGAATCGCATCGCTTCATTGAATTCGATGCGATATACTGTTTGGCTTATGTTACAGACGTCGACGCTTACTCGCTCTGTAACGCTCTTGTGCGAAGTTGCAATCCGCAGCAACTGAACCACTTGAGCTCTGAACTTCTCCTGCTCATCCAGCACCTTGAGCAGCTTCACGTCAAGCTCTCGAATATGTGCATGTTGCAATTCTGTCAGAATGCGGACATCACGAACTTCGACTCGAGCCCCTGCGTTGGCGAGGTCATCCACTGCTTTCGAACACTCTCGAATATGCTCCAACAGGTCTTGGTAGCCGAGTTCGAAAGGCGTCTTGATGGCAGAACATATTCGACTAAGTGGATTCTTGTTGTACCAGCGGACGCAGAGACGCAAGAAGAGGATGATGTACGTGAACAGCTGTGAGAGAGCAGCTTCCATGTACTTCGTCTGATATAGTTCTGCACTAAGGTCCATCCGCGGCAATACGTTTGCAATGTCGATGAGAGCTTGCGACAACCTTTCAAAAAGGTTGGCTCGGTTGATAACGCCCTTTTGGACAATGCATCAGCATATTACGATTGAGAGGGCATGTTCCAACGGGTTGCGACATACCGTAAGAATGAGCTTCATAGCACCCCAAACCAGAGCTACATACTCAGGATGGTGCTGCGCCAGAGTGTCCATGACTTTGCCGTAGTACATGATGCGCGAAGAGAGTCTTTCGAGTGATTGTCTCATGCCCGTGTGCTTGCGACCCCTGCTCTTGCCGTCATATTCTGTTTTCGCTGTCTCCACCATCGTGAAAACGTCCTGTACAGATGCGTTGAATCCATTAGGCACTGGACCATCCAGGGAGATCCCTAGCTCATCCTTAAGATACTCGATTGCCGTCTGATACGCCTCTGCTGCGACGTTCCGGTTCCTACGTCTGTCAATATTGTCTCGCCTATGTGATTGGATGATCGTACTCCTGGCCTGGGACTGGTCTATACCAGGACGAGGGCGTACCGCGCACTGCTACTGTTGACATTTGAATATGCGATAGTCTTTAGTGGGAGTATCACACGCTGCTCATGATTGTTGATCCGACATGATAAGCCATAGCTGACCTTACCTCAAACAGCTTCTTGGAAAGTGGGCTGTGCAGTAGGTAAGGCTGAGGTTGTGCCGAGGGGCTGCTGCATGCTGCGCGCACATCGACACGACACATACATACATTGCAAGCTGATCTATCCTCACGCGCAGTGTTCTTCCCATCCAACACACGTCGCTTTGACTATCTTTGATCAGATCGTACGCTCGCCATCTATTCTGTTCGCAATCCTCACGCTGACAGTATAGAGTTGCCCAGATACATGTTCGATCACTCCGTTGTATACAAGGGCTCCAGAAACCACCACCACACCACCACGGCTGCTGCGCATCCTCTTCCTCCTTCTCGTCAAGAGGAAGCTCGATATCCTGTACTGGGAACTTTCTAAATCCAGAGAGTACCCGGCGCTTTAGCTCAGACAGTCGCCCTAACGCTTTCGCTCATTATCTGGAGTTGAAATACAATGAGCGGAGCGAATCTCAGGGAACCTAAAATGGCCGCACACCAGCCAGGACTGCGCAGACCAATATTGCAGCTGGATAAGGCTGCTGCAACAAAAGCTAAACTAAGGCTTCCTGCTCGGACGTCTGATACAGTCTCGCACCTCGACAACTACCTTGAGATTCCAATACCCGAATCGCCTAGCCTCAGCAAATCTCTATCCGAATCTTTTAGTTCCGGAACGCTTGCATCTACACATGATTCAATCACTTGCTCCTATTGCCCCACAAAATTTGGTGGCATTCACCGGGAACGCGACTATGGGCGACACGGAAGAGAGAAACATAAGGTTGAGACGTTGGAAAAATCGCGGCATAAATCTCAGTCACACATCTCGGGCATTGAAAGGGGGAATGTGAGCTCTTCAGAGTCTTCTGGCGACCTTATAGGCGCTGCAATACGCGATAACGAAGTCCTTATTGAGTTCGGGAATAGTGTAGATAACGCTGACACAAACGAACCGACATCCTCTCCAAACAAGTTGATAGAAAGGCCGCTTGAGGAGGGTGTCTGGGCTGATGATTCGTTTGCACAGTTCTTTGGTGGTGGTGGTGGTGGCGGCGGTGAAGGGCAATTCGGAAACCCTGGACCGGTTGCCACTGATGGGTCCCAGCGGAATCTCAAATGGAAAGACGGTTGGAAGTCCACCTCTGCACACAAATTCTGTCGGAGAAAACTGAATTACACAATATCAGAGGATCGCACAATGCATGTGCTTGAGCGTCGCAAAGCGCGTCTGATAGCTTTGGAGCAGCCTAAGAGCCGAGTCGTAAAAGCTGACCAGCTTGCGCATGAACCTGGAAATGGTCAACGGCGGAGACCCAGGAAGCGTTACCCATGTCCCATCGTCAGCTGCAACAAGATTTTCTACCGAGAGATACACCTTGGGATTCACTTGAATGCCCACGGAGATGTGAAACCATTTGTAAGCATTCTTAGTTGAATTGAAGCTTAGCTAACATCTTCTGCAGCGATGTAAGATACCAGAATGTGGACAGTCTTTCATGCACTTGAGCAACTTTGAGGACCACGAAAGGTGGCACACAGCAGCGCCACCTTTATCTGCTTAAGCTTCCAACCACCCACTGGGTCTTGTTTCAAGGGACACTATGACACCAGATCTATGGAACGAACCGTACGGTCATGCCCTAGATGTCCCATTGCAAGAGTGCACTCACCATGATTCACCCAACTATGGTAGTATCAACTCAAACTTGCTCTCCACGTTTGTACCCACGGCACCACGATGATCACCCGAAATTCCAGCAGATCATGTGATTAGGCTATTGAAATTGAACTATATACCAAAGCACTGAATAAACGACTGTTGCCCTACAAATCTCAGGCCTTGGGAGCCCAAAAGTCAATATCTCTGTTCTCCTCATGATTGTGAGTTTCCAATCGTGAGCAACGTTTGAACATTCATAAAGATCACCTTCGCTACTACGCACGGGTATTGCCTGGATGGGGTGTTGCATCACGCTGATACAACAAGTCAAGCTTCTCCCGGTAAATCAACAATGAATGCAAACTGCGGATTATGCTAAGATTAATCATATCCGCTGTTTAGAGCTCTGTACGAGCAATTGGATGTAGCAGCTTTTTGTGATTCGTGCTTGCACTGGAGATTGCACGTGGCTCGATGAAGCCTTGTCTATATTAGGCTAGCCCACATATAAGCCACTTCATTGGTGAAGGTGGGCTTGGCTTCATCATCTGACCTCATCGCAATATCGTTGCAATAGATCCCTGTTTTACAGACACCATCCTAAGTTCAATATCGACTCATGTCTACCTAGACAGGTACCCATGGAAACCCAATCGCACAAGAAGCGGCCACGGAGTTCCAGCAATGCTTCGACAAGCAGTCTCTCTGGCTCTACAGAGCGACCATTGAAAGCTTGCAGACCCCAGCGTGGAGATATACCGACTGATGTGCCCATCGATCAACCGAATATCATACATCGGGTGAAATGCTCCCGCGCCAGCGAATACCATTCGGAACATCCTCTAGGCGCATGCTATCTCGATGTTCCAGCCTTGCCTGCAAACGGAAACCGTGCCACTGCTCTCCATGGCCAGAAGCCTTTATTGGACGTAGAGAGCTATTTAGCGGGATGGATCGAGTTCAAATTCGTGGTTTACCTTGAATACGACTGCGAAGCTTACCATAAGCGCATTGAAGATAGATTCATGCGCCTTCCAATGCCCTCGATGCCTCACAGTATGAGTATTCAATCCAAGCCTTATTTCCAGATTCTACGGTACGATGGACCGCCGGCGAAAGCGAAATCCGAGTGCATACAGCTATCAGAAAGCCTTGAGAAAGCGTTGTGCGCGCTACGCGATCACAACAAAGAAACATTCGAGGAATGGAAATTTAAAGAAGTTCACGTTTATCCATACCAAAAACTCTATCACTTTCGGAATATGTGCGTCGAACCTTCGTTGCAAGCACCAGGATGGCAACACAACATAGAGATAGCCGCATTGTTCCATTACCTGGCAAGACGCTTGTCATCCAGTTACGAGAAATTAGCAGAGCTTGCCGCTGCGGGAATGGCAGATCAAAAGTATTGGGCGATGCTTTTCCAACTAGACGACATAGTCGTAACGACCCACAATGGCCAGTCTCGAGCATTCATGGTATCATCTTGTCATCTAGTTTACCAAAACACGTTGATCATGAATTGCCGGTCGTGGGAATACGATGGAAACTTCTTTCGAAAGCAAACCACCCTTTCACATGTTTGGCCTTCTAGCTCAGAGCAGATCCAAATTACGGAACTTCCAGTGTATCCTCTCCGCTACGCAGCAGATGGAGTGGAGTCCGAATTACGAGACCGAGGCGAAACCTTCTGGGCATGTCGGCGACAAAAGTACGTAAACTACAACGTGCCACTTCAAGGCCTTGGCTCACAGTTGGTATGATGTCGAATTCTTTTATCTGCGTCCGTCGCTTACACCGCTAGGCTAATTTGCGGTATATGGTTGACATGGAGGCTTACAAGTTAATGCACGGCAGCGATGATGACCCAACAACTCGCAATGAGCTCAGTGACGATGCAATGGAGAGTGACAAGCCTCCCAGCAGCTCTTTCACCCTCATGTTACCTGCTACGATACACGGATACGGGTTTCATGATAAGAAGTGGAGTAAGTAAGCGAAACCCCTTGGACCCAGCAAGATTCATAACAAGAATGCAGAAGTTTTATTTGTAGAACACATCCGAGATATCAAATGGAACAAGGAGGTTTTTGAGCATCAACTGGTTCTTCAAGAAGGCAAGAAAGAGCTAGTAAAGGCTTTAGTTTCAGTGCACATTGAGAAGGATGATACAATTGGAACCGACTTCATGGACGGTAAAGGAGAAGGACTGATCGTCTTACTTCACGGTGGGCCAGGGACTGGCAAGACTCTAACAGCAGAGAGCATTGCAGAACTCGTTGAACGTCCACTATACAGAGTCACATGCGGTGACATTGGCACAGATGCCGAGAGTGTTGAGAAATATCTTGAGTCAGTCTTGTACATCGGCAGCAACTGGAAATGTGTCGTCCTGATGGATGAAGCCGACGTGTTCCTGGAGGAAAGGACTAAGTTGGATATGCAGCGCAACGCTCTCGTGTCTGTATTTCTTAGAGTTCTGGAATACTACAACGGAATCCTCATCCTGACGACGAATCGTATCGGCACCTTCGACGAGGCTTTCAAATCTCGCATCCAACTTGCGCTCCACTACCCACCACTGGATAGAGATGGCCGTTGGGAGGTCTGGAGGAATTTTGTCCAATCGCTGTCAGAAACTGGAGAGAACATCAACACGGGAGAGATCAGCAAGAAGCTTGATATCCTCGCACGACATAAATTGAATGGTCGACAGATAAGGAACACGGTAAACACAGCTCGCCAGCTGGCGCGTTACAAGAAGGAAACGATACGCTATGCACATATTGACCAAGCGATTGGAGTGGTCAATGAGTTCGAGAAGTACGTTACCGACGTACACGGCCATGATGATGAGGAGTATGCGCAGGATCAAGGCTTAAGGAACGATCAAGCCTTGCGCGATGTAGACTGATCAAGGTTCCGCCATTCACAAGCTTGTTTCATATCTTTCCCCGTCTTGTTTCATCCTTTGCTATGTCTCCTGTTGCGGGGTTGACAATATCGGCCTCCATCGATATTGCGGGATCTGGGTCATACTCGGATTGAACCTGAACTTCCTCTTCATGCCCATATCATCAGAAGACTGCTAAGAGAGCTGCTCAATTTGTCACGTGGACGTGATCTTGACAGTGGTCCGCAAATCTTCAAATTCGGTGACCTTGATCAACTGTCGGTTAAAGATCTCAACTCCAGATCTGACTTCTCACGTAGCTGGGCACGTGGATTCTGTTGGTGCCATACCCCGTTGTCTTGTACCTTGATCCTGGCTCCCTAAAGTCTTTTGAGTAGAGGAAATTGAAATCGTGAATACTGCCCCGAAGCAGTGGTGTTGATACTGCCAGTCGTATCTAGGTATCTGGAGGAAGGCCGTGATCGGCTATCGGGAGACTGCATTGCCGACGCGCTAGTATCGTGACGCACTCAACAAATGCCTATCATCCAGTACCAGCACTGTTTGTATTTATTTTCTTCGATTTCGGCATCTCACTCTAGTCTTAAGGTAGTAGGATCCTGCGCATCAGTACATGCCTCCAGCGCTAGACTGTTCTAATTACCTAAGCAGATTCACCTACCACGTTCCAGGGTGTGCGTTCGCCGCATCTACAGCCGAACGGCTCTAGGCCTTTTGCGACCTTCATTGGAATGCAGTCTGGCGGGTCGAGATTTGAGAATGCCTATACGCACTTCTAGACACTCTAGGAGAATTCTAGATGCAATAGGCCGGCGGAGCACGATCCCTGGCCAGTGAGAGGGCACCACAGCGGCATTAGCCTGGCACAGCCCACACCGGCTAGGTAGCGAATCCTACACTAGCTTCTCATCGACCCGCAAGACTAATTGCCGCCTGTGTCGAGTCGATTCGCCTCGTGTGGCGATCGCAAACTTTCGCTCCACACCCCACGATGTCTTGATGCTTGGTGAATGCAAATGGTTGCCGTTCTTTCATCACGCTTTTGATGGCGGAGCATGGAGTCTGAGGCAGCTTGTGGACGTCCTCGACCTTTTATGGCGTAGTGCCCTGGGTTACGCATCATGAGTCAACAACCGAACGACCGCAGGGAGACCAAGACCGATCGCCATGGGATGAGGAGAGAACGAGACGTGCTGCTACTCTATGGCGCAGCCTTTCGCAATATCCCACGCACCGACAATGTGGAAAGCCATGTACCTCGGCCATCCTTGGACTCAACTCTGACAGCCTTGTGTCAACTTACCGCCATTCGGATGGGAGCGCAACGGTCCATGATATCACTCCTTGACGAAGAACGCCAACACATACTTGCGGAGGCAACTTGTGATCTACCTCTGCAACCAGATGCTCTGGGTGATGCTTCAAACACCCTCTGGCTTGGGAACGTAAGCATTCCGCGAAGTTGGGGTATATGCGAAAAGGTCTTGAAATTGGGTCCAAACGTTGAACCTATCCTGGTCATCGGTGATCTTACCACAGATCAACGTTCATGCTTCCGAGAAGATGTCCAAAGCAATTCCGATATGCGCTTCTACGCCAGCGTCGCATTGAAGTCTCCAAATGGTGCGACAGTTGGAACGCTTTGCATCTTCGACAACAAGAGCCGAGACGGTCTTTCCAAAGAGGAAGCCGAACTATTTAAGGACCTTGGTTCCACGGTTGTTAATTATCTGAACACATACACAATTAGAGACCAGTACAGACGGGGGGAGAGGTTCACACGCGGTCTTGTCTCTTTTGCTGAAGGCGCATCTGCTTTGGTACCTTTCGAGAGAGAAGTTCGGCAAGATTCGGCATTACCTTCACAAACATCATCTGATATATCTTCTACAACGGACAAGGAGATAGTGTCTACAGACGACGCCGAAAAGGTACACGAAGGTGTCGAGTTAAACGAGACTACTCCCAATCATCCCCTATCAGCGATATCAAAGACAGCTCGTGCTAAATCCGCCCGGCACCGATCAATACGTTCGCTTCGTAAGCAGCATCTTTATTGAAGTTATATGTGAGATAAAGGCTAATTGATACACCAAATCTAGAGGACTCTATCCTGCCCAATGACTCAAAGTCCATGTTCTCACGTGCTGCGAACGTAATTATGGGCTCGAGCGACCTGGACGGAGTGCTTATACTCGACGCGAGCGTTGCGGCGAGCGGTGGACGTCGTCGTGCCAACAGCGCCTCAGGAAGTGGTACTGAGGCTCCTTCCGAATCATACCAATCTAGGTCCTCCAGCGACGATGCAAGCTCGAACAGTACTGAGGAACATCAGCGCGGCTCTTCTTCATCGAGTTCCAAGATGTGTCAGCTGCTTGGTGTGGCCACTCCGAGCGACAAAGAGAATCCCGAGTATGGGACATTGTTAGAGCCCGACCTGTCACGTTTGTTCCACGAATATCCACATGGCAAAATTTTTACATTCTGCGCCGAAGGTCATTCTTTGTCCTCTACTGAGGAGTCGACATCGAACCCTAACGATACTGAAAATCTATCACCTGCTACATCATCGAAGCGCAAGACCAACGGCCGGCCACAGCGAGGATCGACTGCTATCCAAGCCATGTTCCCTAAAGCACGCAGTGTCGCTTTTGTTCCCTTTTGGGATTTTGAGAGGGCTCGATGGTTTGCTGGTTGCCTATGTTGGAGCAATGATGCGTATCGATTGCTGTCCGCTTCAGTGGATTTGGCATACTTCAAGATTTTCAGCCATTCCATCATGAGGGAATTGTCCAGGCTAGATGCTGTAGCTTTGAACCAGGCAGGTACTATGAGACGGAGAATCTGACACAAACTAATGGGTCATTGTAGGCTAAAACGACGTTTGTCGCTTCCATATCACATGAACTTCGTTCACCTCTACACGGCATCCTGGGTACGCTGGAGTTCATCAAAGACACCCCCCTCGATTCATTTCAGACCAGTATGATGAACTCTTTGCATGCTTGTGGTTCAACTCTTCTCGATACTATCAACCACGTCATGGACTATGCCAAGATTAGCGATGCTAAGAAAAGCGTGTCCTCCAAGAGACTGAAAAATGCGAATACGATACGACTATCTTCGAAGCCATTGAAGAACCGTCGAAGAAAAGATCCCGCATTTGATCTTACCATCGCAACCGAAGAAGTCGTGGAAGCTGTCTTTTCTGGATCCTCATATATCCCGGTCACCTCAAAGCTCGTGGAAGCGCCTTCATCGCCTACGGACGAATACGCAATTCCGTTTCCGCAACGTAAAGCACGGTTTATCATTCTAGATATGGCTTTCGATGATGACTGGGTCTTTTCATTTCCGATTGGGTCTTGGAGAAGAATAGTAATGAACTTATTCGGCAATGCTATTAAGTATACCGACACTGGATACATTCATGTTTCTTTGCGTTCGAGCAAACTAACAGAGAACACAAACGCCCCCACTGCGATCACACTCACCATCACGGATACCGGCTCAGGTATGAGCCCCGGGTTTCTTGCAAATCGGATATTCCATCCGTTCTCCCAGGAAGATTCCCACGCGCCGGGTACAGGCTTAGGCTTGAGCATAGTAAGAATTCCGGCATTCAAAGTGCACATGAGACATACACTAACTTCTTACACTATATGTAGGTCCGACAGATCATCGATACCAACGGTGGCAAGGTTGAGGTCAGCAGTGACCCCCAAGTCGGCACCAAACTCATCGTCAAACTCGCCCTTACCAGACCCGAAGCTCCTGTCTCGTTGACAGCGGAAAGAGCGCAATACCTGTCTCACCTACCGAGGCTAAAGGGGCGGAGAATATGCATCCTTCGCAAGAAAATAGCGGGACCAAGCGAGAATACTAGCGTCTCAAAAACGGACGAAGGCCTTCTTCGCTTCACCAATGCGCTAGCCTATACCCTGGAGACGCAGCTCAAGATGCAAGTTGTGAAGACAACCGAGTGGGAAGGCCACCATGCAGATATCGTCATCTGCCCTGAACTGTCTTTTGATTATCTCGCTACGATTCGGAAACGAAGAGCTCACGGTCAACGCGCCCCAGTAACCGTCTTCGTCGGGATGGATGCACTCGAAGCTGCTACCCTCCGTTCTGATGTCCGTGTGACAAATCGGGAATCTGTCGTTGAAATTATCACCCAACCTTGTGGCCCTTACAAGCTGGCCTATGTTCTCAATCGATGTCTGGACCGCTTTGATCATCCAGCCGAAAACTTGCAGTACACTGCCCCAACTAGCCAGTTACTACAGCCCTTGTCGCAAGAAATCAAGCAGCATACCTATCCCTCCTCACCGACCAACTCATTGCAAAGCACCCTTGAGTCTTTAAATTCGGACGCGTCTGGACCGGTCGCTTCATCTACAGCTGGATCCACTACTGCGCAGCCTTCGGTTACGTCGCCTACCGAAGAAGAGGATCCTGTGATATCGCATACGCTCATTGTCGACGACAATTTGTTGAACCGAAGGCTTCTCATAGCATACATGAAGAAGAACGGACTTCAATTCGAAGAAGCATCAAATGGGCAGGAAGCTTTGGACAAGTATCGGGAAGGGTCGCGAAAATTTGATGTCATACTGATGGATATGTCCATGCCAGTCATGGACGGCATGAGCGCCACACGTGCCATTCGCGAATACGAACGAGATAATAACATGCCAAGGTGTTCTATCGTTGCGCTTACTGGCTTAGTATCATCAAGTGCTAAGCTAGAAGCATGGAGTTCAGGGATTGATCATTTCATGACGAAGCCGGTCAACTTCAAGGCGCTTGGAGAGCTTCTCAAGAACGATGAGACACGGAGGCATACGAGAATGAGAAGTACGGGAATTATACGGGATGCGGCTAATATAACCTCTGAAGACGGCCAAGCGACATGAAAGCTCATGTAGTACATTCATCGACTCTATCCGAATAACACTCCACTCACGTTAGGGTGCTGGAGTAGCTACCATGTACATGGCTTTTATTGCCTCAGGAAAGCGACTGCATTCGCCGCTATCCAGTACATTTAGCAGACGCTACGCCGCTATGGCCACAGCTCAGCATACTGTGTCCACAAGAGTAGATGATGGACGCGTAGACTTCTCTCCTGTACTACGGATCACTGCCATGTCAGGAAAACCCCGAAATCAAGTACACAGTGCAGTATGCACAATCAAACATTCATGTATCCTGCGTCTACTTTTCTAGTCTTCCGTGACAGCCACTTACAACTTCTGCAACACACCATATACCCATACTCTCAATCAACTTCTTACTTTCGAGCAGAATCGCAAGAATAACTGGGTTTAGTCTAATGTGACGATGAACTGCGGCTCTTCTAATCCATACATCACTCTCCCATCTAACACCCAGTTGAAAAGACAAGCTCCACATCCTGATAGCGCACCGAAAGGGTTGAGCTCCACTAACTGTACGCCCCCGTTTCTCTGTAAGGTAACATCAAAACTGAAACCATACCTTAGCAACAATTCCGTGATTTCCTCACTAAGCTCCTTTGTGTAGGCTACGATGTCCTCTAGAACCTTCATTGCACCCAGGCTAACCAAATCCACCGTCTGTTGCAAGTCAAACCCCCATGGCGCTTGAAATGCTTTCGGCCACCTATATTGGCTGATCGCACTAATCGCAAACTCCGTAGCATGTGGTTTCCTTGTATTCTTCGCAGCAGGTGGCGGCACAAAAACTCGAAACTCTTTGTCAGGATCCATACCCTCGTTCCAAGGGTTCAGCACAAGCTTGATCTGCATCTCCCTGTCTTCCGTCTTCGCGTCGTCGAATTCACGAGTCAGACAGCCATACGCGCGCATGCTGGTACAGATTCTCGTGACGACCTCGTGGATGGTTGAGCTAGGCAACTTGCCGCCCATGGGAGAGTCTTTTGGCGACATCTGATCAAGTCGAATAAACCATTTCCTCTCACCGTCAAGCAGTGTTGCTAGTTTCTTCCCTGACTTCGTACACTTCAGCATTTCGACGACATCATCGAGAAGGGACGTGTGAATTCGATTTGTCGCTACCCAAGCGCTGTGACAACGCAGAAGGTCCTCATAAAGAAAGGTGGGAAGGAGAATTTCATGATGTTCGCTTAAGTTTTGCGATTTGGCGATGAGCGGATGCCAAAGTGTATAGCCGTATGGTTTCCAGGGTGGTGTTTCGTGGATGAAGTGCGCGTTTGAGGGCACGACAGGCGCGATTTCGTCGAGGCGATGATGCGCGGTAGAGAAGCGTTGGGAGCGAGAAGATGGGTTGGACGAGTCTTGGATGGCTTGTATGGCGGCGGTATCGGCCGCGACGAGTGAATAGGGTATTTTTCGGAGCTGCATTGCTGTGGATTTTCTGAAAATTCGATGGAAAGAGTCGTTTGGATGGTCGAGAAGAGGATGTAGAGATAGTGAGTATGATAAATTACCAGAGACTAGAAAACAGATGCAGCCTTTGATCTTGGTCCGTGAAGATGCGTACCGTGGTTGCGATGTAATCACATATCCATATCTGGAGAACAAAGGGCGCAACCAAGATCTCATCACTGCATAACTCGCCGTCCAGGCTGACCTAGTGTGATTCGGAAAGATGCACAAGCTTTATCAGGAAGTAGAAGGGTCGGCTGATCACAATAGGTATTGTGTTCCTGGTTATCTCTTAGTTACATCTCCTCCAAACTATCAACATGGTTATTCTGATACCACCGGGAGGTCACAGATGGAACTTCGATGCACAAGCAATCGATCGATTGACAAAATTGTTTCCGTCACAACCTCCTGCTCCATACCATCTTCTATGCTGAACTACCTCACCAAAGCCTACTCCGACGCGTTCATTACAGGTATCTGTTCACTGTCATCGTTCACAAAGCTCAGAGGGAAAAACATACCTCAGTGTGACTCTTTCCGTTCCCAGCCTAAACCAAGGCCATAACCGTTTGTGCTAAGCTACCGAGCCGCACATACCCACTCACCCATTCATTACAAAAGGGCAGAAAGAAAACCAGACTTACCATCTTGGAAGCCTCCATATGGCGGCATGGACAGTACTAGACAATCTTTCTTCATAGAAAACAATACTTACACACACAAACACATCTGACAACAACAAATTCCCGACTCTGAGGGCTAGGTTGAAGTCTCCTTGTTCATGCGGGGGCATGTCTGTCCTTTGCTGGCTGTTTTTGACTATCGCAAGAACAGATGTGTCAGTTCCTCCGCGCGAAAGCGAATGGGTCAATGGGCCGGAGGTCTGCCGAAAGGGAACGGGGGTGGTCAAAAGAATAAGAATAAAAACAAATCAAATAATGAAGACATTTTTGATGCCTTGTGTCTCTCGTGTAAAGTCTCCCGTCAAAGGTTCACAGTCGGACGGATGCCGGAAGTGGTTGATGGGGTTTCGCTGGGTGCTATGATATTGTGGTGGGTGGATAGGTTTGACGTTGCACCCTTCTTGACATTATAACTATGAGCTTGTTAGCGTCAAAATTGGGAAACCAATACGATGGGGTTGAAGGGGATGAGTGGGTTGTGGGCGGTTGACTACTTGAAAGGAAGACGATAGGAGAGGAAGAATGGCCGCTTATATGTATACAAAAGGCATGTGTTTGCTGTCTCACAAGTGATATGATCAAGAAGCGCTTGTCCGAGACTCTTGTTTCTGCTCGCAAACTAGAGGACTTGCCGGCCTGATCAATTTGCTGTTTCTTTGTCATAGTAATCACAAGCACGTTCATCCAGGCTCTTTAGGATAATTGCTCAGAGGCATACCCATCACTCGTTGCCCTACGTGGTCTGGCGTATTCACAGCAAGCAGAAGACGGAGAGTAAAAAGAGGAACACCAAGAACACTATATCTTGCCATAGCCAGATGTACAGTAATTTGATTACATTTTCCTGCCTATCCTACGGAGGGGCCTCGACAGCCCATGGTACTATATCTCCAAATACGCCAGTCCCCTTGAACGCTAATGCAGGAAACCAAGAAACAACAAACACCATAATATCGTCCAACTGAGAGTAGCGTTATGAGTGTGGGGCATAGGGGGTGTATACAGAAGGCGCCACAAATTCGTCAAGCACATTGCTGCTTCTTTTGCGTCATGTGCTTCCCACTGGTGCGCTCCACAGCGCCGAAGATGAAGGCCCTGCTATCGCTGCGGTCGAGCTTTCAGACATCATTGTCGGCGAAAAGCGGACACGAAGAAGAAAGAGAATAATCCCTAATGTATTAGGGATTACCTCTTCTTGCTTCCCGGCCTCGGCTTGCACTCGTCCCCTAGAATGGGGTGAAGCTTGATCTTGATAGGGTAGTTTTGTGTGTTGCCACCGAAACCCTTGCTCCAATCGTAACTGACGGCGTAAGCGAAAATGTTGCCGTCCTTGCTGAAGCCTGTTGCGACAATGCTGCCGCCGACCTCGGGGTAGCCCTTGAGGCGGTGCTTGGCGTCCTTGTCCCAAAAGTGGAAAGTTCCGTCGGAACCTGCAGTGGAGAAGGTGCCGTGTTGTGGGTGGAAGGATATGGCGTTTACTGAGTGGACCTTGGCGATGTCGCGGTTGGCGGGGTCTTGTTGGCGATGGCACTTGAATGAAAAGTTGAGGCTATTGAGACGTTAGATGGTGGGAGGGTGAATGCGCAAGGAGAAATGCTTACCTGGTATCCTTTTCTTCGACATATTGAATAGCGCATCGTCCTTCGATGGAGCCGACGGCAAAACCAGTCGCATCCGAGAAACAGCTCACAACCCTTGTCTGCCACTTGAGAGGGCTGGTGATGGTCTTGTAGATAGTTGTGGGGTTTGAGAGGTTCACCATGTGGATATGGCGCTCAGCGGTCGCGATGACTAGCAGTTGATCTTTGACGTCCATGCTGTAGACACGCTCCTGGCACGTCAGTGTACCGACTGGCTCAGCGCCTTGGAGGTTCCAGAACTTGACGGTCTTGTCCCAAGAACCAGTAGCGACGTAGTCCTGGCCTCCAGTCTGGAACCAGCGGACGCACTTGATGCCATTCTCGTGGGCTTTGGCTTGTTGCGCAGGGACGGTACCGCTGGCAGGGGCGGTGCGGAAGTCGACAATGTTGAGCATGCCTGTTGAGTCGCCGGCTGCGATACGAGTGCCATCCTACGTCTTGTTAGCATCCGGTTACCGCATTTGCATGGCATCAGTAAACGTACCTTTGACCATCCCAGACCCAGAACATGACCCGGGCATTCGAACATCCACTTTCCTTGCGCACCGTTGCCGTTGACCTCGTAGATGTAGACCTTCTTGTCCCAGCTTCCCACTGCAAGGAAATCGTTGGTCGGCGAGAATTGAAGGTCAGATATGCTGTCGCTGGGTACTTGGCCGGCGGGCACCTCGACGTCTTTGCTGGTGTCGCCTGTAGTGGAGCTTGCAGCGGGAGCTGCCGCTTGACCGAAAAGAGCCATCTCTTGCGATTATGTCGTGTGGACTGGGCGCGTTCAAATCGTGGGTGTTGGTGGTTGCGAAGCTTTGCGCGAGCTCGCCGTGTTGATATCCTGGGCAAGAAAAGATGAAGCGTTTGTACGCGCTTGTCGGGAACCTTGTAGTCGCAGGGAGGTGTTTCCAAGCTGGTGGCAGTGAGTGACAGGTAGCGCGCGAGGGAGACGGGATAGCCTTTATGTTCTTCACCGACGACGCGCTCAGCAAAGAAAGAGCCGATGCACGAAGCTTCCCAGGCACCCTTGCAGGCGCCAGTCCGCTTCCGCCTAGCCAGCCTGCCCGGCGTTACGATCCCCCGGCCTCCGCCCCATCTAAAAAAGTTTCCGCCCTCCAACCTGATTTCTTTCTCCAACGTTCCTCGCTCAAAGAATCGCAACGAAGCACACGCACGGAGCGCCTCTCGAGGTGTCTCTTTTCGCGCTTTGGGAGAAAGTCCCCGGACAACGATCTTCGCGATCGCACTTTCAGCAATGAACCGCCATAGAAGCCGCGGCTTCCATTACCGACTACGACACTTTCCGCGTCTCTTTACCCGTTCGCACTCCTTTTCGTCGGCTATCTGGAGGCTGTGAGTGGAGGGGCTGGCACCTGGATGACGATATGAGTCCGTTGGCTACCTTGCTCACTTGCTGAAGAGCGCCTGGCAATCTGGAGGAGGAGGGAGACATCGGGGAGGGCCAGGTATGGAGGGTCTTTTCGTCCAGTTTGATGGTTATGCGATTGCCTTCCTGCACTTTGATAAAACAAGGTGACATGGATGGTAACTCAATGGGGCTTATTCTTGATGCGAGGAACGTTCATCACCACACACTTTTCGGATCTGAGGGTAGACGCTCTCTGACAACGGTCGGAGATGACGTGCTACGACGTGCTTGGTCGAACAAGCCAGATTCATCCAGCCATATACGGTTTATATGATGAGACACATGGAAATAGAGTCAAGCTCTGAGGCTGTCTGAATCCCAAAGCGGTAGGACGGCCTTTGCTGAATTTTCTACGACGGTATCTGATAAACCTTATGGCTTAGATAGTTTTCTATCAATCGAAAAAAATCAAAGACATTGTCCTAATTCTGCTTTCTCGACTTGTTGCATGTGGTATCATAAATGTTTCGTGTCTACTTTGGTCCTTTTCATGCCTCAGTGCCGACAACAAACTCCTTAACCTCCTTGTATGCCTTGTCCAGGTCGTCGTTGATGACGATCTTGTCGTGCGGCGCCTGTCCACTGTGCGCAAACTCCATCTCGACCTTGGCCTGGTTGAGCCTCTTCAAGATAGCCTCCTCCTTATCCGTTGCCCGACTCCTCAATCGCTCCTCCAGGATCTCCATTGACGGTGGTTGCAAGAACAGGAATCGCGGGCGAGGGAATGTAGGGTGGTTCGCGACTTGCTTGACGCCCTGGACCAGCACATTTCAGTTCACATGCACATTGTAAAAAGTAACTAGAAGAACATACCTCCATCTCAATATCCAAGATACAGATCTGGCCCCTCTCTGCGATATCATTCACAGCCCTGATACTAGTACCGTAGTGGTTTCCTCCGAACTGCGCATGCTCCACGAATCCCTTCTTCTCTACCAGATCAAGAAACTCTTCCTTGGTCACAAAGTAGTACTCCTTGCCATCTTGTTCGGTTCCCCTGGGGCCACGCGTTGTGTGCGATATGCTGAAACCAAATTTACCTGGGAAATCGTCAAAGAGGCGCTTGAGGATGGTGGATTTGCCGGCGCCCGAGGGACCAGAGATCACAATGGGCTGGTTGGCGGCGAGGGCGTCTCTGGAAATGGGGACAGAGTCGATAGGCGACATGGTGGAGGTGTTGTGGGTGAAGGTGCGGAAAGAAGGTGTGTTGTGGACGTTTTTGGGATGGAGATTAGACAGGGAGGGGTGAGTCAGGCGTAGATGCGTCGGAATCTGTAGGTCGATGCTTCGTGACTCTCTCAACAGGCTTCTGGTGATTCGCGATAGAATCAATGGCATGCCTCTCGTGGATTTGGAGCTGCCGGGCGCTGCGGGGTGTGATTGGCGGTGAAGCTAAGGGGTCTTTTGGTGTTTGGTGGGGCTGCAAGTGGGATGGCGGCGGGACCTGGTGACATCGCGTTTTCGTGTTGGTACTGACCTCATCGAGCTGGGATTTAGCTTTCCACTCCATTTTCCGCTCATGTCACGGTGATTGCGCCTAAGAAGCAGGCCCTTAGAGTTGCGAATCAGTCGCCATGGTATGTTGCTTTCTGTGCGTTGCATACGTCATTCTAACAACCCCAGTCGAAACAATACCTCACCCTCCACACTGTCGACTCGGCGCATCCCAAAGCGAGCGATGTCTTCGCCGTAGCACCGACTAGCACACAATTGCTCTCAGCTTCCGGCTCAAGTAGCATCAACGTCTATGACACCACACAGGCCGAGTTTCCTGTAATACAAACACTCGACAAGGTGCATCCACTCGGTATACACCACCTCGTGACCGCGCGGGAAGAGAAGGCACGACGGGCCGCAAGCGCAGGCTTCGAAGGCAAGGTCAAAATATGGAGCCAGGACGAGGATGGCGTCTGGAGTGAGGACGGAGAGATTGTTGGTGGGTACGCCTCATGCTTTCTTTGAGATCGCAGGAAGTGTTGTTCTAGTGAGCCAGAGTGGGCTGACCTTGTCGCAGATCAGAACAAGCCGGGTGAGATATGGGCGATTGCACTGAGTGCAGATGGCCAGTACCTCGCGAGCACCAGCATAAACGGCAAGATTAACGTCTGGAGTCTGAACAAAGAAGAAGGAATGCCTCGGATACGCGAGTATGAGACCAAAGGCAGCTTTGGGCTCTGCGTAGATCTGGTAAGCTTCGCCACCCTCTACCTATTTTTGTCAACGACGAACATGCTGACGTACATATCAGAGCCGCGATGGTACCTTCACAGCCTCCGGTCACGAAAACGGGTCCATATACGTCTTTAATAATGAAACTGGTCGTCTTGCACACTCCTTGGCCGGTCTCGTACACCCAGTCCGCAGCGTAGCCTTCTCCCCAGCATCCAAACTCCTAGCTGCGGGAGGCGATGCTCGAATCATCGCACTCTACGACGTCACATCAGGCGAACAAGTCGCAAACTTCACCGGACATGGCGGCTGGGTACTCAGTTTGGATTGGAGCGACACAGGCGAATATTTATTATCAGGGTCAGCATCATTCCATTCGCTCTAACCATGAATGCTCACTAACGTCTTATGTCAGATCTCACGACTCAAAGGCAAAAGTATGGCGCATAGAAACACGGTCATGCGTTGCCACGCATTCTCACGGCGATAAACCTCTCTGGAGTGCAAGATGGCTGCCAAAGTCACCTATGAAGAGTGAGATGTTTGCACTGGCTGGAGGGAACAACTCAATCAGCTTTTACCGTGAAGCAGCAGGTTGAACAATTATCGACCTTTGTCTCAAACAACGAGAAGTATCAAAATAGCTATGCATCCGTAATAGCAGGGATGGACATGCGGATATTACGAGAAAGCTGCTGTAGCGTAAAGCGTAGTCTTGCAAGACTGCCAACCTGTATGCGCGGAGCGGCAAGTGGTAAGCTCTGTATAATTAAAACAACTGAACGACCATCACATGTGCTATACACTATGCATATCTCCAGTGCAACATATCTTTTGCCAATGTAAAACAGGAAACCAAACTGAAGACTTGAAGATAGGTACGCTTCCAGTAGATTTTGGAGAGGCGTGTCAACATGGAGCCCCGCATGTCCTTTTCTGGACCGACGACAAGTGTAGGTATGCCAATCTTTGGTAAACATATTTCGATTGTTTCATCATTTTCTTCTACTACCATCACCATCGAAGTAAAGATATCAGCTGGTTGCGAAACATGACAACCGCTCATTGCCCCCAGGAAGATAACGACCATCAGAGATATGCATACTCCTGCTAGAGCATTTCCTTGTCATCGCTCCTTCGTTGAACGCCTAAACACCGATTCCGCACCATGTAGAGAACGCCTCGTCCGCTAAGACCAAAGTAAAAGAGCCCAGTCGAAAGAATATTGAAAAGGCGGTCAGTTGCATACCTTACGTACTAGCAACACCAGTATTCTCAGCACCAGGTGGCGCATCAACCCTCTGCTTCTTAGCGTCTGGACCTTCAACACCCGCAGCCCCGTTAGCACCCACATTACTGACATCCTGTAGCGCTGGCCTTTCTCTCTTAACACCACCAGGACCGGCGCTGTTCATTGTAGGTGGCTTGTATGCGCCACGGTTCGCGCTAGGACTCATGGCGTAGTTTGGTGCGCCAGGCATACCAATCCGGCGGTTGGCATCCATTTGTGGGTTTACAATATTGGGACGGTTGAAGGAGCCAGTTGATGTAACGCCTGGTCGTTGAGGAGGTGGTTGAGGTGCAGGCGGCGCACCGACTGCGTCACGCTTGATGGGAATGCTGCGAGCGTGGTCGATTCCGGGTGTGCGTTTCTCTTTGGGTATGGGGGAATCGACGTTAGGATTGAAGGATGGAAGATTGCTGAGCGAAGTTGCGTCTGATGCTTGGAGAAGCTCCGCAGCACGAGAGGTGACGAAGCCTACCGGGGGACGGTGATTAGGAGGAGGTGCGTTTGAAGCAGGTGTGGTCGATTCTGAGGGTTGGGGTCCTGGACGTGTTTGATTTGGTGGTTGATGTGCTTGGGGTGGTGTAGGCCGGAGAGGTTGATTGTTGGGAGCGAGTTGTTGATTTGGTGGTGGTTGTTGTCCTAGAGGTCTTGAGGCAGCTCCGTTTTCCATTGCTGGTGGAGCCATGCGACCACCGTTCTGCACAGGTCGAGCCTGTTGTTGAATTGGAGTCTGTGGATGCCTTCCGTTCTGCATAGGGAGCCTTCCAGGTGCTTGATTCGGTTGCTGCTGTTGCATACCAGGATTTCCACGTCCGGCTTGTGGAGGCCTGCCATTTGGTTGACGAGGAGGGCCCGTATTCCGAACAGGTGATGTGCGAGCAGATGGTACACCGTTTGGTTTCGCCGGCCCGGCTGCCCGTGATGCTGTGGTTTCTGAGGCTGACAATGTTTCGGAGAATGAAAATTCGTCACCGTGGCCCTCCGTGACATCGACTCCATCAAACAAGTTCTCATCAGCATCGTCGTCGAAGTCAGCGCCAAAAGATTCGTTGTTCAAGTGATCGGTACGTGTGCGAAGGATCTGGTTGGGTCGGGATGGTGTTTGCTGTGGTTCCTGCTTGACCACGGCTTGCTCTTCAGGCTGGGGTGGCGGTTTGAAGTCGACGTGTCGGTAGAGACTGTCCTCTTGGAATTTGATGGGCTTAACCTTCATAGACTGAACTTTTTTGAGATACTCTTTGTCGTACAAGCAGTTGCCGAGTACGTTGCCGAACGTACGTAATGAGCGTTTCAAGCCATCTGTCGCCGCCTCTTTCTTGGCCTTCTCAAATGATGCGGCTTTGCCTTTGCCGTTCTCTATCGAGCCATAGCCAATGTCCTAACGAGCTATCAGTAGGAGTCAGATTGAGGATACGACGTATTTACCTCGTGATATGTACCATCCTTGAGTGTGATTCTCACCACTATTGAGAGACCCAAGCTGACCTTGCCGTTCTGATGCTCATCGACCTGCTACTGTCAGCATGTATTCCCTAGCCAGTGAAGTGAGCACATACGTAGTCAATCTGCACCTGCCCCAGCGAGCTCGACCAGCCATTGAACCCAAAGACTTCGTTCGCCAACGCTATTGCCTTATTTCCCTCCAAATACGCCACCTTGCCGCCGCCATTACCCGGTCGTTGTGATATGTATTCAGGCCCGAGTTGCTTGTTCAACCTGCTCTGTAGTGTCGCGATTTCCGTTGCTGTAAAGCCATTTACGACGCGTTCTTCGAAGGGGTTCTTGACGTTGCCGCCGCTGTACTGGTCGCCTGGCCTGCGTGATCGTTAGTCAACATTATTGGTATCAGAAAAGGTATGATTAGAAGACGCGTGAAGAGACTGTACGTACGCAGGCATTGTTGTCGTTACGAGTTGCTGGGCATGGGTCGCCGCTTTGCTGAAGTTGAGGCCTGGGTGGCTGAAGATGACGCGCCTTGGGAGGGCAGGAACGCGGTCACGCTAGTCCCGCGCTCACGTGCTCACAAGGCAGCACCGATCCACCATATACTGCCTACACGGTAACGTCAACAAGTGTCAACCTATGGTTTATTTAACGGGCGAGATGCGCGTCAAGCAATAAAAAAAAATACCCACTTGAGCATTAGGTACGCCTGTATTGTGCAGCAAAGCAAGTCAAATAGGTAATCTCAGCGTCCCGGACGCGTCAACACTGAACATAGTATGATCTGGCGAGACGAAAAGATTCGATTTCGACGTCCCGAGTACGCCTGCAATGCTATATGATATCGGTCCCAAAAAACGTAGTAATCTCAATCTATCCCGATGCTTCCTTTCTTCTGCCACGATCACTGGAGCTAGCCTCCTCATCATCGCTGTCTACGCCCAAAGAGAACGTAGAGTCGTTGTGCGACTCCCTCGTCTTCTCCGAGTTTGCGCGCGCATAACCATTTCCTGGCTTCTTTGGCGCATCGTCAAGATCATCAAGCTCCCGTTCGTCAAAGTCGGCAGCCTCAAGATCCTGCCTGCGTTCTCTTCTCCTGAAGTTGTCAAGGCCCATGCCGGTGAGAAGAGACTCTCGTCCTTCGTCACTGTCGGTACCCTTGTATTCGCTGCTTGCAGCACGCCTACTGCGCCACCACAAGAAGCCGCAGAGGCAGGCAGCAATGAGGACAACGACGAGTGCAGCCTGGCCGGAGCGAGTGTAGGCCTTCCATTCTGCCGCCTTGAGCTCTTTCGTCTTGTCTTCTTCTGCTTGAGTCGAGTTGGGGTGGTCACCAACGCTGGTCAGTGGACCTTTCTCGCCGTCGATAAGGCTGTCGGCAGGAGCACCACCGATTGCCTCGATGTTGACTCCCATGAAGCGATCGAGCATATCGCGGGTGCGCCTGGGGTAGTCAAAGGGAACCATGTGACTGGAGTTGTAGAAGACGACGTATGTGAGGTTACGCGCCTCCTGCCATGTCCCAGCAGCTTCGCCCTCGAACATCCAATCCTGTTTAGCATTCTGTACACCGGGGGAAGCTTCGAAACCCTTGCCACCGTTCCACTGCATGTTCCCAATCATAGCTTCTGTACCAACGTGATTGCAAATAAAGTCCTTGTCACCAGAGAACAGCAAGACTGGAATCTGCTCGATGATTTCGGGCAGGAACTTGACAGCAGGCTCGCTCTTTCTGGCACGGAAATGACCAGAAACGGCCCCGTTGCACTCTTGCCAGCCGGTCTTCTTATCGGGGTTGATGTGAAGTGCCTGGATAACATCGGGGCGGCGGAGGTAAGGAGTGACTTGCGCAAGATCCGGAGGCCAGTTCATACCACACGACGAATCGTCACGGAGACGGATATCGTACATGTTGAGGCACTGGTTCATGTTGTCGGCCTTTGTGTCTTTGGTCTCCTCCAAAATCCTAACCATGATCTGCTCACACTCGCTTGTGTCGACAGTGTTCATTCCACCGGCGTCGAGCTTCTTGATACAGATCCTCTGTTGTTCCTCCACACGCCTTGCCATGTCCGTATCAGCCCGCATGAGTCCATTCTGGTAGGCAAAGGGTATGTAAGCGAGATACTGGTCGACGGGCGATATCCAACCGTTTCCAATCATGAGTCCCTTGAGCGCCCATGGCGTTTTGGAGGGGTTCTGTTTGTTTCGATTGAGGATAGCGCGACCGATGTAGGGAATGTGTTGACCAGCGTACGATTCACCGGCGATGTACAACTACGACATGTCAGTATCCCCGCGTCTCCACTTAGTCGAGCCACTCACATCGTCATTCTCGTATTCGGGGAATAGCGCAAACCACTTCTCCAAAAATATGAGCATGTGGTCGGCCATTTGGTCGAGTTCAGTGAGGTAGCTGTTGGTGTTCACGTAACTGAAACCAGTTCCAACGGGTTGATCCACGAAGAGCAAGTTTGCGAACTCGTCCCATGAACCGTTGTTGTATTCGAGGTTGCCGCCTTCGCGCACTCTGTATGGGCCGACTTCCATCATGGCGCCGTCCATCGAGGAGCAGCCAGGGCCGCCGTTCAGCCATAATACCGTCCGTTGACGGTCTGCAATGTGGCGATTCTCGTAATGCCAAAAGAAGAGGTTGCCGTTGTTCTCTGCGTCGACTTCGATGTGTCTAATCAAGGGGTCAGCACTGCCTGCGCGTATCTCCCAAATCGCGCTTACCCTGCGTGCATCTTCAGCAACGGCTTGGGCGCACCGGGCAGGTCATGTATGAAGTAGTCGGCCTGCGTCTTCTCCTGTGCCATTATGCTCGGAAGCCATGATACTGTCGCTAGGAGGCCGCCTAGGAGCGCCGTCCGCCATCGCAGCGGAAAATGTGAGGAGGCCATAGTGAGGCCGCGTGTCGGAGTGTGGGTGCCGCGGAGGATGCGGTGCGCAGTCGCTATATCATGGGAACTCCAGAGGTGGAAAGAGCAGCTGCTGCAGGCTAAAATAAGATGAAGTGAATGCACAGCCTGGCACAGTGTAAGGTATAGGCGCTGATGTTGTGAGAAGTTCGGACTTCAAAGATACAGGTTAGGTGGCTACTGGGGCGGCTGACGAGTCCGAGTTGGGATCCAGAACCAGGGGCCTGTTGACAGTAGATCGTGAGACGTAAGACACGCGAGCGTTCCACAAAGTGCATGACAGTTTCAGCGAATAGCCTGAATGTTGAACATGTAAAATGAATTGCAGAAAGTTAATTGACATGGATAATAAGTCCATATCGCTATTGAGGTACGTCTTTGGGGTGCTGTCCAAGCTTCGTCGTAGGGCCAATCACAGCACACAAGGCTCATTCCGGCTACTGCCTTCTCCGCGTCTCGAGAACGCGCATCGCGCATGCGATCTGACACGATTGAGCGTTCACTCATGCTTCAACCATGTGTCAGCTCCGTCCTCAGGCCGCGATTTTGCCGAATATATGCACACCACTGAGCGTGTCCGCGCGTCCCTAGCTGCCGATATTCGCATGCAATGGTTGATTTCACTTCCTAAGGTTCGGCCGGGCTGGCAATAACTTTTTGGACTACAGACTACTAACTATCTAGCACTAACTTCTCTATGCCGTCATGCTGCACCAACGTGAAAGTCGTTCTAGAGCATGATAGCATCCACATCGGTCCGTCTGGTCAATACCCCGACTGAGAGCTAGAGTCCCGCCTAGTACTACACCGCGGACCCCTTTCTCATCCTTACAATGCTTTTTTGGGATTCCCGGAAGCGGTACATGTTAACGATCGTTGATGACTGTGTGCCACAGTGGCGCATGCTCATCTCCCATACCGCTGGTACGTAAAGATGGGATGCTTATGGCATATTGATTACTGGTCTTCAAAAGAGATCGTTCAAGCTCTTGGCCGAGTCTTTAACGATCAGCTCACGCATTCCCTATGCATCCTGTCAACATTGCGTTTTGACGCATCAAATCGCTCAGTCTGCTCACCTTGGGCATGATTGGTTCCCCGTTTTCATCCTTGACATAACGGAATGGCATCTGTGTGCTCTCGTTCTTGTTGATCTTGAGATCGGGATGATCGATGTACGAAATCTTGTCGACGGGTACTGCGCCTCGTCAGCATCTTACACCAGCATCCGGTTGCTCGACTCACCCTTGTCCTGCACGCAAATCCTGGTGACACGTACTGCTGTGTCGGTCGTCATCTGTACAGGTCCCAAGCGACGTCCTTGGTATCCTTTCTTGCGCAGCTCTGAAGTACGGTCTGGAGAGTACGTTAATCAACTGTTGCTATTTCGCATAGCACTGCCGGTTTCACACACCTCTTGGCGGGTCGTCTCCTGATCAGGAATTAGCTCTTTCTCTCTATCGTACAGCTTTGTCTGGATGAGCACGGATGCTTACCAAGTATACCGCCGAATAAGAAGATGTCGAATGTCTCGCCGTCCTCTGGGCTCAAGTCCTTGGATGCGGCAGGGTCCAGCAGACACACCTTGTCTTTTCTGTCCGCATAGATTTCTTCAATACCTCTTGTCTCGACATTGAGTCCCTTTGCACCCTGTAGGTTTGCGGGCAATTCCAACGACGTCGGTACGGAAGACAGCAGGAACTGTGCACCAGACTCATGGGATTCTGCCGCGATGCTGGCGTACTCCAGAGAAGACCACTCCTCAAGCTCAGGGTCCAGATGTTCCACTACAAAGGTCTTGCCGGTGCCAGCCATTCTTAATACGATTGGAAGCGGGATGCGTTTCCGGTCTTGTGTTGTTTTTGGTGTGAGATTTTGCTGCAACAATTAAGCGAATTGGCCAACGGGCGGCGCTTGTGTGGGATGTTCCTCAGCTTGGATGCTGTGTTTTACTTCCCGAATTCTGGATCGATGGTGAGAACCTTGAAGCCCTGCAGTAGTATCTCGCTAATCAGAGTAGGTGGTGGTGGGGAGCATGGCTGACCGTCAGGGTTTGATAAAGTCTAGAGCTAGCGCACTCAAGCAGCCTATCACGCTCAAGCAACTATTTATCATGGTAAGCGGGGAAGCATGCTTTCGTAGTTGCAAGATAAAAAAAGTGCATCGTGATTCAATCCAAGCAGTCTGCGAGGCGTGTTCCATGTGACGACATTACGCACACACGCCAATGGCACGGAAAATGAACAATTCAAGCCTCATCGAGATGGGCCCTGGCGATCAAGGAGGTTAGGAGGCCAATGATGTGTACGCGTGACGTTGTGAGGGTGCTGAGTCTGGTAAGGTCCACGGCAATCCAACGTGCATCCGACCAACGCGCGCAAGGGCTAAGATTTACACTTTTCGCGCGGAAACGGCTGCTCTGCCATTCATTCCTTGTGTCTGCTGCGTCAATTCACCCGTCAAGTAAGCCACGTCTTGGTGATTGTTTAAATCGGCCCACCCGTCGCCTGCCTACATATCCACTGCATCTACCCCTCCTTGGTTGACAACCTCCCTCGTGCGAAGCAAGTCGAGAGAATAACAACGCTCGAGTCTATTACATCACTCACAATCCTCTGCACACTCTACTACTGTTGTACACATTCAATCCTTTGCTCTTCTCGTCATCACGATCCCTCGCTTTGTTGCTTGATTCGCATCGTGCAGCGTCCCGGGCCGTTGGAACCTCGGGCGATCCAGGCTTATCGCATAGTCGACTGGATAGAGGGGCACTCCTCCCACTTGCACCAAAACATTGTCGTTTCAACAACGCCTGAACGATAAACCAAACGAGTCATAACACGTCAACGCTGTTGTGTTGTCAGGCAGCAGCAAAGACCTACGCCCGAGCTCTGTCGGCACCCAATCGTCAGCGCTGGAAGCCGGATCAATCACGTCTATTCACCCTGTCCCTGTCACATAACGGGTAACGGTACTCGCCCAAAGTGGTCAGCGCGAGCCAACGACAACCATCTTTTAAACAAATTGCGACCTTTTGACCCTTTTTCGTGTTATCCATCACACAACAAAGCCTCGACACGACACGGCGACTTTCGCGAGCAGCTGCCCCTCTAAAGAACGTCACTTGCGATCCGCAACACCACAACCCTCTACAATCGCCAACATGAACCCCCACCAGCAGAACAAGGTCGATGTCAGCGTACGTCACAATACTCCCTGCACGTTTCTGGAAAGCTCAGCAGCTAACATGGTGGTTCAGAAAATGTCAGAGCAGGAGGCCAAACTCTTCCGTCTCTATGGCAAGCTTCCCAACAAGAAGGACCTGCTCCAGAACAAGCTGAAGGTATGTCAAGCCTGCGAAGTACTGGATTCCTACTAACGATCGCTGCAGGAGCGCAAGTACTTCGACAGCGGCGACTACGCCCTCTCCAAGGCTGGCAAAGCTGGTGACGTCGGTGTCACCCAAGTTGGTCGCGAGCACCCCAACCCCGAGAAGATCCCACACATCGCCCCGCCCACCCCAACCGGTCAGAATGGCAACGGCAACGGCAACGGCCATGGAAATGGCAGCATCAGCGGCCAGGGCGAGCTAGCAGGTAGCCCCGTCAAGGAACACACCTTCTTGCACCGCGAGACCAGCCTGAACCGTGAAACATCGGCCTCCGATTTCGAGAACAACGAGAACAGCGAGGCTCAGGGAGGCGCAGTCAAGGCATAGCTGGCACGCCCATGCCACTAGACCTTTGCGCTTCCCTTATCTTGCACTCGTTTGGCGCAACCTTGGATGACGGTGCCCAAAATGTATCTATACGCACCTTCGAACGGCCTGAACCTATCATCGTTTACGGAGTCGGATGCGGCGTTCCGGAGAGCCTTTGATGGCGGCCTAGCCTTTGTATCGGCACCACAACGCCTTACGGCCAACATCTCCCTGGGTATGAAGTTGTCGAGCACAAGGACATTCTTCACTTCTTGTGTAGTAAACTTGACAGAGGATGGTTGGGATTGCTGAGACTGGAGCTTGTTCCGGGTTCATCTCGCAATCAACCAGACTCCCATCTTTCACGGCTATAAGCGTGTATGCGTATTTGAGTAGAAGACATCGTAGCAATATGAATACTGGAAAACTCACCGCTGTCTGCTTGTTGCAAAGTGACGACTTCGTGACTGTCAGCAGGGTACGCTAGTGAGGGCGCTAGACCACGTGATCGTTGGTGCCTTATCCCGACACACGTATATGTACATCCATAGGGACGTTGCGTGCCTTCTTATCTTCAGTCGTCTTTGCAAAACTACCAAACGTCTAGTTTTTTGAGCAGTTTTGTGGAAACATCACTGCACTCGTTTGTACGAACAGCATGGCTCAACACCGGACCACGCATAGCTCTTTGAGCTCGTCTTCGACCTTCTGCCTGATACTTTCCCTCCCAGCTGAGTTGCGCGATATCATTTACATGTACTCTTGGGGTTTTCGAACAATCGAAGCCTCGATTTCTTGTACCCCACCGACATCAATCCTTGCCATACCCAAAAGTATCGTTCATGACCGATTGTCCAAATTGTTACTTCGGCAAAGAGGCTTGCCGATCTGGTTATCGACATGCAGACAGATGCTAAAAGAAGGTTTGAGTTTGCTGTCGAGAGAATTCGCGTTCACCTCTTCCACACTATCTACAATCCAGCAAGTGAAGACCGTAGAAGAAACCGATATCCCAAACCGGTTAGTCTTCGAGGCTATCAAAACAGTGGTGCTAGATCGCGCAACACCAAGTTGGATCCAAGATGTAGATTTGGAAATGCAAGCCGAACACGAAGACGCAATACTGCCCACTGGGATAAACCTCGTGCGGTGCTCACGTTTGTATGTCAACACGAGGCCGAATGAACGGGGGTCCCTCCCAGGAACTTACAGGTTGCGAGATCATCAGTTGTTGCAAATCAAACTTTGGCCTGCTGATGAGGCGATGCTGAACATCTTGCATAAGGCTGGCACGGGTGTCAGGGAATTACACATGAACTGGATCTACGATGTTGGTACACTAGTTCCTGGTGACCAACCGGTTGTTAGGAGCAAGACTCTGGATGAATGGGTTGGTAAATTGGAACGTGTGAAGGTTACAGTAAGAAGTGAGCCTAGTAAAACTTTTGCTGGGAGGATGGCGACAGATTTGGTGGAACGGACTGCGAAGAGGCTTGTTGGTGAGAAAGGCAAGGGTGAGACAAGTATGAGATGGAAGGAGAAGGATATAGAAGACGATGAAGGGTTCAAGAAAGACGAATGCAAGATGCAGACAAGGTATGTTGTGGTGGAAAGCCGCAATGGGTGAGTGCTGCAGCGCACAACCTTCGCTCAGCCGGCGATTGGATTCTGTGTATCAATCTTCAGACAAATATCGACTTTCATTCTCAACGTAGGTGTTCCGGACGCAGCACTGACCAGATAAACGCTACGAAATCACTCCACCTCCGTAGGGTTTATATAGGCCCTGGAGCTTCCCGCATACACCAACAAATTCTACTTCCGCTGCTCGACTTAACACTAACTCCATCACGAGGCGGACTGAACATACCGCAGAACACACAGTCACTATTCATTTTCGCGTCCTTCTCACGCAGAAGATATGCTAGAGTCAGCCGGCCTTGTCACGCTGGTTTCTAAATCATCGCCTAACCTACTCCTTGATCTTCCATTGGAGATTCGAGATGAGATTCACAAGTACGCCTTCGGAGATGCTGCCCGCTCATTTGTCGTCAGCACAGAAATCTCAGCTTATGCGTTCGCAAGCGCTTCCACCTACTGAGAGTATGACCGAAACACTGGCATACTCACTGGCCTACTCCTCTGGATTCTGACTTGTAAACAAGTTTTGATCGAAGCAATGGACGTATTTCGCCGGTTCCGTACCTACCTCTTCAAAACTCAACAACGAATCTACCCAATTAGTAAAACGTATTGCAAAACGCATCTCTGTCCGCCTCCGAACACACTTACTTACGGTGCCAGAGGCAGAATCAGCAATTTTACCTTCCAACCTGGCAGCGACGCTTGGTTTATGCTGGGTTCCGACGAGCGTGAGATTGGGATTGATTTGGGCGAACAGAAAGAGCGTGACCGTGAGCGGCTTAACCTAATCTATCATGGACTTTGCAAAGACTCGTGTCTGCAGTTGAGATGGAGACGCTCGTGGCTTGATGGACATTGAGACTTCGGATCCAATCGTGTCAATTGGCTACAAGGTGAGAAAGAGATTCTTGATTGCTTTGTCGCCAAGTGGAACGGCTGGTTCCGCGAGGTGAGCGTTACTATCGAGTACTCTGAAAGGGATCGAACAATGATGCCGAGGATGATGGAACTTGCTGAGAAGTGCTCGCGAAGACTTGTTGGCAAGGCACGGGAAGGTGAAGTGAAATTCTGCTGGACAGAAGAGGCTTCGGTTTTACGGCTTAAATTTTGTGAACTCAACACTTGGGTGAAGACTCTGCTGGTTGAACGTAAGATTTGGAGAGGTCATTGCCACGAGCCTTGTGCAATCAACCAGTGAGCTCCTAGATAGACTCGGTGGTTTCTGAGATGTATCAATTTCCGCTGTTGTATTCAACGACATTGGACATATAGTCTTCATTTCAGCTTACTCAAACTGATACGGCGATAGTACTGTCTCGATTCCAAGCGTGAGAACCTAGGCAGCAATTCAATGAAGCTGAAGACTTTTATCTACTCCTTTTTTTTCACTATGGAAAGAAGACCGTGCCCATAATCACGAGCGCTGCTAGCATCATTACCGGTTCTCTTTCGCATATAACATTTCGCCTTGCCTTCTCTTGTCCGTTATAAACCCGAATCAATCTACAGCCGATATCCGCGCTTACCACAACCACTCGATCAACTTGGTTACTCACATCTCGCTCAGTCGACAATTTGACAACAGCCGCCTTAGCTGTATTCCACATCTGAAACATAGAGGACGACATGACTAGCAACCGGAACCCGCCGTCTAAGAAGCGCGCTGCATCACCAGCAAAAGGCAGTCGTACCTCCAAACGCTTACAAGTATCAAGCAAAGTGTCTCGTCCACCACTCTCGAAGATCACCTCTCAGCATGGAAGCGCGCTTCTAAGTCTCCCTCGTGAGATTCGAGATCAAATCTACACGAAGGCTCTCGAAGAATCACCTCTTACATTTCGCGTGGATAAACTCATGGTCATTGCGACACACAATCCGGAAGTTTCCATCGAGGCCTCGAAACCAGTATGTCGAGGTCTTCCACTCTGTATGTTATCTAGTCGACAGGTGCTTTACGAAGTCCTGGATCTAATTGCATGGACCTTCACTTTCCAGCCACTTGGGCGGATAACTGGACCTGAACGAGAACTCGCGGGAGCACCAAATTCACTTATCTTCACTAACGATGGCGTACGAAACATCAAGCTTCGCTACCTGGTCTTTAACACGAAGGAGTACCTCGGCGAACACCTGATCATTCCTTTCCTCAAGCTAACAAATGACTTGTCTCTCAAAAACGCGTGTTTGGAGCTGGTTTGGAGTTATACGAGCTTCCGGTACGCCTTGATGCCGGACGAGGCCAATTTGTTCATCCATGCGTGGGCAGAACACTGGAATGGCAGATTTCGCAAAGTTAAGATTGAAATTGAGGCTGAGACAGATCCTAAGCAGTTGTGGATCATGGGTGAGGCCGAGAAGTGCGCAGTGAGGCTGATTGGTACTGGTGGATCCGTATCTTGGAAAACCCTGGACAGCCGCGATGTTCAGTACTACAAAACGTGCAAGAAGCCTACTTCCTGGGCATGGTATGAGAAACGATCTGTAGTTGCTGAGCGCAAGATATAACAAAGGGGCAAACGAAAGGTATTCGCTGTAATTCTTTTCAAGGTACTTGCAGCATGTCGCAAGTGTACACCTTCAGTGTAGACTTTGTATCAAATACAACTAGAAGTCAGCTACTAGTAATGTAAAAATCTATGCCTCACTTTCAATGATCACATCATACCCGGCCTGCCATCCCGCCTTTAGTACCCTCATCCTCCCCGTCTCCGACACCTTGTTGCTCCGGTGCCCAATGGCGGTCCTCTTCACTCTTGATCAGCTCATGTACATCCAGCCTCAAGTTCACTATCTCTTGCCCGTTCACAAGGTCATTCTCATCCGCCCTCTTTCGCGCTTCCTCCTCATTCTTGGCGATGCCAGCCTTGACATGACGATGAACCAACCTCTTCCGCGCAACATCGAAATCTACATCCACGAACCAGAGCTCGTCCATGAGCTTCGCTGCTTCGTTCCAGGGCGCCTTGTCCAATGAGCAGTAGTTGCCTTCGAATATGACGATGCGTACGGATGGCGAGATGGCAATGTCGTTCTCGACCGGGTCTTTGAGCGCGTGATCGAAGCTGGGTGCATACAAAGTTGAACTCTCTGGACATATAGGCTCTCGTAATTTCTTCACCAGGCTGTAGAAGGAATCGCCATCAAACGTGAAAGCCGCGCCTCTTCTAGCATATGCGCTGTCTGGATCTGGCATTGCATCAAGCTGTTGGCGTGATAGATGGAAGCCGTCCATTGGTATGAAGGCTGCTAGTGGATTACTGTTGGCGGTACCCGGCGACTGTTGTGCATGTTTCTGGTTGAGTTTGGTCGAAACTATGGCTGCGAGCGTTGTTTTGCCTGGTGGTGGTGGTCAGCTGGTTGGAGAGCCAAATTTGCCATGTATGTACGTACCAGATCCTGGAATGCCAGATACTGCAATCAGCAATCGCTTCGATGCAGGAACATCTTGATATTTGTCTATAACCAGGTCAATGCGTGTGTTGTAACCTGGCGTCCGGTGTCATGTACCCCAAACCTTGTTCACGAGGCGTTCTACTTGCTCTTCCATGTTGATATGATGTTTGTAAGATGGTATGATGCTAAAATCTGCACAGCGTCTTTATATTTTGCTATCCTAGAGTCGATCGGGATCGCCAGTGTCCAAGGCGGGATGGCTGCTTTTTAGTTCGCCCGTCCGCACTTGCAGATTGTGGGGGCTCGGCATCGTGGGTGGACCCAGCATCAACCGCTGACGTCGCGCGGGAGCAAGGCGGCTGAGATCCGCAGCTAGCCTTTCTTCCATTGCCAGCGTTGTACCGCTCCTACAAATGTAGAACATCAATCATTTCATGTAGCAGACTCGAGCAGTACTGAAAGGTAGATGTGGCTTGGAAGATAGAAAGCAGCAACGCCATTGGCAGACATTTGCGGTATCTGGTAGGCTGTAGATCGGGTACCTTGCAACCGGTGTATTGTAGCTATAGCATCAAAGAGTGATGTGTAAAACGAATAGTGATTCTTATCGCGTGCCCTTGATTTGCGATTGGAGACGAGAGTAGAGTTGTTTTGGCCATGGCGTCACATGCTAGCAAAGCCCGTCGTCCAATCAAGACACAGCAGGGTCCAAGACAGCTCTGGCTGGGCATAATGTCCGATATTGCCGGCGCATTGCTGTCGCGGTCAGCTAAGAGCTAATCCAACGTAGCAGAGATATGCCCTGAAGCCTCGCGCCACCGCTGCATGTGTCTTACGGTCTAGTCTGCAACCAATTGGTCGACGTGTGGTGAAACGCGTCATACCCGTCATACCTCACTATGCTCCCGTCAACCCTCCTGACCCTTCTCTTCACGCTTCTCTCACCCACGTCCGCCATCGACCACAAAGTATCGACCAGCAACGAATCGCTGCTATGGGGTCCTTATCGCCCGAACCTCTACTTGGGTCTTCGCCCCCGCGTGCCCAAGAGTCTGGTCGCAGGACTCATGTGGGCGAAGCTGGAAGACGTTGAGACGAGTAAGTAGTCATGGTAAGGCTGCGCCTACAGTGCTGACCAGAAATGCAGCACTACGCCACAACGTAAACCAGAGCGAAGGCATGGCCCGATACGGTTGGATCGCATACGATGCACGAGAGGGCGGCAGGCAATCCATAGAGGATCCTGGGAACAAGATAAACCTCGTGACTGAGTTTGTAAAGTACTCTGAAGGCCAGAGCCAGGGCAATTGGGGATTGCGCGTACGGGGCATACCAAGACCAGACGCGCCGGAAGATTTCAAGACAACTGTAGTCTTCTACATTGGCATGGAGGCCATGGAAGCTTGCGCCGACTGCAAGCTCGAGGCGCGTCAGCAATTCGAACCTGACGACGACAAGACTGTCCAGGCAGTGAACATGAATATTGCGCACCCAAAGTTGGGTACTGCTGGTATCCACATTCCTGTACCTATCAACGCAGAAGAAAAGCGTGAGGTGGCATACATCAAGACGCTGAACGTAACAGAAGATAAACTATGGCAGGGCAAATGTGAGTGCAATGAATGCCAAATCTTTTCCACCCTATCTACCCGTATTCCAAGCCTCATCTGTCGGTGTGAGTAGCTAGCTGATGAGTTTGTGTGACAAGCCACCTTTCTGGATTCGTTGAAAGACCAGACCAAAGACCGTAAAGAGCCAGGACCAAATGACATCGTGTTGCGCAACGCCCCGAGTAACGGTAACATGCAATTAGTTCAATTAGTGTGCCATGGATCATTTGAGGTTAGTCTCACTATCTTATGTCTCTACCGCGATTGACTTCCTGTAGTTTGATATTCTTTATTCTAGCGATTCCGCGAAGCGAGCCATGACTTGTGAGTTCTCGTTTCAGCTATGTCACATAGCGAAGTGGGTTAAGATTCAAGCATACTGACACTCCCAAGCCGCTGGTCTCACCAGCAGTCTAGAGAGTACCCTCAAGTCTTTTGACAAGAACTTCGCCACCACGTTCATTCCGAAAACCCCCTTTACTACCGACCAACACCGCGCCTTTGCTCAAAGCACCCTGTCGAACCTATTGGGTGGACTAGGATATTTTACTGGTACTGCCAAGGTTGACACATCAAAGAAAGCCATCTATGCCGAGACGACGGGAAACTTCTGGCAGAAATCAGTCGATGCGAGGAAGCACTCTACACCCAAGATGAAAGGTCCATACGAACTTCTTACACATACACCGTCGCGCGCGGCCTTCCCAAGGGGCTTCTTGTGGGATGAAGGTTTTCATCTCTTGCCCGTCATTGAATGGGATGCAGATCTCGCTTTGGAGGTGATAGATGATTGGCTTTTTCTCATGGACGATGATGGCTGGATCGCAAGAGAGCAGATCTTGGGCGCGGAAGCAGAGGGTGGCACGCCTGCTGAATTCGTCACTCAGTTTCCACACATTGCTAACCCACCAACAATGTTTTTGGTCATTTCTAAGTTCATCAATATGTTGAAGGGCAAGGCAAAGTATCATGGCCATGACTCGGTTTATCTCGCCAAAGCTGAAACTGGAAAGGCCTTAATGGCAAAGATGTACCCGTACCTCAAGAAGCATTATGATTGGTTCCGGAAGTCGCAATCTGGAGATGTGGAGGCACATTCCATCCCAGCGGCCAACTTGAACGAAGGTTACAGGTGGCGGGGTCGAACACCGGGAACGAACTTCGCCAGTGGACTGGATGATTACCCTCGAGCAGAGCCTCCTGACATCACCGAATTGCATCTGGATGCATTGTGCTGGGTTGGCGTGATGGCGCGGACCCTTGAACGCATCGCTTTTTTGACGGAAAATGCACATGACGCGCTCACATTCCAGAACCACATCCGTGGCGTCAAGACCAACATCGATACCATACACTGGGCAAAGGAGTCGAACATATACTGCGATGCCGTCGTACGGAATGCCCTACATACAAATGCCTGTCATAAAGGCTATCTCTCAATCTTCCCGCTTCTCACTGGTTTCACTGATGCATCGCACCCACATCTATCAGCCATGCTTACCCTTCTTCGCGACCCCGAAAAACTATGGACGGACTTCGGCGTCCGTAGTCTTAGCCCTGGGGACGAAGCCTATGGCAAGGACGACAACTACTGGCGCTCGCCCATCTGGATCAACATGAACTACCTCATCCTAACCAATCTATTTGACCTCGCCCTGATACCCGGCCCGTCACAACAACGCTGTCGTGAAATATATATCGAGCTCCGTCGCAACATTGTCCATACTGTCTTTAATTCTTACCTCAAGACAGGGTACGTATGGGAACAGTACGACCCTATTAGAGGTGATGGACAACGCACGCAACAATTCACTGGCTGGACCGCACTGGTAGTCAAGGTCATGGCGATGCCTGATCTCGAGAAAGACGATGGCATGACGGAGAAGATGAAGGGATATTATCAGGAGGCAAAAAAGCAGGCCGTGCAGAACCAGACGACTGGGGCAGGCAGTTTGGTGTTTGCGGTTGTGTTCATGGGGTTCGTGTATCTGACGAGGAGGAGATTTGCGGGGACCTTGAGGAGTTGGCGGAGGAACAACTGAGCAGGTCATGAACACAGCATGAATACGGAATGCGCAAATGCGAAGATATGAATCTGTCCAATCATTGGCTTAGAATATAGAAGGGGATGGGAAGTCAATTACTATCGCGGCAATTACATTCTCAGTAAATGTATGCTTGCTACGTCCCATATGCTGTTCAAGCCGCCACTGACGATACAAGTAATCTAATGCCACCATCCGTCTATCTGCACATGCCTGCATATCCATCTTGCTGAGCAGCAGCAAGGTACCTGCAGAGGCTATAGGTGTCTGTATCCTTGTAGTAGACCACTGCAACCGCGCCACCGTTTCCTGCGGGAAACTGGCTGCCTTGCTCCCATTGTGGAATCTGGATCTGGAAGGTAGAAAGTGACGAGTCAGTAACGATTTACCAGCCAACGTACACACCAAGGATGCAAAGTGTTGATAACAGGCAGCACGCCGAGATCGTGTAAACTCACCCATTTATATGTATCATCTTCGTTGGAAGGGCACTTCTTCTTGTCATCAGGCGTAGTCAAGAAGCGCGATGCTTCTGGAACCGCATCCGTAGTTGCCCATTCCTGGACGACGAGATCTTGGAGTTGAGCTGCTGTGACGGGAATGTATGTGCCGTCGTAGCGCTGGCAGGCGGTGTCAGAGAAGCCGTTGAACGTTGCCGCTAGAGCCGAGGCTGAGAAGAACACGGCGGGGACAAGGTGCTGAAGCTTCATCTTGTGTATCTGCGAGGAACGGAGCTGTAGTGAAGGATGCGGCTTATGGTGAAAAGGCGATCTCAATTGACGAGATGGGTGAAGGTACTTATGTGTCTTATATTGCAGGCCCGGAATGAATGATATTCGCTCATGCACTGAACTACAAAGAGACGGGCATACGTCACACTTGCCGGGCTTTGCTGTCTTGGAAATACGGTCAGTCATTTAAAGGGCAGCAGAAAGGCCGAACACTCGGATATCACATTGAATATCGTAAGGACTGGCGTGTGTGACGGCCAAAACAACTACTCTACCAGCTCAAGCAAGGATAACGCGGAGAAGCCTCACAGAATTGTACTATGCGGTTGGTCGGACGGAGGACAGGTTGCGCGAGTATATACGTGAATAACGGTCTGAAGCTTTATCGGGCCGAATATAGAGTGATGTTATTCATTGTACTTCAGAAACATCCGTAGCTTGTCGCAAAACAGACATTCAGGCCACTAGAGGTGGCTGAGGCGGTTAATCAGCCGTGGCTGGAAAGACCGTGATACACCGAAGTGAGACCGGCCGTGTGCTAAGCAACTACGCCAACCCTGTCAACATCTGGTGCGTACGCGCTTCCAACACCAGAGATGGTGATGGTGTTAGTACCCGTAGTGCTGAAGCCCGACAACTCCACGCCGTAATTCTTGTACACATCTTTGTCCCAATTGTACCCGCTCAGAGGGAAGCTAACGGTCTTCGCGGCTCCTCCGTTCACGCTGATCGCTGCGACGCGCTCGTTGCTGCCGCCCATGTAGTCAACCTGGCCATTGATATAGTCAAAAAGCACTGTCTGTGTGGCTTTGGACGTGCGAAGATTGGAGATCGTTACACGGCCGTTCGAAGATCCACCCAGGTTGCCGACTTTGTTAGATGAGGTGCAGCCTGAACAAGATTGGGTGTTTGCACCCGAAGAGAGGGAGCCAGTTGATGCGGAGACGAATGTATAAGTGGGCTTCGTAGCTGTCGAGCGGCGAATATTGGAGAGACGGATGGCGAGAGATCCATGGGCTTTGACTTGTTTGGAAAGAGAAGCTCCGCTGATAGTCGTACCAGTCCAGAGATCCTTGATAGATGCCGAAGCTATATCAAGCTCAGAAAGCTGCAGGCTCAGCGTACGAGCAGTGTTGCTGATATCTACGACTAGGACAGCCATATCTCCATTAGCAAGATCGCCGGCCCAAAGGTCTCGATCTCCGCTCCAGCGCTGGTGGAGCGTGACCGGCTTGACAGCTGAGTCTTGGTTGATAGCAATCAGGTCCTTGTTCTGCAGAACAGCAACAAGCTCATTTGATAAAGCTGGAACATCAGTCGAGATCATCAGCGCCGACTTCAACATGGCCCATGCAGCGAAGTGAGTAGCTTGCTCATCAAACGTCATACCAGAATTGCCCACCATGAGTAGATCAGCATCGGCAATATGTCCGGGGCCTACTAGGCCGGACTTCGCAATGTGTACGGCTTGATTGTAGATGCGGAACATAGACGCCCAACCTGACGTGATGTCATCCGACAGCCGGAAGGATGTAGAGATGCCCTTAGTCCACTGAACAGGTCCTTGTAAGCCAGTAGATGTGCTGAAAGGTACACCCCATTGGCAGATCAGCAGTCCAGGGATGCCGACTCGTTGAAGTTCTTTCCACATGACGCCAAAGCGAGAGACAAAATCGGTCCTGGCGTTTTTGGGGGCGTTCTGGCTAGCTGCAGGTCCATCGGCATAGCAGTTGTCGTCTGAAGGGTTGTGAGTACGGCGATCAAGATGGAAGATTACTTCTTAGAACTCACATTTGACGTATTCGGTGTTCAGCGTCTTGAAGAAGTCGGCATCCGCAGCTTCGTGGCCCAAGGAGCCTAAGACAGGGCTTGGTGCTTGCGGATCGCACATGCGCACACCAGCATCCGAGTACATGGTCCACTTCATGCCTTTGGACCTTGCAAGGTCACTCAGAGGCTTCAAGCCGCCTGGAAAAGCTTTGAGATCCACCTTCAAAGCGCCGCTCGTTGTGTTACGTTGTCCATCTCTTGAGGCCCACCCACAGTCGATTTGGAAGAACTTGTAGCCTGCATCAACGAAGCCACGACTGGCGAGAGAGTTGATGGTGGTAGTTATCTTTTGGGTATTGGGACTACATGACATCTGGTTGTACGAGTTCCAGCCCATCACTGGCGTTTGCTGGAATGACTGCGATGCGACATGGGTCACCCCAGCGAGGGTGACAAGGACAGAGTTGGTCCACATCATGGTGAGAATATCTTAGCAGGCAGTTGTGTCCGTACTCAACCATCTAGATGTCTGGCATCTTTATACTTCTGCATTTTGAGTTTATCGTCAACACGAAGAACTGGCCACTAACCTTTTACCGGTGGAAGGAATGAGTTCATGCGAATGTCTCTCGTATATCGGGAGTACTCCTGGATTTGGAAAACCTCGCGCTCAATAATTTTGAATACGATGCGCAGATCATAGGGCTATGGTGCGCTACTTGATTTGCAACTTATTTCTTCCGCGAGATAAATTGACGTTTGAGGAGTATTGCGGGGACTCCATGATGCTGATTTGCTAATTAGGCAGTTGCGTGGCTGAATGCGCGAAAAGGGTTTAGGTATCGGGAGCCTGTCCTGTTTCCAACTATGCGAAAGATGCGTACAAGAGTACAGAAGTTATCACCCGGTTTCCCCAGCTTTCATGTCGCGGCGTGGGTTTCGACACCGATTTTCCCCACACCCGGCCTACTTTCCTTTTTACCCCGCGCTCGCTTCACCTTCCGTACTTGACAGCCGACACAGCATTCCGCCTTCCCTGAACTAGTATTCCGCGATGCATTATCCCCATGTTCGCAACCTCAACGCTGCAGTCGTCATTCTATCCTTACGCTCTGATCACTCGTCGCCTCTTCGCTCGGCTAAATCGCCGCTATCACCAGTCACAGAGCTCTAATGTTGACTATGTGGGCCCACGGTCTACGGGGTATGGGGGATGTGCTCTGACTCTGGGGAAGTACGGTGGATCTCGAGACGACCAAACGCTTATGAGGCTTGACAAGCTTCGCACATGAGGATAATGATAAGCGGAGAAGATCCCGAGGCTGGGTATGAGAGCCTGTATAAAGAGGCGATCCTCGCTGTGACCCCGTTGCACATCACAAAGTTCGGTACAGGGCTCTGCATTGTGCCACTTGTTGACACCCCTCAATTTGAGGATCTTTCCTCCCGATTCTTCGACTCCTTGATCTCACCTGCGACTACTGCCGCGTTCTGAGTGAGACGGTGGTATCTGCTCAAGCAGCACTCCACTATGGCGCGCAAATACCTTGGAGGCTCTGGTGAGCGACTGACAGTGTGGATTTCCATCGCTGCTAGTACGGTACTCATGTAAGATGCGATTCGAATAATCCTTGTCGTACCTATCTGACGCCTAGCAGCTTCTACGGTTATGATCAAGGTGTGTTCGGCAATGTCATTATCTCGGAGAACTTCCTTCATACGTTCGGATATCCGTCCGCGAATATGCAAGGTGTAATGACCTCCATATACAACATCGGATGCTTCATTGGAGCGATGTCTACCATCTGGACTGGCGACATCCTCGGACGTCCAAGGCAGATTATACTCGGTTCGACAATCATTGGTATTGGCGCAATCATCCAGACATGCAGCTGGACCGTAGCGAGCATGATGGTCGGGCGCATTGTGGCTGGACTTGGTACTGGCATGAACACAGCCACGGCTGGAGTCTGGCAAGCTGAGACAAGCAAGATGAATAGTCGAGGAAAGCTTGTCATCATTCAGATGGGTATGTGCATACCGGCATCTGTGATCTCATCTCAGCTGACATGTCTGTAGCGAACTGTATCACCGGTTTCAGCATTTCAAACTGGCTCACGCTCGGCTTCTCGTTCGCACCGCGCGATATAGCATGGCGCTTCCCACTAGCGTTCCAACTCTTCTTCACTTTCTGCATCTACGCCATGTGTCCTTTCCTACCAGACTCACCTCGTCTACTGATTCGCAAAGGAAAACATGACGAGGCCTTGGAAGTCCTTGCTGCTCTCGAAGGCCATGGAGCAACGCCGGAGTCAGCCTCGGTAATCACACAGTACAACATCATCAAGGACATCCTAGACCGTGAACATATGAACACGTACACGTGGATGCAGCTCCTTACCGGCAAAGGACCTAGCGGTGTCCTGCGGCGCATGCTTCTCGGTGCTTGGATGCAGGCTATGAACCAAATATCAGGAATCAACGTCACGTCTTACTACATGAGTTACATCTTCATAAATGCTCTGGGTATCTCGGAACTTCTTTCGCGCATCCTCGCCGCCGCCGGCTCAGTCGACTATCTCATATTTGCTTGCTTGGCATACTTCGTCATCGAGCGATATGGACGTCGCAAAGTTATGATGGTCTCCGCCGGAGCATGTTCCATCTGCTGGATCGTCATTGCAGCGTCCCAGGGTCAGACTGAAGCAGGTGGCGACTCGTATAAACTGGGTATCGTCGCAGTTTCGTTCTTCTTCGTGTTCTTCGCCAGCTTCGGAATGGGCGTTCTAGGCGTGCCATGGCTGTATCCAACCGAGATCAACGCCCTTGAAATGAGAACCAAAGGCGCTTCGCTCGCAATGGCGACCAATTGGATCTGTAACTATGGTGTTGTGCAGGCTACACTTCCCGGTATCCAAAATCTAGGCTACAAATTCTGGATTATCTGGGCAGTCATCTGCTTTTCGTTCATTCCGATTACATACTTTCTGTACCCAGAGACAGCGAACAGAACCCTAGAGGATATCGATCGCTTCTTCGAGACTCAACCGGGTATCCTAATTCATCGCAACAAGCTTGCTATCCAGTTACACCGCCCAGCCGAGTTTATCGAAGCCGATGCGAGGATTGCTGCGAATGAGGAAGCGAAGTTTGAGAAGGAGATAAGCACGGAGCATGTTGAGACGAAGGAGACGGTGTGAAGAGTAGCATACACCAAGTATAGACGCTCTTTGACATATATTAGCGTACTTGTGAGCAAACCAAAACAATGTCATTATAACAGCGCAATGATCGCTTCGGACGAACTATTTCTTTCATCACTAATAAGAGAAACTTCGCCGCGATGATACGCGGCTTCAAAGCCGTAAGACCGCTTGATCTCTCATCCGCCTGATCACTTGGCTGCAAGCCTTGCACAGCAAAGATCTTTGAAAAGCATCAGCTACAAGGCTTGTCTGGATAAAGGCTCATCCAAGCTTGGGCCCCCGGCACGCTAACCGAGAACGCGTAACTTCAGCTCATACCTACTACCAGCAAGATGTTTCCCAGTGACGCGGCGCAACAATTGATACAGCCGGCGTACTATATTTTCCTTCCATTTGGATCATTGCACACGTATTGCGATATTGCGCTAGTCGGGAGATGCCGTCACTACAGGGCTGGACACCGCCGATCTAGGTCTCTGACAGGGCACGCATGGACAAGAATAGGGTCAAAAGTTTGGCAACAGTGATCTGAGAGATTGCTAGGGGTTACTCTAAGCATGGATAGAGACTGCGGCCATAGATCTGGGTCCCTACTGCGATGACCATAGTGAAGTAGATGGTCCGAGTCAGGACTGGCAGGAAGTACATAATGCTCGAGAATCCGCGAGGAATGTCTTGCTTACCACCCAGCTCACCAAGCTTCTCTACAGTTGTTCGGGGATACCCTCTCGTTATCTTGTTATCTTCTCATTGTTCGTACGCCCACCATGCGACACTCATCTCGCGCCACGGCCGCCGCCATGGCAGTAACCGCCAACGCAGCCTCGCTGACTGACCTCTGCACCGTATCAAACGTACAGGCCTCTCTCCCTTCCAACGGCACTCTACTGGGTATCGATTTACTCCCAAGCACTGTAACCGCCAGTGCCGTCTACAATGCTACTCTTGGAGGTGGCGGTATGGCGTCAACAGCTACCGATGGTACTACCTACAACTACTGTAACGTCACTGTTAGCTATGTCCATACTGGAAAGGAATATGTCATTCCTCTCATCTTTGCCTTTCCCGAACCTTCTACCTTCGCCAATCGTTTCTATCTCTCTGGTGGCGGAGGCTACGCACTCTCCAGCGATGCGACAGGAGGTTTGCCATACGGCGCTGCTTCTGGAGCCACTTCGGCCGGCTACGATGCTTTCAACCAGAACTTCGATGCAGCAGTGTTATACGGCAATGGAACGATCAACTGGGACGCCACCTATGCCTTCGCCTACACCGCCCTCGGAGAGTTGACGAAGATTGGAAAACCGGTCACACAGGCCTTCTACGGGTTGAACGACACCAAGGTCTTCACTTATTTCGAGGGATGCTCTGACGGTGGCCGCGAGGCTATGAGCCAGGTTCAGCGCTGGGGTGAGGAGTACGATGGCGTTGTGGCTGGTGCACCCGCCTTCCGCTACGCACAGCAGCAGGTTCTACATGTCTACCCTGCTACAATCAACGTTGTCAACGACTACTTCCCACCGCCATGCGCGTTGGACAAAATTGTCAACGCTACGATTGCAGCTTGCGATCCTCTCGACGGACGTACTGATGGCAAGTAACCTAAACTATTATATAAGAGATGCGCTCTAACACATGTCGCTGCAGGTGTCATCTCCCGCACCGACCTTTGCAAACTCAACTTCAATTTCAGCTCTCTGATCGGCGAAAGCTACTACTGTGCTGCCCAGACCAGTACTTCCCTTGGCTTTGGGTTCAGCAAGCGTGGCCTCAGCAAGCGTCAGATGCCAGGAAGCCAGACCAGTGCTCAACCCGAACAGAACGGCACCATCAACGCCAATGATATTGCATTGGCGCAAGGTGTCTACGATGGCCTTCATAACTCCAAGGGCGAGCGTGCATACCTCTCTTGGCAGATTGGCTCGGAGCTTAGCGACGCCGAGCCAACGTACAACAATGCGACCGGCGAGTGGGAGCTCAACATCCCTTCCACTGGTGGCGAGTACGTGACCAAGTTCGTCCAGCTGCTCGACTTGGACAACCTTGCCAACCTCGACAACATCACCTACGATGATCTCGTAGGATGGATGAACATCGGCATGGTCCGCTACCTCGACAGCCTGCAAACCACTCTCCCCGACCTCACGCCTTTCCAGTCTTCAGGCGCGAAGATGATCCACTACCACGGTGAATCTGACCCTTCTATCCCTGCTGCATCCTCGGTCCACTACTGGCAGTCCGTTCGCTCGATCATGTACCCTAACATGACCGATGCTGAGGCTCAAGAAGCCATGGCCGACTGGTACCAATTCTACCTCATTCCCGGCGCGGCGCACTGCAATGCCAACGCTCTTCAGCCTGGCCCTTACCCGCAAGACAACATGGCTACTATCATCGACTGGGTTGAGAACGGAGTGAAGCCTAGCCGCCTCAACGCCACCGTAGCGTCGGGCACCAACGCTGGCGAGGTGCAGCAGCTTTGCCAGTGGCCTGCGCGACCGCTTTGGTCTGGAAACAGCTCTGACTTTGACTGCGTTGAGGATAAGGCATCCATTGAGAGCTGGACCTACACTTTCGATGCTTTCAAGGTCCCAGTTTACTAAGTGTATATGACCTAGGATGCTTAGGTTCAGTCGCATGAGCAACAGTTGATCTACAAAGGGAAGAAGCTGTGTAGGCGAAGACCATAAACTCTTGAGCTCATTGCGGTGATACTCGGTTTTGTATGTGGAATCATGTTTTGTTCTCATGCACTTCTCTCACTTCTTGTAATATATTAGAATGCCGCTTGACTACCACAGAATGACATCGGTTTTGAATTCCGATCACTATGGCTCGTTGCAATATCCATCAATGAAGTTCACTGTCAGCTTGTTCCGGTTTTCCTTCAACAATGTGTCTCGTCCGATTTCGAGCAAATTCCTCACGTCTTGTCGGCAATCTGAATGGTATTAGTCATAAGATACAAGGTCCTTACAAGAGACGCGTCTTACCTAGGAACAGCCCTCTAAGCTCTTTTCCTTGCCCACTAGCCAGCCATGCACACGTCTGCCCACAAAGCGAAGGCCCATCCTTGAATAGATCCTTGAAGAATTCCTCATCTGTAACATCACCGTACTTCTTCTTCACATCATCCGCAGCCGGAGCTACATTGCGTTAGCATGGACACAGCATCAACCTCGACAGATTTGGTTTTACCTCCGCCCATGTTCCCTTTGACACCACCCGGGTGTAGCGCATACATGTGAATCGCAGGATCCAGTCCATCAAGCTCCATCTCAGTCTGCAGTGTATGTGTAGCCCGGATGAGCGCTGCTTTGGAAGTTACGTATCCCAATGTCATGGGTACATCGACGGTACCTGAGCGGGAGGCGATGTTGATAATGCAGCCGTGTCCGCGTTCTTGCATTCGTGGAAGGATGGCGTGGATAAGCATTAAGGGCTGGAATTTTTTTTTTAGTGAAAATAAATTGACCTGATTAACGTGAACTTACAGCCTTGAAGTTGACTTCGATTTGTTTCCAAAATGTCTCGAAATCCCCCATGATGAAAGGCCGCTGAGTAAAAATTCCGGCGTTGTTCACCAGTATATCGATTGGTCCTAATTGCTTCTCCGCCTGCCCAAAGACTTCCTTCACTCGCTCCATGTCCGTCACATCGCAACCATACGCTTCGACCTTTCCTCCAAATGCTGAACATGTCTTCTTGGTTTGGGTGAGCTTGTCGGCGTTGAGGTCCAGAATGGCTACATTGGCCCCGGATTTCGCTAGCGATTCTGCGATGGCGGCGCCGATGCCTTGACCAGCTCCCGTTACTAGGGCTACCTTCCCGGCATTGGAGCCTTCTAGGGCAGACGGTACGATAGGGCCGTATGGAGCATGATTTAGAGGAATGGTACTGTAGCCGAATTGTGCTGGATCCATACTTGTGTTGTTCTGGTGTTCGATTTTAGAGTACAGTAATTTCGCCCTCTAGGACAGGATCTGTCGAAAAGATGTGGAAATTTGACATCCTGTATGTATACGGACGGCATGGTTCCGACACGGTACAAGTCCGATGCGGGGTGCTGTTGGGGTAGCTGTTGCCCCACACGAAGTATGTGGGGTAATTCAAAGCCGACTCGGTATTTGAGTATGGGCTGGAAGAAAGAGTGATAATGTCTTTGGGCTAGAAGGGATTCATGACTGGCGAAGCTCCAGGAAGCGTTCTGGCGCATCGCGAAACTGATGCGTAGTGACGTATTTGCGCGCGCTGAAAGAGGTATAGTGTACCCGCTATACTTCGGAGAGATCTGTAGCACATTGAGATTGCTCTGGACCTCATCTACAACAACGTGCTCATGGGCGATACTGCGACACCGATTCAAAGATGTAAGCCGGTCATCAGAATATGCACTCAAGCGACCCCGGTTGAATTGGGGATGCAAGAAAGACGAAAAGCGGTACGCGGCGCGAGAAGAGTCCAAGGACCCGACCATCCACGACAGCCATCCTCCACCCACTTCATCTACAGAAGTTCACAAAGACAGCGTCAGGAACCAAAAATCACAGTCTAAGAGACTCAACATATTAAAGATGCGAAATACCGTGCCATCGAAAAGGCCTCAAATCACCTCAAAGCGCCACGACAGGGATTTAAATTGGTCGCCTTTTGTCACAAATGCTTCAGGCATTTCTTGAGTCAGCAGCACATGATTCAACCATTGTTCGCCAATTCGTGGATACCTATTGAAAGATGCACTAGCACCGATTATGGCACTGTGGCGTCGCCAGAAATCATCCTTCTACAGCACGGTTTGACGACATAACAGCACCTTACGACACCTGATACTCCTGCATATTAACAGGATGTCGGTCATTGTCTCACGCTCATCAACTTAGATATCCCTGTGGATATACCACTGGAATTCATGGATTGCGGGTGAATGTGTAAACGCAGTCTGCTTGCATTCGCTATAAGTAGACGCCGCCATGCGTTCACAGTAAGTGGCTTCGAATCTAAACTATCTTGATCGTTGCCTAGGTAAAGATTTTACTGTGAACATGTCGTTCCTGAGAATACCAAATCCTGTCTTATTTCTCCCTATATTAGGGTGCCTAACATACCCAGCTTCTGGGGAGCAAGCGTGCGAAGCATCTTCATTCCAGGATTTGGAGCTATACGGCAGTCAAATTCTCAACATCACAACAAAGACACACATCAACCTGTCATTTGAAGCTCCCGCTGACCAAAATCATTACGCTGTCACTGTGAACGGCCTGAACGCTTGCGAAGTCACTATTACATACACACATCCCGGGTATAACGACACGATCAACACCGTCATCTGGCTGCCTTCCACTGAAAACTGGACTGGAAGGCTTCTAGGAGCTGGTGGTGGGGGTTGGGCGACAGGACCTGAAACTAATACCACGCTTCTATGGGCAGCTAGCGAGGGGTTTGTTGCCATTGCGACGGATGGAGGTCACATCGGTAATGACATAAGCTGGTCGCTAGTCAGTCCTGGCAATGTCAATTGGGTATTGTTGGAAGATCTATCCTCGGTTGCGCTAGATGATCTCGCCACGCTTGGGAAGGCGGTCGCGCATTCCTACTACGGTAGAGTACCAAGCTACAGCTACTGGAACGGATGTTCCCAGGGTGGCAGGCAAGGTTATATGATGGCTCAGAGGTATCCAAATCAATATGACGGTATCCTGGCAACTGCTCCAGCCATATACTGGAACGAGTTGATGATGCAACTCATCTGGCCGCAGGTCGTCATGAACGAGAATGGTACGTCCCTTGCTGATATTGGAGCAAATGACTAACACCGGGCAGGATTTCCGTCCCCACAGGAGTTTGAGGCTATAAATGTTGCTGCCACCGAAGCCTGCGATGGACTAGATGGACTAAAGGATGGCATTATCTCGTTACCCCAAGAATGCACTTTTGACCCGATGACCGTTGTTGGCAGACAACACATTTGTCCGTCTACGAACCAGAGCATGACGATCACAACCACTGTAGCCACGGTCGCCAAGATGATATGGCAGGGTGCCACGACAACCGAAGGCCGTTTTCTTTGGTACGCCGGCAACATCGGTGCTACATTTGCTGGCCTCGCTTCAACAACGTGTAAGAGCAACAATACATGTGTCGGTGTACCGTTCACCGTCCCCCAGACTTGGATTACCGACTTTGTTCTGCGGGATCGTGAGTACGATACTGGAGGACTTAACATCTCGTATTTCGAAGAGCTCTTCTACCAAGCTGTGGACCGTTATGATTCCATCATCGGAACGGCGAACTCGAACCTCGATGGATTTCGCAAAGCGGGTGGCAAGCTTCTCTCATGGCACGGACTTGCTGATCAGGCCATCGCGCCTGACGCGACTGCGCACTACGCGCAGCAGGTCAACGAGCGTGACGCGAATGCTAGCGATTACTATCGATACTTCGAGGCGCCAGGTGTCGATCATTGCGGCGGTGGGCTGGGTTGGTATCCTGGAGATGGTCTTAAGGCTCTCATTGACTGGGTAGAGATGGGTGTGGCACCCGACACGCTCGAGGCAAAGACGACAGCGGGTAGGAAAGCGGAACTTTGCTTGTGGCCGAAGCACTTGATGTATGTGACTGGAAATCCCGATGAGGCAGCATCGTTCGAATGTCGATAGGGAGTGGTTGCCGGTCACTTGCAATACGGACATACTATGACTACATTTTCGAGCGTATATGAGCATCGTGCCATTTCCTATTCAGTCAACAACTGCATACTGTTCCTCTATGATCCGAGTGGACCGTAGCCGGGCCAATCAGGTTTTCCAGATGTTGAACACGATGGGCGTAGCGCGAGGCTGAGCATTGGGGATGCTCTGCGCTTCCACCCACCCCAATACAGGTCTTGTACTCTCCTTACTTCTGTCATCTCCAACGACATTTTCCTCATCATTTTTCTGTCTAATATGTGGCATTCGCTCGAACAAAACCTGTGCTAAGTCGAAGGTACAGACTCTCTGTCCCTGATAAGAAGTTAGTGGATGCGTCACAAGGCTGGAACGCGCCAACAAGATGGCGGAAGTTCTCGCCATCCTCGGTGAGCAACGTGCCTGTCCCAAATGCATGTGCGATAAATATTAACTTCATACGCTCGAAGGTGGAGTCGGATCAATTGTTAGTATCGTGGATGGTATAAGCAAGGTCGTTGGCATCATCAGAGATCTTCAAGCCAAATGGGGTGAAGCGGATCTCGCTTTACTCAGTCTGGCGTCCCAGCTCACAGCCTTGCGGGCTGCCACAACCAAGATCCAAGAGTGGATAGACCAGGATCTCCAAGACACCCATCATCAGCTTGTGATGGATTTAGACGTGTCTATTTCTTGTTGCAAACTGTTGATAGATAAGGTTGAGAGTTTTTTTACCAACATGGCGCAGCTAACAGAGAAACCACTCGACCTTCGCAATAAATTCAAGGTTGCTTTTGGTAGCAGCGGTCCAGAAAACGTACAGAAGCTTATCGAGCACCAGACGAGCGCACTGACTCTGTTGTTGACCGCGTGCAACTGGTAACAACTGCGACAACCTAACTCTCGACATTCCAAGCTTATATGTCCAGCAAAACACTCTCTGCACAGCAAAGATATCTCGAAACAAGTAAAAACCGTAAAGTGCTCCATCGGGCGAAAGCAGATTCGGTGTCACTGTATGTCCATCGTGACTCTGCCTCCCTTACCAGCAAGATGACAGATAATCTCTCAAAGATTTCTCGTGTCTTTGAATTCGATTCAAACATCTTTTCTACCGGAGTCTACGAGCGTGCATTTCGAGGCTCGGTCAGAGACCTTCTAAGAAGACGACAGCAGAACATGACGGCCCAGTCATCGACCGCACAGAAGACAGAGTCTGTGTCAACGTCGAACAGCTTGAGAAAGATCCGTATCTTAGGGCAGGATCACACTGGCAAGGATTTACTAGTCAATTGCATTGAAGCGGCTCATCTGATCGACCAAGAGCAATGTCGATTGTACAACTCGAAGCTCCAGGAGCTATGCATCGATCTTGTATCCACGATTGTCAAGGATCGCTCAGATGTCTGCGATGATGAGGATGTGCGGATTCTCACATCATATGCAGTCTTAGAACCACACTCCAGTCAGACTTCAGTGCGTAAAGATGCTCTGAATTCTTGTGTGAGGATCATGAGGAAAGCAGTAGAACTGAACGAAGAGTTTTCTTCAGTTGCTTTCAACTTTCCAACTGATCGTATTAAGTTCGAGGATATGGTCTTTTGGGTCAGATGCATACCTGGTCGCGGGTTAAGTATCAACAGTGGCAATCTTGCAGCAGAATTGTATGCTACATTGGCCCTTGGAATCACATATCTATGCTGACTGGATCTCAGTTTCATACATCAAATGTTAGACAGTCCATTTCCAGATCCTCCCGATAATACCGATTATTTCACAAGCTCCGCAGCGTATGGAGCGGAAATTCTTAGAGCGGAAAGAATGACGGAATCTCCCCTCGCAACAGTACCACACGAAGGCGTATCTTTTCAAGTTGCTTTTGGGGCTAGAGATCTGGTAACCGTTATCGATGCGCGAAGTCACTATCATGAGGACGAAACTGCGCTTGTGTTTGTTTTCGACCTCCAAGACTACAGCGTTGGTTGCCCACGATTCGAAGAGCTCAAGGGAAGGATTGAGAGAAACTCACTCCTCTTAGCAGAGTCGATCGTCTTTCCTCAATTCCGGGTCGTTGCAATTGTTCTCAGAAATTTTGGCGCATTTAAGAAACAAGTAAAGATGTTTGGATTTCCATTGGAAGGCAGCCAGCCTATCTTTAATGCTGACGTCGCGGTCGAGCATATAAAAATGAGTCTCAACAGTCAACTCAAAGCACGAGGATGGCGCTACACCTTTACCCTAAACGACAACAAAGATATGGACCCCATCGAGACTCTTGACCGTCTTCGAGAGCTTATCGTTGGTATGAAGAGATCCTCCGTAACAGCTGGGAACACATCGAGACCAGGAAGTCAAATTCGACTTTCCAGCAAAACTGTTGAGAGCACCGGCGTTGCTTTTTGATATCTATCGACTGAATATCTATTCTACGACAAGCTCATCGTTTTTTCTTATAACTAGAAAGTTACTTGTCTATACTCCAGTTCTTGCATGAGAACTGTGAAAGAATTGAACACGGCATTGTAGCCTGGACTTATTGGAGAAGGAGTGCCTCGAAGACCAACGCTTTCCAGATTTGTTACATCCTCTTTTGTTTGAACGATGCGACTGTTGATGATTTTGAATCTCAAGTCCGCAACAAACTCATCAGAACAGTGGGGTGGGTAGCATTGGCCAAATGTATCTCTGGTCATCGATCTGAAAGTGTAGCTTGGATCTTCTTGAATGAGTGAGTGTGATTAACCTCATAGGCTTTAGACTCTACATGGTGTTGTGTTGCACATTCTGTGGGCTTGCGAAGAGTCAACCTTGGGTGCGGCCGTTCGTGCGTTGCCTTCGAGTCGACCAGTAGTTACTGGGACTGACGTTGTGGATGGTGTGATAAAGCTGCAACCATTAGCTGTCTCGACAAGCCATGTGAAGAGGATCTCAGTAACGTCTACACTCTTGGTAGCTATTGGCGATGAGATTCTAAGCAGTTCGGACGGCGTGTCACGTCGTGTTACTTTCATACCAGCACATGTCTTATCGTTATCGCCACGTGAGCTAGCGCCGTGTCGTTCCCCTCCTTCAGCCTAGCATTTCTCAACTCGTCATCCAACTATACTCAGAAAAGAAATCACCATGGCAAAACTTCTCTCACTTCCCAACGAGTTGATACAGCACATTACATCTTTTCTTCCCTGCTCCTCAGCTCTCAACCTTCTCGAAGTCGACCGAAGACTACGCAACATCTGCAATGATAAAGTGGTATTTCAAAATATTGCAAAGTACAACTTAGAGCGATCTCTTCTTTTAGAGAATGGCATAGAATTGTCAGAAAATTACTGGGCGGAAAGCGACGCCATCCTGACGAATATTCCTCTTCAACAGACGATCCGTTTAGCATACGCAGCCGAACGATGTATACAAGCCTTGCTTCAAAAAGACGATAGATGGACATTGAGCACATCTAAGCGGCTCAATTCGTTTAAAATCACAGAATGGCTGCCACAGATGATGGCTCTTCACCATCCAGCCGCCTTAGAGCTCAAGCCTGAGACCTTTTTGCAGCTCCAAGGCCAAGTACTGCTTAGGATGCGGGTGCCGAAATCGATTGATCCCGACCTTCTCAGTGCCAACTTCGTTCTCAGCTACACCCTTCTTGCACAACTCAGAAAGACTAGCAACGGGAAGCAAGTCAAAGAGCCCTTCGACCGCTTCTTCTCCGTGAACCGTGCCACAGATCCACCAATCACACTGAGTAATGGGGTAAGAACCGATGGAGACGCTATCAAAAGTCTTAGACAGCGAGTGCGGGACTATGGCTACTTCGGGGATACATTTGACTTGGACCAAGCTACGACATTGCTCCCCACTCTGATGCTGGAGCTGGAGCTGTTCACACGTCATTTTACTCCAAGTCACATCACCGAGCTTCCCTCACCTACTGGGATACCTTTCTACTCTATGATGAATGTGCCACCTGTCTTCGACATAAGCAAATCGCCCCCCTTTGGAGACGAAATCATACCATTCGGCTGGTGTCACCTTGACAAAATGGTGTCGCCCGACTTCCTCTCTTCCGGCTGCTGGACAGGCTATTACTCTGATCAGCGACGTTACTTGGGACGACGGCGTTTCGACCCTGCAATGCGCGATATCCAAATCGTTGCTAGGAGGATATGCAAAGAAGAGCTAGAGGTCGACTCTTCTCTCACGGAATGCACGATAGTCGATCAGCAGAGCCGGGGAGTAGATGCAGTTGGAGAGTTCTCATTACAAGGTCGTGTTCAAGACGACGGGTTTGTCTATTTGATAAAGAGATACTTCTCGGAAGACACCATGTGGACGTGGAAAGCTAGGATGACACCTTTTGGTATTGTGGGCATGTGGGGAAGTGATCAAGAGAGATTTGGAGGGTACTTTTGGATATGGAAGAAGGAGTGGTGTTGACACAGTCAGCATGCTCTCTTGACACGTAGAAAGATGATACGATGATCTCACGAGAAACACACGATTAGAGATGGATAAAAGACGAGAAAATGGCCTTGTTGATTGGAGTAGAGCCTTTTCCTTAAAGTGTCGACATTCATATGTCTATCTCCGTTGATGCATGTAACGAGGAAGGCATAACACCACAATGCGTCGCCCTAGTATGCCTCACAAATATCATCTCAATACCCAAAAACCCATACTCTCATGCCCCATATCCAGTAAATGCGCCACCACAAACGCCATCAATGACCATAACTACGTGATCGTCCTATTCTAGGTAGACATTCTAAGAGCCTGCCTAGGAAGTGTCCATAGCATCACTAGCCGGCGCAGCAGCAGCATTACGCTCCGCCATTTTCTGAGCGAGCAAATTCGCCTTCCAGTTCTGGATCTCCTCTCGGAGTTCGTCGTTGGGGATGACGTCCTCGATCTTGAGTGGCGTGCGGTTGAATGGATCATGTGGGTCGCTTAGAAGATGTGCTTGGATGGTACCACGATCGACGATTTGTTTACTGACAGGGAGCGTGACGGGGTCTTCCATGAGGGAAGCGAGGATGGGGTCGAGGTATTGGTCGGGGATTTCTCCTAGATCCGCTTCGACCATGTCGGCTTGGGCCTTTGCTTCTTTGATGCGGTCTGACATGGATTGCCATTGTTCCATCTGCTCGGGCGATTTCAGCTTGAAGCGCTGGAGGATCTTGTAAGCTTCGGTCATGTATTCCTCCCGATAGGAGCGTCCGTCCGTAGCCACAGCATCGATGAACGACTGCTTGCTCTCTAGATTGAGGTAGACGTCGGTGACCTCAGCCAGCATGTTCCTGGGGTTCCAGCCATACTCCTCAGGGTTCTCGACCTTGAGTTGCGACTTCTTGGGGCCCACAAGCGCCTCCAAATTGTAGTCCAGCATATGCGCTAGTCGCACGACGACCTCCTTCTTGGTGAACGAATCGGCAAGCGCCTCTGTGAACAACTTCAACATGGCAACGGTCTCATTGGTGAGTTGCATGTAGCTCTTAGCTTTCCCTTGAGCTGACGCCAGCTTCTCTTCCTGTTCTTGACGTGCAGTCTGCTCCATATTTGCTGGTGCATTCTTCAGCTCTCTTGAAAGATCATGAATCTCCTTGAACGCGGTAAACGACTCATCTAGAACGAATGTTACATCGTTCAAAAGCAGGTTGACGAATTGGACGAAGAAGTCCAGGTTGACACGCGCCTCGGTAGCAAGATGCTCTCGGTAGATTGGGTTCGGCCAAATACACTTAATGACTTGGAAGATTTCGTATCGTATGTTAAACTTGTCGAAGAATTGCGTATGGGTTCCTGTGCTCTCACATTCTATGTAGAACTTCATGAGCGCGTGCAGCAGGTGCTTCATAGCGAAGTCGTGCGCGAAGAGCGTGTCGCCAAGCACGCCCTTGGGTCGACCAGGAATCCCCCACACTCCGTGGAACAGAATTGTTACCAGACCGGACTTCAAGTATGGATTCTTGATGTATTCTGAGCTTCGTAGGAAAGCGATACAGATCTTGACCAATTCTTCGCACTGAGTGGTTGTGATGATGTGCGGCATGTAACGAGTGATGAACTTGAAGTTTCCGACAATATCTTCGACGAAATATTCAGGCAGACACTTGAACTCTACTGGCTGCTCTTTGGGCAGAGGCAGCTGGAGCTCAGACTTGGGGAAAGAGGTTCCGGGCGAAGCAATCCGTAATAGCCATACGATGACATATCGCATCAGTTGCATAGACCGAGCCTGCATAGTCTCGTCAAGCAAGACACCCTGGATTGCTAGGATGCTGCATTTACCCCGCTCGATCTGGTCCTTCATCTTCTTGACATGGTTATCAAAAATAGCAAGCTGCGCCTGGCTGGTCATGTACTTTGACCGCTCAGGTTCGAGCTTCACAAGCTCCTTTTCGAGCCACTTCACGTCCTTTTGAAGGGTACTCAACTTGGTGTTCGCAGCCTCCAGACCATAGTGATGTGCAGCGACCGTCAGGAAGAAGACCTCGCTAATGAAGTTGTTGGTACCCGAGGCTTTGGTGCTATAAAATTCATCCGACGTCTTTTGATCAGCGTTGATCTTGGTTTCGTCTTGGATGTCGACGCGAGGCGATCGGCGTAGGTAGTCGATATCGATTCGATCAATCTTGGCGAATGTAGCGTCCATAAAGGGCTCACACAGACGGTCTAGTATGACTGTCACATTGACCATGAAGCCGTCTGACGAGACTTTCTTCTTGTCGACTTGCATCGCACGCCTCATGTGGTTCTTGTTGACCGTCAGCGCTAACCAGTCTAGCATCTTCTCGCGAGACTCCTTGTTTTTGATGAAAGTATTTGTGATGTCGAGCAGTTCTTCCTGATGAGTCTGGAGGGTCATGCGGACGGCGCGTTGTGCGTTTGCGATGAGTCCCTTGTCAACAGCGGATGAGCCAGCGAAGTAGTTCATAGCCACTTCAGCCTGCATAGGGGACAACCGAAAGAAGGGCCCCAAGAAGCTGTGTGTCTCGATGTGTTGGGCCTCGATGTTGGCAGGTAGAAACGTCTCGGACTGTGCCAGAGCAGCTACGAGTGGTGGAAATCGGACAAATACCCGCAAGATTAGCATGTGAGGTTTGTAGTCGCCGTTCATTGAGACTGTGGAGAGACGCCTGCTGACGTCTTCCATGGCACCCACCAATGCCTCCCTAATCATATCGTCTTCGCCTATCCGTTGACTCGCTTCAGTGAGGAATTCGTAGCAGATACCGCGCTCGTCGTCGGGCCCGAGAAGTAAGCGATCAGCTAATGCGTTCTCTGCAGGTGCTTCCTCGCCGAACATGTCTGGCATGGTAGCAGCGAAAATGCAATAGCTGAAGCACAACCGCCGAGCCTCCTTGACGACATCGAATCGTGGTCCAGTTTTGTTTGTGAGATTCTTAAGCACCTTGGATACACGCTTCCAGCAGCTCATCAGATACTCCAATGCTGAGCCTTGTGTTTGGCTCGACGCTGCCTCCAATATCACAGAGTCCAACAGATCTGTACTTAGGCGAACTGGCCTGCCCTCATCCTCAAGGTCGCTCTTGGCACCTGATGCAAAGTACAGCTTGTGACCATGTGCATCTTGCGTATGGGCCTCGTCCAGGGTTATTCTGAAGATGTTGCTGAGCGTCCGGTCCTCCCACGCTTCTCTACTCAGTTCCGGCGCCTTCTGAGCGGGCTGCGGCGCTGGGCTGTTGCTCACCGCGGGTTTGATGGTGATGCGCTTCTTGGGCGGCTCGTCGGTCTTGACGCCTAGTTGGGAGAAGGGGTTTGAGGATGAGGTGGGCTCAGGTTGAGGCTTCGGTCGTGGTGCCTGTGATTCGGTAGGCTTGGGCGATGAAGTGCTTGATGATGCGGCTTCGGGCGCTGTTGACGGCGGCCGTGAGGGACCATTTGGAGTCGCAGGACCGCCTAGCTTTGCAAGGCGCTTTGCACGGATCTGAGAAATGTCTTCGTCAGCGTGTCTCTTTGATGGGAGACTAACAGGCGGGCTCACTTTGTCAGCGTCGGACATGGCATCAGGCTCGGCGGCGGGAGCAGGCGCAGCATCAGGCATTGCGCTGTCTTTTTGGTCAGGCATTGCGCTGTCTTTTTGGTCAGACATGGCGCTGTCTGGCTGCTCGGGTTGCTCGGGTCGCTCTTCTTGGTGAGGTTGGTCGGGCGGTCGGTCTGCCATGATGGCGTTGTGCTGCCTTGAGGCTACAGTAGAGCTTCGGCGATGGCGGCTGTCAGGGTGTGGGACAGCGAGAGAGTTGAGTTTGCGAGAAGCGTGGCAGTAATTAGAATAGAGGAAACAAGATAGAGAAAGAAATAGGCCGTGGCCGTCTTGGTGTTGTTAGACGTCGAGTGAAAGAAGCGCGAAGCGTGCAAGTGCGTCAGTGCTATCCTATGGTTACGGGACCCGGAGCTTCTAGTCTGCCCCGCCACTTAGCAGCCTCGCTCGCCAACTCACGTGTACCCTGGAATCTGGACGAAGCGCGACGAAGTATAGTCTATGGTAATGCAGCGATTATGTCCGCCCTTATCTCCGCGTCATTTAGATCCAAGAATGTATAGCTGCAGACATGATTGTCGCGAACGTCGTTGTTTGGCAAGCACAATGAACAGTATGAGACAGTCCCAGTTCGGCTGGTGATTCTCCGCACTTTCCTCCGTGTCAATCCTCATCGACGCGGGAACCCTCGCTCTCAACATGTTCCTGCCGATTGACTAGCACAGCGGCCAACGGAATGTGCCATGTGCTGGTAGGGACGAGGAACACTGCTCAAGCCGATACTAGACATGTTGACCTTGGCATTCTCGCTCCACTGTAGTTACATCATTTCTGCGAACGTGACGATTAGCTCCGAGTGGGCACGGGAGATCAGACAGACGGGGTGTGGAGGGGATCAGATAGACGGTGTGCGTGTGGAGGGAATCAGATATAGACGGCGTGTGTGCATGGAGGGAATCAGATATAGAGGTATCTAGAGCGGTCGCGCCGTTGATGGCCAGGAGCACGCGCACTCGCTCGCTCGGCAGGAACAATGCTGGGGAAAGGGCAGGCGAGCTGTCACATCAAACCTGAAACCCTTGTTGCTACCAAGTCCTTGCCAGGGCAACCAGGGCGGCCAACAGCCGACTGCGCAGCGAATGGCTGGACCGGCTGATTGCAGCGAACTGGCGATTGCTGGCGAGCAGGACGGCGGTACGGTAGTGGTGGTCATTGTTGCCCATCAGAGACATGTCAAACCATGGTGCTCGCTGCGTTGCCATGTGACGGGCTCCGGGGGCGTGTGCATGGGTAGTTTACCATGTCGGTTAGTAGCAAGGCGCTTGATGCAGATAGCTAATCGCACCTTCTCCTCTTCTCTCGGCCAACCTACATCCCATCGCGACGACGCTGCACAAACCCTTTACGTGATTTTCAACAGAGCAGCTGTCCAGGTACGTCACATTCACTCTCCTTGTCCGCCCGCTAGGCCGCAATCGCCGAAGCGCTGCGTGGCGCAAGCAGCACTCAGCCGCAGTTGTTGCAGCACGACCCCCGTTGCGGCCATGGTGCCTAGAGCCATAACACCCTGAAGCCGCTGTTCTCCAACTTCAATCACCGCCAGTCCTCCATCCAAATACTCACCACCTCCATAACAGACTTGCTCAACCCACCGCCGTCCTCAATAACCCCATCACACACGACACCATGGCCGAGATTCGACGAAAGCTCGTTATTGTCGGTGACGGCGCCTGTGGAAAGACCTGTCTGCTCATGTACGTCCCCAACCAACCAAGCGCCCCATCCATGGCCTCAACCTCTCTGCACACGAGTCCGCGATTGCTAACGCCGCCCTCTACAGCGTCTTCTCCAAGGGCACTTTCCCCGAGGTTAGTACTCACCACTCGCCGCCTCGCCTGGCATCCCTGAGCCGCGTCAGCCTAGTAGCTGGTCCGCATCCACAGCGCACCCATCTCTGCCATCCGACTCCACAACGCCCCTACTAACACGCTGCCGTGCAGGTCTACGTCCCCACCGTCTTCGAGAACTACGTCGCCGATGTAGAGGTTGACGGCAAGCACGTCGAGCTCGCCCTTTGGGATACCGCTGGCCAGGAAGATTACGACCGTCTCCGCCCTCTCTCCTACCCCGACTCGCACGTTATCCTCATCTGCTTCGCCATCGACTCGCCCGATTCGCTTGACAACGTCCAGGAGAAGGTACGAGACATGTCTCACGCGCGTCCAAACAGCACCGACTAACAAACAACAGTGGATCTCCGAGGTTCTGCACTTCTGCCAGGGCCTTCCCATCATCCTCGTTGGATGTAAGAAGGATCTGCGCTTCGACCAGAAGACGATTGAGGAGCTACACAAGACCTCGCAGAAGCCCGTGACACCCGAGCAGGTCAGTAGCCACACTCCATCTACCGTATCCACACTAACGTGACCAGGCCGAGGATGTGCGCAAGAAGATTGGTGCCCAGAAGTACCTCGAGTGCTCGGCCAAGACGAACGAGGGCGTCCGAGAAGTATTCGAGCACGCCACCCGGGCTGCTCTGTTGACCCGGAAAGAGAAGAAGACCAAGAAGTGCTTGATCTTGTAAGCTTGGACAAGACTTTGCGACGATATAGGTCGAAAGCCGCCGCAACCGCGCGATGTTGAGCCTGGCCAAGAGCAACACTGTGGCGGCTATCGGGTGTCTAATAGTGGTCTATTTGAGAAGGAAGGGCAACATGTCATGGGCCGGTAGGGGTAGCAGACGAGTCGACTCCTCCAGTCTGCTTGCAGTCCATCTCTGACGGCACCTATACGAGGCGTTACTGTGCTGGATCTTTTGTGTTTGGACCGTACATCATCTTGGGGTAGTTCATGATGGGGTTATCTTCTCAGAGCGTGTGGATCGAGATTGAGCAAATGGTAGGATCTTTCTAATAACCGGTGCTTTGTTTTGCTCTTATCGTGTCTACCCATACCAATCGTTGAGCTGGGTTTATGAAGATATCCACCGTGACTTGACTTGACGCTACATTCCCATGCTGCACTGCCGTGAAGACTCACGAACCTCTCGGATAAGTCAAACTGACGTCGCAGCCACGGCAATAACAGGCTGAAACACGCCCATCATCTGCCCTTATCTCGCATCAAAGACTGCATATCTCTACTGACTCGTTCCCACCTTGGCCTCCACATAACACTCCATCTTATGCATGCATCACGTACCATGATTGTCTCTAATCCTCAATGCTCGGATACGTCGTTCCGATGAACCGCCCCGCTTTCTCGCCTCGAGCTTCCTGCATCTGCTTGGTCTTGATTTGGGCCGGTGGATAAGGCGGTAAGTGGAGATGTCATGGGATCAGGCCACCACTTCGGCTGGAAGCCGAGTGGACGGGAAAGTGTATTGCTGCTGTACAGTATTCTATATATGAATAGATGTGTACCAAATATGATAGAGTGTACAAGTTTCTACACTGTGCTCTTATGCTGCTCCCTGAATCCTTCCTGGAGCATAGCTATGCTGATCCGATGATGCTCTGTCCCTAAACGCCGTGCTAGAAATGCTATCCGTATATATATGCCAGATGCTATATGAACATTGAAACCGCTGTAGATGCTCCAATGAATAGGAGGAGAGAAGATGAAGACCGAGCAGCAGCACCGCCTTGCTGATTCTGAGGCTGGCCACCACCCACAGATGTCGAACTGGCTCCTCCAGTCTCAGCTGCTGTCCTCGATCCCGAAGGAGACGCAACACCTATTGAAACCAAGTCAGCAATTGTCACTACTATAATCAAAAGAAACAAGTTCAAACATACCTGTAGAGCTCACGCTCTCCGTCCCCGCAACCAACTGTTCGTCACCCAGAACACCCAAGCCTACCCTACTCTTCTCGAAATCAAAAACACTATACACATTCTTCAGGAACACGTCGCCAACCAGCCACTGCGCGTCCCCAAAAGTTTTCCTGCCTACAATATTACTCCTGCACAAAGCAGAATCATCATCCTTATCTCCCACCCAATCCGCCGTGGAAATGTTATAGATGCGATTGTTGAAAGTAAACTGCACCACAGCCTTTGTGTCGCAAGGGACAAAGAACGTCTCACCATCCTGCTCGAAGCCCTCGACCTTGCTATGGATGGCCAGAGCATCAGGTTCAGGAATGAGTATGAAACTCGTTCCAGTGTCCATAATCGCCGTCCTGTTGGTACTTCCCGTGGTGAGATTGGCAGAGGAGCCATCAACCCCAGCGTCTTGTAAAGGTACCTCCCAGAACCCAGATTCATTATCCATGCAATCTAGGTAATTCAACTCCCCACTAAATCTCTCTTTGTTCACCTCGCCCAAGTTCAACTCGCCGTCCAGTTTACCGTCGGTGTCTCGGGAGAGGTGGATACCGTACATTTTCGCACCGATGAGTTTCTGCGAGGACAAGATATCCATGATTTGGGTAGCAGCAATTTCATCTGTTGTACTGACACCTTGTGTGCCGCGGCCGATGCCTAGGATGCCGTCCATGGGATATGCTCGAAACTCGTCGGACACGTTTGTTGCGAGGCCGAAGGTGAGGGAGACGGAGAGGGAGGTGCCGATGTGGAGGGTATCGGTTGCTAGATGACCTGAAGAGGTACCTGTGCCGTAGGTCACGCTGAAGGGTGTGGTTTCGTCGGTCTAAAGATTGGGTGAGCATTCATCTCCAGGCCTTGATAAGAGACATCTAGGAAGAAACCTTGAAACTTACCTTTAGTGTACTTGAATCTCCTGTCCCGAATGTAGCATGCGTCTTACACGCTTCGCTCCCACAATCTTGCCCCATGACCCAGGTATTACTCGCTGCCGAATCGAGCAACATATGGTATTCGTCTGAGCTGTCACCGAACGTTACGGCCACCATGTAGCTGAGATCACTGCCATCTTGGTCTATGGCTACGCTGTTCTCTTGGGTTGGGTTGTTCGAATTGACGATGTTGTAGACGTTTTGGCGCGCATGTAGAGGCGTGCGCACGCGACGCAAAGGGACTGTTACGGAACGCGTGTTCTCATCGTGGGAGGGCTGTGGGGAGGTTCGATGCGAGCGAGATGTGGTAGAGGTCTTGCTTGCGGAGTAGTGGTACGGGTAGAAGGCCGTTGCTGTAGGTAGGATTGCTGCTGAGAGCGCGAGCCACGTTGGTAGTGAGGTGTGCATCGTGTTGGTGACGTCGATGCCGAAAGTCTGAGCTCCTCAATGCTTTTATTTCTGGAATTGTAGGTCCTCCCGCTGGATACTCTTGCGGAGATCAGGTATGAAAGCTGATTACGAGCAATCCTTATGAGTCGATGTTTGGCGCGTCCCGTTCGTTGGCAGCCTTGGGCGCTTGCAATCCGATCGTCAGGTTCCAATGTAATAAGGCGCAGTAAATGGATAGACAAGAAGAAGAAATAAAGAATATACAGAATCCGCCTCAACGAACAGCACCAAGGTAAGACTCTCGGCTGAAAAGATAGTCCAAAGCGTAAATGCGGGTGATCGTCCAAGGGTAAACGTGCTGCCCTTCCAACGCCACGGCAATCCCAAGTTATCGTAACAAGAACAACGACGACAACGAAATGGAAGAGAACAGAATGGAGGAAAGAGTGCAGGAACAGAAAAGCCACCAACCCATCCTCTTCCAGCTCGCGCCTCCACCAAGGTAAGCCTCATCCAACATGACGTCCTTGGCTCTCACAAAGGGTAACGATATCGATGCGGAGGACGCGCATAACGGAGTTTAGTGTGGGGCGCTACCGTATTTACCCCTGGGACGAACGTTGTTTGAAACAGCGAGCTCATGTCAGACACGACCAATGACAGCTGCATGATGTTGCAATCTTATCGCATGTGGCATTTTCCCAATTGGGGGATGCTGGGTTCGCACTGTTTGATTTGTTGATGGAGATAGATGATCAGTTTGCGATGGGAGCTGGGCTTGGCTTGGCTTATGCGATGTGCACCTGAATGGGTGGAGCCGACGCGTCTCTCTACGGAACATGGCATTTTGCTGATGCGTCTGTCTGCAAGAGAAAACATGTTGATTCAGTAGCAATAGCAATTGAAGACATTATATGATATCATCGTTCTTTCGGGTTCGTTCGTATATTCTTACAGGTCGGTCATTCAGAGAACTGACTACTACTGTTTGGCAGCCGCTTGAATCATCTCCGGTGCCTTCTTAACACCCACAATCTTCTTTGCATCCATGATCTCCAGCTTACTCAGTCCCATACCACCCAGGTACTCATTGAAGCTACCGAGGATCTTCTCAAGGCCTTCTCTGAGACACTCCCTGGCTTCGTCTACTTCGGGAACCTTCTTCCTCTCCGCCTCCGGCTTGTTGAGCGTCTCAATGTCACTCGAATGAATAGGAGCTACTTCCATATACTCATCGATCTTCTTGAGCGCAATAGTGAATACACGTACTATGCTCGGAATCCCTTGATGGAAGCGACCCATACTGTCTTCAGCCAGTGAAAATACGGCAAGATTTGTCAGAGCAGTTGCGGCATTGCAGACTCGAGAAAGCTGAGAGTAAGGTGCGCCGAGAACAACGATGTTTGCTGTCCGTTGGAAGGAATGTTGGAACAGCACGCCGACTGGGGAAGAGACAAGCTTGTTGTAGTACGTCGTGAAGAATGATTCAGCCTCCTTGGCACCTTCTTGAGCCTTCTTCACTCCCCTGTTGATAGCTTCACGACTGTATGCTTGCTGTGCGTTCCCAGGGGCGCTATGTGACTTTGCAATGCTGGCTGTTGTTGCCTCGATATGTTCCCATCTAGTGTTCGGTTTTGGTGGGGCAGCAGATATCGGCTTATCGTCCTTGAGCGGTTGTGCAATGCGAGGCACCAAGCTGACAGGTCCGGCTGGCTGGTCCTGGCCAGATCCGCTGCTAGGCTGGTAGGCGGGATCAAGGCCAACGCTGACACGATCGACAAGGAATTTGAGTTCTCCCAGACAAAGATCTGTAACTTGCTGGTGTGTCGGTGCCTTCTTACGTTCCATTTCGCTGTAGATAGTCTTGCGGCGATCGGGGAAGGCGTCCGTTATAAGGGCTAGTTCCCAGAAAGCAATGGCCTGGATGCGTTAGTAATGAACGACCTGATTGAACGGCTTTTGTCTTACCCTGACAGTGTCCTTCTTCGACTTGAGTCCATTCAAGAGAGATCCATTGGGATCTGTGGAGTCGTTCGTGATAGGTACATCGTTCTTCAATGGTTCTTGCGCAATGTACACGTCGAAGGTCTTGTTGACAAACTCCCAAATCACGACCAGCAGGATTCCTTCTGTGATGAACATGAAGCACAGAGGCAGAAACGGTGCGAGCCCGGTCGGCGTGGAAGTCTTGGACAAGCTCCAGAGGTATCGACCAAAGCTGTAATAGTAGCTCCAGATCAGGTTGCGGGTTCCAATAAAGTAGAGGGCAAATCCGACAAGAGCGATGACCGAAGCCAGAGAGCTCGATAGGGTCGCAATGCCCTTGAGCTGTTTGAAAAGGACATTTCTCGGCTTGGGTGCTCGTCGCGTGGGTGTTGCAGCTGCCGCGTCACCCCGCTCCTTCTTGGGCTTCATAGCTTGTACCTCGATCTTGTCATAGTCCCTCCACAAGTGTATTCCAGACTGTGCTGCTGCCAGGACGTAAAAGAGATAACGCAGGTAAAGCGGCCTCTCGTTCAGTCGGAATCGCTCGTGCATGCGGCCCGCCTCGATGAAGTTGAGTCTGTCCTTGGTACCCCGCGACCAGATATACGTCTCTACAAACATCATGGCAGAGAAAGAATAGGCGATGAGCGTGACCAGTGTCGCGGGACGGAAGAAGTACTTCGTGAATGTTTCCGCTCGGGTCTGTGTTTGGCGCCGGCCAACATGCCACTGAGCAACGCGAAGGACGTAGATGGTAAGGGCGGAGAGGAAGATTAGGAGGGTTCGAATGCCAGTAAGGCCTAATGGAAACCATAGCCATAGCACTGTGTAGAGTTAGTGGATATCTTCAACACTCCTCCAGTACATCTCACGGTTATTCCATTCTCCCATCCAGCACGCAATCGCATAGCATAGCAGCAGCGTATAGCGACTGGCCTTGTTGAATCTTCGGTGCAGCGCTGGCGTCAGGTAGTCCCTGTATGGGCGCACTTGGGTTCCAAGCGGTGCGAGCGCCATGTTTGCGAACGATTTGCGGTGAGAGAGCGTATGAGTGAGGAACTGGCTATATCATAGCAAAGAAGCAAAAAGATGGCGTCGCGCCAATAATCGATCGAACGCGCTGGTACTGTAGTGTGGAGTACCTCAGCAGCAGTGAAGGCGCCCGACTTTGTTCAAACAAACATTGTTGATCGGCGGAGCTACCACTTCGTCGCCGACAGATGCATGCTTACATAAGGGACACCCGCCTGTGCCTTGTGCCATGTGCCCTTAGCCGCGGTCCTTCGTCATCGCCGCAGGAACCACCGAGCAACCAACCTCCAGGTAACCACGATTGAACCTCTGCACCAGGCTGCCGTAGCTATACACACGATCGCACAGCTTCACACATCATCTTGATAGTTTTGTTGGAAATAGCCAGTGTCTTCCTCCTTATCCGACAACATGTCGTTTCAACGCTCCAGCGCCCTCGAATCGCAACCCACAACATGGCGAAGGGAAGACGATGCGTCTTACGCCGATGACCCAGAGTTCCGCGATTTCGCTGACAAGCTTTCCGATGACCTCTTCGCATTGACTCGTAATGTTGCCCGTCTGTCGCAAGAGACCGCCAAGCTAGGAACCAAGCACGAGACAGCCCGCGTGCGCGAGCGCGTGAAGACCACCGTTGAGGAGACATCGGATAAATTCAAAGAGCTCGGAGAGGGATTGAAGAAGATTACAACCTGGCCTGATGTCGGAGTATGGATGCACAGCTCTTGGGATGGAAGACAGTAGCTAACGGGAACAGCCATCGCAAAAGTTTACGCAGTCGAAGCTCCAGCGCGAATTCAAAGCCTCGCTCACCGAGTTCCAACACCTACAGAAGCAAGCGCTAGAGAAAGAGAAGCAATCGGCACAAGCGGCACGCACTGCCCTGCAAGACGTATCATCGCCAAGCGAAGAGCGGGGAGGGGAGTTCGGGCAACAACAAGAGCAGGAGCAGCTGCGCTTGGCAAACCAGGATGAGGTCGACTTCCAGGAATCCATGATCATTGAGCGTGAATCCGAGATCCGCAACATCGAGCAGTCAGTCGGCGAGCTGAACGAACTCTTCCGCGATGTGGCGCATATGGTGCACGAGCAGGGAGCTCAACTCGACATCATCGAAGAGAACGTCGAGACTACTCACGACGCGTCGAGAGGTGCACACGTGAACCTCAAGCAGGCGAGCAACTACCAGAAGAGTGCGAGGAGTAAGGCGTGCATTCTTTTGCTTATCCTCGCTATTGTTTTGGTCATCATCATCCTTGCCGTTGTCCTCGACTAGATGATACTTGCATGCTCTCTTTAATGGCTGCTTCTGTTTGTTTTGGGCGTTGCATTGAATACTTGGGAGGGATCTTATACCATGGCGTGAAGCGCTCTAGTGCGATCCATTGCAGATTTCTGTCGTTTTCGGATCATGTCTTTGCCAACTCTGCATTTTGGCTGTCTATTACTTGTCATATGATGGCTCTTATGTTAGCCACGTCATATCTAATTCATGTTCAAAAATTGTTTGCACTACCGACATCCTTTCCGCGACAGCTGGCCGCTCCTTCCTCCACGTGCCATTCTCGTCAGGGCCCAGCTTTCTGTGAAGGTACGCTTTGAAAACCTTCTCTCACTTCACTCCATTCTCACTGCATACCTTGTCACTCCAATTCTCCATTTTAGCACCGTTTGCATGTCTCCAGGACTTCCCAACCCGAATCTGGCTACTACTACTGAGAGTTCATTCGATCTTGACGATCTTGAGGATATTAGCGACTGGGATACTGACCAACTCTCGCCCTCCTTCTCACCCTCGGCACGACTCCAAATTCACCGATCCACCTCTTTGCAGACGGAGGGTATGAGTAGTGCGACGATTTCCACCCCAAAGGCAATGCCACCGCTTCACAGGTACACACTTTCTACTCAAACGCGGATTGGAGCTGACAAATTAGTGTTATAGCACAGCATGGTGCTATAGCAGCCATTATCGTCGAAGTTGGCCCAGACCGCAGAAAATACCACGTCCAGAAGGCATTTTTGACTCACTACTCGGAATACTTCTCTAAGGCACTAAATGGAGCTTGGAAAGAAGCGAAAGACAAGATCATACGTCTGACCGACATCGAGCCTGCCATCTTCGGCCTGTTCATTGAGTGGCTGTACACTCAAAACCTGCCCAATCTCATCACCCTCGACGCGAACAAAATCGATCTATCTAGTCGATTGTGGAAGATCAAACTGTACGTATTCGCCGACCGATTCGCAGTGAGTCGATTGAGAACCGCTCTGAATCTGGAGATTGTGAAGCTTACAATGCCTCTCCACACATCTATTTGGGATTATGCTTCTATCGTCTATGCTTTTGCAAACCTCCCCTCTACGGATCCGCTCCTGGATTTCTTCGTAGATCTTCACTACGCATACTGGGATGACACGGGCGACGAGTCTCAGGACAAGGACAGATTCGACGAATTGCCGCGGGAGTTCCTCTTGCGGTTCTTCAAAAGAGTAGGAACGGAGAGATGTTTTAAAAAGCGATTTCGTCTTACCGGCTCTTATGATATCGATCTCTGCAGCTACCACGAACACGCAACAGACCAGGAAAAGAGGGAATGCGGTCATCAATCCAAGCCGCAACCCAAATCGATTCCTCTTAAACGGGGGCTCAGAGGCATTGAGCGGGCAGAAACTAAGTAGCTCAGAACGGAGGAAGAGTCGTACCCTCTTACCAGAGAAGTTACCCATTGAGGGCTCAGCAAACCTCAACAACACTCGGCGAAGTCCATAATTGTTGTTTGACCAAGGCCACTCCCTTGTACTTTTTCAGCTTATAGCATTGTACACTACATAAGGGTATCTACTCAACATTGGCGATTTAGCTAGCCACAGCCGCTCTATGCGCTGTTAACAGGCTCACCCTTCTCATCAATCAAACTCTCCTCAGTCTTGACCGGACCCTCACCAACACCTGTCAAGATAACTCTGCTGACACCCTCCTCCAAGAATGCGATAGCAGGGCCTGCATCGAACTTGACCTTCTCGAGCGCATCAGCGTTGGCCTGGATAGCCTGGCCCCTCTCGCCTTGCCATCCATCCTTCTCGTTCAAGATTTGCTTGAACAGACCTGCAACTTCTTTCTCGTTCTCCTCAAGGTAGTATACAACTGCATTTGGGCCTGCATCGAAGGTGTACGCAGCGATGATCTTACCCGCCGCAGCGTTGATGCTCTCGACAACCTTAACGGCCGCTCGGGAGACGTCGTTGAGGTAGAAGATGGGAGGGAAGGTGTCCAGACATGTGGCGTGGAAAGAGTTGCTGTCCATCATGGTAACCTTGCCAAACGCCTCAAAGTCCTTGTTCTGGATAGCCTCCTGCATCTCCTTCATGCGTCGAGGCACAGTCTCTGTGGCTCTTGACTGGAAGAGGCTGGATGTAGCGACAGTGGTCTGCATACCAGTGGTGCTGGACACGCCCTTCTTGGCTGCACTGACAACCAAGATGACAGCGCGCATGTTAGGCCAGTGGCTTGCGGGCGCGACCTGGAAAGCAACACTGTCGCTGCCATCTGAAGCAGAGCCTTGTTCCCAGCCTACGTATCCACCAAAGAGCGATCGGCATGCTGAGCCTGAGCCCTGCCTTGCGATGCGGGAAAGGTCGGTAGGCGAAGAGGGGAGCTCGTAGAGGTTTGCAATTGCACGGACAAGAGCAGCGAAACCGGCAGCCGAACTAGCCAGTCCAGCAGCGGTGGGGAAGTTGTTCTCGGAAACAATGCGCAGGGGAAGGTCGGCCAATTTGGCTAGGCTTGAGTCCTTCTCCTCGAGCTGTTTCCTCAGCGCCCTAAGCTCCCTGAAGCATGCTTGTGTCCTTGCACCAGAGACATCTTGCGATTGACCGTTGAGGAGAAGCGTGTCCTCTTTCGGGTAGGTAGACGAGCACGAGGCGGTGGTGTGAGTACGGAGATCGGACTGCGCAAGGGTGACGCTGAGGGAGGAGTTGGTGGGGAGGTTGAGCTTGGGGTCGCGCTTTCCCCAGTATTTGATAACAGCAATGTTTACGGGCGCAGTAGTGCTGGCACGATGGATGTCGGACATCTTGAAATTTGGTATACAAGACAGAGGGAAAGAAGCAAATTACAAAGGGTAGCGGTGAAAGTCGGGGGGTTTTGGTGCAGGTGGGGTTTTGTTTATACCGGTATGCAGGGTCTAGTTGGATGCGGTCTAGAAAGCGCGGATCCAAGACAGCGACTTGTGAAAGCGGAACTATCCGTCGCAATGACAATGCTGACAGGTTCAGTCTTGGGAATTGGTTACCCACTATAGAGTTTGTTTCGTCTGTAGAAAGACAAGCGTGCTGGACACGTCTTCAGCGGTAAATCGCGATAGTCCAAAGCCAGCCAATCAGCATTGGACGGTTTCCGCAAAGGCCCGTGCCCAAGATTTCTCGAACTGCTTCCGTCACCATCCCGAGTCTCTCGGAATCTCCAATCCACACATCTCCACCATAATGTCTTCACAAGACGACCCAGCCGCAGCCTGTCCGGTCGATCACAAGACTCGCGAAGCATGGCTCGCCCAAGCCCGCGCCCAAAACGCCAATGCACCCTCAAATCCTCATAGTGCACCCATACCAACACCCGCCGCCCCGCCAGCGCCCTCACAATCCGCCGTCCAGCAATCATGCGATTCCTCTTCCCTAGACCAAAGCACAACATCTCCCCCCCCTTCACATGCAAGCATTCTCTCCCAAATACGCCTCGGCACCGACCGTGAAGTCAGCACAATACCACGCGCCCTCCCCGACAACTTCGCTGCGCCAACCACACCCGACGCCCGCCCAGCAAACAATGAGCGGGACACAGGCGCCGATAAGAAAACTGGAAACTGGATCTACCCCTCTGAGCAAATGTTCTTCGACGCCATGCGCCGCAAATCCTACGATCCCTCCGCGCCAGACATGCGCACCATAGTCCCCATCCACAACGCCGTCAACGAGCGCGCCTGGCACGAGATCAAGTCCTGGGAAGCGAATCGCGGCGCGGAGAAATGCGGAGGACCTAAGCTCGCTTCCTTCTCTGGGTTAAGCACTAGTTTGACTCCCAGAGCACGGTGGAAGAGTCTGATGGGGTACCAGCCGCCGTTTGATAGACACGATTGGGTTGTGGATCGTTGTGGGACAAAGATTGAGTATGTGATTGACTTCTATGCGGGCAGAGATGAGGGAAAGGTGGGGAAAGCGTTGAACTTCTATTTGGATGTTAGGCCCAAGTTGAACAGCTGGGAGGGTGTCAAGATGAGGATTGCTAAGTTCTGGGGGTTCTAGATATAGAGAAGAGAGAAGAAGTGGGCAGTGTAGGATATGATGTGCGTGTGTATGATTAGTGAATCCGGATCGGAGTATGGCACTGGACGAATATCTTGATGAGTATGAAAAGATGTATATAAGGGTGCGGAAAGGGAATAGAGTAACTTCGCTCAAGAAGGGAACATCCTGCGCCTCGACGCGCGGTTGATGCTACCAAACGCCTCTATACGCCATGCGTGCATCTAAGACTAATCGTGTCCCCAAGGCAACTCCCTCAAAAGACCGTTCAAGCCGACCATCCACCAGCAAGAAGATACTGTACGTACAGCCAAAACTACAAACAAGTCTACCCATATCAAATGTACCAAAGTTCCTGGCTTAGTACACCTCCAGCCCTAACTTCCTAAGCTTATTACAATTCTTCAACTCCATGTTCCGCGCCTTGTTCATAGCTTCTTGGTCCACACTGAACCAACCCTGTGCTTCCTCCATCGCTCTCCTCTGCTTGACCCGCTCGTTCTGACACCGCGTGTTGGTAATATGAACGTACTGATTCTCAGCCTGCTCATCCAATTTCCGCCACTTCTTCGGTGTGTAATCGTGAACGTCCTTGGGGTCGACAAAGTAGTCGATCTTTATCCGCGTAGATACGCGCTTCAGTGTGTTGGGGGAGCGGGGGGTTTCAAAGACGAAGCTGGGGCCTGCGGATGTGCTACTTGAGCCGGAGAAGAGAGAGGAGAGGAGGGGTAGGACGAAGAGGAAGAGGAGAGGGAGGAGGTTCGCAAAGGCTGAGGAGACGTTTTGTTGGCCTTCGGAACCGGGGGGTACAGCGGTGCCGGGACGTCTGCGTGGTCGGCCGCCGCCGAATTGGTGAACGCGTACGCCGGGGCCGCCGCCTAGGTTGAAGACAAAGCCTGGTCCTGTGTCCATGCCGCCTGTGGGATGTTAGTCTTTTGTTGATCGGTTCCACTTATCACAAGCACTGGAATCTGGTTGAATGAGTGAATACATACCAAAAGGCCCTCCGAACGCACCGCCAAAGAACTGTCTAAACAACTCTTCGGGAGTCATTTCCTCCTCAAACCCTCCTCTTCTCGCGAACCCATTTCCGAATGGACTCGCACCACCTCCACCATTCGCACTAGCATGCGCTCTAGGATCGAACCTCGCATCAGGGTCCCCACCAAATTGATCATACTTCTTCTTCTTATCCGGATCACTCAACACCTGGAACGCCTTGCTGACCAGCTTGAACGCATCATCCGCGCCATCGTACCCATTCTTGTCCGGATGCGTAAGCAGCGAGAGCTTGCGGTATGCCTTTTTGATATCCGAGTCTGAACAGGTAGCTTTGACTTCTTCGAGGCCGAGGATCTTGTAGTAGGCGGTTGGCGCACACGATTTGATGCGTATTACGGCGGCTTTCTGCTCCACGGTAAAGGCTCGGCCTGCGCTGCCATCGTGGTGATCGCGCGATTTGGCGTCGGAGCCAGAGGTTTTGCCGGACATTGTTTGGCGGACGAGTTTATGTGTGTGGGGTATTGGTGTTTACGGGGTGGGAGATTATGCTGCCGGGCGGGCAGCGGTGTCGAAGGAAGGCCGATGCGCAAGTGTGGGCAGCCGGTAGCGTTACAACGATGATTGCGATGTGTAAGTGCGTTGGATACGATGTCGTCCAGAAGACACGGTTGTGGTTGTATTAGTCGTGATAGGCGTGTTATCTGCCTCTGTTGAAGTTCGCGAGTTCCGAAGGCCAGTTTCCAGGTGCTGGGTTGGCACGGGCTGACGGTCCACTTGCCGGACTAACGTCATTCAACTTCACCCAATCTCAACCCATGTACCCTCCAGCGACTGTTCTTCCAGCACCGAATCCGTTCACACAGCCATAAACTCCTTCGCGAACGCTGAGAAGAGATACGAGTGTCACGATGACTGAACAATCGAAGCAGTCTGTGCTCCAATCGCTGAGGAATTGGGGAGGTACGTTCACATGTCACTTCCTGGTTCATCTCGTTACTCACGTGTTTCATTTTGACCTTGATATTCCGATACAAAATTGCTAACCTTACTGTTCCCTTGTAGAGAACTCTGTACCACCAACACTCCTGGCCACCTTGATCACAGCCCAACATGCGCGTCCTTTCCAGTTTTTCCCCATGACGTTTACGCCTGTCCTGCTCTTTTCCTCTTACCTGAATCTGAGCAACTACAAAACCGACGCTGCCGGTATCACGGCTGCATGGAGTGGTCTCTATGCATTGCTGGCCATGCGGAGAAGTCAGGTATGCTTGCATTGCTCTACCAAAAACAATACCTAGACAGTGGCAAAAGCTAATCGAATACTAGGGTATCAAGAACAAGCTTAGTGCTCGCGGCATAGTAAGGGGAGGATCACTTGCTCTTTGTGCAATCAATGTCGCAGGTTGTGGATTAGCCTACACATTTGGCAAGCGAGAAAAGGAGGAGAAGAAGGCGTAGAAATCGAAGACGCTATCATGTGTAACATTATGTATCCCTAAGATTGTATGCTCTAAAACTTTCCGTCTGGTCTGATTGAAACTCACCAGGTGTAAACCATCGCAAGGACGCCGTCGCTATGCTGAACAATCGACATCATTTGCAAGACACCATACCACTACCAGGCATCACCCCAGCCTTCTTCTTCGTCTTCATTGGCTTTCGGTTCTTCTTTCTTGACCTCTTTCTTTGGCGGCACGATGACTTTCCTCGTTGTTCCTGTTGTGCTCGATCTGCTTCCAACCGCCGGCCTCGCTGTCTTTGCTACTGGCGTTGCTGATTTAGTAAGACCCTTTGGAAGAGCATTCTTCGTTGGCTTCTTCGCATTGGATTGTGCTGCTAACCAACCAGCAAAGTCCGGTTCGCCTTTGTCGTCATATGACGTCGTAGATGCTGGCTTCGACACGGCTGGTGTGCCCCATGGATCCTCTTCCTCTTGTGGTTTGTCCTCTTCATCAGCAAAGCCGCCCCAGTCATTGTTGAAATCCTCTGCCTCGTCATCAAAGGCCGCTGCTGGGTCTGGTGACTTTATGGTAGGAATAGATGCAGTACTCTTGGCGCTATGAAGGGGCATCCCTGGCTTTGTCGACATTGGAACTGGCGGTTTGTTGGTCGTAGTAACAGCTGGCGGTACTGAAGACGATCTTTGATCCACTCCGTTGGTTGTTGAGCTGGCTTGCATCTCGCCAGCTGTTGATGCCAGCTTATTGGTGAAGCTTGATATAGCCCAACCAGTCCACGAGGTACCATTGGCAGGGGTCCCTATGCGTGGAGTGGATTCTCCGCCAGACGCGAGGCCTGGTGGCGGGAGTACCGTGTCCGGCATTGTGGCGGCAAATTTGCGGATACGTGCGATGTAGATGTCAACACTCTTCTGCGCTTGATCACGAATGAGCTTCTCCTTGTCCACCAGTGACGGACACATGATGGGAAGGAGTTTGGTTGCGCAATCATCCTCGCTAAAGAGATCGGCTGTTGCGGCCAGTGCCAGGAGGGCAGCATTCCGAGCGTGCACAAACGGATCACGTAGCGAGCGAGAGAATGCAGCAGCAAGGACCTTGGCTCGACTCTGTGCATATGTCAGTATCTGCTTTGTATCTCGAACATATCGGAACGTACACTAGCTCCCAAATTGCGCGCGATCTTGCCTAGACAAATTGTGGTGTTCGTCCGAATGCCAGGCTGCTCGTCGTTCGCGGTTTTTGCCAGATGACGAAGAAGCTCACCATTCACTACCCGGTCCGACAGCTTGGGTACTACTGTGAGGATAGCCTTTACGGTCTGTTCCCTCACTACGGGCGCAATATCTGAAAAGCCAGTCACCTGGTTGGGTTAGCATATGGGTAGTGGTACCTAAATGGTGCTCACCATCTGTGGGAAGATCTTGTCGTTGACAAGCTTCTGAGGTAAGTGGTCAATCATGAGCGGCAGATTGTCCAGCAAGCAGACGCGTATCGCTCGATCTGGGTTTCCGAAGAGTCGCACCACAACTGGCGTAATCTGAGTCTCGTACTCGTCATCTGACAGCTTCTGCCCTATCTGCATGACAGTGCCAAAGACTTTGGCGCCTCCGCCTCCGAACTCGACTGATTTGAGTAGCTCTGGAAGAACCTTCATCTTGAAAAAGTCTGTAGGAAAGTCGTCTGCGACCGCGTCAAGCTTTCCAAGCAACTCGTTTCGCTCATCCTCTGCTTTCAGTCCCAGATTCTCAATATCGTCCGTGACCTGAATCAAAGGCGTCTGGAAGAAGCCTCCTATGCGCTTTCCCTGGTCCAAGAACTGGCCCACGCTCATGCGTGACTTTGGATTCGGGTTGAGAAGGCGTTTGTATGACTGGTGCATGGTTGGGGGAATGCTCTTCATTTGCCCTAACTGCTCGCTGCTGTTGTAGCTGCCGTTGAAGACCTCGAAGATGAGAACACCAAAGTTGTATGCATCTACCGCATGCGTCGGGTTCTGTTTGACAACCTCCCATCCTCCTTTCGAAACCTCGGGCGCCATGTACCGTCCTGCATCTGGTATGAGACCACCATAGGTCGGTAGTATTGAATCATCCTCCTTCACGGAGCTCAGCGCATCGAAGCCGCCAAGTTTCCACTCGCCACTTTCGCTAAAGAATATCGATGCCGGACGGATGCAGCCATGTATGGACGCAGCGTCGGCATTTACGAACTTGAGCGTCTTCGCGATGTTGTGTAGCCCCCATTTAGTGGTTTCTTCCGTCAGGCTCTTTCTCTTGACATGCCAGCTCAGTGGGCTGAGCCGCTCAGTCGCAATGTAGATATAAGTCTCCGTCTCTACTGTGTCTAGGACTTTCACAACCCCTGGATGACGCAGCGTTCGTAGCTTGCGCAGCGCATTGCGAGCGAGGGGTAATCGCGATTTGTTGGCGGTTATATCGAAGGAGAAAATGCTGCATTTGGAGCCGTCTTCCTAGCAAGTGAATGTTAGCAAGCGATTAGGCATGTGCAGACTTCTGGGCCATACTCGCTTTGTGCCGTTGTGCAGTGTCCAGATGGAGTCGTTCAAGTCGACCCGATCACCAAACGTGTAACCAAATGCAGGGCCTTTTGATATCGCGGACGCAACCGCCGACTTTAGGAAATCCATGACAGCAGCTTAGAGTTATGCGCTGCAATAAAGTTGGTGAGTCTCAACTGCGAGCACATGCAAGTGCACTTACCCGTAGAGGCCAGATGCGCCTGCCCCACCGGATCATCGGCACGTGATAGCGCGACGAACCTCCAAGGCTAAACCTGGATTCTTTCTTGCCATCAGTACCGCACCAGCCGCCCATCTGTGCATTACCGCGTTCGCCGTCAGCCTCGTCTTCTCCTCTCACTTGGACGTATGGTACACTACAAAGTCCGCATGGCTGGACGCAGGCCACCCTCACTTCGTCTTTCCCCTTATGCTACGCGCAATCGGCATCTCGTTCTAGGCGCGTCTTGTGGGACTAAGCTCACTCTCTTCAGTATCGAGTCAGCGGACTGAACCACAACAAGTAAGTCGCAATATACTGACACTTAACCCGTATCCTTTCTTTCATGATGACTACTGGTAAAAGGTTAGATCGCACAGCATTGTGATGGTTCTCCTTTGATTCTACTGCGTGTCCTGGCACGTCGCGGGAGTTACTACTTGCATGCGCCTGCCCGCCGAAGAAGCAAAGCGGAAGCCTCCAGTGCTGCGAAATGCTGCCGTATAACAACAAACTGAAAAGAGCTGATTCATCTCCTTCATCACCACTTGACTTACTCGAAAACAATTATGAAGCATGCGCTAACACGCACGTACTATCCCAGGTGTCACCTCTTCCTTTCACACAGCATTCCAGATGAACGACCATGACAGCAAACGACGGGCACCCTTTCATAGTCATGGGAAGTTGCCACATCATGGTCGGCCCAATGTTAGTATCAAGAAAGCCCCCGAAAAGCCTCGTAATGTGCGCGAGAGCCATGTGCAACCACGCCAGAAGGGTTCGATATCACCGCCTCCACTAAAGCGTCAACGTACAACATACGACAAGTTCAACTTGGAGACACGTGGCCCACTTTCCACAAATCGAAAAGCACATCTGCCAACTAGCTCTAATGCACCCAGGCACAGGTATGGTGAGGTCCAAAGTAATGTTTGGCCACGCTGACATGTGCCTCCAGCTTCAGTGAACACACCGAAACTGCCTCTGCCGCATCAAGTAAGCGAAAGCCAGATACGGTTTCGGTATCGAAGTCATTCCCAGCACCACCTGCCCCACGTAGGCATGATAATCGGAATACCCACCAATATTCAGAACGTAGCCTTACATCTCGTGAGAGAAAACCTTCAAAATCAGGCACATTGGGTAAACCTGCATGTCGGATTTGCGAGAAGAGTAGTGCCACAAGTTTCAACCCAATTGTTTCGTGTTCGGAATGCTCCAGAACTTACCATGATAGCTGTCGAAAGCCTCCACTCTCTTCTGGAATCGATCCGTAAGGCACGCGTACGATCATCATTGGTAGAGACTGACAATGACAGGCAAAACTGGAGATGCACCTTGTGTTTGAGCGATAGTGGAGCGCGCAAGAATCTCAGCCTATTTTCGGCACCGGCGTCAACCAGCCACTCTATAGTGAGAGACATATTCAAGCCAAGATATGCTCAACCAGCTCCACGTACTGCGTCGTCAAATCGTCTTCTCGAGAACAAGTCCGACACGCATGCTGAACCTGAGCCTGCTCGACTTACTACAAAAGCCACCACTGCTGACAAACTTATCAAACCTAAGAAGGCCCCTGGCCCCTCTCAACCGCCTGTACCAAAGCCGATCAAGCGTACGGAGATTCCCAACACACCATCACAAGGCTCAAGTCAGACTGACAGCTCCATACCTGAGAAATCATTCAGACACCTTCGCAGAGATCAGATCTCCCAACAATCCCTCCATACGCAAGATGATGAAAATGCCTTGCCTCTGGACACCTCAGTTCACGTCGTAATGTCCACTCCTTCAATGACTCTTTGTTCGACTTGTCAAAAGGGGGGTGATTTGGCCAAGTCTGCGGAGATTGGTGTTCAGTGTTCTAGCTGTCGAATCAGCACACGTTTCGCTGAGACAGGAAGGCTAGAGATACCCGAGACTCCGGACATCAACACTATTCGTAAGCCATCACTCTTGCCATCGAGCTCGGCAAGTTCGACTGCTCATATTGCAGCTCCGACCGTGGATGATCCTGTATCGAGTATGGCTTCTTCAGTACAAAACTCAGCCAGATCAGAAGCCGAGCCTGACTTGCCAACGGTCAAGGCGAGCCCTTTGTCCTGGTTCGATCCAGAACAAGTGAACATCTTACCGGAAGTCAAGAAGGTTCGTGATAACGAATTGTCCTGTAAATCTGCCGCAGACATCCAAGCTACGGATACCGCATCCACATCTCATGAGACCTCTCTTGAGCAAAGCACGCCCATGGAAATGCGTCCGATTGCTGATACCAGTGAACAGAAGACTACTCTAGAAGTGGAGCAGGTATTGCAAAGGGATCAAGTTTGCGACAACGATCCATTGCCGCAAGTCGATATGCAACGTGAGAACTGTACTCCATCTACTGATAATTCGAACCATCATGAACCCTCGAGGACCCATGAGCCTGACACCGCCAATGACACTTCACCCGGCAAATCAGATATACTAGGAGACAGTGAACCTCGAAAGCCAGCAGCCGTCGTCGTTGGGCCTCTCGAATTGAGCTTAGATGTTATACCCCAGCAACCTTGTGCTGAACGTACGACGGATCGAGTTGTTCCTATATTATCTGCAGAAGAACAAGCACCAACAGTCTTAGAGTCGAGAGGAACGACTGAAGGTGTCCCTGTTCCCCCAGTCCTAAGCGTCTCAGTGAGCCCGACTCCGGCAAGCACAGGTTCGCCGACACTTAACGAACGTCTCAACAATCGCGATTTGGCCAGGATAGCACTGGTATGTGCGAAGGGCACAGGTTTGACTGCCTTGCAGGTCATCGACTGGTTGGCTTCAGAATTTCCTCACTTGCAAAAGGGTCAGGGTGGTTGGGAGAAGACTATCAAGTCTGTGCTTTCTCTTCTACCTGAAATCCATGGCGTGAGGTCTCCGCGCCAACCAGTTTTGTACAGCTTCGCCAGTGCAGCTCTTAGAGCAAAGTACGAGAAACAATATCGAGGCTACCTTCAACCAATCCCAGTATCAGGATCTCGTGGTAGTAAATATAAGGCCAGAAAGAGCGTACGACAACAGCACGAAGCAGATGCTGTTAGCCAACAGCAGCATGTCCAGATTAGACCACCTGCTCAGACCGAGAGAACTGCTTCAAAAGCTACCAAGAGTGCACCAAGTCACCGAAATGTTACGGCCCACGGCTCTACTCTACTACCTCTGGTTCTTGAGGGAACACTTTCCCACGACCCTGTGTCAGCGCCTGCGACCGAGCCTGTTGAAATCAACACGTCAGCAGCCAATCTCGACGGCGAAAAGCCACCATCAGCCCCGTCGGTCTTTGGACCCAGGGTTCAGGATGCCGACGCAGACAAAGTCAAGATTACTTCAAATTATGACGACTTGTTTCACCCATTCGAGCGCACTGTTGCGTCTCGTCCGAATATTACGCTTTCTGATGATTTAGAGACCAAACGTGGAACGAGCTTACGCAGTATCTATCCGCGCACTGTAACGCCTACAATTGAGACCATGACCGCAGAAGAAAAAGCTGCAAAGATTGCAGAGATCAAAACGAGGCCGAAACGGAAACAGTTCTTCGGCTCAGTCTATCGTCTGGCACACGTGCGAAGATATGGGCGGCAGGATATTCATGACCAGAGTGACGGGGCATGGAAGCCCAACTCCATGACAGGGAGGTTGATGGGTGAACAAGATTCCGCTGCCATGAACGAATGTGGCGAAAACCGATCTTTGTTACAGGTCTTTAATCTGCCGAGTAATGCTATCCCTATGAACGACGGCAAGGAGTTGGCTTTCCGAGACGGGACATTGGTGAATGGCCGACTGCCTCGGCCGCGGCAAGTATATCGAGTTGGCAAAGCGTTTGGAAGCGAACTTACGATCAGATGAGCGGAGTTCTTCGGGGTTGCAAGGTTGTTTTTTTCGATGTTTTGTAGCACTATACCCTATCGTACATGAATTACGACATGACAATGTTATAACGTTCGCTGACTGGGCCTAAGTAATGCTTTTGCACTTTAAATTGATTAGCAGACAAATGTCCGAGCCTTCTCAAGGACTCTGGAAGCCGATCATGGTTTGATCAAGATTGAACGGGTGGAGTAATCTTCGATTAAAGTTCCGTCGCTGACAGACCCTCACCAGCTGTCCTCGCTTGGCGCCCTGTGTACCCGCCAGTTTCGCGCCTTCCATCTCCACTGCAGGCACCCCAAAACAAAGACTTCCAGACTGTGGCGCCTTGCATTGGAGGACTGCAATGCTAACGACTGAAGACCCGCTCGTATCTTGCCGCCCGCAGATCGTGCGGCCCACGTTGTGCGGATGTTTCTAGGCCTGAAACACGACCCTTGCGGCTACGCGGGCGCGTTTCAAGGCCTCAACACCAATCATTACGCGACTGCCACATCTCGACCAAACCTCGCCTCACCGGCTGGATGCCAAAACCCCACGTCGACCCTGTACCTTGCTCTGCGACAATTTCGCTGCCGAACTCACCAGCTGAGAGATGATTGACTGGGCCGCTCTGGTTCTGCACATCCCGCCGGATCTAGCGGGGAGCGTTTCACATGCGCCGGTAGTACTGGCGCGACTACCGTTACTGGAGTCATTTGGGCCACTCGTAGGTGAGGCGACGAGACTACCCAGCGCGAGGGGCCTTATTTTAGCTATTGTAAGGTTCGCGACAATGACAGGTCACGCTAGCGGCGAGTTTTGTCCTGAGGTTTCCTCCTTCACTTCGGATTTTGCTTCTCATCTTTCATCTTCAGTCTCTATTGTTCGTTATTGTTGCCGTTGTTGAAGGCGTGCTGCCTTGACGGCGTGGGATACTCCCTCTACTTTATCTTCGTAAACTTAACTCCTTCAATCCATACAGTCTCTTTCTCCATCCTACGCTTGACGCGCTTCTCTCGACTGCTGGACAGACCAACTACATCTTCCTACAAATTCGAGCTCTTCAACATCCTACGATTTTCTCTGCACAATCGAAATGGCGCTTCTTTCAGCCGAACATCTGGCTGGTCCAGGCTACATCATCCTTAACGTCTTGCGAGGTCTGAACATTATTGCCCTCGCTTCAGTGGTCGCTAGCAGCGTGGTCATGCTGGTGAAGACGTTCATCATCTCCAAGGTACGTTCAAGAGCCGGCTCCAGAGATTCACAGAAGCTTACATATAGCAGTTTTTTTTCTTCGACGCTACAAGCCATGTTATTACTGCGATTGCTGGAATATTCTTCATCGTCTCAGAATGCTCATTGTTCCGCAACTTCTACGCCCGCAACTGGCCGCTGCTCAGTCCATCTCATGGCTTTGTCACTTTGGGTTGTGCGATGATGGTAGTCGGACTCAACATGCTCGGTAACATGAATAAGGAGGCTACGAGCCAGAAGTCGCTCACTCTGCCTTTCTGGCGCCTGCTTGTTGCTTCGGGTATCCTAGCCATTGTCATTGGCTTCTTCAACGTCGTCGCCAGTTTCGTCTTCCGCGATAAGTCCCGAAGGATCACTGCTCGCATGGTACGCTCGAGAGGAGCCATGACGCTTCACGAGGACATCGAGACCCAATCTCAGTACGACCCCAAACACAAGGCCTTCACTATCAGCACCCACCACACTGGAAGCACCTCCTCTCGAACCAACGTCCACGGCGGCACACCACCCATGCGAATGGGTACCCCACCAGTTGACTGTGGCTCACCTCAAGTCGCTTCTCCTAACAAAGAAGACCCCAACCGCCTCTCCCAGTTCGACTTCAGCCCCCTCCGCGCTTTCCGAACAGCTCGCCAATCCTTCCTACCCTCCTACCACAGTCAATCACCTGCTAAGCCCAGCTTCTTCTCGCATCGCCCATCAAGCTCCATCTACTCGCGTACCACATCCGGCGAGCCGGCGAGGAAGAAGTTCTGGCAGCGACAACGCGAGGAGCAAGAGGAAGAGACGGCACGTATGCCTGAGATTAGCTACCCTTTGAACGTTAACCCACAATTTGCACACCTTGTCAAGCCAAACCTTGCGCATCATCCTAGCGTAAGGAGGCCTGAGGCAGACTATGACAAGATCTAGATGGGCCTGTCGAACCATGGGGGTGAGCAGAGCAGTTGACGGCGGAGGAGTACGATTACTATGATACCACTTTCTTTTTCCTTGTCTGTTGCATCAGCATATTGCTACATACGGCATTGGCGTTTACACATTGGGACCACAATCATATACGCTCCAGAGTGACTAAATCTGTCGAGCGAGCTGTCCTTCACTGGAAGCGCTACTTTCTTTTCGGTTTTCTTTTTCCTACTGCTACTACATACACACCTTTAGCAATGTCTAGTATTGCCATCTATGACTTGGTTCTCGTTGCCTTCTGGTGGCGTGTGATGCGCGTATATACTTACATATGTTACACAGCGATAAGATCGGCTGAATCTTCTTCATTTGCTGCCCTGTCGAAGTCTCTGCTAATGGCTAGAAGGTGCTGAGCCGCCAGCTCTTACTTCTATGATCTCTCGAGTATTCTCATACTTTCCAGACCAGTCCTGCCACTCTCCTCAAAACAGCCACAACATTTCTTTACTCCATCTACCGCCCTACTCCTCCACAGCAATGGCCTGGAACGGATCAATGGCATTTCCCTCCGGATCATAAAGCTCCATCTTCGTCCCATCTTCCATGGTCAAACTATACTCCTGCGTATAGTACAACCCGCCCCGACCCCTCCTCCTACACCTGAGCTTAACCTCTCCCGCCCTCTTTGTCCCCTTGACCCAGAAGCTAACATCAATGCGCCCATGAAGCTGGTTGATTTCGCCCTTGATCCAAGGATATTTACTCGCAAAGTAGATCTCGTCGCCGAGTTGTTCGCGGATCATGGGGTTTGTGCGCAGCGCGTAAAGGGTTGCGGTTACGACGGAGGATTCTTGCTTTTGGTAGTTGAAGAAGGCGAAGAGGGAGATTGTCATGGCGATTATGAAGAGCGGGAGGGTTTTTATGACTTGCGGGGAGATTAAAGGTGGTACTCTAGAGGTTGTTGTTAGTATGTTCACATCGAGATGGTAGGCAGATTCGTGGCAGAAGGTTTTGGGCGAACGTACGGTGGTAATGCGCGGTTTGGTCGGCGCTCCAGTAGTACCTCGCCATCTTTGGGTGGGGGGATGAGGTTCTCGGGCGACCACACACTGGTGGGTGTTTTCCAGGGCACGACGGGTTTTATGTCATTTTGTGATGGTGTGGTTGATGCGCGGCGGAAAGGTGCTATGCGGCGGAGACTTTGGTAATTTGCTTGCGGCCGCGCTCGGAGTAATGCTGGAGAGAGCCGTGGAGGAGGCATTGTGTTGTTGTGGAATCGCAATTCGGTGGGTTTGGAGATGGGTGTATGAGATCAGTCGATATGCCGGTGGTGATGTTTGCATGGTTTGCACATCGGCGCTAGCGGGGGTGGTTCGGCGGGACTTGCTTCACCTCACTTCAACTTCATCTCCATCACCATGTTCGGTAACATATGTTAGTGTTTGCAACTGAAGTGCGGTAGCTGACATGTTCCGACTTATCGAGCCCTCCATCCCATGAACTTTCCACCCAAGCTTCTGCGTATACGAACGTGTCAATCACGAACTTCCTAATAGTCTGATCATTTAATCACAAAGATGTTCATTTTCTACGCTAAAGTACTCATGAGAGGAGTTTACAGCTTTCAGTTCGTCGTAATATTCATCCAAAACGTTGTGAATGTCTTTGGAGTTAGGTTTCAATTGCTTGATCTTCAGACATATAAGTTGCCTCGTAGACTGAAAACCAGGTGAGATGCATACTGATTCGCTATTGTGATGCCTGTTGCCAGACTTCAAGTAACGACGTATCCGAGGAAACCCCGTAAGTATGCCGATCGAGCCTTTCTTGTTTTCATCTTCTCTCAGGCTCTTTTGAAAAACCATTATTCCAACCTGTATCCATCTCCATTATATGGTCCATAGATCATTTGACTATTGTCCAATCGGCGATGGAACACATGGCAGCCTCTGGGTTAATTGTCTATCCATTACATCGTTGTTTGCTCTCTCAGCTGAGCAGTGCGGGCGTCGCTACCCTCTGCTTCAACCAGTCACATGGGAGCGCGTCACTAGCGGCAACGCTAATTGTTGCTCTTTCCGTCTACAGTGTTTGTATACACTTTAATTTCAATCCATTCTTCTTTCAGATACAATTCTTGCACCAGAAAGTCGCCCACCATGCCAGGATTGACTGTCTGCAGAGGACAAGCTGTATCACTGGTTCAAGATCAAGATATCGTGCTCACAACCGAGCCTGGTTTGGTATGCCGCTTCCACCTGCGTGCTTCATCGACTACTGACCTTACGTGCAGTCCGATTTGACAATAACTATCATCGGTGCCGTTGGGGACGATGGCGTCAAGCACGTTACGGATTTACTTGTCGCCTCAGACATCTGCAAAAAGTCACCCTACTTGAGGGCGCTTCTTGACGATAGCGACGACAAGTCGGAGCTAACCTTTGGCGGAGATGCCACATCCAAACACGATGACAAAAACAAAGAGGCTGCCATAGTATGGCTTGCGAATCTTCACGAGCTTCCAGAGCAGCGTTTAGACGAATTGCGCCTCTTTGACGTTTCACTACTAGGCGTCTGGGAAGTCATTGCGCTGTGTGACTCCCACCATGACGGCGACATCAAGGAACACTTGGGTGATTGGTCCAACAAGTGGTATGAGAGGAACATGGTCAAGGCCAACTTGACTGTGCCGATTGCTCAAGCTCTTGCATACCCATGCTACATGTTCAACCATGCTATCGGCTATGCACGCGTCACCAAATACCTCGCCTACGAGCACGTCGGACACGTCAAGGAGCGCCCACCCAAGGGTTTCAAGGGTCCTAAGCACCTTCATATTAACGAGCGGATGTTCATCGGTAAGTCTCTCTCATCTTTCGATCCTTGTTTCTCTTTTGTTTATCGTCCCTCTTACATTTGTAAAAAAGGCATAAGCCGGGAAACGTTGAATACCAATATCAACGAATAGGTCCTTTAAATCGTGCCCGTGGAGGTCTGCGTAACTCCCTACACAAGTCACTGTACTCCCGCGTTGGTAGGATCCTTCGCTCTGATTCTTCGCTATGTTCCTGTTGGGACGCTACGATCGGTCGCTACCAGCTTGCCCTCACCAAGTGCGATGCGTGGCCAGTCGACGACGTCCTCAACTACTCCAGCATCGGCCAGGTCGTGCGTCGCCTCAAGGCCTTCGATTATGCGTATACTCCAAAATGCAATCGCTGCCGTAGCATCGACTGGGAGACCATCGTCCTCAAGGCTATTTCTAACACACTTGGATACTTCAACGGCATGTGCCTTGACTGTATGGATCGCAGCAAGCCTCGTGGAGACAACTTGGACGAGGAGTATGAGACGCACAATCAGCCTGTGGGAGGTCGCTGGGACACGCAGTGCCGCATCAAGCATGGACAGCCTACGTGGTACATCTCATGGCTCGGCCGACCGGACATGCGCGAGAAGATTCTCCGCGGTCCTGACGGCTACCGCGCACCTGAGGAGGAGTAAGTGTCTCAAGACGGGTGAATACAGCAGAGCATCTGAACCACATCTTGTTCACTTTCCTATCTGAATCTGTTCGGATGAGACTCATGGGGTGGTTGGGAGAAAGATTATGCAGTCTCTTTGGCCTGTATCGAGCCGAGTGGGTGGTCTTTACTGGAGCTGTCAATCACGAAATACAATGTGCAGTATTTAGTGCATTGGAGTCAAATCCAGGACGAACAATATGAACTTCATGTGATTCATTAAATACTAAACGCTCACAACATCGGGTATCTCCAGGCCTATCGTACACTTATCGTAGCGCCAATAACAAAGGAAACGGTTTCATTACTCCAGTCCAATATGCTTAGTACACACGGCGGGCGTTCCGGCCGTCAGTGCCATGCATGCGGCGAGTGCCAGCAGCCTATGTATTGTTAGTAAAGCACAGTGTATTATGAATGACAGTTGCTTACCTTGAGACCGGGTCTGCGCGTCAAAGAACCCCGTAGCTTCATCAACGCTCCACTGACCTTGTCACCCATAGTGGCATGGCGCTTATGGTGATGGACGGGAGCGGCAGTAGTAGCGTGACCGTGATGACCACCAGTGCGAGTCGTCCTGGTGGTTGTAGTAGTGGTAACGGTGGTGCCGCCTGTGCGCTTAGTGTGTGTGCGACGGTTTCCACCAAGAAGGCGGGTCTTAAGGGAAGGGCGCGCTGCACGTGTAGTGCGTGGTGAGGTGCGCACGGCAGTGCGGGGAGCGTGGCGGCGGGCGAGAGGCATGATTGCTTAAGTTGGTTTTGGTAGGATTAGGTTGATTGAGGTATTGATGAGTTGGATGTAGGGTTGAAAGTTCTTAGGATCGATTGCTTGTGATTGATAGTTGGTGTTGATATGTGAATTCACAAAGCGTGCTATAACTTCCATCTTATACTTCAAGGCACAATGCCCAGTGCTTTCGATCTGATCCTCTCCAAGTCCCTGAAATCAAGTTCTACCTTGCCCAGCACCCTGTATAGGGCTGCGATCGACTATCTAACGTCATGCAGGGACCCGTGCAAGATTGTACCCTGACGCATGAGTCGTGGCGCATGACGTGCCCTAACATTCTCTAACGGCTTTGGTGTGGCTCACTCAATGTAAGAGCGAGTTACGATGGCCGTTGGTGCTAGGGTCTTAGGATCGAAGTGAAAGGGCGAGGCTGGATGCGGTCATAGCGCGTTGTGTCTGGACCCTGATTTTAGCGCAGGGGTACGTCATACCTCTGAATAGCTTTATGAGCGTCATCGCAGGATTGTGAGGACTGCAACAACAGCGCCAAGGGGCTGGTGGAGATGAAATCTGACGAGAATGGAATGTTGAATCCATCGACATTGGTTCTGGCCCTTCCGAACGATGTGAAGTTGGTGGAGGTGTTGTAGGTCTGATCAACTCGATGACGTCGCGACCGAGAAGCTTGGTGGGGTTGCTACAGAAGTTGCCCCGAGTGACTTTCGTAAGTAATCCGAGATGCAGCTTCAATCTTCGTCTCAGCTCAAGCTACTTGTACACTCAAGAGGATATATGTGTCGATCGCAAGGCCGTGCGAAAGAGCGTGTTGAGGCTACGGGTAAGGCTGAAGCGACGTTAGCCGTTCCCACCAGTTCGTGCCAGCATCGATACATCGACCGATGCTATTCTATCGTCGATGGACAACTTAGCACCGCATTCTCTGATGTTCCGCCTAACTCTCCTACCACATTGGGCTCCACTCTCGCACATGAGCGTGCCGTGACAGCCTTGTGATGTCACAAGAAATCATGAACGTCAATAAAAGTTCCACCTCGAGCCACGATGGCCAGGACAACTTCACCAACTCTACCTTAAACCACACAATTGTGCTCAATCTCTCTGTCTTATAAACTCTTTACTAATTCCGAGATACCCATACAACAATCACGCATCATGTCTTCTAGCAAGGGCCAGTTCGAGCAGGGTAAATACACACCAAGCTTCTTTCCATGTGTTCCTGCTAATCCAATGTGACAGGCTTCCAGCCCGATGTTCAGCATCAGAAGGCCCCCGGTCTCGAGTCCAAACTCGACCCTCTCCCCAAGGTCGATGAGCTTCCCACACCCGAGGGAGGTGCTGAAAAGTACAAGGCTGCTGGCAAGCTCAAGGGCAAGCGCGCCATCATCACCGGTGGAGACTCCGGTATTGGTCGCTCGATCGCTGTTCTCTTCGCCATGGAGGGCGCCGACAGCTTCATCGCCTACCTCCCCGAAGAGGAGCAGGACGCACAAGATACCAAGAAGATGGTTGAGGAGAAGGGACAGAAGTGCTATACTCTTGCAATCAACCTGAAAGAGAAGGCGAACTGCCAGAAGGTCATCGATGAGGCCGTCAAGCAGATGGGTGGCATTGACATCCTGATCAACAACCACGCTTACCAGATGATGGTAAACGACATCAGCGACCTGTCTGAGTAAGTATCAACCCCAGGTTTCATCTAAGAAATTTTCTAACAACACATAGGGAGCAATGGCTGCACACATTCGACACCAACATCCACCCCTTCTTCTACCTTTCGAAATACGCCCTACCACACATGAAGCGCGGCGCAACTATCATCAACAACGCCTCCATCAACGCCTACGTCGGTCGTCCAGATCTTCTCGACTACACCTCAACCAAGGGCGCCATTGTTGCTTTTACCCGAGGTCTATCAAACCAGTACGTCGGACGGGGTATCCGCGTAAACGCTGTCGCCCCGGGTCCTGTCTGGACTCCTCTCATCCCTGCCACCATGAACGACGAAGCCATCAAGCAGTTCACCGCTCCTATTGGCAGGCCGTCGCAACCTAGCGAGATTGCTACTTGCTTCGTCTTCCTGGCTAGCAACGACAGCAGCTCTATTAGCGGTCAGACTATCCACGCCAACGGTGGTACTATCGTCAACGGTTAAGCATTTACTTCCCTGACTTGTCGCGGACGATGTATCTTACGACTTTATGAGCATGTAAAATATACTCAATGAATGAATCATAATACTGAACTTCTCTTTTCTATATGTTGAGCATTTGTGACGTTACCAGATGCCTCCGCATGTTAGTTGAACTCGACTCGATTACTTAGAAAGATTGAATGAATCAATCTCAAGTCATGTCACGCGTATTCATCGCGCTATACATGATGATCTATTCCACGTGGCATGTTCATTTTTCATACGCCGATGCTTGTAACAACCTATAAATCCCGTTACCTAGCTATAATACAGTATACCCACTTAAGAGATTTTAGTGGTGCGCAGTCCCATCCTGACGCGGAGTTGGGCCCTCCTTCATCTTCTTCATAATATTGCTCAATTTCGAGCCTCCACCACTTCTTCCTCCTCCTTCAATTTGTGATCCAGAGACTGGTGGCCCCTGGTACGCCGTCTTTCCTGGCACCGCAGATGGTCCTATACTTGGCTGGGAAGGAGGTGGCGGTGCAGCTCCGATTATAGGTGCTTGTTGTTGCTGGTGCTGCACTGGTGTTTGGTCCGCCATATGTGGCTGCTGTTGTTGGTTTGCGTATTGGCGGGCGCGTGCGGTTTCGATTTCCGATCGGCCTTTGTCGATTACGGCTTGGTTTTTTGCGTGGGCGGCGGGGTTGCGACGGTCGAATGTGTCGTTGAATGTTCCGCGGAGGGTTTCTCCCGCGCCCTGAGGTATGGTATTAGTATGTCTTTGTGTGAGTGGCTAAGCGGTTTGAAGGACTTACATGGATACCTGCTGCCGCCGCTTTGAGGTTTGCCATTGTGCTCTGCTTGTTCAAATCATGACCGGCTCGGTATGGGACCGGACGGTTTGGGTCGTTGTTTGGGTTGGAATTGATGCCAGACTGTAGGCTAGGGGGTATACTCGACGGCTGCTGGCTAGGCATGGGCGGCGGCATACCAGATTGCTGTTGCTGGTGCGCGGGTAGCTGAGGGATACTTGATCGCCGTTGTTGCTGTTGTCCCGGTACTGGAGGTACAGGCGGTACGCCTGCCTGCTGTTGCTGTGGTGGCATACCGTCAACAGGCACTTGCCGTGGAACTCCTTGAGGCGGTGCTCTCGCGGGATATGAGAAGTTCGCTCGATTCGGACTGCTAGGAGCAACTGGACTGACAACTTCCTCCATCGGGTTTGGCCGCTGAACACCAGGCGATACCGAGTCCAGCTCTACTCTATGCCGAATATTGTTCTTCGCGGGAATGGGCGGAGACGAAGAACCCTCGATGTTGGAGACTTGTGGAGACAGTCTGTTGCCTTGCTGGTTATTGTGCATAGGTACTGGCGGGGTTATGTTCTGAGGTATGGCAGATTGTGCTGATAGGCCTGGCCCTTGATGGTAGTGGTTGTCGGGCTGAGGAGGTGCCGGCTGTGGTGGGCTGGGACCAGAAGTGTGCACGCTTTGTGCAGAGCCAGTAACACTGTCGCGGGGCTGCTCTACGGTGGTGGAGCCGCCTGGGCCTGTCGTAGTGGTTGTTGTCGTTGTCGTGGTCGTTGTGACTGTGACGATGTTCCCAGTGCCGGCATCGCGGTACGTCTCCCTGCCCACATCCTCATGGCTTGAACGACTTTGGAGTGTTTGTTGAGTCTGTTGTGGAGGCGCAAGGGTATTATGGTTCTGTGCATTTTGTGGTGTAATTTGAGCAGGAGGTGCTTGATTGTTCGTGGCAGGTGGGTGGTGGTACTGTTCACCGGAGACGGGACGAGCTTGGTTCGCGAAGCTTGGATCTGCGCTGCTGCGCTCGCTACTGAAATATGCCGAGTCGGCATCCCTACGGGCCTTTTCCTTTTCTTCTTCCTTGTGAGTGTGGTTCAGACTATCCTTCGATGCCTTCTCTTTGGAAGAGAACGGATTGGACATGCGCCATTTTGATCGCTTTTCCTTCTCGGCGGACGTCATGTTCTCGGAGCCAGACATAGGTTGCGAGGAGTTAGCTGCTGGTTGACCACTCAGGCCTCCTGTCATCTGCTCAAGCTCTTGTCGTTCGCGACTCTTTCGCTTTTGAAGTTTGGCAGGCTGTCGGAAACCGTCATCCATTGCCAGCGGTATACCCAGATTCGGTTTGAGGAACGGACCCGGATACGATGCACACGCGAAGAATTGGTCCAAAGAACTATGATCGGAGCTTTTGGTCCTGGAATAAGAAAATACTGAAGAGATCCCAATCAATATGTGAGTGTGTCTAGAGATGCATCGTATCAGTAGCGGGGAAGCCTTTGTATCGAGGACGAAACCCGAAGCAAGGCTTCTCTGCCCGCTGAAGACCCCATGATATCATACCGTAGTTCTGTGGCGCAGGGCAGGTGTGGCACCCAATGGGGGATAGCCATCGCGCGGCGATCAGTGGAGGGACGGCTGACAGGCATGGATGTTGACGCTCAATGATGATGGAGGGAACCCTGCCAGCGAGCTATCCAAGTTTTCGGTCTGCGCTATGCTTCGCGCAGCTAGGCCATCCGGACCAATCTGGGACGTGTGAGGATTTGGCATTTACTAGTACACGGCAGAAGCATTCAATCGACACTTGCTCATATTCTGAGATATACCGCTTCCTCATAGTGAAAGGTGTACGAGCAGCCTTGAGGTGCTGCCCCCCGCACTCAGCCTTAAGCTCAGCCGCTCGGCTTAGCTCGAGGTAGTTAGTGGGGCTGAGCATTATAATCTCATCATGGCCACCAAGTTTCGAAAAGCATCTCAACACTCTTGTGGCCATGATTAAACGCTTCTCCTATTCTTGAAAACCATATCACTCTATAACTACATGCAGTTCAATCATGGCAGAGATAATAGGTCTGGTCGCCAGCGTCGTGCAATTGGCCGATGCAGGTCTGAAATTGTCATCGGCGCTGTACCAATATGCTGATGGGGTGGCTACTGCCGATCGAAGAATCAAGAATATCGCGAACGAAGTCAAACTTACAAGCTTCGTTATCCAAGAGCTGGGGGGCATTTTTGAACAAAACAAGACGGCAAACCTGATTTCGGGAAATGCAATTATAACGGCGAAGGAAACGATCAAAGAGTGCGATACGGTGTTTACAGAGATCAAGGTGATAGTCGACAAGACCAAATCAGGAAAGATGGGTCGATTTATGTTACCTTTCCGGGATAACAAGATCGAACTCCTACGAAGTCAGATCGACAAACTTAAGAGTACATTGCAGTTGTTGATGCAGGTACTCATATTTGCCCAGCAAGTTTCGTCAAACAAGCTCAGCTACGAGGCCGAAGCAGAACAACGAAAAGAGATCATACAATTGAGGAAAATCGCGAAAGAAGCAGCCGAAAAATACGAGAAGTCGCGGAGAAGCTTCAGTATAAGCGATGATGGTACCGCTGTGAATGATGACGAGCGGTCCCTACAAGAGGGTGATGGATTTGTTTCGCCTTCTGATCTTTTCAAGGCTGCTTCATCCATCAGCTCCGCGATCAATCCTGAAACACTTGCGACATGTGTAAACCATGTTCGAAACCTCTTGGTAGATATTGAGACATTGCAGCTTGCCCTGGCCAGGGAAGTAGACGGAGATGATCATTCAGATCATCATCAGAAGGCTATTGGGTCTTACTTCATCGCTCGCTCCCATCTCGACAGTGTTTTGCTTGGCAACTCCAAAGCCAAATTCACTAGCACACAAACCCAGCAAATCATCAGCGAAACGAGTGCCAAAAGCGCTGCATCAGAGCTTCAGCGAAAGTCGGTGCCTGATGCAGCACACGAGAAGTTACCCTACAGGCATACCAATACCGCTTCATATGCTGCGATAGTAGCAAAAGACACAGAACGAGTGTCTCGGCCAGAATTTTCGCCTGAAGAAGTACTGAAGATAAGAGAGCAACGCCTTCAAAAGTTAGCCCAAGAAGAGGTTCGACGAAGAGAGGGGACTGTTTCCTCTGCAAGAGACGCCCAATCCCCCAAGCGGCTTTCACTTTCGTCGCTCCAGCCATCGCAGTCGACCCGCGATGGCTCTCGTTCACCTTCCAGGTACTATCTCGTAGAAGAGCGTCGGCCATCTGCATCTAGTACGGGCCCTCTTCAAAACGGCCCGGGTCCCAAAAGAGATAAACCTAAACCGAGACCGGTTCTCGCTCATGCTCCTCCACCTGCACAGATTGCCTCTGAATACGATGTAAAATCAAATGCATCGTGCAGCTATACATCATCCCAGCATTCTTCTCCAAGCGCATACCAAGGTCATAAGACACGCGAGCATTCGCGTTCCCAGCGAGGAAATAAAGAAAGGGAAATCAGGGCGAATTTGGGGGTTTCAAACTCCCTACCCCCTAGACCAACATTGACGAAAACTCAGATACAGGAACAAAAGGAGTTACTAAGGGCAGAGGAAAAGGCGAAGACACGTCAAAGAGATGGTAGGTAGACCCGAATGGTATCAAAAGAGGCACAATGCTTGCATATCTCTATACCATGAAAACTAAGAAAACATTGCTGACGCTATTACCAACAGTGCCCAGAAGACGGAAAGATTCACAACAGAAGCTGAAATTGGGCGACTTCCTTGGAGATCAATGTAAGTTCATGAAGACCCTATACTGCAACAATCTACTGATACAGTGTAGCACTCGGATCCTGGGCAGACGAGATGGAAGACGGGCCTAAGAAAGTCCAAACAGAAAGAGGAGGTTTTGTCTCCAGTAGAGGTAATTCCAAACCATCCAATGTTGACGAGGTGGACGAATTATTGAGGGAATGGACTACCGTGCTCGGATGAATATTTGGTAGTTGGTATCGCAACAGTTCCACGCTTGTTGATTAAAGATGTTACATACTAAGAACACGCTCTGATTATTAAACTAAAAGACCCTGAACACTTTGACAAGGAACTACAATGTGCTGTCTCATCTAAGCAGCGTCCGATATCGACTTTGTCGGACCGTCGCACACTCCCAACCCTACATTTCCCGACATCGCCATCCCCCTCCGATATCGAAAGCCCAAGCCAGCCCAGGCAATCCGTCCGCGCAAAACATCTTTTCCGCGCCTGTTTTCCGAACCCGGCAGCTCACCACGGCTGCTGTGCGACGCGACACTTTCGCGCCCGGCCAGATTGCGCCGTGGCCGAGCGGAACGCGTTACTAGTTGTCTAGACATCACCGTACCACGCATCCGCCCACGTCTCGGCCTTCTGTGACAAGAAAATTTCACGTCATGTCGCGCGCGTGGGCGGGCCTAGCCAGGACCGGTAATGAGCTATGCTATCTTCTGCATTTGGGCCTTTTTGCTTCTTTCTCTGGTGGGGTCGGGATTTTTACGATTCTGTTTTGGCGGGGCATGACAAGAAGCAGGGGTATGGGGCGCGTGGAGGGGCAGGTAGGCAAGCTGAACGCCACATTTTGGTGCAGCGAAATTGAATTGCTTTTTCTATGGGGGGCTTGGTGACGTGATGAATTTTTGACTCGCGATCATGCTTGTGCTTCGAAGATGATTACCTTTCTTGGATTCATGCCACAGCTGGCAAGTGCGCCTTAAAGTTCATCGGGTACAAGTCCCGGTTTTGGCTGGGAAAGAGCTTGTGTGAATACAGTGTATTGGGAAGGCGCGCTTGTAAAGCAAGCATCAGGCTCACAGAATGAGAGAGTAGATGATGAAGTGTATCATGATCATATTCATGTAAGGTATCTATGTACAAGTGGAAGCATCCAGCTTCCGAACGCCAAATCCAATGAGAAGGTATCGTAAGGTATCATATACAAAAGGCAGCCCGCTTAGTAGCGACCCGTTCACCACCAGTCACCCTGGTCGTGCATGGCAGCAGCGACCTTGCGGAAACCGGCGACGTTAGCACCACCAACGAGGGATGGGAACTCGCCCTCGGCAGGAGTGAAGTACTCCTTGGCGGTACCCAGGCAGTTCTCGAAGCAGTCCTTCATGATGCCCTTGAGCTTCTCGTCAACCTCCTCGGCAGTCCATGACAGACGCTGAGAGTTCTGGGCCATCTCGAGACCAGAGACGGCGACACCACCAGCGTTGGCGGCCTTTCCGGGTGCGTACCAGATGGCCTCACCCTTCTTCTCGCGACGGTGAGCCTCGAAGACCTCAATGGCCTCCTGTGTGCAACCCATGTTGGAACCCTCAGCGATGAACTTGGCGCCAGACTCAATAAGAGCCTTGGCCTCGTCCTCGGAGACTTCGTTCTGGGTCGCCGAAGGAAGAGCAACGTCAACCTTCTTGACCTCCTTCCATGGGCGGGCACCCTCAATATACTTGAAGTTGTGGTTCTCCAGGGCAGTAAGAGCCTTGCGCTCCAGCTTGAGGGCGGCGATCTGGTTGATGACCTCGGGAGTGAAGCCCTTGTCGTCTTCGGCGATCAAAGCACCCTTGCTGTCACTGAGGGAGATGACGGTTGCGCCAAGCTCGATGAGCTTGAGAGCAGCGTACTGAGCGACGTTTCCGGAACCAGAGAGGGCGACGCGCTTGCCCTTGAAGGACTCCTTTCCTCCAGACGCGTAGTTGATCATGTGCTCAACGTAGTATACGAGACCGTAACCGGTGGCCTCGGGACGGATCAGGGAACCTCCCCATGAGCCGCCCTTGCCAGTGAGGACACCCTCCCAGCGGTTGCGCTCCGCTCGGTATGCGCCAAAGAGGTAACCGATCTCGCGACCACCAACGCCGATGTCGCCCGCAGGTACGTCTGTGTCGGCACCTGTAGTTTACGTAAGTGAAATGTTCCTAGTGGAGAAGCACGAAAGGAGCGCGAACGTCGCCGACGGGGCAGTGCCAGACAGACGGAAAGATAGGGCAACATGAACGCGCCGGATCTCGTTGGTCTGCTGTCGGAAGAGTATGCGAACCCGTTGAAGGGTGCATGCCCCACTGAGGCTGGAAGTGACGCGCAGGTACGCGCTAGGGTCAAGACCTACCGATGTGCTTGTTGAGCTCCCTCATGAAGGCAACGCAGAACTTGCGGATCTCGTTGTCGGACTTGCCCTTGGGGTCGAAGTCGCATCCTCCCTTGCCACCGCCCATGTTGACTGTTTGTGTTTGTTAGCTTGATGTTCTTATGCGATCGGCTCGGGTATGACGTACGGCCGGTGAGAGCATTCTTGAAGATCTGCTCAAAACCCAAGAACTTGAGGATGGATAGGTTGACGGTAGGGTGGAAGCGGAGACCGCCCTTGTAGGGACCGAGAGCGGAGTTGAATTGCACGCGGTATCCCTTCTGGACCTGGCACTCGCCCTTGTCGTTCTCCCAGACAACGCGGAACTGGATGATGCGCTCGGGGACGGAGACGACCTCGAGAGCCTTCTTGTATTCGGGGTTCTTGGAGAAGAGGGAGGAGGCCTCGAGGGTGGAGACGAGCTCTATGGAATGTTAGATGGAGTCGCAAATGGTAGAAAGCATAGAGTCAAAGTAGTAACTCGATGATTCTGCAGCGACATGACGCATGAGGTGGAAACGTACCCTTCCTGGCTTGCTCAAACTCAGGCTCAGACATTGTGATTTGATGGATTGTATTGGTGACTGGTGGAAGAAGTAGAGTGACAGAAACCGACACAGTTGAAGAGTCAAAGGTTGATGGAGAGAAGGCACAGGAGAGACAGTCTGGTATATATAATTACAGTTGACGGAAGCTAGATAGTTCGCCTGGGCTCGCGGTGACGGTACGGGAGAAAGTCGCACTCGATTTGAGTACGTCACAGAGGCCGGAAGATTGGGGTCATGGACCCTTCTCAGTGGTCAATGGGCTCTACTGCACGCCATGTTGATGCAAACCATGGTGTGCACTTTTTCTACTGATAAGGATCTGGCCAATGGGCGGGCGAGGACAAGTATCGCGGGGTGTTTGCACGTGAAGTAGCGGGGGCTCCGGCCACCTCAGGCTCGTGGCGGCCGTGTAATTGTCGAGGGTCAAACCATGGGAGGCGACGTGAAGCCGACGTCGGCGGGCGAGCTTGTTACGTTGAACATTCGCTAGTGTCTTGTCAGGGTAAAGGCAAAAGGCAGAGAGAGTGGGAGAAGCCGGGATGTGGGCAGGCGCTTTGGCCAGACAAGATTGTCTTGGCGATGCGGCGGCCTCCGCGGGTATGCATCTTTTGACTTGTTGCAGCGGAGATGCCGCAACATTACTGCTTCGTACATGCAACGTCAGTTTGACAACCTCACACTCCTACACAATACGGAGATATCCTTGATGCGACGTTGCACAGCCTCGTTAACTGTCGATGCGCCCTCCGGCATCAAGCAGATGCATCTGTTGCAGTCGTTGAGCTGCAAGATGACGGCTAAAGACTCCCAAGTAGTAGCATATTGAGGTTTGCATAGTCATGCATCGAATATACGCATAGAATATCACATTGGTTTTTTTTAACCGTGAAGAGGGCGATGCTCCCACCTTTCATAAGCTGGCACCCCCACGCGCGGATTCTCCGCCTCCACACTCAATCGCAATCGGTAGGATCCCAATCTGGAGAAAAATTTGTTTGTCAGTAAAGGCAGCGGGATGAGGGTGTTCATGTGACTGTGTAGACCAGACAGTTCAAGGAACTTACCGGTCACGAGATACTCGTCCAATCCGTCCATCGTCTCCATATCGCCATCCTCGATTTCGAAGCCTCCAACCTCCGAGTTCTCGATGATTCGCTCCTTCTTCACACTCTTAGGCAGCGGCACATAGCCGTGCTGTAGGCTCCAGCGGACCAACAGTTGGCCCGGAGTGCAATTGTATTTCTTGGACAGGGATACAATTTTGGGGTGCTTCATCCGCAAGGCTCGGACGAGGGGCGCGTATGCCTCTACAACAATGTTATGCTGTTGGCAAAAGGAAGTAATATCCTTCCGTCTAGTGTCCAGAATCAGTATAGTCATACACATAGTTCACACAGGGAGCTCACGTGTTGAACGGGTGAACCTCGATCTGATTAACCGCTGGAGGTATCGTAGGATTCGAGTCCAATAATTCTTGCAGCTAGACTGTTATTAGTGATTGACTTCGGCGACGTTGGAAGTCTTGTGATGGCCATGGCTAGACTACAGATCCAATAAGGGGATTACAACGACTTTCCCATCCCGGGTATACGTTCGCACTAAAGGTAGGATACGGGGCTACCCGAGACAACTAAAGCAAAAAGACGGGAACCAGGGTCTACTTACATGTTTGACTCCATAATTGGAGACGCCTCCAGTCTTGACTTCGCCGTCGTGAATTGCGTCCTCCACCGCTCGCCAGCTATCAAGACGCGCTTGCTTGCCTCCATATGGAGAATGTAGCAGGAACAGGTCGATGTAGCCAAGACCTGCTTCCTTGACTGATCTCTTAATAGCTTTGCGGGCCGTCTCGTATGCGGAGTTGGATGCCAACTTGGAAGTAAAGTGGATGTCTTCGCGTTTGAGAGAGTCTGTGTTTGCATCACTTGAGAGAAAGTCCGAGATGGCTTTTCCGGTCTCTTTCTCGTTATGGTACATCTGAGCTGAGTCGACTCTGGGTATACGTCATCTATCAGCTGCGGTACAAAGGTTGTGCCCCGTGATGCTACTCACGCTCGGTAGCCAGCCTACAATTGTGAGCATGGTGTTTACTGATCATCAGAAACAGCCGAAACATACCTCCAACGCCCATCGGACGGCTTGATAAGTCTCTTTCCCGGACGTCAAATAGACGCCGAGATGAATCGTTGGCATTGATAAGCCATTAGGAAGCTGCCAAAGTTAGACACGGGCGGCCAATTGTACAACGATTTTCAACGCACCTTAGTCCGTGACGCCAATGAGAAGGAGGATTGTGCCATGTTCACTGCTGAGGCTATGTTGTGCATAAACCAAAGTAGATCTGCGATGCTGCAAGAGGCAAGCCACGATAGCGGCAGAGGTAAATGGATATCCTCGGCGAAATGGTTACATCATGGCTCGCTTGCGACCGGGGTCTTCACTTTATTGTGGGTGCGTCACGATCACGACTTTGAGATCTCAAATGCAGCGGCTATGGCTGTGCAGCGTCCCTGGTCAACTGCACCTGCAGTAAAGATGGCGTTACACATGCAAAAGCAAAAAGGCGATATGTGTGTGAGCAACCTATAGCGCCCGCCAACTGTGTCGTGAGGGCGGTGCTTGCCGATTGGGGCGCGTTCCTCTAACCTTTGCACCATGCGACTAGCTCTCGCCGCGATGGACCCGAGTGCCCAGTGCCCGGTCGTGCAGTGTCTCGTTAACTCGTATGGCAGCCTCACCGAGGGCTTGAAGGCTTGAATGATCGGCGATGAACGGTTCTTCTTCAGCCTGATGCGCTGCCGTGATACTGGAAGGGACAGGCAGCGCATTGGTGGGCGCCCTTTTATTGTGGCTCTCGGACACACGAACATCCGTTTTACATCCCATGGCTGTGGATCCCCTACCACGATTGACGAGATCTATAGCCAGGGCGTTTGAAGGCGCCTGTCATTCTAGTCATTCTAGCCAACTTGAATGATGACAAAAAAGACCCAACGCACTCAGAGAGGCTCAGAAGCGAATCTGGCTCGACGCGCCTGGATCTCGGCGTCTCCGTCGATGTATGCCAACTGTCTGGGGTCGCAAAAGGACCATCATTGCGCAGCAAAATCTACAAGGAACGTTAAAAAGGGGGGCAGCGTTCGGCTGAAGCGCACGCAAGCAACCAACGACAGCACAGGCAGCGCAGTCTTAACGACACTTGGTTTACACAGTTTTTGAATAGACCGACTTTGGGGCCGTCGACCATCCGCCAACCCGCGAACTGCGAAGCCACCATCTCCGTCCCCACCAGGCTTTATGCCGCCGCTAATTGGCTCGGCAACCTGAGTCTACTTGTGAAGGATCAGAGGAGCCCGCGTGGCTCGACTTGATCACCACCGGGATTATTCTCAAATCGAGTCCATCTCACGGAGGCTTCAATAATTCCTCGCAAGGTTAGCAGGGCGGCGTCGACCGAAGCCACACCATATAAGCAAGTTCTGAAGCCTCATCATCTGTATACTCAACCTCTTGCATGTATAAAGCATCTTATCGCGCCCGCTATACATGCTGCCATAAGCTCAAGCAACAAACATATTGCAGCAGCCTTAAACTAGCCGCCCACTGGGTCGTTTCGTCATTGATCCTACTTCTCGTCACAACCTGTCAGAAACCTGAGACCCTGGCTTCCTTGGGCTTCCTTAGCTAAACCCGACATTTTGCACCGGCACGTTTATTTGACATTGGTTGCACCCAGCTCGGTAAGTTGCGAGCTGCGAGTACACAAACTGGTGTTCTTCTCCAACCAGCCAACCAGCAGTGCTGACTTTTGCCGTTCCTGCAGTAGCCCCTACTGCCCTCCATCATGGCGAATTTACCCGGATTCACCACCAACTTTCCCGCGGGATACCCAACCTTTCAGACAGGGCGTGGTGGAACTTTTGCGCGCGGTAGCACCTCTTCAGGAGGCTCGCCATCTGTCCCAAACGCATCTTCCGAGCCGCACTTCGACATCTTCGACTGGCACCCGGCGTATCAGAGCTGCCAGCGCTACTTCCTCGACCATGCTCAACACGATAACGGCGTACAGGCCGTTTGCGCCCTCATCAACATCCGCCTGCCATTCCAATGGACACAAAATCCCCTCATGAACGCATCAGGGCCGCTGCCGCACTCGTCGGGCGCTGCTGCTTACAACATGCCTTGGCCCCGCCAGGGTCCTGTCACCAATTCGCGAGGCCAGCCGGCCCCGGCATGGGTGTCCCTTGTGCCCTTCATTCGACGTCTCGTCATCACAGGAATGGACAGTCCAGGAATCATGCACGGCTTTTTCGGCGAGGACTGGAGGAAGGGAGTTGGCCCAATGCACGAGTGTGAGCGTCGCAACTACCTCTTTGCAGCCAAGAGTGTGGGTTGGGCCAAGGTCAAATGCCAGTACGACATGTCGCCGCACGAGTCGGTGCCCTTCCTGAAGCCACTGCAGGAGGTTCAGCTGGCCGAGATTGAGGGGGCCGAGAAGACGTGGAGTCAGTGGCTAGCCATGGAGGACTGGATGGTGGGCCCACGCGCACCGGATGCGGACGACCAGCCACAGGATGCTCGTCGCCGTCCATCTTGAAGTTTGGCTTGGAGTATGGCGTTGTTTAGTGCACGATAGTGCTCGATGGTCGTCAAGCATCATGGTCGTAATCCGCGTCGCACCAAGACGTGCGTAGGTTTTTTTGGATTTGCGAGAGCTAGGGTGAGCGGTCAGTGTTCAGCGATCAGCACTATGCGCCACCAGTACGCGGTGGTTGTACATGTTTCACAACATGAGCAAAACGTTTTTCATTGTAATGTAAACTGTTTTCGATACCATCAATGTTATGTTACTATGTTAGTCCTGACGATCTGTGTCCCTTCCACATTCATCTCCTTGCGCATTCAACTCGAATACAATTTCTTATTCGTGGCTGATAGTACTAAAGGCCCGACGAGTGATTTTCTTCTGCTGGCAATACACGTGGAAAAAGTTCCAAGGTTCCAAAGTTCTGTGCGGCCCGCATCCGTGGATCGTGCCTGCCAAGAAGCTTCGGCCAGCCTCAGCTACCTACGATTGCATTTGTTCCTCGCCAGAACACACCTCATATTCTTTTTCTTTTCAACAACCGGCCCAACCTTCGGGGCGTATTTTTAAAGCACATGTACCATGGAGTCCATGATTAAGGAATGGTCGGTCTTTTTGGATAAGTGCCTCGAGCGGCGTATCCAACCTGATTTGTTCGCTGCAGCCGTCGCGCAGCTCCACGCGAAGTCTCCACTGCCCGGCCGGAAGCTTGCTGCACTGGTGCTTCGACCACGCGTCGCAGGTTCCAACAACATCGATCCACGTTCTATTGTCTTTCTTGAGCAGCTACTGGCTTTGAAGAAGGTCGATGCCTCTGACGTCCTGACGCTGACGTTCCTGTACTCCAAGGATCGCCTTCCAGTCAAGACAGGCGACGAGAAACCAACCAAGGAGGCGCAATGGGACAATCCACCAGAACTCGAGGAAATTGTCTTTCATCGCTTACACAAGGCTTTTGCTGCAGAAGAGCGGCCTATCAACAATACTGAAGGCCTGCGCACACTTATTGTCTTGACAAGATGGATGCAGGCAATGGTGACCTCGCATACGAGCGATAGCATGATCCAGGCCATGGCTGGTATTCAGCAGCCCCAGCAGCACTCTATTAATGTTCGGGAAGGCCTTGCAATGCTTGTGATTGGCGTAGTAGAAAACTCAAAGATCCTGCGGATACTGAATAATCCCAAAGGCAAAGGTAAGCGGCTCTCTTACTTTCGTAAAATCTTCCTATGCAAAGCTCAAAACGACTCTTTCGATCCTTGGTGACTGCACCACTCACATAACTCAGATATACGCAAGAATTTCATTCAATCGTTCTCTTCGTTCATCCCGTTTCTCTCCAACAACTCGGGCGGATCGCATCAATCGTTACAACTAGCTGAAAGATTGGAACTCTCACAGAAACGGCATGATTTCTACGAGAAGCTTCCTAACGTCAACGGTGAGGAGAATGGGAACGCAGGTCTTGAAGTCGCTGCCCTTCAGCTCGATGCTGTAATGGAGCTCCCACAAGTGAATACGCGAGCCGGTCTCTACATCTTCTTGAATGCATTGGTAAGTCATACAGATGTTGAGCTAGTCTATTGCTAAAAGTTCAAGCTTGTCGCGCGTCCTCTAACCGATGACTTCATCATTATCAATCATCTTCACTCACGATACAAGGTAAGGTGGTGGTCTCTCATTCCGGGAGAGATGCTGACTCGTCATAGTTGGAAGCGCAGAACATGGCCACAGACTTGATCACCGCTGCTTTTGATGTTCTTGCCAACGCCATGTATCGCAGTGAACCGCCACAAACCATGTTCTATCTGAAATCTTTCCTAATCAATAAGGTGCCATTACTCCTGGCACAGCTGACCGGATCGATATTCCCCATGACAGTCGAGATGTGCATCACTCAGGCACTCAGTCATGTGGACCCCCATGCATTTCCATCATTCTCGCAAGGGTTCGATGATATCATGGGAAGCAATAACAACTCCCTCTCCGATGTCAGGCAAGACTTCCTCAATGCCTGTGCGCTTCATGCTCTCATCCCAACGGGTACCGTAGAGCGGTTGCTTGGTGAAGCCCCCATGCAGGGCCCACCTTCGAAGAGATACGAGAGGAAAGAATTGCTAAACCAGTGCAAGTCAAACTTTGACAAAGTCAGCACATTCATCGACGAACTTGAGAGCCTGGACGGAAATGCGGGTGCCATAGTCGCTGCTGTTACAGATGTACGACTTGATTGCATGACTTCCAAAAGAGACTTGCTGACATGAATACAGTTTATAGCACACCTCTGTGAAACTCAAACGACTATGTACTTGAAGCAACTATCCTCGTTACTCTTCAAGAAACCGCAGGCAATGGACGTAATGCTCCAATTCACCTCACCAGCGAGCATTCTGCGACCTCTATGCCAATTTCTTGACGACTGGCACTATGACAGCGATCAAGGTGAGTTCTCAACAATACTAGTGTTGTATTCCGCTGACACATGTAGGCGAATACCAACCAGTATACGACGAATTCGGTGCGATACTGGTCCTCGTCATGGCATTCATACACCGCTATGATCTTACGTACCACGACATCGGTATCGGTCATGATACGTTCATCGCCAAACTTTTGAAACGTGGTCATCATAGCATGCTGCCCGACCAACTGAGTGAAGAGCAAGGCAAGCATCTTGGTAATTGGCTAAAAGGACTCTACGACGCCGATAAGGAAGGGCTTAGCAACGAAGTCTTTGCATCTTGCCGTCCTCAAGATTTCTACCTCATAGTTCCCACATTATTCAGGCAGACAGTCGTGGCATGCTCGACTGGAGTTCTGTCATTTGAGTCGGTCAAAGGTGGTTTAGAATGTAAGCTCATCCTGATACCTTTCGTTAAACCTAGCATTACTGACCCGTCCCAGATCTCGGAGAGACATTCTTATTGCCATCCTTAATAGAAGGTCTTACCTGGATGGCCTCATACGCGCTCCTTCAAACGCACAACGATCTCGATGCAATGATCCGTATATTCAACGAAGTCATACTAACGACTCCCTCCTCTGGCGACGCACAAGCTATGCATTCGACTATAATAGCTATGGTTTCTAGTCGCCTGGAAAAGTGCTTCCGCACGCTACAGCGACGTGAGCCGAACCGAACGACACTCGAGCCTTTTATCCAGGCGATCAAAGTTCACGCATACTACGAACGTTCCGTGTACGCTAGCTTGAAAGAGGTAGATCAGTGGACGAATGCGCCGAACAGCACTCTCAACTCATCCATACGGCACACCATACAGCAACTGTCACAGTGGGCTTCGACCTCGTCGTTACAGCCAAATCCACCTGGCTACACACACCGCCAGATCTATGCATCGCTCAAGATGCTGGGTGCGACGAGAACACTGCGCGCAGTTGTAGATGAAGTAAAGGCACAGACAGATACTGGCAACGGTGCGGCTGCACTAGACATCGGCGTGTCCATCATCTGTGCTCCCACTGTCGAGGATAGTCCCATCACAGTTGACTGGGTAGGAAGCTCAATACCAGCGCCGCCCCAACAGCGAAATCACATGAATCTCCGCGAAATGCTCAAGCAAGAATTCGAGAGCGCTGCAAATCTGGTTGCGACAGATCCCCTAACGGCGGAGACAATAGTACGCCTGCACCGCCGCGTAGAAGCACACTTTGCCTCCCTTGGTGAAGCTGGACTCCAAGCACCGCCTATCAACATCCCAAGTGTCAATATCGCAGATATGCAATCGCAAACCATATCTGACGATCTCAACCGAGCTATCGACGATGCGGCCGCTGCAACAGTTGTTGATGACATCTCCAACATGGACAACAAAGCGCTACAGCGCAGTATGGACGAACTTACGGGTCCTGAAGGCCTGGATCTATCAAGCATCGGTATGGGTAACGGCGATGCGGGAGCGGGTGATATGAGCACGGATCTGGGTAATCTACCCGATCTGAATCTGGGCGACATGGGTAGTATGGGCATGGATATGGATATGGACATGAACATGGATATGGGTGGAGGTGGAGGTGACGATGACTGGGGGTTGGATTTCGATAACATGTAGCAGATGTTGTATGAAGGGGAGTTGCTTGGATAAGCGCTTGGATCGGACTTGACTGTTTGGACATCGAGTCTAGAGACTACCAGTACCGCATCTTTGGAGTTGTTCTTTGAATAGATTATGTTACCACCGGAAGTAAAAACGGATTCGGTGTGATTATTGCGCCAAATGTACCGAGGTAACAAACACTAATTCGGAAACGGCATGAAGTAAGATGGATGGAGCGGGGTGTACCTGCATAGCTCCGGAAGCTCTTGCCCCACCTCTACCCCAACGGAGTCCGTCAGTACACAGTGTAAACAACTTTAATGACGTCTCATACTGATTCACAAATTACAGTTTTCTCATAAACTCTTTACAACTCCATCTGTCTTATTCTCGACGAGACCCCGTTGACAGTATTCTATATCTACCCCACGCTACCACACCAAGTAGCAAAGATGCCGTACGATCTCAAAGGTAGAAATGTGCTTATCACAGGTGGATCAGCGTACGTACAGGGCAACTCCTAAAAAGCCTTCAATCAATTCTGCCATCTCTGTGTCACGTTAGAAGTTTGTCACTGACAATATCTCCAGTGGTCTCGGCGAACTCCTCAGTACGACGTTTGCCAGTGAAGGCGCGAACGTCGCTATCAATTACTTCAACCGTATCGAGCCGGCACAAAAAGTGCAAAAGGCATGTGAGGCACATGGTGTCAAAGCTATTGTAATCAAAGCAGTACGCTCATCGTATTCTTGTTTGTAGTGAATGCAAGCTAAAGTGTCCGATAGGATATGACATCGACGGCGGAAGCAAAGCGAGCGGTTAGAGAGACAATCGAGCAGTTTGGTGGACTGGATATTGTGCTCGCTAACGCAGTATGTATAAACAGATACCGACGCGAGAGGATGCTGCTAACGCCAATGCAGGGCTGGACGCGTTTCGCTGAATGGAAAGATCTCGACTCCATGAGCGAAGAAGAGTGGGATAAGTGCTGGAACGCAAATGTCAAAGTACCCAAGGCAATACTTTCTGAAGCGAGGGCTACGTTCGATGCCAATCCGGATGGTGGACTTATGATTACTACTGGTAGCATTGCGGTACGCTGCCCCTCTAGTTTTCTCTTGATTTATGTCCAGACCAAAGGTCTAGTAACTACATGCTAATCACGAAGTACAGGGTGTCAGCCAAGGCGGATCAAGCATGCCATACTCGGTTACCAAAGCAGCACAACTTCAGCTGGTCAAATGTCTGGCAGTCACTGTTGGACCCAAGATCCGTGTCAATACGGTCCTCCCGGGCTTACTGCTGACTGAATGGGTACGACGAAGAATCTCTCCTGGCGCCTTGTATTGGATGCTGACACTATCTTAGGGCCTCAAATATTCCCAGGAAAGGATCGAACAGTTGAAGAACCTTGCAGCACTGAAGCATGAGACATTCCTGGATGATTGTGCTGCTGCGTTCGTGATGCTGGCGAAGAATACTAGTATGACTGGTATGCGCATTCAGGTTGATGGTGGATTGAACATCCAGGGCGCATAAAGTGCGGTAGAACAGACATCATGGTCATCTCCCAGGATCATCATCAACTTAGCAATGGAAAAAATCATGGTGAACATTCGCAAGCTTGTCAATTGCCTCGGCGCCGATTTGTCGCGGAAAAGGAAGAGACCTCGGCCGTGGGGATGCTGTCACCCCACGACGCTAAACCGAGCTGCAGGGCACCTCACGTCAATTCCCCGCGTCCCGAACCTCCGCATCTCCGCAGAACTTCCAGAGATCAACACCATGACTCCCTTAAAGTCATAGTCAGAAACCTACCATGTCTACTTCTCTCAGTACCGCTTCCAGAGCAGCCCCGCGTCTAACGCGACGGTGCATGCGATGCGGCGAACGGAGCGACAATTGTCAGCCCGCGCGACGGCGCTGGATGAGCAGCGTACGAGACGCGCCCGCTAAGAGACCAAAGACTGCCATCTTCTTTCCTGGTACTTCTTCCCAGCTTCTGCAAACCTCACTATTTCAGCATGCTAAGCAGCAACAGGTCAGGGAGTACAGCGAGTGGGAATGTGCACACCATGGCTGGAAGCCTTCCCCAACACCGCGAAACCCATCCTCGAGGAAATCGACGAAACCCTTAAACTCCCCCTCACCAAGACGATAGAGTCTGGTACCAATGCCGAACTCACACGAACCGAGAATGCGCAGCCGGCCATCATGGCAACCTCGATCCTCATACTGCGAATACTGGAGAAGGACTTTGGCTTCAAGACTAGTGAGCGCGTAGACATCACATTGGGTCATTCACTGGGCGAGTTTGCGGCACTAGTAGCAGGCGGCTACCTCACATTCCGGGACGCATTAAAGATGGTACGGAGACGAGCCGAAGTCATGAGTAAATGCAGTCAAGAAGCAGTTGCAGAGGAAGGCGGCGAGTTCGGCATGGTCGCCCTAGTCTGCGAGTCCGAAGAGCACATGCAGGCACTCATCAACGGCATCCATGAATTCCTTGCCCTGGGCTCCAAAGCAGACTCCCACGACCATCTACCAGCCGTCCAACAAGTCTCAATCGCAAATCTCAACTCGAAGAACCAAATCGTCCTCAGCGGCAGCATCACCCGCATCAACACCTTGCTCACGAATTTGCGTCAATTCGGCGGCCACGATCCACGTCACGTACGCTTAAAATCCGACGCGCCTTTCCACAGCCTTCTCATGAAGCCTGCTCAAGAAACCATGAAACGCATACTCCACAAAGAAACTGAAGATGGACGTGACATCGTTACATGGCCAGGTATCATGCCTTGCATATCGAATGTATCTGGCAAGCCCTTCCAGGACAAAGAGCAGCTGAAGGATCTTCTAGCACGTAGCTGTGTAGAGACGGTACAGTGGTGGAAGAGCGTAAAGTATCTGCACGAGCAAGAGAAGATTATGCGTTATGTGGGTATTGGTCCGGGGAAAGTGGGCAGAAACCTTGTGGGTAAAGAAGTGGGCATGAAGGGCTCGGTCAAAGGAGGCGGTGTCTGGGGTATTACAAGTCCGAAGGAAATGGAGGAAGTGGTTAGGGCATTGGATGACACCGAGCATGTTGAAGTGGATTGAAATTTCTGAATTCACGTTTACGACGATTCACGATAATGCCGCCATGACTGGAAAGATGGGCCGTGGTTCCTTGAGCATAAAAAGTGTACAGATATACCCCAGTATAGCGAATTTACAGTAATGCTGATGGACAGACCTGATTGAGTCGCACCAGGTCGAATGGTCTCTCGGATACATAAGTGAAAGTGGTTATGATCATGGGGACGCCATGAGCAATGGCGTACTCCTCCCCTTTTCATCACCACCTTTGACACGCTCAAACAAACAACGGGGTGACGGGGTGAGCTGACACTAGAGATGAACTGAATCTCACTCCTGTCTATCGAAGCATTCTCATTCCTGACTAACCACCAACTCTATCTATTCAAACTCAACAACTCCTCAACATACCTCCTAGCATCGATACCAATCCCCTCTGCCAACCCCTTGGGTCCCCAACCCGCTGCCGCTCCCCCCATTCTCTGATTCTGACCTCCGCCACCACCCATACCAAGTCCACTCCACATACCACTTGCAAAGCGACTCGAGCTCTTCGTAGTTCCTGGCTGACTATCCCTCGCGCGGCGAACTAAGAACGCTTCCCGCAGTTCATTTGTGTTGAACTGCGCGGAGCCAGACACCTCGTTGGAGTTGTTCTGCGAGTCCTGTTGGGCAGCTGCGTCTTCGGAGCTGACTTGCGAAGGCGGGAGACGCATCCAGACGACCCACCATCCGCGCGAAGTCTTGCACGTACGTTCTATTTCAGAGAGGTCGCGGCGCGTACCTGCTACCGTGGCTAAGATCTGGGAGTGGACGTTGAGGGCTTCGACTCTACTCCAGCCGAGGGAGCTAGTACTGCTGCTGCCCAGGCCTTCGGCTAGTAAGGTTCCTGGGTCGGGAATGTTGGGCAGACTGGAATGGATCGTGTATGTGCGGGGGTCGAAGACGACATCGTAAATGGCCTGCGTGTTGGGCCCTGAGTTTGGGCCTGAACCGCCGGTAGAGGCTTCGGTTGTATAATGGTTGGAGACGGCGTGGAGACGCGCGGCGACGTTTGCGGGGGAGGTGCTTTTGTCTAGGGAGCGGTGGAGGGGCGAGAAGAAGTTGTGAATGTCGCGGTAGAAGGATGCGACGCCTAGAGAATGCGTGCGGTGTTCGAAGAGGAAGGTGTAGACGAATGGACGGTGCTGGATTGAGTGTTAGCCGGGTCTTGGATGTCGTCGATGTTGTCTAAACTTACCACGTAAACGACAGGTCTTAACCGGGCTAGATTACTTCCTGTCGTCGTCGGTTGCACTCTCATATCCTTCTCGTACTGCGGAGTCTCGTCCGAGTCACCGTCTCCTGTTTGCAGTGAGGCAGCTCGCCTGTCGACCTCCACATGTATAGTCCGCAGTGGTATTCGGTTGTTCCAATCACCCTCTCCGTTCTCGTCGTCGACTTCCAAGTCTTGCAGATCCCCCTTGAGCCCTACGAGAAAGTACCCATCGTTCTCTAGGCGTATCTGTTGCTTTATCTTCTCTTCTGCTGGGTCTACATCGGGTGTAGGATCGACGTAGCGCATCGCTGCGGGGGAAGGTGTTCGTTCGCGTACCGGTTGTGGTACCGGAGCTGGCGCTGGAGCAGCAGAACCCGAGGTCTCTACGCTCTTGTTTCCGCTTCCGCCCCATGCTGTCCCATAGCCAAGGGTCATATATTTCATCCATGTCTCGGTGTCACCCAGAGATGATAGCATTGTCTGAGACTCGGGCGCAGTTGAAGTGGCCTGAGATTTGTTGTTATCGACGGCGGCTGCTGCCTTATCAAGAGAGTTCTCAACCGCTTTGACAATCGGTGGAGGGATACCAGGTGGCAGGTCTGAGCCATCGTTCGACACTGGAGGACGTGGCCTTTCGTCCCGCATTGGAGGCGATGGTTCGGGCTCGGACTCGGGCTTCAGATTTCTCCTCCGCCGTTTCCTGCGATCAGAAGTCGGGTTGTCTCGTATGCCATAAGCATATTCGCCGTGGGCGTAGATAGTCTCTACCCAGTGAGACAAGTCCCGCAGCGACTTTCGGCTCACCGCTCCCAGACCTGAAAAGACAACGCCATCAGCGGCGTGGGCGTTTCTCCCAACCCCTATCCAGGGTTCCAACTCGGAGACTTCAAGTGTTTTTGGGTCTGTAGAGGTTTTGGCTTGTTGCAATGGTGATGCTTCGCCGAAGCGGGATACCATGACATCCACGAGACCTGATGTTCTTCGTGCAAAGTCCTCTAGCACATCCCGCTCACTGCTACCCCACTCCTCTTCTCCAACACCCATGCCCAACTCTCCGCCTGCTGCCAGTTTCATGCCACCGTATATGTCCACCGCAGGGCTTCCGTGTAGTAGCACGTCCCAATTGCTCGCAAACCGCGACCAGTATCTGTCTAGTATGCTGCAGAACTTGCTGCGGCCGTGCTTGGCGAACATGGCCTCCATTGTCGAGCCATGATGAAGCAGGAAAATGGACTGGGCGCGGGCGAGTTGTTGGATCAGCAGTGCAGGCGGGCTGACTTCGCGTGATGAGTACTCGATGACGGGCTCGGTGGTGTCGGTGCTCGAATCGGTTCGTGTGAGGCCGCCAGCAGCGGGTAGTTGTGTGAGGTCAATCGACTACCGTGGTGTCAGTTGTAGTCTACTAAGCATGTGGAATGTGCATACTGCCAATATCCACCACCCGTCTTCCAATTCATGCAGAATAGTACGCGTCTTCTGCGTTTCTACCGAATCAACTGCCTCGCCATCAGAGAAGCTCCTATGCTTGATCAGCTTTGGTATACGGAAAGTGCTTGCCACGCGACCTACTTCGCAAAGCCGACCATGCCCTGAGCTAGCCCGACCTGACGGAGCTTCTCATTCTCCTGCTCGCGCAACTCCTCTTCCCTCTCAGTATCGCCATCTCTCAGTTTGGAGCGTGTCTTGGCGGCCTTGGAGTAATAGAAGACAATCTGCTGGTCGAATGTCTCATCTGACCTTCCGAGGGAAGGGTTGTATATGGCTAGGAAGGAGAGTTGCGCCGGAATGACCTTGGAGCCCGCCGTGGACGACATTCCAGCATTCTTCGAAGTGCCTGGTCGCGAGCGTTTCGGGTGGTTTTGGGTGAGGGATGAATGGCGTCACACGTGCGGAAGAGACGCGGAGGAGAAGACAACCAGCCACCGTGCCAACCTCAACAACAAGCGGTCGCTGTGGACTATTTGTATTCCATGGTCAAAGATTGCGATGCATCGCGATGCGGCGCCAGGCGGCAAGGATGCACCCGATTGTCGTGGTGAAGATGCCCCACGAGATCTCGATCGCAACGTCCAGATCCTGCGGAGCGGCATTTGTCGCCGAACTTCCTCACTCCGACCATGTTCTGCAGGCTACGAGGCCGCGTCTACTCCCTGGTCCAGACTCCACACTGTCGCTATAGCTCTACAGCAGTTCCCGCTCGGACGTCGGAGCCATTGCGGATATTGTTCTGCGGTTCTGACAATTTCAGCATCGCATCACTGCGCGCCGTAGCAGACGCGAAGCGGCATGTGCCGAAACTCATAGAGAGCATCGATGTAGTCCATCGATCAGCGAAGCCTACCGGACGAGGACTGAAAAAACTAAGAGAGGGTACGAACGTCTTTTGACTGCCACACAGCATCAATTGACAAGATTCAGTTCCTATCAAGCAGGTAGCTACCGAAGAGCTCAATCTACCTACTCATGTGATCGACACCTTCACAGGCTGGACGCCACCCAACCCCATAGATGTCGTCATCGCCGTATCCTTCGGCCTCCTTGTCCCACCGAGGATCCTCAACTATGCGCAATACGGCGGCCTGAACGTCCATCCTTCTCTGCTGCCCGATCTGCGTGGCCCAGCGCCCATCGAACATGCCATATTGAAGAGGCGGCAGTACACCGGTGTCTCTGTGCAAACACTACATCCAAGGCATTTCGACCAGGGTACTATCCTTGCCCAAACCCCCATGCCTGGCCACGAGATTAGCCTTTCTCGCGATACTCCTGATATGGCTCGGGTTGTAGAGCAACAGCTTGCCACTGCCGGGGCAGAAATGCTGGTAGATGTCTTGAAGCAACGCAAATTTGTGCCTCCGCGTGAGGACGTCGGATGGTACGCCCACTCCAACGGTCCTATCGACCATGCACCAAAAATCACCAAGCAAGATCGCTATGTTGATTTCGAAAAACATACCGCGGCAGACGTCATTGCCAAATGGAACGCACTTGGCGACCTGTGGTGTCTGCTACCCACTGGTGAGCGGCTGATACTACACGACGTGCTTGATCCAATGCTACCAGACGATGATGAGTATGTCACAATGAAACCTGGACTCTTTGTGGATTCAGATTTGGAGGGCTTTCTCTGGTTTAGAGGAGCGTGTGGTAAAATGGGAAATGTGCTCAGTAGCACATTAGAAGGAGGCAAGAAGGGACAAGGGAATGCGAAGTTGCTACAACTGTTCGGTCCCCCAAGAAATCCAAGTTTGGGAGATATGCCTTTAATGCGTCCTTTACACAGGGTTATCTAACAGCGCTGTCTCGCCCAAATACTGAACTGTCAAACTGTACAGTCAACGAACTCGCTCCTGCTTCTCCCATTCTTCTTTAGCATCCTCGAATTCCTCAATCTCTTTCATCACCCTCACGCTCTTAGATATGGTTTGTACCTGGTCCAAGGCCGTTGCAAAGCCTGAAGAGTCCGAAGTCTCGTAGAATAGCTGTCGCATCCCTCTAGAGCTATTTTCCACTGCCTCATTCAGCGCTCCCAACAGCATCAGGAAACATTCGTCCTTCTCTCTCGGAGGCGCTTTGTGGTTGATGAAGCGAGAAAATCCCTCAGTCCAGCGATTGATCTCGTCTCTCAGCTCCTGCGTCTGCTGCTTACCTTCCGCCGTCGACTGAAAGATGTATGGTATGCAAGCTTGGAGCTCCTGGCTGGTGGGCATGATACTCGTCAGGAAAGATGGCTTCGGAACTCTTTTCGGCTGTGCGTATCGCCGTATGAAAGCTTCATATTCTTTTGCTCCAAAAGCACGGCGTTCATTGTTAAGTTTGACAGTAGCCACTGGCAGCTCGTTGTGGCCTGGTAAACCCTGCTTACAAAGTTCGCTTTCTCCAGTCGGTTGGCTTTTCCAAGAAGTAGCGTATACGGCTCTTTGCGTTGAAACTCCTTCTGAGACATCTCCGCTATATGCTTTTGCCTCTGACGTTGTATATGGGAGGCTCGACATCGCATACATCCTCACTGAAGGCAAAATTCTTCCGTGTTCCGCGATAGTGCCAAATGACTTGCCAACTGATGAATTACTCGGCGAATAGGCAACGGTACCTAATTGCTTACGAGGCAATGTCACACCCTGCGTAGAGGGCATCTCGATCGTTTCTGTATCAGGAGTCGACCGCGTGAGTATAGCATGTATCTCTTGTACCATAGCTCGAAATTCTCCGTCTACAGCTGGGTTACGCAGTACGTCTCCCAATAATGAATGTGTTATTTCATGGTTCCTCTTGCTGTTTGCGTCTGCGAATGCAGTGTTCGCCCTTCCGTGTTGTTAGTCTATATTGACTCGAGATCCAAGTTCCAATGCTTACCAGACCACAGAGGTCAACATGAGGTTTATCGCATCGGTATGCGACTTAAGCTTCTCCCGATACTGTTGTAAAGACTGCTTCTCGTGGTCCCATCGCACTCTTTGCCAGTTGACCTGAATACTCTTCTTCACGTCTTCCAGTGTGCGCAGCTTCGTCTTGCCCTTATTCGCCTTACTTTCGACATCGCGATACTTTTTTGTCACAGTGTCTAATTCTTGTAGCGTAGAAGCACACGAGTTAACCATCACATCAAGCTTCTCTTTAAACGCTGATCCGCCATAACGGAAACCTGGCCGCGCGAGCACATCGTTCGAAACCTCTCCGAGGTGATCCAAAGCACATTTCAAACTAAACAGCACTTCCTCGAGCTCTTTCAAGTCCCGCGATGCTGCCTGCCGTCCGGAGCTGATGCTCGCGTAAAGGTTATACGCTAATTGGCTGAGGAGGACTAGATGCGGTTAGTGCTCCGTCTACATCAATCCAGTTTCATCAACGTACTGATATCCCCTATTGAGAAGCCAAAAGACATGATCCCTCAATTTTGTTCCAAAACGAGGGAGATGGGTGCGTCGACCCGGCTGAATGCAACGAATGCGGGCGTGCATGCGAGGCTGAGGTCATCCCACCTGACAAGGCTGAAAGGCTGAAAGGCAGCCATCGAGCTGACTTGAACCTCAAGATAAGCATCATAATCCCTCTCTCTCTTTCTCTCTCTAACATAGCAGGTTATCCAACGTTCCGATTAAGACGCAGATCTGTTGTCTACGATGAGCTGCTCAACATCGACCCAAGTCGTTCCGATAGGCTCTCGCCGGGTCGTGTTTGAGGGCCTAGAGAATTCACAACATCTTCATCGAGTCAGCGAGAGTGAAACTCCATCCGAAAGGTCTAGATCGTCGCCGTTCTCTATGATCATACATGATGACGAGCCAATGTCTGAGCTTTGGAATCGGATTGAAGGTTATCAACCTATATTTCTGATAATCGGGCATTCTACTGACGCGAAGCAGAACACGGCTTCCAAAAGCCTCTAGAGCTGATAATAGACGATGTAAAGTACCGCGAAGACGCCCGCAAATACGTCGTGAGCAACCATGACGAAGTCGTTGTGGTCACGGACGACCAGATATCCACCAAGAACACAATCAGACTCACAGAATCGCTTATCTCACACGCAAACACTCATCATGGTCCAGATATTGACTTTAATATCACCCCGATATCCTCCTCGAAACGCGCCGTGGAAACCAACTACGGATTTCACGTGTCTTTCGAACGAACACCGAGAATGCCAGATGATAACAGGTTGCACCAGCTGCCAGCCTCGTTGGGAAGTTACGAACTGTTCAGCGTAAAAGCATATTCCAGCCATCTTCCGAACAATATATGCAAACGCGGCGGTGTGTTTTTCCCCATGTGGCAGAGGGAAGCTATGTGGCTGAATTTCGAGCCCAAGCAGCACAAATGGGCTGTCCGTGTTTTCATGGGCCATGTCAACACTATCTCGGGTCACACGATAGAGGAGACTGCTGACAAAGAAGTCGAGGATCAGCAGCAAGATTATATCGTCATACCTGGTCAACCATGGTTAGATGGTATTTGTGTAGCGCCTGGCGTAGTTCGCCAGTTTGTCGCCATGCCGCGTACGTCACTGGCTTACCTCTCATAGAACTCAGCTAACTGAAAGAAGTGGGATCTGGATACACCGTCGAAGGTCAAAAGACGTCAAAAGAGCAGCATGGAGGGCTTCAACTTGAAATCACACCGGAACTTTTTCCGAAGCAGCGCTTGTGGTCGTATGGCAAGGACAAACACATCGTGAAGAGTGCACGCGGTTTTCCCAGCGGCCTTGATGAGATGAAGACACCTGAGCAGCTTGGTAGAAATATCGGCGATGTTCTGAGATCGTACCCGGCCGATTCCATATATGAGGAGCCTCTCAAGATAAAGCATCTTGCAAAACCAGGATCGTATATCACGTGTAGAGTAGGTTCAACTAAAACATACGTGGGTCTCTCGCTAACCTATATGTTTAAGGTGATCGCCCAAATGCATTTTGCCACGCTGCCATCTATGCAGCCCTCGTACAGTAGTAGATTGAGGTCAAGTTACAGCGTCCATGTACGCTGCGACACCAACAGTGGTAGTCCGGGACAACTGCCAATGGCCCCCATTAAAGACACATTGGAGATCCCGAGTGCATCAGCACTCCACAGTCTTTTGCCCGAACAAGTGACAGAGTTTTCGAGCAAGACAGAAAGCTTGGATTACAACTCTGAGGATAACACCAAAAGAGAACTCGAGGTCAATGATGCGAGAGATATCAGCGCCATGGGTCTAGCCGCTGGCGGAAAACTGAGTAGGGCTAAATACACATTCGTCTTACTTTTACTGACCCAGAATGTAGTTCAAGATATATACAAAGATCCCTACCCAGCCACATTATGGAACCACTCTGCTGCACGCATTCTCCATGTGCACATCCTCGACCCAGTAAGCTGCGAAAAGGTAACGCACATCGTCCCACGGCCTCCGTCGATGGATGCCAAAGCGTACACCGAAGCTTCTGGACAATTTTTCGTTGTAAAAGAAAAGGTAGACGAGCGCCTCCACGGAGGTGATTTCGACAATGTGAAGAGTGTTATCCAGATGGACCAACAAGTCGGCATCAGTACTGAACCAGAGTTTGACCCAACAAAGCCGAAAATGTGCACGACATGCGAACTTCGACTGTGTGACTGCATGTAAGTAATTCTTCTTCAGTTGTGCCTCTTCTTCCTAACACAGTCAGTATCCGTCCCTGTGACCACCAATTCTGCAACGTCTGCATCAAGAGGATTGAGCAGAACAGCAACGAGGATTCTGCCTCAGCGCACAGAGAATGGAATTGTCCGACATGTGACAGCATGGTTTCGCATGTAGCAGGTTTCTCAGCTCCTATGAATCTGCCAGGCGAGGAGCCATTACGCGTCAAGGTCCCTGTTAATGTGCTGGAAATTGAAGACGGTAGGGTGAGATTTGAAAGTGTGCAGAAGACCAGAATCTAGGGCTGACGTTACATGAGTGCATGAAAGGCGGATATGCATGTACTTCTGAAGATATAGTGCAAAGCAATCTGTGTCCTTTGAACAGATCTAATCTTTGCAGCAAGAAAACTATACACAAACACAATAAGGCCGGCAGTCCACCAAATGTGTAACAAAAAATATTTACCTTATAGGGCATAGGAGCAACTGAGCGTGTCATCATGGTGTTTTGACCATGGGTGATGTTCATTCAACGGGCAAAAAAGAATCCTCCTCCGGGAAGGCTCGAACTTCCAACCTCCTGATAGCCACTGATGTAACAGTCAGACGCGCTAGCCAATTGCGCCACAGAGGATTGTTTGATGAAATTCTGAATAAAATCATCGTAAATATACTATTTGATTGTAGATGCTTGTCGCGTCGCGTTCTCGCGTTTGAACCTTAGTCAAGATTGAGTTGCGCAGTGTGGAACTTAGGTGGAGTAGCTACTCCCCACTTCAAGATGTTACCGGAGGTTCCATTACTAAACATAGCAGAACACCCATTACGATGAGAATGAAGCAAGGAAAATTCATAACAACACCATAGTGGGTTGAATTTGTGAGCGTTGTAAGTAGATATGTAATCATGTTTCGATAAGCGTCTATGGTCTATGTTTCTTTCCATACTCATGTGAAATACCCTGGCAATTTTCTTTCCCAAAGCGCATCAAGTCGCTGTTATTGCAGACACTCCATGTGAACGTCTCTTCATCATCTCAATGGCCTCATCGGTATGTCTGCGTCTTCTTCGTCTGTTCGTTCGCCTTCAAATTCCGACGATATCAAACCCCTCTCTTCCTCGTCGTCTCCTCTTCCCATTGGCTCCACTTTCTTCGTCGGCGCCTCCTTATTCATCGCAACGTATATTGCCGAACCAAGGATAAGCGACGATCCAGTTATGGATAAAGCGCCAGGTGTCGTGCCCCAGACCAGCTTGTCAAATGCGAGTGCGAAGAGCATTTGCATATACACCATGTTTGTTGCGCGAGATGACTTCTCGTATTGAAGGCCTGCGGCTAAGAGGAATTGCTAAGCGTTGTCAGTCAAGAAGCATAACACGGCGGCACTATCCAATAGACGTACCATTACGAAACCGCAGACGCCCAGAAAGATTAGGTAGCACCAGTCTCTCGGGCTGTTCGGAAGCAGGAAGCCAACACCAGGTATGGTAAACATTGCCACTATGCTGACAATTGTACACCATGTTGCAAAGTAGTTGACGGATATGAGCGGATGTGCTCGCTTGCCGATCCATCGAATTGTGGTATATGCACCTGCTGCTCCGATGACACCCAGCATTGCAATGCCTACTGCCATTGCCCGTTGCGTTGGCGTCACCGAATCATAGTCGGCAGCGAGACGATCGGGTGAAGATACAGTTGTGTTCGGCAGAAGGGCATCTAAGTCGCCGGTAGCAGGAGGAATAGGTGCGTCGGAATGCGACAGCGCAGAGAACAATGTAACGGGTCTTGCGATAAGGACAACGCCAAAGAGCGAGACGTAAGCAGCGATCTGTTCCATCCGGGTGAACGGCTCATTGATGAAATATGAGCATGCCCAACAGGCGAGCGACGGTGCCAGAAATGTAATGACCGTAGCATCGGCCAGAGGTAGGTACAACAGGGAGTCTGTGATAGTTAGCGCTATGAAATGCAGGAAGGGCCCATATGATGTACTGTGGAGTCCATCACAGCAGTGGGTGAGCAAGAATCCTCGAGCGCGACCTAGCATCTGACGAGCTGAGACGAGTTACTGTACCCACACGGTTCCTTGATCGAGGCTGCATAACTTACAGTACATTCCAAAGACTCCAAAGAAGCCGAAAAGCCCCCTAGCAACTAACAACGAGCGGACTTCCTTCATTCCGAAAGGGAAGTGTTCTGTCTTCTTGTACCACATGTAGAAAGATGAACATGCCACGGTGATACTCATCCTCGCGAACAAGATCTGGAATGGGTGATATCCATTGCCTATGATACTCTGTCAGTATATGCGGCTGTCGCTACTGGGGGGTCTTCATACCCTTATTTCCTTCCATTTCTAGTATTCTCGTGGTTACATTCATTAGAGTTCCGAACAGTTGAGCAAGTAGAACAAGTGCTAGGCCCTTGTTTGATGTCCATGATGCTTGAATCCTGCCTTTGAAGGTTCGCGGAGGAGCGGGTAAGCGTGAAGCATATCTGTCATGGTACAGAGGAGCATAGTCTGGATTTTGACCAAATCGTATAATGTTCGAATCGTCTATTGATACAAGGGATGGGTCCGGGGAAGGAACGCGAATTGCCCCGCGATGAACAGTCAGCGTATCATCCGTCTTATCACCGGTTTTTAGAGACGATTCAGCCTCGGGTTCGCGCTCGTTGAGCTGCTGCAGCGATTTATCATCGTTTTGAAGAGAGGTGGAGAGCGATGCCTGTACCATAGTGCTTCATGGAGGAATGATAGAGGGTTGCAGGTCAGTGACGATGACATGAAGACATGATGGACGGCGAACGAAACGCCAGCCACGGGCGCCAATTGTGAATGAGGAAGGCGGCAATCCAGTCGACGAGTCACAGGCACGCGACACTGCCCCAGATCCACACATTCGCCCCTCCCTCGCGTAGCTTTCCCCCAGACCCCGCTGGTTCATCGAAGAGTATCCATTTTAGACGCGACCACTTCTCTAGTTCTCAAAAGACTTGATATGTGTTGAAGTAACTGCAGAGGACGTTTGTTTTTTCATAATGACGTTGGCCTACCTACCCCGCCATTATCGATCCATGCAGATACCTCGGTCCAACCTTGGCAATCAATGCGGCGGGTCAGTTGGCACATGAAGAGGTCTTCTTCAAACGTAGGGGTGTATCATGTAGGAAGAACGAGTGAGTGTTGCCTGACTCATGTATTTGGTGATACTCACATCCTATCAGCAGTTCACACTGAACCCTGCTACCATCGAGTTTCTCACCTAGGCAGCTCCTTCTCTTTTGGTTGCGCATGAATACCAGCCAAATTTGATCAACATCGAAATGAAGTTGCCCATATATAAGACAAGGCTATCCGGCCCTTTTCCAGTCTTTAAGGCCATGCGACCCGTATTTTGCAGACGCAGCTACGCTCGCGATTGTTGTTGGTACACAGGCGCTCTTGGTGACCGACACTATCCTTGAGAACGCGGAGGACCAACCCGTTCCTTCTCTGATCGCCCTCTCGTCACATTACTCCAATTGATGACAAACCCGCTGGCACACCATCGCTATGCATGAGCTGTCAAGACAGAGTTAGAGGCGTTCTTTTGGGCGCTTCGCGCACCGAGAAGGTTTACTACACCGATCAACGGCAAGAGATGTTAGATGTTGGACAGGACCAGCAACGCTTGTAGCCGTGTGGCTCAAACAAACTTTCCATCCACATGTAGGCGGGCCAACGGCTGGCAGCCACAAAATGATGGCTTGGAAGCGATGCTGCAGATTTGGTGATAACCCATCGTAGGAGGAGATTTGCAGGGAGCACTTCCTCGGATCAAAGGTCCCCCACACTATCTTCAAATCAGGCGTGACGTGCGGATCTCGTCACTAAACCCGCGATTCTAGACAACCCTTTATTTGTGAGCAATTCCTAATAATGGTCGCTATCTCGCAGCACACCATTACTAGTATCAGTGGCGCTAGTCTGCCGCTCTTGAAAGTGGATTGCGGCATCTCCCAGCCCGTAAAACGGCGTCCAGCCGCTGCTCTAGTGGCACAACAGCATCGTCTGCCACATCGCTTGACCATGGGCAACGCTACTGCTCGTCACACAAATGATGCAAGCGAAGCACTTACCCCGGCCTGTCAGTCACACGTCTGTATACCGGGGTCGCGGAAGGCGAAAACTAGGATCCCCATTGTGTGTTACAAGTAAATGACAACGACAACACCACGGCTGTCAGCGATAATCTATGAACTTTCTTTACGAACTTCGGGAAAAAGGTGCACACCATCCTTGCGTCATGGGTGGGCCCAATGATTGTGGCCAGTGAGCTGGATCGAAAAAGGAAATAAGTGGTGGAGCGTTTCATAACGACTATCATGACTCGCAGCTATGGGGCGTATAAGGCTGGAACACACGGCAGCACGCGCTACACTCGACGTGATATTGGTGTGATGAGTGTCTTCCCTTTGTAGCGCTCATGCACGGCATCCAATCGCTATCGGTTCCCATCAAGGAAACGTAATTTTCCAACAGAGTGGATCTACCGTCAGGGGTCGACAAGTCGAAGAGCAAGACGGTGTCTGCGGCAGATGGCCCCAAACCCCCCTACAACAAAAGTGCATTCCTTTTTGCAAACCCTAAATGCAAGACAAAATTCTCGGATTCGCAACCCTTTGTTTAGTGAGGCAGCTTTAGCCGTAGTACTGCGTGGTCACGGAAGGTCTCCCTTACAACGCATCGCCTAGGTTACATTCTGCCCAAGTAGACAATCCCAGGTGAAAACCACAGTTCACCACGCATTACCGACGTTTCAGGCTTGCCACGAGGGGAGGCAGCGTACGCACAGATCGACTGCAAATCTCCCGCTCAAGGCGCCCCACGGGAGCGCGCGTAAGGACAGCCCGTCGGCTAAAAGGGAATCAACAACGTGACCTAAGCGCGCTGTATCACCAACAGCTTGGCTTGATGCCCAAACACATGAACAATCGTGTTTTTCTGTTGAAGGTTGGAAAAAAAGAAAAAGTAGTGAGACACATGTCTATCTTGATGCTTCATGTGGACAGCTTTGCCGACTCTTTGCGACTCGCCCACTCGACGTCGCAATTAAGTTTTAGGTCGCCGTTGAACAAAGCTAAGGGTTATATCATCGAGACTATGATGGTGCGCCTTGCGCGGGAATGGAGATATCCGGTAGTGGTGTCCTTTTTTTGTCCATCCCCACATCACGACGGCAATGTAAACACTTCGGAGATGGCGACGTTGGTGCCCAAGGAAGACCCATGTTGAGGAATACCAAGAAAAAAATCCTACTTCCTGGTCCATGTTCGATATGGATCGGCGTGGGGTGCTGGTAATACCGGTAAGGATGGGAAAGGGATATATCAGCGAAAGCGATATAGGTAGGGTGGGGCGAGACGGCATGAACGCGAACTATCGAACGGCCACATGGACAGTGGCAAGCGAGATTTTCTTTCCTAAAAATGCTGTAAGCACCATG